AAACATCTACTATTATATTCAATGAATAGATTCTCTCTAGATCACATGCATTTGAGCAACCTTGTCGTGAATATATTGTTGAAATCGGACAGCTGTACACGACGTCGTGGAAGGGTTTCCGCATAGTTCTGAATCACAGTTGGAATCTCTTTTGATGCGATTCGCATCTACGAGAATCTTTACGATCGGATATGGGAAGCCTTTTTAAGCGTATGGGTGATTACGAACTTCCTCTTGAGAGGTTATGGCAGTCGTGGACGGAAGCCGGATTGACGAGGAAGTTAACAAGTTGAAAGAGGAAGCAGATGTCGTGGTTCAACAAAGACATGCGGAAGAAGAAAAATTATATGGTGGATTTCGATCTCCTATTATCAATACTTTAGTTTCTGGTGTGGGTTTCTTTACGGATGCTTATAACATTTTTATTGTTAGTATTCTTAATGGAGTTTGGACAGAAGGTTATCCAGACGCCTTTACTAGTACAATGAAAACCAGGGTGTCCAACAGTATTCTTGTAGGAGACATCGTCGGAATGCTCTTCTTCGGCCTATTTGCCGACCGTATCGGCCGCAAAGCAGGGCTTTTATCCACAGCGACGATCCTTCTCATTGGCCCGATTTTAGAGACAGTGTCCTTTGGAGCAAACGGCTCTCAGACGGGTATGTTCTGGATGCTTGTAATAGTGCGAGGATTTCTGGGTGTTGGAATTGGTGGTGAGTACCCTTGTGCTGCAACGACATCTTGCGAAGCAGGCGAAGATGCGAAAATTAAAAGGGGAAAAAATGTACTCCTCGTCTTTGCTATGCAAGGCGTAGGAACTATCACAGCTTACGTATATGGAATAATGTTAATTGAATGGGCAAAGGCGAACCCGAGCAATTTTGAGCCAGTCTGGAGAGTCGCACTAGCGTCAAGTATTGTTCCCGTTATACCTATTTACATCCTTCGATGGAGAATGAGGAACTCCACCCGTTATGAGATAGCTGGTCTTTCTAGGAAGAATCTTCCTTGGCTGTTGGTTCTCCGCAAGTACTGGGTAAATCTTATTGGAACTGCAGGAACTTGGTTCATCAATGACTTTTTGTTCTACTCAAATGGTCTGTTTTCGTCGGAAATGACAAAGTCAATCTTGGAAGAGACAGACGTTCGGTCCTCGAACTTGGTTTTCACAGAGTATACGAGCATGCTTATCTTATTAATTGGTTTGCCAGGATATTTTGTCTCTGCATTCACTGCGGACTATATCGGTTCAAGAAATATTCAAATTATTGGTGCTGTAATGAGTGGCGTGATTGCGATTATTATGGGCGGTATTTTCAACTTGATGCGAACGAATCCCGGTCCTTTTATCATGATGTATGGTTTATTCTTCTTTTTCACTCAGTTTGGAGCGAACTGCACTACATTTATTCTTCCCACAGAAACTTATGCCACCGCTGTGAGAGCAACTCTACATGGCGTTTCAGCAGCATTCGGAAAGACTGGTGCCGCTATTGGAACTCAAGTTTTTAACCCATTGAAAAAGATCAATCCTGTAAATGGACCTCGCGCAGTTTTCATATTTTGTGGGGGCTTGTCGCTGATTGGAGCTATAGTTACTTATATCTGTATTCCAGATAATAAGAATAAGTCACTGGAAACTATTGATATGGAATTTGAAAGGTATTGTCTCGAACATGGTGTTGAGTTGAAGTATTTGCAGCCGACACACTATTCGAAGTACTTCAGTGCATCTGACTCTGATGAAAAAGCACGTACGAATGGGAATGACTCGGATGAGAAGAACAGTATTGCGGTTCTTTCAGAGTAAAAAAGACAATGCTTGAGAGATAATTAAAGAGTATTTTGTATGATTATTATTCGTTTGTTGTCGTCTTGTTTTTTTAGTAAAAAAGAGAGTTCATTTGAATTCTAAAATGACTTTTTCCTTGCCATCAGCTTTGCAACAGCAGCGTGTACAGTAAACTGAAGAACTATAGCATGGAATCTTTCTGTATCATGGAGCGGTTGGGCTCTTAAACACATTTAATAATTGTTGGTTCCTAAATATCCAAAAGGGGAGATGAAAGTAACCAGTGTAACGATTGGAGTAGTGGAGAGTGAGTAGTCATATAGATGAAGGAATTGAAGAGGAATGGGGCAATCCAAGATTCCTATACGAAATTTCTTCAATGAGACAAGTTTTGATTGTTACAGAAAAGCCATCCATAGCAGAAACAGTAGCAAATGCACTTTCTCAAGATTCTTATCGGACTAGAGCTGCTCGAAAAAGTCCTTGTCGGGTACACGAGTTTCGTGGTTACTTTCGTGGTCAAATGGCGAACATAAAGGTTACTTCTGTCCTTGGTCACGTGTATAGCTTTGATTTTACGAAGGAATACAACGATTGGAACTTAGTGGAAGCAGAAGAACTTTTCTTTGCCGGTGTACGTAAAGTAGTTGCTGACTCTGGTTCCAAAGTGGTTAGGCACTTGGCAACGGAAGCTATAGGAGTCGACTACCTTGTCCTTTGGCTAGACTGTGATAGAGAAGGAGAAAATATAGCGTTTGAAGTAATATCATGTGTGAAGCATTCCTTGCAAAACGTACCGGTTATCTACGGAAACAGAGCCAACGTGTTTCGTGCTAAATTTTCAGCACTAACAACTAAAGACATTTGTAGAGCGATGGAAAATTTGACATATGTTGACACAAACCAAGCGTCGGCTGTAGATGTGAGAGCAGAAATAGACTTGAAGGTGGGGGTCGCGTTCACACGTTTTCAGACTCGCTATTTTCATGACAAGTTTTCGAGTCTCGATTCCAAGTAAGGGTGGACATATTTGCTCCATTTTGTCTGACTATTCCTTTTCAGGTTGGTCAGTTATGGCCCTTGTCAAACTCCTACTTTAGGTTTTTGTGTTGGGAGATTGGATGAAATTTCCAAGTTTTCACCAGAAACATTTTTTTTGGTAGTCGTGAATGTTCGAAAGAACAATCGAACAACAAATTGGTACTCTTCTCGTGGCAAGATATTTGAACGAAAAGTTGCTAGCGCAATCGTTGAGCGCATAAACTCCTATTCAAGTGGTATTTCAGGAAAGATTATCGATAGAACAACATCGAAGGAAAGGCGTCATCGGCCGTTACCATTGAATACAGTGGAATTGCTCAAGTTAGCCTCTAAGAGATTGAAGATGTCTCCTCATCAAGTAGCACAAGTGGCAGAAAGTTTGTACACTCAAGGGCTGATTTCATATCCACGAACGGAATCTTCCAAGTATCCGTCATCCTTCGACATTGAAGCAGTGTTGTCAGAACTGGAAAAAACATCTACTTGGTTCCCTATCGTCAAGATCTTCCGAGAGGGAAAGTATTTAAACAAATCAAGGCAAGGAGGTGTGGATAAAGGTGACCATCCCCCTATTACTCCCGTCCGTGGAGCAGAAAGAGGCTCTCTAAGAAATGCAGAGCACGAACGTGTTTATGAACTTATAGTATATAGTTTTTTGGCAAGTGTTTCAGAAGATGCAGTTATAATGAGTCAGCAATACTGGATGCTTCTCAGTGGAGAAAAGTTTGTCTTCTCCCAAAGGAAGCTTGTGGTTCCTGGATGGCTAGAGTTTTCAAATTCTTCCAACCACATGGAGTCATTGAATATGAATAGTGAAATATTCTTTGAACAAAACGAGTCTATAGAAGACTTTACAGTTTCTTTAGAAGAAATGCAGACGGAACCTCCTGAATATTTATCGGAAAGCGACCTAGTCGGGTTAATGGAGAAATATGGTATTGGAACTGATGCAAGTATTCCAACCCATATCAACAACATCATCACAAGAGGCTATGTCCGGCTTTCAAGCGAAAGACGCTTGATACCGACACAGTTAGGAATTCTGCTGTATCGAGGGTTTGTAGATATGTTTTACTAGTTCAAACAGAACTCAATACATAGTAGGTATCAAAAAATAGATCCTCAGCTCGTGTCTCCAGTAGTTAGGAGTCATATAGAACAAGAAATAGCTCAAGTAGCTTCGGGACAAGTTGACGCTATGAGTGTTGTTGAACACTGTTTGAGTGTGTTTTGGAAAAAGTTTATATATTTTAGAAAACATATTGACGCCATGGACGATTTGTTTGAAACAGTGTTTACAAATATGCATAGTAGAGGAAAGAAGTTTTCGTTATGTGGAAGATGCAATAGATATATGAAACTGATTGAAGAGAAACAGAATCGTCTATTTTGTATGAACTGTAACGACACTTTAAAACTTCCTCCAGGGAAGTTTCATATTATGAACGGCAACAAGTGTAGCATAGACTCTTTCGAGCTAGTGACGTGGGTTAGTAGCTGGGGACGACCGTTACTTATTTGTCCGAAGTGTTTCTTGGACTCTTCCACCGACACAAACTTCAAAGAACCAGAATGGTATCCTGGTTTAGGTTGTACACAACTCTCTACGTGTTGCAGTCTTTCTTGTCCTTGGCGGCAGTGGCACCAGAACACTATAGGACTTTGTGCCCAGTGCGTTCAGCAAACAGAGGTGAACAAGTCGTTATTTTGTCCTGGTGTACTTTTCTTATCTCCAAGGGCTCCAGTTCAAGTCTATTGTAACCGCTGTAGCTTTTCCCTCAAGTTCTCTCAAGGTTCTGTCGTTCAAGTTGGTCTTGAGGAACAAGACGAGAAGTGTAGCGCATGCCACTCCAAAAAGTTATGGTTTAAGAGTTTATCTGATAATGTCAGGCAAAAAGGTTGCCTTTACTGCGACTCTCTATTCCTCGCTGTTTTGACGAGAGATACGCCACGTAGAGCGTTCCGTGTGTCTCATTGTAAACACCGAACCAAGTAGGAAAGCTCGTCACCTTCATCAAAAGGTTGGGATTAGACAGCGAAGCTACGAAGAGCGATTGACGTCATCGATTCCTATCAATAAGAACGGATTTTCCATTTTGTCGATTGTGGTTTGTCAATTTTGTGAAAAAGTGATGGCAGTGGAAGAGCCTATTGTAAACATTTATCTTACAAACCCTCCTACTGAGTATTGTCAAGCCAGATATACTGTAAAGCAAAAACCTAGCAAATGTCGGACCAAAGGAAAGTACATGTTTTGTTTGCCTGGTGAAAAACAAGGCTACATTACTTGTGGTACACACCTCAAAGCCTTGTGTGACTTGAGCGCTCTTGGAATGGATAATCAACCCATGAAACCATTGCCTAAGAACGGAAAGCTATTGGGCTATGGAGATTACGAAAATATGGAAGAACAACAATGCCAAGCACTCATCACGGCAGCTAGCGGAAAGGAACCTCCAGAACGGTGTTCCTCTTTTAAGACTTTCGCATTCCAAAGTGAACAACACGAATGCATATTGTTCCTTTGTAAAAAGCATTTTTCATGGATTGATAATGCCTATGATCACAAGTCTTATATAGTTCAGGATGCACCATCTGCACAGACGGACAATGAAGTCTTAGATGAGCAAGCCTCGGAACAACAAACAAATTTTCAGGACGAAGAAGAGCGCGGTCATCCAAAGACAACCAAGTATGAAGATTTTATAGAGTCTAATGAAAATGCAGTTGAAGACACTGATAAACTATCGTTACTGACGAATGGAGAGAATGGATACGTTGAAGCAAATGGTGTCGGTGAAGACTCATATTCAGTTGAAGAAAATAATGATATGGCTTTGCAAAACTGCAAAACACAGAGTAGCAGTCAACAAACCTCATTATCTGAACACCGGAATCATTCCACTAATACTAATGGTAACCAGACAGAAAGTGAGAACGCTGCAATTCGACAAACAGAAGCCAATATTTATAGTCCTGCTGAAAGCCAATCGGATTCCTCATTGGTTGAGGAAAAGATGCAAGCTGAGAAGAAGAACTCTCTTGATGTTTCAAGCTCAAAGAAAGAAGACTTTGCTCCAGAAAGAGAAGAAGTCCGGCGACAAGTTGATATCGAGAAAAGGGAATCAAAGGAGCTGAAGCCAGCTTCTGAAATGCAACGTATTCCTCCTCCACCACCAAAACCTCAGCACTTTCGACCCGACGAAAAATCTGGAAAATCTAAACAGACAGCTGCCGAAGGCGGCTGTTGTGTGATTTCATAGCTTTGCTTTTATGATGGGTGATTGAATTTACATATAAATATTCAACTTGTTTTCGGTTTGACACTCGCCACTCTGCCCACTCAGCCACCGCTCTCTTGTAAGAAGTGAGAGTATTTCTAAGTTTCAATATATGTTGTCTCTCGAGCAGGTTCACTTCCTTGTGGAGAATTGTTTTGAACTTGTGAAGATGACGTCTGTTTCACTTGATGCTTTAAGTGAATTACACCGCACAGTTTTGCCAGAAATTTTTTACAAAACATTTAAGAGTTTTATGCAGAGTAGATTGTTCAATTCATCACTTTTGGAGTATTGAAATGCATTAACCCAAAACTTTGTCAGTTTTTTTGGGAATATGAAGGACAAGCCCTAGAACAGTTGGAGAAAATGCTCAACCCCGAAGATGACGACTGTAGTCGGCAAAAGTACGGTAGTTTTGAGAGTGTAAACTCACAGGAATGGAAGGAGAGGGAAGCTAAAAACGAGTCACAGAGCAGTGGTTCCTTGTGTTCTAAACAGAAAAGCGCTTACCGACTAAGTAGAGATAGGAGCAATCTTGTACAGAAATCAATAGGTTATAGTTTAGACGGCCTTGACTCAGACGGAACTACAGACGCAGCCCCTCCTAGAACTTTAGGTATCTTTCAACTGGCAGGACTCATGTATTTAGTAACTGCCGGGGGCGGATACGGATTAGAACCAGTTGTACAAGCAGCAGGGCCTCTACCGGCTTTGATTGGTTTACTTGTTGTTCCGTGGATATGGTCGGCACCCCAAGCTCTTATGACGGCTGAGCTATCAACCCTTTATCCACGAGATGGAGGTTTCGTTTTATGGGTAGAAGAAGCTTTTGGCAACTTTTGGGGGTTTCAAGTGGGATGGTGGAACTTTTTTGGTTCCCTGGTTGACAATGCATTGCTTCCTAGGCTTTTCAGTGATTACTTGAAGATATTTTTAGGGGTAGATCACCTTTCTTTGTGGCTTAGCTGGGGTGGCGGAATATTCTTGTTGTTGTTTTGTTTTATTCTCAACTACAGAGGTCTAGAAATTGTTGGTTGGGCTTCCATCATTTTCGTTGTCATCGTTGCTATTCCGTTTGCTATTTTAACGCTCGTCGGGCTTCCGCAATCAGATCCCAAGGTTTGGTTACAATGGCGAGGCCATCGAGACACCAACTGGAGCTTATTCTGGGCCACGTTGTTGTGGAATCTATGTGGGTTTGATAGTGCGGGAACCTGTGCTGGAGAGGTGAAGAATGCTTCACGTACTTATCCAGCTGCAATTTTGCTTTCTTGTGCATTGGGATTGGCGTCCTTTTTACTTCCTGTGGCAGCTTCTGTAACATTTGCTCAAGATTGGGACGAATGGAATGATGCCTTTTGGCCTTTAGTTGCGAATCGTGTAGTTGGAGGTACTTGGTGTGGTACTTTAATTACCTTGGGTGGATTAGCAAGTGCTGCTGGGATGTTAAATTCCTTGATGGCAACCTCTTCTCGTGCTTTATATGGGATGGCAACGACTCAATTGTTACCACCGGAACTGGCAGTTTTGCATCGCGTTTATAAGACTCCTGTTCGATGTATCGCACTTGTCGCTGTTGGAACTGCATTATTTTCGTTGTTAAGCTTTGAGAAGTTGGTTGAAATAGACTCTGTTCTGTATTGTATTAAGGAAATGTTGGAATTTTCGGCTCTTGTACGTTTAAGATACAAGTATCCACATATCTCGAGGCCGTTTGCGATACCTGGGGGTTTTATAGGAGTTTGGCTATGTTGCTGTTCCGGAATATCTTGTTGCGTACTTATGATTTGCCTTAGTGGTCTTGCCGCTTTTTTATCAGCAATGTCGATGATTTTAATAGGCTTTATACTATATCCATTGGCTCATTGGTGGCTAGCCAAACACGAACAAGCACAAATGAAAAAATCCAGTTCCACAGCTTCATTCGATTCTTCGGAAAGAATCTAAACGAATCAAAAAATTTCTCATAGATTAAAACCCAAAAGTTGCCAATAGCGTGAAAATTGTTGCTTCCAAATTATATACTTTCTACGAAACCATCTGTAAATGGACAAAGTTCGGGGAAGACTGATTCCCATGGCTCGTGTGTTTTGAAAGTGATGCATTGCTCGATGATAATGTGTATTTCGCAAAACTGCTGTAGCAGTTCTCCAATCCCAATTCTCTGCCTCCTTTCTGGCTTTAGCTGACAACTTTCGAGCAAAGTACGGATCCTCAATAAGTCTAGAAACGTATAATGCACATGTCGCCATATCACCTGGTTCGTATAAAAGCCCCGTTATCTCATGTTGAACTAGATCAGGAATACCTCCAGAGCGAGTAGCTACAACTGGAACTCCTGATGCCATTGCTTCTAAAACAACAAATCCAAGTGTTTCTGTCTCGGACGGCATAACAAATACATCTGCTGAGGCAAACGCTTCAGAAAGTTCTTGACCACTTAGTATTCCAGTAAATATTGTGGCAGTATCCCGATAATGACTTTCAAGTTGCATAGCAAATGGTCCATTTCCAATAAAGGCTAAACTTAAATTGGGTATGTATTTGAAAAGCTCTTTCAAACACAACAAGTTTTTCTCTATACCTAAACGACCCTTTTATGCAATAGACATTTATAATGAGAAAAAAAAATTTAAAGTTGCTTACGACATAGATAACCAAAGGATTCGATGGATTGTTATTTGTCAACAATTGTCGCTTTGACAAGCTTCGAAACTTGGGATGAAATCTATTGCAGTCTACGGCTTTTCTCCATATCTGAACGTTTTTGACTCCCTTTTCTTCCATTTCCTTGCAAACCTGTGTTGAGACAGTAAGTGTTAGATCAGCTCGTGTGCTAACATATCGAATAAGCCGCCAACATAAGCCTTCCAAATATCCCAATCCATACTTCTTGGCATACATAGGAAGATGTGTGTGATAAGATAATAGTAAAGGCACTCTAAGAAATCGAGCCCAATTGAGTACCGAGAAACACAAACAGCCAGGAGTTGCCAAATGAACTATGTCAGGTTTAAAGCGATAAAGCACTGAAAAGAAGTCTACATAGGCACCAGTGGAAAGAACTATATTGGGATATAGTGCAAACCGAAAGCCTGGAATATTAACAATAGGAAACCCAAAGATTTCTTTTGGTGCAGAACCTGAAACTTCCGGTACAACGATTAAAACATCATCACCGGCTTCCTTCAAATATCGTAGCGTCTCAATGAAGCGATTGCTATATCCCGAGACATGTGTAAAGGGAGATGGTTCAATAATCATAACTATTCGATGAGGTGGAAGTATTCGCCTCTGAACAGAGTTCACACTAGAAGACTCTAGAGTAGGAACTCCTTTATCAATAGTTCCTCTTCTTGCAACTTGCGTACAGTCACACTGTGTTCCTTCACTATCACGAGAGCCGTCTGGGAAGCTAGACGACATCTTGCAACGTCGAAAAACGTGTATGTGACACGCATAGTTTGTTGAATACAAACATCTACCACAATTGCCACAACTAAACAACAGATTTCCTGGATTGCCTAGCACGGGCAACTTTTGAAGTCTTGGCTGCAACACTCGGAGTGAAAAGCCTGGTACGGTAGCTGTGGTGAAACTGCCTATGAACAGATAGGAACGAATATTAAATAACGGATAACTTAAACACTTTCTGTTATCCAAAACCTACAGAGGATAAAAGATATCACATAATACTATAAGCTTAACTACTTACGGTATCCGGAAAACTGAAAGATAGCAAATCTTTCATGATGCGATTTGTATGGACATTTGATTAGTACTGATTGATACTTACTTTTTGGGACAATTATGAGAAACTTGACGAAACTGCTAAAACAGGCAGCAGCCGACAAATATATTCAAGGTAACTTTAACGAAAGATGGGAAATTTTAGAGCCGTTAGGAAGGTAAACGAATGTTTTACTTAGTTTGCATTTTGTTAAGAGTATTCTGATTTGTAGAGGTAGCTTTTCGAAAGTTAGCATTGCTATGAGAAAGAATTCTGCCTCTTCAAATACAACACAAAATAATGATACTGAATTTGCAGCAGTAAAAACGATAGATAAGAAAACTATATATGAAGGATACGATAGCGAAGTTTTATTGGCAAGAGAAGTGAAAGCTTTACGTTTGGTATGCAGCGGCAATTGATGGTCCCTCCCTTCTTTATTAAAGAAACTTAGGCTGGAAATGGGAATAACTTTGTCGTTGATTTATATGAAGTGATTGAAGAGAAAGATAAAGTTTACATTGTTCAGGTTGGCTTATGTTCTTGTCGCAATCCTTTGTCTTACAATTTTACATAGGAGTTGTAAGTGTGTAAGCTTCTTTTTGCTTATTTCTCAGTTCCATACGTAGACTACGGGGTGGCGAATTGTTTCAAAGAATAGTTAATTGTGGTTTCTTTGACGAAATTCACGCTAGTCGATTAGCTTACAGCATGGTTGCTTCTATCGCGCACTGTCACTCGGTTCATGTTGTTCATCGAGACCTGAAACGTAAGCTTTTTTAGACTCATCTATGAAATGATATCAATATAGCCTGAAATTAGCCGAAAATTTTGTCTTTGAGAATGAACAAGAAAATTGCAAGCTAAAATTAGTTGATTTTGGCTTAGCTAACATTATGGCTTCGGAAAATGTTGCGTTTTATACGTTGTGTAAGAGTGAGATTTTTTTTCAATGTTGAATGCTTATTTTCTAGCATGTTAGGTGGTTCTCCTTCGTACATTGCTCCGGAGATTTTGTTTCAACAAGCGTATACCTCAAAGGTGGATGTCTGGAGTTTGGGTATCATAATCCATATTCTTTTAAGTGGCCATGCACCATTTGAACATCGAGATGAGAAAGTATTATTTCATAAGATTAAATACGATCAAGTTGAGTTTAGAGGCGGTTCCTGGACAGACATATCGGATGAAGCAAAGGATTTGGTCTTAAAGATGTTGACGAAAACTCCACAGTCTCGACCAGATATTTACTGGTGTTTGCAACATCCTTGGATACTAAAGGGTCAAAGATGCTATGAAAACGCAGTCGTATCACCTAGCCTCAAGAATACATTGAGGAATCTCCGGAATTTCGATGCAAGAGAGAAGTGGGAAGTAAGAAGCAGAATAATTTTGCATTTTGGCTTTAAGAATATCTATTAGGAGGCAATTTCAAAAATTAGAAAAGCCAATAGATTGGCTCACTTGGCAGAATTGCACGAGAGGATTCTCTCAGCGACTATGGAGCCAGACGAGTCTCATGGCCCCAAGTTTGATGTTTCGGAAGTTGAGGAGCGATCCATGACTTTATTTGAAGAGACTCGTGAAGAATATATGACAGGAGAAGATTTAAATGAAGAAGAACAAGAAGAAGAAATTATAGGAAAGCCTTCCAACGAGTTGAACCAGGCCGAGACAGCATCTAGATTTGAACATTTTCTAGGAAGGAAGCCACCTTCAAAAGAGAAGGAGTCGCAGAAGGTCAAGTATCAGGATACTTCAGTTTCTTGTGGGCTTTGTGTGTTGCAATAGTGGTTCTTGAAAACTTCTAAAAGCCGATGCCAAGTAATACTTTTAAGATAGTCACTGGAATGACAAGACTCTTTTATGAGTGTAACATTGTTACATGACGTAAGTGGAATGCGACTCCGGCACAAACGAAGAATTATCATGTTGTTGAGACATTTTAGCAGTCTTGTAATTTCTAGACAAACGCCTAATGAGAATATTCCTAAAGTGAACGCGATGCTTGGAGTCTCGATATGAAGAATTTCGTTGTAGATTTCTGGAGAGCTTTTCGTTTCTTAATTCATTTGTTGCTCTCTTTATTTGACAAGGCAAACAGCATATTTCAATTCGTGACTTTACCTTGTCATAAACAAAATGCTTCTTGTAATCATGATATGTAGAATATAGGATAAGAATATTACAGTTGCTTGGCTTTTGATTTCAAGTTTTGCAATTTCATAGTGTTTTGTTGAGACATAACATGTTTGCTCAGTGTCAAAGGCATTATTTATCGCTTTATTATATATCATTTCTGAATACTATGGAAATTGAAATAGGAATTGGTCATTTTCCAACCATATTTTTAGTTTTTTTAGTGATTTGGGCTCTAAATCTATAACTGAAATACTATAATAGTACATTCTTTGTTCAATATATATCGGTTTCCACATATCACTGAGGTAGCAATTTGAATTCTCAGAAACTTGAACAAAACTAATCAAAAGGGAACAATCCTTCGTTATCGTAGAATATAGAAAATCGCCGAGAATTCTTTCCAACTCTCCACTTTCCAAGGAATGCAAACAACTGAGTCCTTGTAGAAAGGATCTTTCCAGTTTTTGAATATCTCCAGTCAAACACCAATGCATCCGTGTCTCTTCCTCATCTGAATCAAATATCATATCATGAAAACTATTTAGATACAAAAGTTCTTCTTTCAGCCAACCAGGAGTAAAAGATTTTCCATAAATTTTCTTCTCCAGTTTCTCTAAATCAGAGTCTTTCAAGGTCTCCAAGGCCTCGAGTGCTAATTTTGCACCTTCGTAGTCCAAGATATCCAGTTGCTGAATCATTCGTAACCTTGAAAACAGTATGGCCTCCTTACAAATAATATGTACAAGAATATCCAACTTTGTTTCCAATATCGTTGAAGAAATGGGTTCAGGTTGATGAGGATGTAATAACTGAAGATATTTGCTTTTCTGCCTTATTAGCGAAACCAAGGCTCGACGGATTCTATCGTGCTGAAAGGAAAGGATATCCTCAGGCGTGTAGACAAGGCTATCTTCGCTTTGAAAATTTTTAAGATTGCTCCTGTGCAAGAACTCTAAGTCTTTCAAACTACTATTTTCTTCATTACCTGTAATAGCGATATTTATATTGGGAAATGGGAGCTGGAACGAGACGACTACGTGGAAGCAACATATATTTTGGTTTCCATTCTATACAGATACAGTCTTCACTACATACAGCTGTAGTACAAGGCACTTTTCTTTGGTCTCTGATCAAAATCACTGACTTGGAAAGCACGTCCACGTCTTTACCTTCCACAAGTTGACAGTGAAGAGATCTCGAGAGCTCACAAAGAAACCCGGTGGAAACGGAAACATTGTAAGCTTTTGGCAGATAATGAAAACCTATATTCGTTCCAAAAAAATCTCTCACAAAACGCTGTTCTTCTGTTACTTCTAAACTCGTAAACTGACGAGCATCTTGTCTGCGGACACGTAAAAGTAACCCTTTAGAAAGAGGTTGCTACGACAAGAATTGTACCTCTTTATATAAAAATCTTACAAAATCTAAACGTACTTTTCCCATTGGTTCAAACAAAATATGTCTTCCTCCACAACGAAAGTACTTCCACTCTTCTTCTTCTACCCAAGACATTTCCTTTTTTCATAGAAAACCGATTGATCTCGTATCATGTTGTGTTTTGCTGTTCATATCTGCTCTTTCCGCGCCTTTCCTGTTAGTAGACTTGAAAAGTTTGATAACTTTGTTACCTTGAAGCCAAGTACTATCGTATTTTCATTGAGAAAGAAACTTTCTGGTAATAGTTGCCGTTGCAATACTGTGAAGATGGTAAACCAGAAAAACTATTCTGGCATTCTAGTGCTAGCTGTTATCTCTGTTTTGAGCACTAGTTCTATTTTGTGTCTTCATAAAACACCTTCTTATTGTGAAAACGCTTATGCAGCGGTTGCTCTGAACGAAAACTCTTCAAAACCGGAAGTAGAATTTCTAAGCGAAATTTGGAAGCTTGTAGATAAATACTATTATGACGAAACGTATTCAGGTCATTCCTGGACTCAAGTTTGGAAAGAGTATCATACAAAATTGACATCAAGAAGAGAAACAACATACAAGATTGCAACATCGATGCTGAAAGTTTTGAAGGATCCATATAGCACAGTTGTGAGACCCGCAGATTTTCGAAGGCTTCTCAAATATGATATGACAGGAACGGGTTTGTTGTTGGCACCTTCAGATGATGGTTATCTTATAGTTACCGGTCCGCCACCGAAGGGTAGTCCCGCGAATAAAGTTGGCGTTCGAGTAGGTGATCGAGTCACTGCTATAAATGGTAAACCAGTGGTGTGTATTTTTCTTCTTTTCTCGTGAGGTTTTCTACTCAAATTATATTAGAAGGGAATGACAAGTATAGAAGCAGCCGAGGCCTTGCAAGGTGATGGAAAGAGCCAGCTGGTTCTCGTTTTAGATTCGAAAGGAAAAGGAAGTGAATATCGCACAGTCACCTTGGACAGAGAATATTCGAATGAGAATGCTATTTCATCTTATAGGATTTTTTCTCATAATACAAGTGGTAGAGAATATCGAATTGGATATATCAAGATTAGAGAATTCAATGCCAGCGTGGCTTACAAATTATTACAAGTTGTTAATTACTTGGAACAGCAAGGTGCTAACGCATATATTCTAGACTTGCAGGGAAACCGAGGAGGTGCCCTTGAAGGAGCATTTCAAGTCGCTGGCATATTTATGGAACATGGTACAGTCGTGCGAATATTGGATAGGAACCATCATGAAGACCAGCTAACTGTCCAATCAACACATAGACTGCAGGCTGACAATATAACTCCTACAAGTGATCCTATTGTCATTCTTACCGATAAATACTCAGCTAGTGCATCGGAGATATTAGCAAGCGCTTTGCATGATAACTGTCGAGCTGTTTTGGTTGGAGAGAAAACTTTTGGAAAGGGTTTAGTACAAGCCGTTTTTGGGCTTTCGGACGGGGGTGGTTTGATTTTGACTGTTGCTGAATATCAAACTCCTAACCATACCAACATTCATAAGAAAGGAATTGAACCCGATATATACTTGAAACAAAGAAATCCCATTTCCGTCATTCGAGAATGGGATAAGATAGATAAGCAATTATGCCAATGTCGACAACAAATAGAGAATAGCAGCAATCTACGTTGACAACGAGCTGGACGAATCTAAAGTCATATAAATGACAACTATAAATTGCTGTTATTCATTCGTTTTTCGTTATCATTTCTCACAAGTTGCAGTTCAATTGCAACGAAACAACTTTGTCATATTATTTCATCCAACCATATCAACTCTGTGCTTAAGAAACAACTTGGAGGAAAGACTCAAAGTCAAGGTAAAAGCAATTTCAGAAAAGTAATCGTGCCTTGTTGGATTATATCATAGCTTTGCCTTGAGTCTCGCTGGTCTTGTAGTATTCAACGATGCTTCGTGTTCACTTATGTTCTGGTAGCCTTTCCACCATTTAATAGACTGGTCCTCTTGAAAGCATTTTGTTGGCAACTCGTAAGCCATTCGAAAACGTCTATTTCTATTTCACAATATTCTGAGGATAACAACACAAGTCTCAAGGAGAAACACTATGACATACCTAACAAAACCATTCGCTTAATTTTTCCAAAATATATCAAAGTACGCAACAAATAATTGGAGACTATCTTACAAGTTGTCAAGGAACACAGAGTCTTGGGAATATACATCTACCTCAAACTTTGACAAATGCATACTCACAAAATGAGCATGAGAATTTTATGTATCGAATGTTAGCCTAATAGCTGTCCTAAAGGTAGAAAGCTTTAGTCAGAGTTTTCTTATGGAATTGACAAAGTTTCTAGTCTGTGGAGCTATAAAGGAAGGTTAGTCAAGAAAATTGTAAACGTATTCTTGCTTACAGCTCTGTTGAAGAAAGTGAGGCAGAATTGTTTCTATCACGAATATTAAGGGTGCAGGAAAAGCAAGGACCTTTCTCCTTTGTTCTGTGCTGTGGTTTCGACTTAAAACAACTTGTAAGTTTGACTACAGCGGCAGAAAAGAAGGAAGAGTTGTCCTTGGAGGTTTATCTGGCTTCTCAACACAAATGGGATAGTGTACCGTTAAAGGAATCTATTCAGAAAAACGTTTATACTCTCAGACCTTTCGAAGTTTTTGAGGTTTGTAGCTTTCGAATATCATTCATTCCTTGTGGCCTTTCACACGATTGGAATGCGTTCAACAGTTTTGTAGAAAGCTGTATGCGTTCGCAAACTCAGTTAGATATTGCAATCCTGGATATTTCTCTCGACAGACAATCGCTGCATCTTCAAGGGCAATATAGCGACTTATCAAAAGGTTTGGCGCAGCTAAAGCCACGTTATTCATTCTGTTCGGTGGAGGTATTTTACCGTTTCTTGTATGTTCTTTGTCGTTGTTCACATTTTATTAGCCTTTTGAATATTTTGAATATGGCCCTTTTCTATTTGAGGATAGTTTTACTCTTTCCCGTTTTATTCATTTGAGCCATGTCGGCTCAAAGCAAAAGTGGCTATATGCTCTATCTATGAAACCTGTAGCTTATTTGGATGAAACCAATTGGATAAAAGAAAGGTCGGGTCCCTCAGTATTACCCAATCCTTTTCAATTCGACAAAATCGTCGAAGAAGAAGAAAAAGAAGTAGCAAATGTTAGATTTTTGGAGAAGTATAGTTTAGATGGTGACGCAAAGAAGCCTCATCAGGCTTCGTGTTGGTTTTGTTTAGCCAATGAAAAGGATTTACATTTGATTGTTGACGTTGGTCAGTATTGTTTTTTGGCACTTGCAAAGGGATACCTGTCCAAGTATCACCTTCTCATCGTTCCTATCGAACATGTGGGCTCGAGGTTTGAGTTGTCGACAGAAACTTGGAAGGAAGTACAGTTTTACTTATCTTTGTTGGAGAATTGGTGGAGTTCAATGAATTTACAAATATTTTGGTTTGAGAGAAGTATGAAACCGCCATCAGGAAACGAAGTGAATCATATGCAGATACAAGTTATTGGAATGCCTATCAGAGAAAGCCTTTCTTTTGTATCTAATCTTTTGGATAGAGAATCTAAGAGACTAGGAGTTACCATATGGGAGCTGGGTTCAGAGACTGAGTTTGAAGAGAAATATCGTAGTGGAAAGATGGACGAGTACATCTTGTTCAAGTTACCGGATGGTTGCTATGCTTTACATGTTGTTGAAAGTGAAAACAAAAGAAAGCGCAAGTATGCTGGTACACAATCTCCCTATTTTGCCTTGTTTTCATTCGGAAGAAAGATTGCAGCATTGGCGATGAATATGCCTCAAAAGATAGATTGGAAAAAGTCAGTAAATGACATGAAGGAAGAAGAGCAAGTCACGAATGAACTACGAGAGGAGTTTCTGTCTTGGAAACGCAAAATGTTTAGCTGATTTATTATAAGAATTTTCAATCAGTAGTCTCAGACAACGATATGGTTTCCAAAAAAGGAATAAATATGAAGTACTCCTTAAGAAATGACACAAGAACAGAAAGGTTCCCTTTCACTTGGCATATGTTTGGTGTTGGTGTCATTTTTGTCTGCAGGTTCATTCTTTGTCTTTAAGGATGAAGTCAAAGTCTCTTTTGAAGTTTCTAATCCTTCCTTGACTGGATCCTGAACTTTACCATCTTGTGGCCTCGTTGATTTGTCTCCATCCTTCTCCTCTTCATTGTTGGTTTTCTCTTCTGACGGAGGAGAGCCACTCTGATCAGTCTCACTAGCAGAACGTAATACATGGTGATGAAGATGGGCTAAGCGAGCCATGCGATTCATTGCAGTAACTCCGGCAACAGCTGCCTAATAAAAGTCATCTTAGTATGTGCAACAAAAAGGTCCATAGTTTCCAACAATCCTTACATGCCAATTACGCCTTGCTTTGAATTGTCTTAAATTCTTTACTGTATGTTCCAAATGATGCTGCTCTTCAAGAATATGCTGGCCTTTCTCTATCCAAGGATGCTGTAGACATTCTTCACATGAAGGTCTCTTTCGTGGATCCTTTTCCAACAACGAAGCTACAAAATGCTTCGCATCAGAAGATATAGCATCCCATTCCTTTCCTTCCATTCGAACAGGGTCGTGTTTTATTCGACGAAAAAGCTCTTTCTCATCTTTCGCTTCAAAAGGTGCATATCCTGCCAATAAGATATAAATAATTACTCCCAAACTCCAAATATCCACCTTATACGTATAAGGCTTCTGATAAAGTATTTCTGGAGCAACATAGGATGGAGAACCACCTACTGCCTCATAAAAAAAATTCTACCAAGTAAGAAAAAACTCACAAATGGTTCGAAATGTTGATGCAGGACTGGCCATAATGGCTGCCAAACCAAAGTCAATCAATTTCAATTTTGCGTCATAAGCATGACTTTCAAAAACAAAATTCTCAGCTAAACTAGTTGTCAGAAAATGACTTGGGAAAAACTTCAACTCACGTTTGAGATCTCGGTGAACGACGTGTTTCGAGTGACAATGTGCAACTGAAGAAATCATACACGAAGCGATAGCACTAGCGTCTTTCTCGGAAAAGTGGCCTCGTTGCACGATTTGGTCGAAAAGTTCTCCTCCAGATAGTCTTCAAATAATAAGGCTTGATTCGAACAAAAACGAAAACTTACAGTTCCTACATATGGTTCGAAAGTTTCCATTAAAACAAAGGCTTTAAAACGTACCATTATCAAATAAACAAACTTTTCGTCTTCACATACTTCGTACAACTGAGCGACATAGGGATAACCATTTCCAACCTAAAGGATTCTTCCTTCAACAATAAGCTATCCAGTATAAGAAAAAACATACAGTCACAAAAGTCTGTATCTCGCGCGCAACTAATTCTTCACTCTCCGAACCGTTTCTCATGTCTTCCTTTGAAATACACTTAATAGCAACTTCAGAAATCGTTTCATCACGAGAAGCGTTGGTAGGTCCAAAACCGGAATACACGGAATCCTCTTCGCTCTTTCGCTTTCCGATAGTAACTTTGGAAAAACCCCCTCTGCCTTACTGTAAACGATTGCCCCCATAAAAAGAAAAACAAACTTACTCTCCTAACTTTTTCAATATTTCCCATCTTTGTTTAAAGCTTTCGGGATGGTACTTTTCTCCAGCTGCTCGTTTGATGAGAGGCGAACAGTGCATTTCCTCCCAAAAAATGGATTTCAAGTAAAAGATTTTTGTCATGTCGGAGGCTAAAGACAACTTCAGAAGCAATCTTTTTACACAAAGTTCAGCTTTGGTGAGACAGCCACCTCCAGAACTTCCCAAAGAACTTCCAAAAGATTTCTTAAAGGGTGGGTAATTTGGTTCTCGATCCTACAAAAGCTTAGTTTTGTTCAGATTTGAATCTTTGCGAGAAACATCTTGCCAACGTGTTTCGTTGCTTTTTGCTATTCTCTGAAGAGAAGAGATGCCGTATTCAAATGACAATATATAGGAAGTGTAAGGAAAGACGAGACAAGGCCATAAGAGAACGCGTATGGGAGTGGGATGAAGGATATTTTCGCTCCCTAAATTCGAGGTCCCGACAAGCTCTGCTTGGAGAGCTTCAAAAGGAACTTGAAAAGAGACAAGAACTGCTTGAGCGAGCAAGAGAAAGAAATAACAAACTGGGGGCAATTCATGTGGAGTCCCGCATTTCGGACCTGCAACGGAGATTGGAACACCTAAAACAATTCGTGTAATTACTCAAACGCCTAACCTTAGGAATGATTATTGAGAGGTTAAAGGGTTACCAGCTTTATCAAACTATAGAAGAACGATTTTCTACGAACACACCTATATGAAATAGATTCTTGTTAGGCAGATTCTGTATTTGGTTTTATCGTCGACTTGAGTAAATATTTTGCTTACTGTTTTCGAAAGTTGCCTTCTTTTCTATATATGAAGAAACACACTGAAATTTATTTCACTACAATATTACTCGGATGCGAGCAACTCTGTTCTCAGCTGCCAAGCTGAAGTGAAAAAAGAATGATATAATAATATGGACAATGAAACAGCTACTGCACTTGTTGCTCCAGCCAAAACAAACACAATCATGAGCTGATATCTTGCGGCAACTGAAGGATCCGCTCCTCCCAACATTTGTCCAGTCATCATTCCAGGTAATGAAACAAGTCCCACAGTCATCATTCCGTTGATAGAAGGAATCATGGAAGAACGAAGAGCTGCACGCAATGCAGGAGCAACTGCTTGTCTAGGTGTCGCTGAAAGACTCAGAAGGGCCTCAATTTCTCCTTGACGAGAAACAATCTCACTCACCATTCTTTCTGAAACCAAAGCAGCTGCATTCATTGCATTTCCAACGATCATTCCTGCAAGAGGAAGAAAATATCGAGGATCCCACCAAGGATCAGTACCTATCACAAACGCCGTCACCATAACTGTAGTTACTCCAGAGCCCATTACAATCGAAACTGCACTTTTATATAACAAGCCTGGAAGTTTCCGCTTCACTCTTCGCGTCGCAGTCCAAACAGCTACTGACAACATAATACCAAAGGCCAACATAACAACAGCTACCTTGCGAGTTAAAAATACCCATCTTAGAAAATATCCTACCATTAACAACTGAACAGTCGCACGAAAACCTCCCAAAGTAATGTCTCTTTCGAGACCAAGTTCCAAAAGATGAATAGCTACAATGTTGGCAATGAGAAAACCACCCGCAAAAATAAGTTGTTCTGGATCCAAAGGTATTGCTCCTGTATCTGGACAAGACATACTGGACACTTGCAACAACTCACTCTAAGTCTTCACCCGACAATAACTTCCGAACCTGTTCTCCCTCAACAGAATTCAAAATAGTTAACGTTTCTCCTTTCAAAACAGCTTTTCCGCTATTCAACATAAGAAGCTGGCCACCAAGGACCGACAAGTCAGCAAAACGATGTGAAATAACTATGAGCGTGCTATTGCTCTTCTGTCTCCAGTGATTTAGCCTTTGAAGAAAGCTCTGTGCTCCTAAACCGTCCAAGCTAGAAGTAGGTTCGTCCAAGACGAGAACTTCAGGTGACAACAGAAGGGCTCGGGCAACGGATAAACGTTGCTTTTCTCCACCTGACAGCGTATTCACAGAGTGGCCAAGAAGAGTCTTTTGGAAGCCCGCAATTTCCAACGCTTCTTCAAGGTTTCTTTCAAAAAGTGACTTGGTGATAACTCCTAACTTGCAGATTATCTCCAAGTTTTCAAGCACTGTACTTTGAGAAAGATAGGGTGTTTGAGCTACGTATACAACTTTTCTGCGTAACTGTCGAGGATTCCACTGCCTTATATCAAGTCCAAAGATTTCTATGCTACCAGAGGATGCCTCGTCCAACCGATTCAAAAGACGAACAAGCCTGGTCTTTCCCGAACCAGAAGGGCCAATAACCACTGCAGTGGCACCTTGTAAAACGTCCCAGTCTATATTTGAAAGGATCTCACTGCCTGTTCTAGTCCTGACGCTTACGCCTTTCAAAGAGAGAGCCAAGGGTAAAGTAAGGTGAGAACTTCCGTTGTGAAGCGGCGTAGTTATTTCTGAAGGGGAATTGAACATGACGGCCACTATAATGGGACATCCATTGGATTTGTTGCCTAAATCGTTTGGACTTTGGCTGTTGAAGACATCAGCTATTCAGTATCTGTGAAAGAAATACACTTAGTGCATAGGGAAATGTTTTTAAAAACTGGTCGTTCCTGAGATGCAGTACTTTTGCAAAGAAATGACTTGCTTTAAAAGTGTCATCTATATTTTAGGAATCTTCGATATTTCTCGATATACATATTCCTCATGAAATTTTGCTAAATTGGAAACGCCATGTAGAGATTTTCAGGACAGTGAAATGTCACAAGGTAGCAAAATCAGTTAAATAATGCATTGACTGAACTCTTTTGCAAGCTCACAGTTGAATACATAATTAAATTTTTCATTTGACTTTCTCAACTTTCTCGTAAGTCCTTTGTATGATTTCAAGTTTCTATAGTCAAAAATAGCATATTAGAAGTATTCTCATCCAAGGATTCCTCTCAATGTAAGCTTGCTTCAAAGCAAAAAGCTTTGCTTAAAAGTTGCTCTAAAAAGATGGTCGGAACAAAAAAGTGCATATGAAATACGTTGTACTTAGTATTAAAATAATAGAGTTAATACATTGTATTGTACAAAACTTCTACACCTCGACCAATAAATAGCATGTAAAAATCATCAGTCTTTTATGGGTTGATTGCGAATTTGCAATGTTGAGTTTTGGAGTCTTTGTCAAGCTCGATCGCACAGCTGTATCATCTAAGAGTTTTCCAATAAGCGGTCGTTTGCACACACTTACTGAAAAGCCCGTGGTGAGTTTGTTATATGGCAAAAGAAGCTTGAAGCCTGTTTTGACGAGAGGTTTTGACGAGGTGAAATTGGTCGGTGTTATGTAAACTCCGTAGTAACGTTTATTCACTTTCTATCTTCAGAGAACTTTACACACGAGAATTTTCGTATGTTTGCTGCCAACTAGTGATAACGTAAGCGATGAGAACGAAGCTTCTCTGTACAAACGTGATTTAGAAGAAGGGTTGTTAGACGGAAACTTTCAAGCTTTAGAGAGGACGAGTCAAGACACAGTTGACGAAGATTCAATCAGTGAGTCTGATAAAGAATCAATTTACGGTGATGACGTCACCAAGAACATTGCTCCCAAGTGGTATCTTCTTCAAGTTACTCGCGGTAGGGAAAGGTCCGTGAGAGACACTTTATTATCGAAGGCTGAGAATACTAAGATGCTCAACGGTCGTCTGTTGAACGTTCTCGTTCCTTGCTTTAAGAAAGTTGTTCTCTCACCAAGGGGAATCCCGAAAGTTCGAATGGAACCTGTCTTCTCTGGCTACGTTTTAGTCAAGCTAATAATGACAGATTCCGCGTATCGGTCTATAAAAGAGACTTTATTTGTTGTAGGTTTCGTTTCATTTGGCAACAAGGGAAAGAGGAAGATAATTCCGGAGCCTCTTCGGGATTCTGAGGCAGAAGAAATACTTCGTAAAGTCGAGGCCAAATACCCAAAGTCCGATTTAGCTTTTTCAGTTGGAGATAAAGTGCAAGTTCAAACGAGTGAAATGAATGCATACGGCATTGTTTCAGAAACTGAAAAGGAATGTGTGAAGGTAGCATGTTTGCTTGAGGGTTCAGCAGCCACCGTAGAAGCGACCGTAGATTCTCTCAGGCTTGTAAAGGACGAAGAATTTGAAGCTGCTGTGAAGGAATATATTAAGTCGAGGCAAGCCAAGCCACGGCAGACGAAGAAGAAGAAGAAGAAGCATAATGTTTCTTCAGAAACCCTTGTCTCAGTTTTGAGCAGCACCAGTGAAGCGAATAAAGATAATGTATCGAACGAGACATCAAGTGAAATAGATATCTTTATAGAAGATTTGGAACACGAGGAGAAGGAAAGACAGAGAAGAAGAGCAAAAACTGAGGAAAACCCTAATAATGAAGTTGTGCCAATTTCTGGACAGGATAACCATCTTCTAGCAGATCAACTGTTCCTAGGGGACGTTTCTACAGGAGAATAAACTTCCAAGTCTTAAGTTCTTCGCCCTCTTCTTACACTATCACTTGAAGGCTTCCACGTTCCTGGCTGAAATCCTTCCCCATAACCCTAAAATTTTCCAAGTGAATAGCATAAATAGCTATTCAAGCTCTTACCTTCGGTTCTTCAGGGGCTGTTTCACTCAGTTCTTCCCTACTGCTGTTCTGCAACGAAGACTTTTCCAGAAGGTCTTTGTTCTCCCTGATCGCTTCTTGGTAAGACAACGTTATTGAGACATACTGAACATACTTGTCGTTTTGTTTTGATAAATTATCGACCAGAGTTTCATTTAAACCACGTTGCTGCGCTAAGTATCTCAAAGCTTGTTGAACTTCTTCACCATTAGACTCACCTATTTCTTACATAAGAACCTGCAATAAGGGGAACATAAAAAAGCAAACCAGAAGAGGTACCAGAGACAAACTGCTTCAGTCTTTGTTTGCGGTCTTCAGCCTCGATTTTGGCAACTTTTTCGGCCACTTTGGCGCGATGAGCTTCGTGACTCGAGATCTCCTGTTCACTTGGAGGATCTTCTCTCATATAGTGCAACCAGGACCTCAACTTTTGTTTAATACACCTTGCTCTTCCTTTCATTATCGACTCACCACCACTCAACTGGCACGCTGTGTACATCCGGTATGGACTGATTCTTGCCAAACTCAAAAGTTTTCAACAGAATTCCGACTGGCACGTACCGTATATTTTACAAAACGTTTTCTGACAGACCCTGTCTGCCTTGTTTCTTCAAAATATACGTTTCCTAGAAACCGGAACTGAACAAAAACTCACCAGCTCGCCAAAATTGGTATACCTTGTTTATCAGTACCTATAGCTTCTCTTGACAAACACCAGTCTATTATCCTAACTCGATTTACAGTTATCCAAAGCTCTTGAACTCACAGTTGACCTTACCTTCTCCACGAAGAACGCATGATCAAGTAGTTGACAAACTCATTGCTCCAGATACAATCAATGAGACTTGAAAGGAAACTGTCAGTCAATGTAATGATAGTAAGAACGTCGACTACTTATTTCACCAGTTATGAAAATTGCTTTAATGGAAACCTTGAAATTCTATCAGCTCTGCAAAAAGATAGTGTTGAACATATCTTTGACGAATTCTGGTTCACGAACAAAGATCCACCATCGTTCCTGATGGGAACTCGAAACGAGTTACTTGCAGCGCCTTTTATATCATGCTTGTTCAAAAAGGCACTTAATTCCTTATTTTAGCGTTGGATGTTTAAAGGAACAATGTACCTGGTGTAGAATGGGATTCAATGCTTCTCAAAACAAGAGAGATAGCACATTAAGGTGACTTGACTACTCAGCTTCCTTGCTGAAAATTTATTTTGGCTTGTACAAAATCCTCCTATATATAATAAACTATGTTCTGTCCATGATATTATTTTCCATTTGGATATTCCTGAGAAATTGCAAAGTACAAACTCGAAATGCAAAAATGCATGTCTTTGAATGCAAATAACAGAGAACCCTTGTTTTATCAAGTACGTTGAAAGAAGACCAGATTCAACGTCTTTCGCACCGTTCCTCCTCTGCTTTCAAATCCAAACAAAGAATTTGCTTCCGGTCAGCAAAATTGTCAATATATCTCTCATCTCGGTAGCAAAAACTTCGCTCATGGGCCAATATTCACTGTATAGTTGGTTCTCTAGTTGAAAACACTTCTTGCTGACGAACATACCGGGCAACCTTGTCATAGTCTTCCAGACTGTATCTTGAAGAGGCAAATTGAAACAGTTCATGCAAAAAATGGTTCGCATTTTCAAAAAGGAATGGTTCCAAAAACTCCTTCAACTCTTCTCTTGAGCTTCCAGATTCAATTTTCCCGTTGATATATACAACCAACACCTCTACGTCTTCCAAACCCAACAGTGCTTGCAAGTCCCGTCTTATCCAGTGAATAAGTTTAGGGTCCGCTTTGCAGAAAACATTGCTTCCTTTCGAACTTTGATGATAGAGGGAGGAGGGCAAAGGTTGAACCCAGAGGCGCTGGGCATAAATGAGTCGACGGAATACGTGCTGGTCCGTCAGAAACCCTGGTTCTGCGTCAAACAGCGAAGTTGTTTCGAACACATCACTTCTAGCATATGAGAACGAGTTACTTTCCTTGTCACAAATAAAATTTGATAACTGTCGTCTTTTATAGTGCCTCTCGCTCTTAACACTGTGAACAATACCGGCCACTTCGGCCTTGCACAAGGGACAAGTTGCTCTAGAAGACTGCTTTGAACGTTTCAAAGTGCGAAACCACGAAAGTAGACAGTTGTAACAAAAAGAATGAAAGCAAGGCTCACAAAAAGTAGAGTTTCGCAGACGGTCAAGACAGATCGGGCAAGTCATTCTTGGTGAGCTCACACTTGCACCAATTTTTGTAATTTGGCTTGGCGCAATTTGTTTAAGCTTTTGTTGGCTTGTCAGGATGGAAGAGTCTCTGGAACCTTTTTCTTCAGATTTTTCTCTCGGTGCTTGGAACGACTTTGGGAAATTCTCCGAAAATGGTTTCGGAGAAAGCGTGGACTGTCTTGATGGGGTCGCTTTGGAGAACAACGAAAAGTGGGACTCGTATCTTGGGGACGGAGAATATGAGCTCCCTCATACCGAACAGGAGGCACAAGCACCGTACAGTTTCATTTCTTCGACCACTGAAGAGAACCCCTCTTATGGATTCGAGTTTTCTCTGGGACCTGCTTGCTTTGTTGGTCAGTCTTCACTGGAGGAACTGGAAAGTGCGAAAGAAAGCAACTGGACCGATTTGATGGGACAACAAGTGTGTCAAGGAGAAGGTGAAAACTATTGCAAGACATTGGAGAGAAATTCGAAGAATGAAACGCTTTCTATTTGTGAAGAGGTTTCGACGGCTTCGCTGGGAAAGCAAGTTTCAGAGGCAACAGATTCAATATGTTTTGTAGAAAGTAACTTGTCACCTTCCGCGCTGGAAGATTTGAAGGGTTCTACGTCGGCGCAAGGTCGTAAAATGACTGCAGAAGAAAGGACATTGATGCTGTACAAGAGGAAGCTTAGAAATAGAGAGTCTGCTGCCAAAACACGAAAGAAACGTGCAAAAACCTTGAACCAGATTGGGCAAGAATTAGAAGAATTGAGACAGAGAGCTGATTCTCTGAATGAACGTAGTTCTCATGCACACAGGACAGAGGAAGAAAATAAGAAACTTGTTGAAGAGAACTCTCATCTCCGAAACGTTATCAATCAGTATGCGGTCGAATTGTCTAATGTTCGATATAAATTGAAACTCTACGAGGACTCTGCTAGCATATGCCAAGCTGGAGGAGTCGACAATAATGAGATACTATCCTTACCCAACTCACATAAGAAAAATGCCGCATTCGACGCTTTGTCTTGTGATCAGAGAAACATAGAAACAACAAACTCGAGAGAAACTGGCGCAGCTAAGAGTGGTTTTGCTTCTAATGAGAAGGAGGCAGAAATGTTGCGTTTTACACCATTTTCGTCACGAGTTACCACTTTGGATGTCTTGGAGCAAGTTTCTAACCAACACCTGGGGAATATAAAAGGCACGTTATCGGGACGAGATCGTAGACGGGCAATTGCAGCCACCAACGTGTTCTTAAGAGAGCGTTCGATGAACTGAATAATATTCTGTTCAAAATCAGATTTTCAAATATGTCCTTTCAATCGTTCCGTTTTTCTGATTGGTTTATTTGGTTGCTTAAATTCAAGATAAAATGTGTCTTTCGTCATTAGTTGATTCCAAAATGCAACACAGTGTATGTTATAGCCAGCTGTCGGGTCATCACAAAATGCAAAAGATCCTTTAACCCTAGAGTCTTAGTCTTCCACAGTTGGAGGCATTGCCATAAGTTGCTGCATTCCTTCTTCAGGCGTCAGCTTGCCCTCTAGAATTGGCGCGACGCTCAAGAGTATAGGAAAACGTACAAGTGCACGAGTGTAAGTGGTATTCAGTACAGCGGGTAACCATTCTACAACCGCCTTTGCCGTTGCAACTCCTTCTGCCACTTCTTGAGAAGTCGTCAGTATTTCATTTAAACTTTCGCCCTTGCCCAAACGATAACCGACAGTTCGATTCCTACTTAACGGGCCAAAGCAAGTGAGAAACGTGTCTCCCACGCCACTAAGACCGGACAAGGTTACCGAGGAACCACCCAGGAATTCAGCTACCCTCCTCATCTCACTACAGCCTCGTGTAACTAACCCTGCTATGGCGTTCATTCCCAAGCCCATACCTTCAGCCATTCCAGCAGCAATGGCTATTATGTTCTTAAGTGCACCGGCAACTTCAACACCTATGAAATCTGTTGTAGTAAATACCTTAAAGATTGAAGACGATAACATAGCGGCGATCTGACCGGCTATTTCTAAATTTTCACAAGCCACCACAACTGCAGTAGGCAGCTCCTGCATAATTTCCTTGGCAAACGAAGGTCCAGATAAAAAAGCTAACGGTCTTCTATTCCCATGGTTTGAGACAGTTTCTTGTAAAAGCTCAAACATAAACTTATGGGATGCGACCTCTAAACCCTTTGAAGTTGAAAGCACAGGAACTCCAGTTGGAATAAAAGGAGCCACTCTTTCCAGAACTTCACGTGACACTTGCACGGGTAGGGCATGTACGACAAGCTGTGTGCCTTCCAAAGCTGACTCTACGTTTGACGTTGCCTTCGAGTACATAAAATTAAATCCCGAACAGTTGCAAAAAAATGGACTTACAAAAACACTGTGTGGCAGAGTAAACTCTCTAAGATATTTAGGATTCCTCCTTTCCTGATTGATTCCATCAACAATATTACGATCCCTTACCTTCTGCCTGGTCAAATTATCAATTTGAAAATAAGATAACTTACAGTACCAATAAACATACTTGGTATCCTTTCATACCAAAAACCTTTGACATCGCTGTTCCAAAGGAACCACCTCCTATGACAGTAATCTTCACATTCGACGGAGTTTCAAACCTCGAAAACACAGTACCAACATTCCCTCGCGGGACTTTTCTTCCCTTCTTGCCGTGTGTTTCAAACCAGTTCCTCACACTAAACTTTGTCTGATGTTCACAAAAGTTCAAACAGTTAGTATTCAATACAAAACTCGGGTCTTCTTTGAAGAAACTTTTCATGTTGTTCTTAACAGAAAAAGTGTTTTCTGCAAAAGAAAGCATACTAATAATTGGGTCCAAAACTCAAGTGATTAATCAACACTGGTAGCCTTTCAACAAAAAGGCTAAAATTGTATGGTCGATCTGAGGCTTGAACTCAGAACCTCCGCGTTATTAGCACGGCGCTCTAACCACTTGAGCTAATCGACCACCAAGTTAAGGAGGATTTTACAATACTAAAAGATGTCAAAACTCCGATCATTTTTCGAACTACAGTGTTATTATTGGATAACTTGTGTTAATCTTGAATTCCACATAAACCTTTTCAAGAGGAAACTAGTGCGACACAAATCCAGGAGACGAACTTCTGAAATTGTACAGTAAAGACTGGTGAGATTGTACTCAGCCGTATGAGTCCTAGATATACAACACCACTCAAACCAATATAGAAAATTTTCTAACAAAACATTCTAGAGAGAGAGAGAGAGAAAACAATAACCTAGAGTGGAGAAGTCCGAGACACATATTGTATTCTAAGAGAGACAATTTCTATTTTAACTCTTTTACCTGAACTTTGCAACTCTCTCTATCTGACTCTCAAGTCCCCATTCAGTCATTTCATTTATCATTGTAGAGTTACGAACTTGCTAAAATTTGCATCCAGAAAATAATTCCTGCTTTACTCGATTGGAGGATTTCAAGGTAGCTACTATTTGAAATTTCAAGCTCGGGTGGCGTTCCACTGTGCTGTGGAAAGTTCTTTTTTAGATATTTGATAGATACCGGAGGCAGTCAAGTTATTATGATTTTTGGGAGGGATAAGTGAAGAAGCCAGTGTCTCGCAAGAATTAGTCGCTCAGAATACCTTAGAAGACCGAGGTACTTTTACTCTTCTGTTGGCGTCCTCCGCAATTTTTGCCAAACCCCCAAAATGAACAGACAGGAGGCAACGTTGACGAATTCTCATAAGGAGGATAAGATCGGCGTAAAGCATCTGGTCAGTCAAGTAAAGACTACTCCTTTGGAGACCAAAACGATTTCTTTTCAAGGGTATCCCGAACAAGAAGAACCTCAAGAAGTTGAAATGGGTATTGATAGTCTTGTTCTGCATAAGAAAAGGAAACTACTTGATAGGAGGAGTTGGGACGGTCACGATGAAACGGAACGCAGTTTGAGAGGTGTTTTGAGTGATGCTCAATTTGAAAGTGTGCAACAAATGGAAGTGAACTACGCAACAAGAATCGATAGAATGAAAGAACAGTTGAATCAGTTTCAGTCACACACCATACTACTTGAAAAGGAGTTAGAAGAGACACGGAAGGAGATAAAAATCTTAAGCTCAAATGCCGGCGATTTCGCAAATCTTCACGCTACTGGGCAGTGTGAATGTCAGAAGTATCTTTCTTCACATTTAGTGTACACTCATGAAAAGTCGGCCATTCCCCAAGAGGAAAGTTTAGCTCAGTTATCAAGGAACAGGAAAACACGAACTATTTTTGCGGAAACTCAAAAAGATTCTTTTTTATATCATTCTTTGTCTGAAGTGTCGAAACCAAATGGACGACATGAAAATGCTGCTTGTATGAATAGTAATATTGAAAAGCATAACATGCAGAATAGAAGCGCTGTCAAGGGGAATTTGAAGGGAAGAGCCAAAACTGTTTTTCAGGAACCGTCGAAAGAGAAGAGTTCTCGTTATTGGACTGCGGAAGAGCACAAAAGATTTTTAGAAGCGTTATCACAATTTGGACGTAAAGATCTGAAAGCATTGTCGGACCATGTCGGTACCAGATCTGTTATTCAGTGCAGAACGCACATGCAAAAGTATTTTTTGCGGTTGATGAGAGAATCTTCGAATTAGGAGATTCGAAAGTTCCATCAATCTAGCAGATGTAAACGAAGAATGACGACACTTCGTTTTAATTACAAAGCAGTGATGAAAATGACGAGTTATTTGTGGTTCCCTCTGTTGAATCAATTACGAAACATCAGCAAGGACGTGTACTTGCGATCAGTAATGAGACACGGGATATCTTGTTAGAGGAAGAAGAAAGGATGGCGATCAATGCTTTCTTTTGTAAAGTAACAGGCGATTATATCCTTTATTTTGTAGTATAAATAAAAGTGGGGTTCAAATGTGATGGAGAATAGAAGTATTTACTGTTCATACAATCATGATAAGCTAAATTTTGATATCTTCATGACGTTATCATGCTCGTTAACAGGTTGAGCTCAGAATTCGAAAATAACTTCGTCGATCTTATGATTCTCACGAGGAACTGTAAAATGAAAAGACATTAGATTTTATCCAAAGTGATATGCCGCCTACATTTTGCAGCTCCTCATGGATACCTAAGAAATGTCAGTTGTTGTTATATTGTCACTGACCATTGCACGGTTCTCCTATCGATTCGTATCAACTGAAAAAGAATAGAAGAATGAGGTCTTGTTGAAAAAGTTTCAACTAGCGTTAGTTGGATAGGCTGAGGAGAACTTTTCTAAATTTCTTGTTAAGATTCTTCCAAAAGTTCTGAGGAGGGGATAAGTATTCTCTCAGCTTCGTGATAAATGAAAAGAAGCATATTGTTACTTGGAGTTGTAGGATTTTAAAAGTTCCGATTTTGTACAGAAAGTGGACTGTATTCATTCTCGTTCTATAACAGCAGAGATACTGAGATATTTGCTTTTCTAAGTAACAAGATGGAATAAGTTTGTAGGATTTGTCGTTGAAGCCAATCTGTCGACTAGGAGTCTTTCGTGCATTTTTATTTTTGCACTATCACAGGCAGTTTATAATAATAATCTTCCTTGTCGAACAGTTTAAAGAATGAGCGATCATTGAAAATCTTTAAAAATTCCGAGGTTTCTATTGTTGCAATTTCTTTAGTTGTACATTTTTGTTTGGTGTATCTTTACATCTCCTGTGCCTTGAACTCGCCAATGCTTAGAAATTCTGTTGCCACGATAAATTGGATTCGATTTCCCTTGAGTGGAATTTAGTACTTTGGATTTTCCCTCGATCGCTTAAGCGTCCCTTGTCCATGAGTCTTTCCGAGGTAAACACGTGCCAAACAGATTTCTTCCCTCACTCTTTTTGGTTGCCGTACGTAGAATTTCTTGTCATGACTTGACAAGGTTACCTCGGAACAACCAAACGCTTGCCAATTATTCTAACCAGAGTCACACTTGTAACACCAGAGTGTCTTAAGACTGACCGAAATACTGGCTCCATTAGCTTCAAAGGAACAACAGACTCCAATGACAGTTGTCGTCCCAGAGAAGGGGGAGTCCAAAGCAACCAACGTTATGTTTGACTCAAAGTCACTTTTTATTCAAAAGTTGGAAAACCAGGAAGGGTCTCTCGGTTCTTTGGGTTGGACCGAACAAGAAGACAGGAGGCTTGTAGAGGTAAAGAGGTTTCCAGTGCCAACTAGACTTGTTTTCTCATAAGCTTTGAAGCTTCATCGAAAGTACGGTAATCGCTGGGCGCTTATCAAGAAGTTTATGGGTGGCAAAACTGGGCAGCAGTGTTTGAAAAGATGGTAGGAAATATTTTAGGAGTTTTGAGTCATTGCGTAAACGTTGTCTTAGGAGATACACTCTCGATCCTACCGTTAGAAAGGATTCTTGGACCAAAGAAGAGACAGAAAGACTCATGAAGCTTCATGAAGAACTTGGCAGTAAGTGGTCGGATATTGCGAGGAAGTTGGGAACGGGAAGGACGGATATCCAGTGTCGTTACAGATATTTCAGAGTACTTGCTGGAAAGGCTACAAACACTGTATCACGAGATGCCAGTCGTTTGTATAGGACTTATTCAGTCTGTGACTCAAGCACCGTTAATGAAGAAATGGGTTGCAAATACGTTGAGTTGCCAAGCAGCATGCAGCGTAGGTCTTCTGACCCAGGAAGCAGTGTCGAGATATCTTTTGTGCAAAGCGAAAATATATCCATCCCTGAAATGACAGAAGTCTCTCATTCACTTGGGTCTGGGCTTAACGAGCGAGCTTTGAATTCTCGAGAACGTTGTACGCAACATTCTCACTACGGTAGTATTGGTCAGGAACAAACTGGAACATTGGATAGATTTAGGAAAGAGGACCTTGCACCTACAGTTTGTCCAGATTGTGGAATAGCGCGAGTAAGACCTTTACATAGCGTTCCTGTTTCCAGAGTTGCAGAGTCAAATTATGCGTCTTATTCATGTCTTAATGCGTCTTCGCTTTCAGATAAAGGACAGTGGGTTGCACTGGACTCGATGATGGGCTTGACTCGAGATTCTCTGCAGTTTGAAAGTTTACGAAATGTGCCAAGGACGACTTTGCCACTTTTCAGGGATAGAAGTCGGAATGAAGAAGCATCATTCAATTCACTTATGGGAGTATGTAGTACGATCTCAGGAGCATCAGAAATGCAGGTTACTTTGAACGGAGATTTTTGCAATATTTTGCCACCGTTGCATATGAGCAGAATGAATACATTTGGTGCTAAAGATGACAATGCAATGATGGAGAGTTGTAATCTTCCTCCTCTTTGGGATTCTTAGATTTGGTTGTATTGGAGAAAATTGTGGACCTTTTTAGTTTGTTGTTTCTTTTGTTTTGTTGTTATCTGAGAGTTTCAACATATTTGTAAATAACACGCAAGAACAGTTTTATACATTTTACCTGTACCTTTTTATTCAAGGTGTGCAATATTCTGTATGAGGCTCTAAACAGAAATTGTTAGAGGCTTGTGATCATATCACTTAAGTTATATAAAGACACGCTGCGCAAAAAGATTTCTGATAGACTCAAAAATCATTTAGAAACCATTACATATCCTTAAAAAACTAAGATGTAAAAGAATTGCAATGAATGCAAAATTTACGAAAGAGCAAAGCTGATCAAACCGTGCGGGAATTAAGAAACTTAACTGCTAAGTCCACTGAGCCATTAGCATCCAATAGCGCAACACAAACTCGCCTTTCGGGTACAAGATATTTATTACTTAGTTCTCGAACAACTTTTTGCACAAGTCGCTCTTGCTCGCAATTCAATGCCTTGTTCTCTTCATCATAGAGTAGTTTACGACAGAAATGTGTATCATCTTTATAGTTATTTGTCGATAGAAGATTCGGGAAATGGCTTGCTTCCGTGAGATAAGTGGGTTGTCCCGAGACGATATTAATGCCTAACATGATATCTGACTTCTCTTGTTGCTCGGCAAATGAAATTTCAGTTGCTTGCATTTGCCTCTCCGACTCTTCTACACTTTTTCGTTGAAAAACAGAAGCCGTGATAGTCTTTTTTAAATCCTTATAACTCTCTGAAAAGCTAGAAGTACTTCCTACATCAAATGCCGAAGATGTAGGATCTTCAGCATCCACGGGCAGTTGATTCCATGCTGAAACCGAAGCCGATCCTCGCTGCAAATATGGCTGTAGTCGAGTCTTAAAACGTTCTCTCATGGACTGCCAAGAACGATAGGGGCCCAGTATTTGCAATTCTTCTGCCCTTTGCCATAGTTTCTGACCAAGAGGTCTCTCTTCGGGATATTTCATCGTCATTTCTTTAACGAAATTCACCAGGATCAAGTCATGCTCGTGGGTATACTTTTGTCGGTATCTTTTGACAGAGTCTGGAGTAGTCGAAGTAGCAATCTTCGCAGTAGCATGGCTCTCCTCACTAGGCGAGACAGCTTCAAGTTGTTCCTCCGAAATATGGAACCTTTTTTTGGTCTGTTTAATCTCTCTTGAATTTGAATGGATAGACTTATTTCCAATCCTAAAGTCGTTCAAGTTGAGCAGCTTGTTTTGCTCTATACAGCTTTCTATGTAAGACAATGAAAAGCATTCAGTCAACTTGGCCGTCATCTTGCTAGCGCGTGAGAGTTTCGTATTTGTATCCAGAAGTACAATTACTTGTTCAGGGTCACAAGGGAGGCCGTTTTCATCCAAGTCCAAGACCATTCCTTGCAATTTGAAACTTTCAGGAAGTTTTCCTAACACCAAACCTCCTCGTTTCTTAATCAAAAGCTCAACATGATTTTTCTGACTGCTTAGACCCACGAAGAAACGTAAAGGCTCGCAATTTATCTGAAAAAGGTTATCAGGTGTGACGTGAACAGCATAGTCACTTTCCCTGTGGGTCGACTCCATCAATTCGTAACTTTGCAAATGATCGTTTCAAGCGGGCTCGGAAGAAACAGGATTTTCTTGCACATTCTCTAACCACAATACAAGTTGTCCTTTCAAGAAAGTGATAGTACTCATTTCTATTCGAATACAAAATGGAACGAAAAATGGGTGGATAGCTTTATTACGAACTCTAAGATTGCTACCGAATATTCTGATGACAGTTTCAGGAAGTCTTTGAATAGCTAAATACAACTCTTAAGCTTGTTTACTGCTAAATAAATATCAATAAAATAGTGTTCTTGTAATTTGAAATACCATCATTGAATAAGGTTATATTGGGTATCTTTGACACTATTGCTACGACGATGTGGATTTGCTTCAGTCCAGGCTGTGCTTCTCGTGCTGTTAGAGACACGTTATGTTTCTGGCCGTTACGATACTCCTGGCGTTCACTTGCTGTGACTCCAGCTCGTCTTTTTTACACAAATCCTTTAGAAACAAGACGATGTCTTTTGCGGCATATTCAGTTTTTGAGATTCAACACGAATAATGGCTTAGGAAGGGCATTTTGTATGAGTCAAGAAAACCAGTTAGAGAAGTCATGGTGGCACTTCTTGCAAACACTGCAGCAAAGAGAGAAAAGCAAATCCCAAGTTTGTGATATCGATGGAGTCTCCTTGAGGAAGCACGCGCATGATGTGCTTGCGTCATCAGGCAGCTTAGCACTTTCTGTAGAAGTAGAAAAAAAGAGGCAAGAACTCAATCAGTTATTGCAAGAGCATCAAGACAATATCTTGGACGAGAATCTGTGTCGTCAACTAGAAGTACTTGGTAATGCAATTCTGTACCACCTGGAAAGTGGTAAAACCACACTTCCAGTAAGCAGGACGAAAGGTACAGCGATAGGATGTGTTGTTTCCAACTCTCAAGATAAGTTCATCGGAAAGCAACCTAATGTTCTGTGGAGAAGCATCGATAAGTCAATATTGCGATCTCACCCCCTGTACCGTCCACTTCCTCCTCCTTACCTTATAAAGGTAGCAAGTTGTCATGATTTTCGCATGTTGAGACAGGATTCTGAGGAATGGAAGATTGCTCGTAGTTTTTCACAAGTTAGCGCTAGTACTTTGTGGAAAATTCTTGGTTTTGGAGAACGAAGGGCAGCCACATTTTTAGGACTTCCTAATAGCATGAAAGGCCATCATCATGCAATTCATGCATGGAAGTCACTTTTGAACCCATCATTTGAGGAAGTTTACGATTCTGTGAGTAAGATTCGTTTGAAATGGGGACATTCTCATGAAGCCAACTGTTTATTGGCATTTCTTGAATATATGCATTCGTTTCAGGATATAAGAATGCAAGAAGTTGGACTCTTTGTGTTAGAGAAAGGACAAGTTTTGCCGCAATGGAACATTTTTTATGAGGAGCTTCCTACTATTTCGGCTAGTCCCGATGCTCTGTTTCGTGTTCGTAAAACGAATGGGGTTTGGAGCGTTTGGCAATTGTGTGAAGCGAAGTGTCGCTGTCCTTTTGTTCCTCGAATTGTAGCCTCTTCTTTGCATTCTTCCCTTGAAACATCTTCACCTGAGAAAGGTCCTTTGTTCAGAAACAAAGATATTTTGAACTATGCGAATTGGTCATTTCTCAATTTTCGGCCATTAGAAAAACTTTCTCCTATTTATTTTGCACAGATGCAATTGCAAATGTTATGTGCGAATATTGAAGAGCAAGGATATCTTATTTCATATAGTGTCACTAAAGGATCCAATATATTTCAAGTTACACGTAGCAATGAATGGTTAGGTGCTTGTTTATCCTTTGTTCGTGAATTTTATAACAGATATGGAAGAAAAGAATCTAGCGCTTATCCTCCTGATGACTTTTTCTGGGATGTTCCTGGCTATCAAGATTTTCTTCAGTTGACAAAGGACTTGACGAGCCAATGTACTGTTTGGAAGCACATATCATATGAAGATTTCAATTCATACATCAAATTTTAAGCGAAAGATGGGTTGGTTAGAGTTTTTTCTGTGTTAGACTTGTTTCTTTTGTTTAAGGTTATATTGCGGAGTTTGCATTATCTCAAACTTCAAGTTGCTCTCCTACTACTTTGAACGGGTTGTGTACAATTTTTGTATTATAGCAACATTTCATTGTTGACAGACAACGTGTTGAGTATTTTCGAAAGAGTTGATAGGCTCTAATGCCCTTTGGAAAGATTTGGAATAGATGTACCAGACAGTTTTCAATGCAAGTTTAGTGAAGTTTCAATTTGTGCTGTTAAGTCAAATATATGATCGAACAACAGGCAACCTCAAAAAATTGTTCAAGAACCCACGAAACTTTCATTTTTACATAGACAGAATGTTTGGTTTAGAACACTTCATGGAGTGAATGACAAGGAAACTCCAGTCGCCGAACATGTCCATATTTCACATTTGACTGTTATTAGGCTATCAAGAGAACCTAACTGGCATCCTATCGTCGATTTCAAACAAGAAAGGTCTTATATGTATGACTTGTTTTATATCCAAATGTAGAAAGTTCGAAATTAGAATGATGGATAATGAACAGTAACCTTTTGGCAGCGTTTGCAAAGCCGCTGTTTCTTTTGTCAAAGCTGTATCATATCAGCAAACATAATCTGTTAACAAGTTGTCATAATCGTCTTTTGGTGCACTTTACACTCTGCAAGCAACAATCTACCCTTGCCAACGGCGATAGCGAAAGTGGTTGTTGGAACTCTCTCTGGCTTCAACTTGCAGAGCACTTGTCTGAACAACACAACAAATTGCTTTTGGAGTCAAATATTCATGAAAAGAACTGCAGAATTTTTCGAGAAAAGCTTAATACGACTTTGCCGTTCTCTTCGTTATTAAGGCAGCGTCAGCTTTTGAGAGAAGACTTGCAAACTGCTTCTACTTTGAGGAGAGAAGAACTGCGATTGAATAAGGAGTCAGAGAAGGTTCTTGAAGTAGAAGAAAATCAAATCCTGTTAAAGCTGAAAGAAAATGAACAGAGAATTGTCGACTGTTGTCTGGATTTGATACAGAGACAACAAGAACCCTATCTAGACAGGGTACAAGAAACTTTGCTAGAAATTCGTGCTGCTGCTGGAGGAGAAGAGTCTGCACTTTTTGCTAAAGATTTATGGAATATGTACGAAAAGTTTTGCTCAAGGAAGCAATGGATCGTTGAAATTCTTGAAATAAGCAAAACAGAACAGAGTGGCTTCAGAGAAATAGTTGCATTTGTCAGGTCCAAGGAGGCATATAAAATTCTGAAAAAGGAAGCTGGAGTTCATAGAGTGCAACGAATTCCACGCACGGAATCTTGTGGAAGAATACACTCCAGTACTATAAGTGTCGCAGTTTTACCAGGACAATTGATGGCATTAGATGGTCTCTATGAAAATTCATCCAAGTCGTTTGTTGACGAGTCGCAACTAAAGTTTGAGTATTTCCGTGCTGGTGGTGCCGGAGGACAACATGTAAATAAGACAGAAAGTGCAGTCAGAGTTCGTCATATTCCGTCTGGTATTACTGTAACCTGTCAGGAGGAGAGGTCTCAGTTTGCCAATAAGAAGAGAGCAGTGAGTATATTGACTGCGAGGATATCTGCTCGAGAAAGAGAGAAGATGCGTTTGGAATTATCTTCTCAAAGGAAAGAGCAGACACAAGGTGGGGACAGAAATGAGAGAATCAGAACCTATAATTATTTGCAGTCAAGAGTGACAGATCATCGTTCAGGTTTTAGTGTACGTGGTGCAGGTTTTGAAGATTTATTGAACGGTGGAGAGTCTCTCGAACAAATGATAGAGAGTGTTCATGAACAAGAGCGACTAGATATGATAGAACATTTTTGCAAAATGTCAAAACCCATTGAGCACTTGTTGAATTATCTGGTTCCGAAATAGGGATAGAAACTAAGTTGCTAACTTTACCCGATATTCGTAGACTTTGAGCTCATTTCAACACCAGTCGAGTCTAGTGATTAGATGAAGGAATTGGCTACAGAAATATGCGAAAACAGTAATGTGAAGATGGCCATTTTCTTCAAGTCTTTGGAAGTTAGTCCATTGGTCTAAATATATTCAACAAACGAGACTTTTTACCTTTTATGGATTCCTGAATAAAGAAAATTGTATACAAAGAGTTTTCTGCTATGGACTCAAGTAAGACGAGCGTTGGTGTTTTTGTTTTCGCTTTAACCATAAATCCGCTTCTAGTATATCAATAGCTAAAGTACAAAATGAAAATTAGAATCAAATCTATCAAAAATGTTCAAATCCAATATGTAAGCCATAGGCTACTTTGAAAACTACTTTACAAAATTTCAAGCTATTTCATTCACAGACTCTAGTGAACTATTCTTTCAATTAGCAGTCTTCGAAAAGGGTCAAGCATTCAGGCACTAGTATGCGACTTATCGTGTATCTCTATATTATAAACTGCTCATCGACTTTTTTTGACATCCCAGGAATAGAAACTACTAAAGTATCAAACAATTCATGACGAAACAGCACTTTGTACAATAAGTCACAGTCAGAAAAAAGGAGACAAAATGACGAAATATAATTTTCAACATTGCTTCGATTGGATCGGTTGGCAGTTTGCCAACAAGTCACACCGTTAGAGTGCTTTGAATTGAACAAGCTTATGAATATTCAGGTGGATAATGAAGACGAAGATTCCTCTAAAACTCCTGAGTATTTCTTACCTGCAGGACTGACTGACGACGAGACAGGTAGTGACTCGGAGGCGTGTGTAGCTCCAGAGTCACGAGAACAGCAGCCATATTCTCGTTTCGACAAGCAAAATCCTAAAGACACCAATAAAAATAATGGAGCTTTCTATAACGTGAGGTCGGAGCCTTCGCCTGAAGAACTGTCACCAGGTGGCAGTTACTCTTCTTCAACTGGAAGAACGGTTGTAAATACCCCTGTTACTGGAGGACTTTTTCATAGGACTCTCTCTAGTTATCAGTCAGAAGCTTTAAGTCCTCCTTTGTTTTCTTTGGAAGAGGAGTGGAAACACGGTTTTTCCAGTAATCCTAGTGCTTCTTCGTTTTCTGCTTGTGGACTAAACTATCCTCAGACTACGGAGGCTTTTACTACAACATCTCCTTCAGTTGCTGCGGGTTCAACTCAATCAAGTGTAGGTTTGCAAAGTCAGTCACCTACTCAGTCTTTCTATGGACCCAACTCAAGGACTGAGCCCCAGTTTTCCTCTGTACCTGTTCAACAGCCTTATTTTAACTCTATAATATCCTCTTCGTATTCACCTCCTGTCACTAGACAACCTTCAGAAGCCGTCATTGGAAGTGCCTTTCTTATTCCAGATGATTCTTCAACTTCCTCGTTTACTTCCTATGTAGATGCTTCAGTGTTTCCATTCCCTGGAGAAAGAGAGCTTTCTTCGAGTCAACATTCGTCTAGTTGGAATCGAAGATCGACTGGTATGAAAAAAATGTGTAGGTACTTTCCTAACTGCCCACATGGAGATTCTTGCAAATTTTATCATCCGTCCGGAGTTAGTCCCACATATGCCATGACAAGTGAGGTCAATCTAAGCCATCCTGGGCGACCTCGCACCGGAAGTTGGGCTGGCTTATGGTCTTCTAACGCTGCAATGGAGTGGATGCATGCAGTTATTCAAAGACATAATTTCTTTAGTTTTGCTCATCGTCATAAGAATTCTTCCAATGCTGTTGTTACAAATGATTCTATCGTTTGTGGGGACCGCATGGAAGATACAAGTAAGGAACATCGATCAACCATAGGAAGTATTTTCCATCCTGGTTTTATAGTCGGCAATCGACATAGAAATGCAACGAAAAATGAAGCTACTAGTAAGAATGCAGAGAAGCAAATGAAGAAAAACGCAAAGAAAAGTAAAAAGGACAAGGCTTCAACGAGTTCACTTGGAAGAGAAAGCAGCTCAACTTCACAGCCAACCAGTTTAAATACTAATCAGTCTTTGTCGTCTTCTGGAAAACAAACATCTTTTTCGGGAAATGGTTTTTCAGAAAACTCAAATACTCGTTCCACTAGTTCTGCTGCTCTAAGTGGAACGACAGAAGATGGAAGTGAACAGCCTCGCAAGTTAACAAGAGCTGAAAAGAGAAGGTTGAGAGCCATTCGTTTTTATGAAAATAAGAGACGTGTGGCAGAGGAAGCAAAACAGAAGCAAAGACTGATGGAAGAACAAACCACAGCGGAGTCAAAGACTGATGAAAAGATATATCATGCACAAGAAGATAAAACTAGAGAGACTGTTAGCTCTCATGAACTCACGGAGAAGGTCTGTTCAAAGAAAGAAACTTTTACGCAAAATGTAATTGGTGCAAATGTCGTACAAAATCAGGAATTGGATTCTAATTCAGTCTTCAATAATATTGAAGAAGAAGAAACCGACATTTTCTATGATGCTCCTTCAGGTGATATGGCCCTTTTGCAAGTTTCTTTAGGTAACAAGGAGAACACCGAGGATAATGAAGAGAAAGAAAGTTTTGAACAACAGTTGCCGAAGCCCGATATTGCTTCTTATACTGATGGAACGATGGTTTCGATAGGAGAGAACAACGGAAAGTGTCAGAACAATGTTTTTGTTTCCGACTCAACTGAAAGTGACGAAGGGAAATGGCGAGAACCATTTTCGTCTTTAGAGTTTGCGAAATCATCTCACAGTATTCCGTGTAAAGAACAACTTGTTTATTGGGATACAGTATTTGTTGGGGGTGACTTGCACAGTTCGTTTGCGAGCAATAGTTTCGTTCAGAATTTGTTGGTTTCCTCTTGTAGATTTGAAAGTGGCTCGACCTTGTTATGTTTCTTCGTTTTGTATATGTTTCCGATTTTTTCAGCCTTACTTACATATCTTCTTCCTCGTCCATTATCCGTGAACAGCTTATGGTTCTTGTTATTGATGGCTCACTTTTGGAGTTGGCAGCATGCAGATAATCGATGGAAAAGGATGTTTTCGCGTTTTTTTATACCGCTTTACTTTCTAGCCTTTGGATTTTCTCACTTGACTGTTGTAGATCGACTAACCTCTATGGAAAGAACTCTTTTGGCATATTTGCTATGTGTCGTTCGTAATGGATATATATTGACAAAAGAAGTTTTTCTTGTGTTATGTATGCAATTTATTTTGTTGGAGTTGATAGAAAGTGAACCTTTGTGGCTCCAAATAGTGCATTTTGTAGTTGCTATTAGCTATGTGAATTATTTGCACAGTTCGTCAAGATTGCCTATCGGTTCACATTTGTGAAATAGATTGCTCTTTTAGGAGGGGTTGGTATTGTCTTGGCAGCTTTCTTGTGTTGCCGAGCGTTTAAAAATATTCTAAAAATTTAATAGAACATTAAATATGTCTTTTCTATTTGAGCTTTTAAGAGAAATTCGTTGGAGAGGACTATGGGGTACTTTTCAAGCTGCCAAAATGAACAGACTTGGAACTATGAAGTATTTTGTGGGAGAGGACGAGTTTCACAACCGATACTTTCAAAAAGTAAACGACGTTATGTTGAAGGATCGATGGGTGGAATATGCCTCGAAGGATTTCACTCCTGATCCATATTCTTTACCACCAGAATGGTATTTTTCATATCTGTTTTGTTTTGACAACGATAATTTTCTAATTTTCTAGGCATGCCTGGCTGCATCACAGTATAGATGAGCCACCTACAAGAACGCCTTTTCAAAGACCCATTTATCAAGGACAGATCGTCGCAAACCGCACCGGCACAACGGTATGTTAGTCTTATTTTCCCTTTGAAGCTCACCACGTTCTACAGGATGCTTACTTTCCGAAAAACAATCCACTCAGTAAGAATTTTAAAGGGTTGGCAAAAGACAAATTGGAGCAATGGAACGGCAACGTGAGTACCACTAGCGTTGTGAACCGTGTATCAAGAAGTTTCCGAAACAACGAAACTAAGGAAGAGAGAGACGTTCTTGACTTGAAGTAGACAGAATCTATTTCGTCCAAAACATTTTTTCAAGTTTCTAATATAAATGTTCTTTTTGCTAACTTTATTTCTTGACTTCCATTGAAGTAGATTATATTTTTGAACCCTTTGTCATAATCTTTTGCTATGAATCGATATGTTTTGGTAGGAATTTGCAGAAATCATTCTACTGATGGAACTAGGAGAATAATGTTGAGTTGGCTTTCTTTCCTTATTTTGCGAAATGAGGCAGTGGCCTGCATGACGAGTCGTGCAACTTTTGAAATATGCACTTCTTCAATGCTCCCGAACAAATATTTTAGCACAGGCCACGTTTTATACTCTTTCTGATCTTTTCTAGCATAAAGTTGGTCTTCAAAAAAGTACATTTATTGTCGTAGTTTCTTCCATCAACTAAGCAGTTGTTCTTATCATAGTTATACTACCAAACTGCTCGCCTTTTCACAGGACTGTATAGCAAACGATCAGCATTCCAACCTTCTTTATGGAGCTGACTAATAAAATGTTGATAGTAGTCTTTGCATTTCGTATATGAACAATTGATAGCCTCTAGCTTCTCCTCTAAGCGTTCTTTATCTGGACTGGATGAGCTACTCTTCTTAACTCGATTCAATTGTCGACTAGAACGAAGACTTTCCTTGTTAACTTCAGGTACCTGATCATCAGGTGGTATTTGCGAAGAGCTCCACCAGCAGTCGTTTTCCATCCGTGACACGAAAGAGTGTAAAAACGGAATTCTCTTTGATGAATTCCAAGTCAGTCGCTTCCTTTGCCGCAATTCCTCCTTTAAAAATCCTAAAGTCAGTAGTGCTCGTAGAATATCGCCATTTCGAGCGTGTTCTCTTAATACGATTCGGTACTGACCGTTCCAACCTCGAGTCACCATAAACTGCTCTCCTTTGAAGATCTTTATCAAACTATTAAGTTCTTGTGGACAGGAAACTGCATCTGACAATGATGCAAACATCGAACGAACATCATAACGAGGTCCTAAGAATATATTCTCTCTTTGACTCACTTCATCAGGTCTGGGAACGTATCCTCTTCGAACAAAATAATCTACAATCATACTAGAACGTTCATAATTTAATGTTCGGAACTGAACAGCTCTCAATTCCTTATAAAAAGCATAAATATCCAAAACAGATAAGAAACTGTAGGCCGTCAAAACATTTGGGCGACTGGTTCCGATCAACTTACTTAGTTGGATTCCTAATGCCATTCCCAATAAATCTGCAACCACAATCTGAGCTTCGCCCTTAGCTGTAATATCTGCGATGTTCTCACTTCTTCCTGCAAAATTCTTATACATTGCATTTCTAGTTGCCGAAGCAGTCAACATTGAAATTTGTTTCATAGAATTTGCCAATGTTGCAAATAACAGAAATGAAGCAGGAAATATTTGAGTAACTATTTCTAAGCCATTACCCAGAGCGTACAATAAAGCAGAACGAAAACGCCATCGCTTCGGATCCGCATCAAAGTCACGACCCATTTGGCTAGCCCAAACCATTTTGCCAAGTCTTCCTAAACCATCTTTTAGTACCCAAGAAGTTGCAGCTGCACGACCTATGCGGCCAGCTTTAATTCCTAAAGCCAATAATAGTGCTTGAGTTCCAAAAACTCCAACTGTGGAACTAACGAGTCTCTGAAATACTCTCCACATTGTGAATGAATAATAATCTTGACTAACACCTTCTGGAAAGAATGACTGTCTTAGAAACTCTATTCTTTTTGTCAACCAAGTCTTCCAACTTGTACTCCAATCAAGACCTTCCTCATCATGACTTGCGAGCTTGAAGCGGGCACTACTCTCGTCCCATTCTAAGGATCTTCTCTTGGAACCTTCAACGTCATATGCCATTGCAGGAATCATATTAGAAGAAGCGTTTGCGTTATGAATGTTGCCAGCATGACTAAATAATATGATGGATAACATACCAACCGAAGCAGAAGTACCTCTCAGCCACGTCATCTTAGTTAGATAGTTTGCATTCACATGCTTCCTTAATTCAAAATAAATTCGGATCTTCGAAACGACTCCCAACAGGAGCTCCTTTTGTAACCACTTGCAAAGATGCAAAAATATAGAATGAAAGCAGTCAAAGTCTTCACAACTTAAAAGTTTCAATAGCCTGTCTAATTTACGACGGGCAAAAGTTTCACTAATAGAATGGCTTCTGTTTTTAGAAGAAGTTGTACTTCTATAAATATCGTTAAATACAGGCATCCATTTGGAGCAGGCATTTGGAGTTTTTGGCAGAGTAGGTGGACAAGACATAGGCTTATCACGACTTAAACTGCAGTGGTTCACGACTCTATCGTTATCTGATACTAGTTGCAAGCTTGCTCCTGAGAATGCAAAAGTATCCATAACTCGTTTTTGCAGAAAAAGATTCAACTGAAAATCAGTGCAAGTTTCACTACAAGGTGTCATATATACTTTAGTAGCACCGGTTTCCAAAACAATCGATCGCAGTCTTGCACAGTCACCATTCTCGATTACTAACAGGTCGCTTCCACGCCGTCTGAGTGAAGCTTGAAGATCCAAGACAACTGAAAGTAGTTGAGGTGACTGGTTGACTTGGAAAGGGACGATAAGTACAGGTAATAAATATTTGTTTGGGGAGACTTCTTCAACTGCTTCAATCAACGCTGGGTGATCGTCTAGACGGAACAGGTCTCGAAACCACAAAATAATAGTGTCTGAACGATTTTTTTCTAAAACATAACCTTTCTCTAGTTTATGGTCTCTGAAGAAATTAATATCAAGTCGTGACTGTTTATCGCACCACCGTATGGCGGATACGGCGCCAGAACCTTTTCTCTCGTCACTGTCAGAAGTTTTTGAAAAAAATCTTACATTCTTCCGAACACAAGAGACTCTTTGACACCGAGTAGTGCGGTCTCCCTTGTCAAGCTTCGTAAGTTTCTTTCGAGAAACGATAATATGAGGTTGTGGCAAATACATTTACCCAATTCCTGGCGTCAGAGTCCAAACAATGTCAAAGAGCCAATATCGACTGAGAAGTGCTGAAAGGAGTGACGTTGAGAATATTTTATTTATGATAAAGCAACTGGCAGAATATGAAAAGGAACCTCACTCTGTGGAGATAACGGAGCGGGACCTTGAAAGAGATGGATTCGAAACACAACCTCCTTTGTTTCACGTGGTTCTCGCAGAAGTTTTGGTATGTAACTTGTTCTAGTTGTGTGTCAACTTTAGTGAAGCTAGCTTAGGAACAGAACGGTTGGAAATGTGTAGGTTTTGCTTTGTGGTTTTATGTTTATTCTACGGTAAGTTTATTCATTTTCAGTTGCTGGTGGTGGTTCATTTTCCTCTGATATGAAGTGGCAAGGAAAAGCGCTACATTTAGAAGATCTTTTTGTGCTACCGCAATATCGCAACAGAGGAATTGGCAAAGCGTTGCTAAGACGTTGCGCACAGGTTGCTCTAAGTGAAAAGTGCAAAAGGTATCAGTGGAACGTGTTAACTTGGAATACTCCGAGTATAGATTTTTATGAAGCCGTTGGGGCCAAGGCTATGAAGGAGTGGATGCTTATGAGAATGGATAAGTATTCCATGGAAAGATTTATAGAGTCATCAACAGACTCCGTCTCGAAACAATAAACAGTGGAAGATATCGAAAGAGGATATTTTAGGACTCGTTCTTTCCTTGCAAGTCTGCACAGGTTGACTATTGAAGAAGAGTTTTAGAAATATCTCTATAAATTCGTAAAAAAGTTGTGACCCGTTCTTGCTAAAGATGTGAAGGAAAGTTCACTGTTTCCGTCAAGAAATAGGGTCTGCGTATCATTCGTAAAGGTTGTAAGTACTCAAGTTATTCTTGACAACTTATTGAAAACAAATCATGAAATTTGGATATTCTATGTTGACTTTCTAAGAACACAATACATCTCACTATACTTATTTAACTGATACAAACAACCATCAATAATCATGGATAAGTTTCAATTACCAAACTAACTTGACTAAAAAGTCTTAAACATATTCCAAGTTCACAAAATCTATTCAGCATTGCTCTGATTAGGAGCTTTCGCAGAATCTTTCATATGATTTGCCTGTCCAAGCTTCGTGCTCATAAAATCATTCACTAAACTACCAAATGGATCCAAACTAGCACTGGCGGCAGTTACGGTGGTCTTGGAATCTGAGTTGATATTATTTGTACGACTCGATGTCAAATTTTCACTTCCGTACATCGGCTTCTTGTTCGAAAGTCCTTTCATAGTTGAAAATCCTTGCTCCCATGACTCAGCAGATACTAGCCTTTCATTTGTGTCTATACGAGTATTTTCATTTTGTAAAGTACTTGGCAGAGTTTCAAAACCAGTCAAGCCGGTTCTAGACTTGGACTCATCAACCTTGGCGAAGCCACTTACTCTTCCTTGCGAGGAAGCAAACGAACTAGTGTTAGAGCGACCGGTTGTTGGACTGCCTGAAGCACTTTCTAACAACCAGTCCATAGGCGATTTCTTCTTGTCTGTTGAAGAAGAATGAGTTTCATGAAGCCTGGGATTGAACTCAGAATCCCAGTTAATCATTTCATCAGAGTCTACGGCTCTTTCCTTTGAAGTCTTCGAAACCGGCTCATTCTCGTCCCAACTGATTAAATCGCTTACATCGGACTGTGGTTCTTTCGTCTTTCTGGCGGGAGAAACAACGTTTGCCGCACGGCTTTGGGTTTCACTGGATGTATTGCTACCAGGTCCTAGTCTCACTGCACCAGGAAGGGTTGAGGATCTTGAATGAACATGTTCCGCATTCGAAAGCTCGTACGTGAATGGTTCACGTCCCGTACCCTCTTCTTCTGACACAGAAGCTCTCCATTCATACTCGCTCCGAGCAGCTACTGGTTCTTTTGCTGCTTCAAAATATTCATAAGTGTTATTATACCTTCCTCCGGCTGCAACTTCCGAGCCTGCTACATAATCCCTGTTATATCCAGTGTACAAATCGTTCGAACTTATACCGCCAAAACGGCTTGCTCCCCCAGAGTTTGCAACCTTCAAGTAAAGTTCCTTGCTCTTCTGTCTTTCTTCTTGTAACACCCTTTCATCAGATACCAAGTCAATCACTTGCTTGGCTTTAATTCGAACGTTTGCACCTTCGTCCTTATGGGTTACAGGGTCAATATATCGGAAATCTTGTAGAGACCGAATGTGATACAAAGCGTCTTGAACTTCGTCCATGACTCTTGAGGAACCGTGCATCAACAAATATCTCAATAGCTCCAGAGCCTTGTATACATGTCTCCAGTTTCTTCCGTGGTCGTTGAGACGTTGCCATACTATTGCCATGATAAGTGGGTATTCCTCGTTGTTGAACGTCGACTGTGATATTTCAAACAAGTCTGAGGTGCTTGCTCCCCAACTCTTGTTGGACGTTGCAGCTCTTACCTTATTTTCAACGTCTGTCATGCAAAAATCTTTAAGTTTAGATGCAGCTTCTCCCCTAACTTTGAGAGCGTGTCTCTTCAGGTTATTCCAGTCTACGTTTTTCAAACGTTGTGACAAGTTATCCATAACTAAGTCAAGTTCTCATACAACAGCTAATCTACGGTTTCCACTGCCCAATGTCAAACAAGCATTTCTTGGCAAACAACCAACTTGTAATGGAAGCTTGTTTAAGCGCAACTGTTTCTTTTGTAGTAAAGTTTCGGTGTATTTCTAAGCACGTCAATTTTACAGGTGAACTAACTGAAGAAAACAATTAAGTTGTCTGTTTGGTTCTTGGCATGCCATAGTGTTCTTTGGCTACAAATGAATCAAGTAAAGTTTTGATTACTTGTTTATAAAGCCAGAGTTAATTTCATAAATCGTTGTTGAAACTGGATATGTCAATTGTTTGAGAACACAGCAACTACGAAAAAAAGTTACAAGTATATAACTACGATTGCTAAACCTATACTTGTTCCCTCCTCATGATGATGATATTTGACTTGGCCATAGCTGCTAAACTAACCTATGAAATGACATGAATATGAAAGAGATAGAATGAAACCTTAATAGGCAAATTTAAGGTTAAGGTTCTCTTGATAATATGACATTGTATCTTGCATAGAATTTCGGCATTCAAAGTCTATTATTTTTAGGAGCAGACTTTTCTCAGGACAAAGCATTATCTGATAGTAGTGACAGTGGTTGCTGAACGATACTAACAAACTATTAGATGGTTACTCAGAATTTCAACAGGTACACTAAGGTGACCTCCTCAAGACAAGTTTCTCAAACTTGCTGCTGTAGCTGCTGAATAATATTGGCATATAATGTACATGTTCGGTTCAACAATAGATTGCAAAATTCTGCATTCTTCAACAGTTTCTCCAGGTACAGAATATGCTCTTTCTGCTTTTGACGACTTTTCGCTGCGGATTGTCTATTTCTATAAATCCTCCATAGTGCACGCTCTTCCGCAGACATTTCTGGATGCAGAGGAAGACGACCTCTTCTGTTCTTCTTTACTAACTGTGTGTCTTTTCTGCAGCGTTTTGCCTCTAACCGAAGTGATATATCTACGTTGCTGCTTTCGCAGTTTGGTGGCGATAAAGTTGTCGTTACTGTTTGAATAAGGCCCACAGTTGTGTGTTTCCAAGTTGTTCTGGTATGGTTATCAATATTCTTCAGAGTCTCTGTCGTGGTGGAAGACGAAGTTGATAGAGACATACTATGCTCGTCCCAAACATTCAGTGCAGTTACAATAAAAGGGTTTAACAGAGAAGCGACAGATATGGGCTTCTTCTTTTGCTCTGGGATACTCATATGCAACTTTAACAACATAACAACTCTTGTTGAAAAGAGTCATTCTCTCAGCTTTTATACACTTCAGGTAAAACGAGATCTTACAAACGTGGAGCACATCGACGAAACGATGAGGCATGATGCCACGTGGAACATCACGACAGTTGTTTCAGACGCGAGAGAGCAATGAGACCTTCCTAATGTGTATAATAAAACTATCATTTTTCGTCAAGAGCTTTTGAAAAACAATATAACAATTGAATGTGAAATATTCATTTAACTGAGCCACTACATGCCAATACTTTCGAGTGAGTTCTATAAAAGGAGAAAGGACGCAGTGGAAGAGTTGAACGCCAATTTTCTTTTGCAATGAAGAGTCACGTGTTTATTTCCAAACAAAATTGAAATGTAATCAATAATAGAAAACAAACTTTGACTATTCTCCAGTTACACTAACAAGCATTCAAACAATGTCATCTTATGAACTCCGTGACAATGTCATACCCCGTCAGGGCTTGGACTCCGGTTGGTCAAATCAGATAGCACTTTCATGTGCAATGTCATAACATGACTCGAGTAACGAGCAACAAAAATGTACCCAGGAATGCTTGAGGACACAGTATTCCCACCAGCTGAGGAATATCCATCCTGGTTTTGCAGCGATACTCGTCTTCCATCTGTCTTGAATCTTCAGACTACCCAAGTAACGATAAAGATGGACGAGGACCAACCCAAAACTTGAGATAACCAACAAGTAGTTGGTGACAATTTGTATCTCCGCAACAAATATGTCTGCCATCGAGCAGAAAACCAACCAGTTGGTCCTCCATAGTTTCTCTATTCATGCTGTGACTAGTTGGCTCGGAATTCAGTAAAAATCATCCAGCAACTACATTTCACACACATGTGAAAGAGAGTCCCAGGTTCGCTACCTTGGAACATGAGGCACCGGTAAAGATGCTAGTTGGGTAGGAGACCTTGTCGTGCTAAGCGTCGAGAAGGATACAAAGTACCCAATGAAGTAACGCCAACTGAAAATGAACTGCCATTGAACTCGTATGATTTCGAAGTGTTGTAGCGAAAAGTTTTTCTGAATTTTTGGATGAAAAAGATAGTGAGGAATGAATTTGAAAACTCGCTGACAAGTTCCTTTGGTCATTTGGAGACAGTATTTGGAGAGAGCAATAGTTTCACCAAATATCATTTTGCAAGTAACAAATAAATGAGAATGGTTAGATTCGAGACAAATGAAGCGAAATTGTCTACTCGTATTGTTCGAGATGTGTGTCTAGAAGTCTTGTCTTAGTTTGTTCTATCGAAAAGGTAGCTTCGATCGTTTCGTCTTTGTATGTCTTTGGCTGATGAAACTCCTGGTATTTTTGTAGAAGAATAAATGATGACTAACTTCACCATGCTATTCTCTATTTGATTTAAAGATTCTCCACTTATTGCTGCTTTATAGTCTTGCAGTTCAACTGAGTTGTCGATACATTTTGAAAGTTGGACTATCGAGCATACATTGTTTTCATGTTATGAATGACTTATACTTTTTTGTTATCTTTTTACAGCGAAGTTAGTTAAGATATTCAGTGTTTTTATTGGTCACATGAAACGACATATACATTGCCCTGTTTTTCTTCTCCCAATAATCAATTTGATAAGAAAGCAATTGAGAAATGAGACCATAGAGAAAATTTTTTAAAAGAATACCAAGCTTTCTGTTTACAATCCCACCTACTAGTTGTTCTGTATTGTCAACTCAATATAGAGACTCAAGCCACTTGAAAGATCAATTTTGAAAACAAATCGGCAATCATTGACACTCTGAGCTTACTTTTAGGCTACAAACTACGATGGTTACGATATAACTAGAAAGAGAACAGTAGAGCGAATGATTTGGAATAAATTTATTAGTCACTGCTTAGGAATTATTCAAAAGATGAAAATTTTCAATCTTTTCTGCAAGAGGCTTTACTCTCTAAGGAAGTGGCAGAAACAAGAAATAAGTACCAGATGGGGGTACATGTAGTAAGCAAAATGTCAAAAGACCCAAAATATGAGATAAAGGGAAGATTCCAACAACAACAACAATTTTGTGGTCATTCCATTGTTCATAAGTAGATAAAAACTTACTAGGCAACATTGGCTTTTTTTGTTGCTGGCTTACTTCATTCTGTCGAAGGTTCTCCTCCGCACAGTAGTAAAAATTCTTTATTCTAATTGATGAACGATAAGAAGGATTTGTACAAATTAAAATCCGCAAAGAAAAGGTGAGATGGAATTGGTGTGCTGACGCTTCTTTTGCAAAGAAGTCGTTGAATTTCCTCAGAACCAACTTCCGTCTAACCAGGTTTTAACTTTTTGTGTAGTGAAGATGCCCTGGAGCTGGGTTCAGAAGGCAGATAACAATTCCGAGTGGTTAAGTGCAAAAATAAAAGAATGGACAATACAACAAGAAACGTGGAAACAGCAATTACTGCTTGAACCAGAAGATTTATCCTCAACGGTAGATATGGAGAGACTTTTTGAAACTTTTCCCATGATTGGAGGGTTAGATATTACTCCTGACAAGGAACAAGACGATATAGCGTACGTGGGTATCGTTGTATTGAGCTCAAAGTCACTACAAGTCAAGTATTGTCAGACCCATTGTGTCAAGCTTCAAGTTCCATACGTTCCCGGCTTTTTAGGTTTCCGAGAAGCTCCTGCTTTAATAAACGCGGTCGAATGTTTAAAAAGAGAGAAGGTTGATTGCTTCCCTCAAGTATTGCTGGTTGACGGAAACGGTATACTTCATCCAAGGGGGTTTGGGAGTGCTTGTCAAGTTGGCCTCTCTCTAAACCTTCCCACTATAGGAGTTGCAAAGTCACTTTTAAGTGTCGATGGCTTGAATACGTTACAGATTAAAGAACAAATTTGTGAAGAAGGAAAACGCTGGTTGCCTTTGTTAGGATCTTCAAACCGTGTATTAGGTGCTGCCCTGCTTAGCAATGAATGTGTGAAACGACCCATTTTTGTTTCGGTAGGTTACCGTATCAAACTTTTGGAAGCCATCAACCTGGTATTTCACACTTGTCGCTACCGTATACCGGAGCCCATTCGCATAGCAGACAAGATTTCTAGGCAAGCATCCAGCAGAGACTTCTGCTAAGCTCTCGAATTTCATTACCAATTTATTTTGACGAGGACGCTAGTTCGTGTCGAGTGTTTTTATTTATTTTGAAATGTGTGGTTAAGACTCTAGTGAGTCACCATTTCCTTTATTTCGTTTAGATTGCCCTTCGAAATGATAGCGTGGATGTCAATCAAATAGAAAACAAAATGCCTGGAGTCTGATAGAGATAGAAATGAAGTGTCATATCCAATTTGCGACGCTTGAAACGAGATTCTCATGGATTCTCTCTGTACACGTCTGTGACTTGAATACAAGGTGTGGCAGTAGACCTTATAGCATCATAATAGATATCGTCCATTGATGGGTTATGAACAGTCTCGTTCCATTTGATGTTGTCTCTATTATTTCATAAAGCTTTTGATCGGTTGTATTATGAAACAGTGCTTTGGGACAACGAGTAAGGGCTTGCGCTTTGATTTATCCAATTTGCAATGATGCTGCAGCGTTAAAAAAACGAAATCTTATTGACAATCAACCCTCACAGAGTTGACACATACATGAAAGGTCATGAATGCCTAGATAAGCAATAAATTGAATCTACGTTAGGGTGCTCTACCCAAAACAGTCATCGTTATTGACCATTTCGGCCGTTAGCCACTCGTCACGGAAACACTTGAGGCGTTGAACACCAAACCAGTAAAAGTCACATGGCGCTGAATTTGGCGTTCTCCAACAACGTCCCTTTCGATCAACCATCCAAGGAGCCTTACCTGTTCTTCCATGTCCGAAAAGACCAAAACTGCTATAAGGACTAATAATTATTTCATCTGCCTCCCCAAGTAACCACATCTCTGCCAAAGCCCATTGTGCGCTTTCAGTTTTTCCTTTATCCATAGGAGGATCCATCGATATTAATCTTTCACCAAGCTGTAGCCTTAGTAGCTCTCTAGCCTCCGGAGTGTCAGTTGCTATGAACCATCTATCAACGAGAGAAGCGCTTCCATTCCTTTTCAAAAATGACTCAGGAGACGCTACTTGATTCCAATGGGATAGAATAGACTCGGCGCATCTCCACATGACCTGTTCGGAGTATTCGTCAATAGCATAACTATCTCGTAAACGAATCTGGAGACCGATAACCCTTTTCGAATTTTTAATCAATTGTCTATAAGGTTCCATGATTTCATAAACTCTTTTTGACGGCGTTAAAAGAGCAGTTGCTAACTGTGCAAATGGTTGAGGTCCTAAATGAGTACAAATAAATTGTCGATAATTAGGATTGTGTTGCATTGCAGGACCCAACCAGTGTGTTGCTCTAAATATGATTAAATTCTCTGGAAAGATGTCATCATAAGATGAACAAGCAATAGGTTCCATGTCTCTTATAGGTCTCCAGAACGGACACGGGCGACAGTACTGTGTGAAGATTAAACGATGAGGATACTTTTCAAGCTGACTCGTAGTAATGCCTAACTGAGAAGCCAATACTGCAAAATTCCAACTAAATCCTGGAGTCTCGAATAAATCGTCTAGATGAGCGCCAACCGTGCTGCCACATGGCTCCCATAGAACGAAAAAAGCACGATTTGTCAATACCTATGTAAGGTTACTGAACAATCAAAGATACAGCTTTGTTAAAATATCCTTACTGCAAATAAAAAAGCTGACAAGAGTCCCATAAAGCGGTTCCCTAAACCATCGCAAGAAGCTACAAAGACAACTGAACGACTTGCTAGCAGGTTTTGGTGCTCTAGAATTCTCTCATATTCAACTCTGTGCAACTGTTTAAATGTTTCAAAGTAATTGTCACGAAAACGAGTAATTTCATAGGGTAACTGCAACTGGCTACCATTACATATAGAGGGGAGTACACGACCTAACATCCTCTTGGAGCTCCTTGGTTCCCGAAGAACTTCCAACTCTAGAAACAGGTACAACGCAAAAAATAAGATAGCTGACTGTACAATTTTTCGGGCAACTGACTTCCTATCATAACTATAAAAAAAAAGAACACGTTTCGCAGCTCGAAGAAGTTGACACACTGCAACCTGTACTAGTTCAAAGAAAACACAAGCTGCCTTCCAATACGGGTTAGTTGACGTCCAGAACACGGGTGCAGCGGTTGCTCCGTCACAAGATTTCTTCCTTGGAGATTTAAGCCTAAGGTTGTTGCAGGTGGACTCTCCGAGAAGCCACCTTTTGTGAAGAACAACTTGGAGAACGAGAAACAAAAGCTGTTCCAAGATCCACAATCCCACTAAAGTTGCGAATGGTATCCATATACCCCCATAACTAGTAACCAAATTGACAACTTTATGCCAGTAACGTTTCTTGTATCCATCTTTTTCTAAAGAAAACAATTGGTCAAAATCTAGTGACCACATGGGCAGTCTCAAATCAAATTTCATATAGAATCAATTGATACTTATTGAAGAAACTGTGCAGCAGCTTCAGCAACGGAAAAATAATCAAAGCAATTCATTCTTTCTCCTAAAATTTTAACGGCCGACCGGAAAAGACAGTGCCACTTGAAATTTCTTAATCTTTGAAAAAGACACAAGAATTCGAAACCTGTCTTGAATTCTTTCTCGGAAATTTGACCAACCCGTTGATAGGGATGTTTGAATTTGCAAGTGTTTCATATTACAACATTATCCTTTAAGGGCACAATGATATAAAATACGTCATGAGTTCTACAAGCAGAAAGCTATGTCGAGAAGCACACTGTAATTTTCAACTTTGTTCAAATGATGAGTGAAGGCTACTGTAGGGATTTCACTAAGCTGAGACCTTTGAAACTGAACCAATGAAACCAGAATAGCTATATTGTTACGATACTCTTTACATAAATTCCACAAATCGGAAAATATCAGAAAACGAAAAAGACTTGAGAGCGGTTAGTAGCTACTAGTTATTCTCGCTCTTTCTCGATCTGCTTGAATAATAGGATAGAGCAATCCACTAGGTTCAAGAAAGAAACTATTCAAGAATGGCAAAGACAAATCTATCAAAACATTAGTGTCATCGGATGAATTCTGGTGGAAGAACCGATGTTCTCAAGAAAAGAAAAATGCTTTATGTGGCGCCAAAGTTTTGAAGGCTTAATGTTCACAATATTGTCAATCATGCTACCGTACTTTTAAAAATTTTCCGAATAGTTCAGTACCAACTAGTCTCCTATGAGCGTGTTGCACTCTACTCTTGGTAACTGTAGTCCGTCGAGAATACAAGTTGAACCAAAAGGTAATAGATCGGTTCAGGCAAATAAGTGCTAAGTTATTCGAATAGAGACAAGAATTTACTCCTTTTATCCTCAGCAGTTTCCACATAATACTTTTCTACATGACAATATCAAGTCAGGAAATAGGACTGCAACTCAATTTTCTAATAACGATACTCTGAGCAAGTCAAAGATAACCTCTGATGAAGACCTCAGCAAGTTTCACAACAAAGGAAACACTGAAAGTTTTTATACAATAGACAAGAATCCTAAGGCTATGCTTACAACAACAACAGTTTCTATGGGAAAAATTCTGCTAGAAATTAATTCCATCGAAAAACGTTTAAAAACTATCCACGAAACTGTTGAAAAGCACCAAGGTGAACCTCAAATAAACACTATACAGAATCAAATCTTCGAATTTGAAGAAAGGGTGTGTAGAAATAATCTGATGATGACTACCTTCTGCTTACATGTCCCCATAGATGCAAAGAACTTTACAGAAGACAGAACTGGAACTTCAGCTCAAATTCGACGCTGTAAATCGGCAAGTGACCCACCATCTAAGTCAGATTTACTTTGTCCTATCCGAATGGATTTCAATGATGAGTTCTAAAAGTATCAATGAGTTAACTATTAATAATCCCATTCACGGACAAATAAGTATCGAACCTCAGCAAGAAGTGAATACCCTAGCCACTCGAAGTAATCATGTCCTGAGAAGAAATAAGAAATCCAACAAGAGTCTTTAAATCCCAGGAAATAACAGTTTTCAATTCATGGCAGATCTTGAAGGTTCAAAAATTCAAAGCATGCTTGCACCTTATGGCAGTAACTACCTCACCACAAGCATCACCAGCACTCAAACGCTAACCTACAATACTATTCTCTCTGAGGAAAACTAACGAAGTTCCTTTCAGGAAACAAAACGCAACCAAATGTGTTCTACAGATCCATGGTCGACCGGGAGTGCTGTCCGTAGCTACTTTTCAGTAGTTTCACTTCTTCAAATAAGAGAGCCAACTGCTGCCTCATTTGCAAACACTCTGTCTTCAAGATTTCGTTGTTCTTCTCTAACTGTTCTAAATAAGCCTAAGGAGGACGCTGAAAAGAAGCAAACTGCCATAGAATATCTATACGAACCTTCCGTCTCCTATAAAAGTTACGAACATTCCTTCGATTTCGTTCCTTTTTCGAAAGTTCCTTCTTATCAATATCAAGATATTGTTTTTGAGGGCAATCAGGATCGGTCGAGACGTAACCGTTCCGTAAAGATGCTTTAATCTCATCTGAAAAGTTGGACTCTACTTTGCCTAAATGAAGTTTATACACAAATGCCGAACAACTACTGTGAAGACCAAGTCTTACCTTCTCCATCTTCATATATGCCATTCGTCCTTAAGGTATCGTAATATCTACGCTTTGAATTATGGTCTTCTACAGGAGAACATAAAGGAAGAGGAGGAAGATCCGATAAAATTTGTTCGCTATCATCATGTGGATGGCTTATACCAGATGAGCTTGAAAAATGCAATTCGCTGTCTGAAATACGGTCAGTAACGAAGGTACAAAGCGTCGAGAAGTCTCTCTGTCCTTTTGAAGTTCACAAACATGATAAGTATTTGTATCCTAAACATTTCCTCCTCTTACCATCTCGATAGTGTTGAAACAAATTGTCATCATCCTTCAAGGAATGGTGTGCTTCGTGTCTGATAGGTAGCGAATATATTGCAGAACTCTGTGCAATGTGGCCCTTCTGACGACCCGCTCTTCGTTTAAAATCCATTTTCAGTTTACGGTTATTACGATTGATAGCTGCTTGAGACTGCCTTTGGAAGATTGCATTGAGAGCTTCTGAAATAACTTCGTCAGCCTCAGGTTTCTTCATTGTAACAACTTTGAAACGACAATATAAAACGTTCGTCATCGTCGATGATAACGAGGTCCTAAAAAATCTTGAATCGTTGAAGGAGTCTGTTGTCCATGTGTTATTAAGTCTTCCAAATCCTATCACACTGTTCCATAACTCGGAAGAATTGTAAACAGCTTCATTTGGAGGAACGGGCAAGACTGCATTCGAAAAAATTTCGGAGATAGGTCTACCGAAGTTTTCGAGAATTGAATTGAAATCAACATCTACAGTAGCACAAGTACAAGTTTCAGAACTAAACTTTTCATGCGGGCAACAGTGTTCTACAAACAATTCTGATGAATACAATAAGTTGTCCCATCGAAAAACTTCATCCAAGCTTTCATAAATACTATAATACTGAACACTAAACTTTGGAGTGATAAACTGAAGGGAGATAACATATTAGAAAAGAAACGATTAATTTAGGAAAACGACTTACTCTTGAATATTCAACAATGATCAAATTGGAATCGTTCCTTGAGACCTAAAAACTTTGAGTAATGTTTGAAAGCACTAAAATTTGGCATGTACCGCTAAAAAGTCTTGAGAACGCGGGTTAAACACAGTTCGACGGCAAACAAGATTGGAAGCACCCTTAATAGGTACCTGGGAAGGAGCATACGCTCCAAGTAACTATAAAGGAACTCGTAAGCTGCGACAAAAACACACTGCTTCCTTACATATCCATAAATTAGTCCGTCCTCTATGCATAATCCTCTGGGGACAAGAACTTTTTCAACTTGCTCAGCTTGCGAGCCGAATATTTCAAGGGTAAAACTATGGACAGAGGCAACTTCGACCAGCTGTTGCACCGTTAACTGATTCGTAGGGTCCTTGCTACAAAGCCAAGAAAGAGCTTGAACGTTACTTCGTAGTTTCTCTGGGACAAAGTTCCAACAAGACATGACCTAGTTCAACTGGTAAACAAAAAACAGCTCGCTGAGCATTGAGTGATGGAAGATTCAAATTAGCTAATCTCCTCGTTCATGTCCCTCAAATGTCTCATTTCCTTCAATTAGCCATCAGCCACGCGATCTGATATTTTCAAATGCAGTTCGCTTTACATTCGGAAAAGAGTTCTTGCTCCTAACAACTTTCAAGAACTATTAAGTGATTGAATCCTTCGATCTCAAACATTCTTTTGGTCTCTGGACAAAAACATGCCGTTCCACTATTGCTTCTGCTATAGTCAACTTGATTTGAAAGTAAAGAAAATTGAAATAATGCTGTTATTTCCCATCTGAAGCTTGTAAATGTTGAAGAAGAGCAGATCAAGAGAACACTTGCGTGTTTATTGAAGACAAATTTCAAGCTACGCCCTTTTGAAATTTCCTCCGAATTGGTTAACTGGTGGAAACAATTGACCGAGGAATGGTGGATAGTCAAGCGGTCAACGTTTTCCTTAAACCTGAGGTGACAAGAGAAGAAAGGATAGAAGTGGGAAATAGAGTTGTTGGAACGGTTGGAACATACTTTATTTCACGTGCGTTAAGAGACTCCGTTCCTTCACGAGACAGACGGAGAAACTTTTTGGAAGATTTGTCGGCTTACATGAACGAAATAGGCCGAGGCAATTTTAAAATTCCAACCCTAGGTGGTTTTACTCTAGACGTTTTTATACTGTATCAGGTACGCTGATATCGTGAAACCTTGAGTTACTGCCCACTTATGCTTCCTGTAGGAAGTCGTTCGCCGTGGAGGCGTACAACACGTCATCGATAACCGTGAATTTAAGGAAATATCGAAAATCCTAAGACTGCCTAAAACGTGCACTGCAGCAGCGTTTGTTCTGAGGGAGTCTTATGAGAAGATTTTATATTTTTACGAACAGAAGCACGTCTTTGGTAGGAGTGCTGAAGAAGTCCCCCCGGTTGTTCAACTTGGTGCGCGTTTAGAGAGGGTCTCTTCTACACCAAGAAGTTTGAATGCAACAGATACACCAGCTTATGAGGGCTCTCGTGAAAATTCGTTTACGAATCTCTCTATGGAGCAGCCGAAAGGGTTTGGTTCTGAACTTGGTGGCGCCCCCTCGGTTTCACCGAATAGGAGGCATACTTATGTTGACTCGAATAATCGTAACGCCACGAGTAGTATGGGTTGGGATAGGACAACCTCGTATGATAGTCTGCAAACGAGTCGAAATCTCGTTCAAGAGGAAGTATTTGTAACCTCACGACCGTTGTCGGGTTCATTTCGAACGGACATCGGCTCAGAACGGAATAAGCTTGTACTTGCTCTCCAGTCAGGAATAGAAGATGAAATAAGCTGGGCTTTGGTAACGATAAATGTGCTTTCTTTTGATCCTAAACTTGATTTTCTTATACGAGACTACCCGATGCTCTTAGAAAGTGAGTCGTCTTTTTTTTTACTATGACAGCGGTCAGATAAGTGTTTAGGTCTTGAGATTATTCTGAAAGAGTATTTGGAAGATTTAAATGGATGTAGAACCTTTGGTTTGCATCCTGATGATGAGGATGCGAGAAGCAGTGGAGCTAAGAATAAGATGCTGTCAGCGGTGGACATTAATACGTCAAACGTGATAGCCCATAATAATGTTTGCAATCCCAGTCTTCAGAACTATGGTGACTTGTTTTGTACAAGGGATCCAATTTTCCTCAAACGTGAATGGAATGCAAAGTGTGTTGCCAATGCTTTGAGGAACTTGAGCTTTATAGAACGGAATCACCCTTCTTTTGCAAAGCATGTGAGTCTTTTACGTACGTGTATAAGGTAATATATGTCTTTCTGGTTTAAGATCTTATGTTTCTCATTCGAATTTCTTAGTATCATAGTTTCCAGTGAAGCGGCATCACAAGTTGTTTATGACTTGTCGGACACACTTAAGAACATAGCAGTAGAAGTGAAGTTAAACCAAGATACTTTGTTTCTCTTAGATTCAGCTATCGCAATTTTATATGAATGGGAAGATTGTACCGACGATACACGTATTCTGAAAGCTACAGAACTGATTGCCAGACTATGCTTCAATCCTGACAATGAATTAGAGCTTTTAAAGCGGTTTGATGAGATACTTAGTCTTTTGGTTGGTTTTCTTAGTTCAGAAAACAAGGATATACGTCTTGTAGCTGTTGGTGCAATTTGCAATGCGAGTGCTTTCGATTGGAATGCTCGAGTGGCGATTGCCAAAACCCCAAGCGTTGTATACTATCTTACGCAATGTTTATCAGATCCGTATATTGCCCCACTTTCAGCAATAACCATCGCAAACTTAGCGGAGGCACCGAGCAATCGTGCGATTCTTTTAAGATATGAAAGCAAATTTGTTCATGTTGCAATGAGCAATTCTGCTGCTTCCGAACTAGTTGCTTGTGCACTGAAAGAACTGTCAGACGACTAATTTTGAAAAAGACAGTCACATTCATTCAGGAATCATTGACTGCAAACAGAACATTTCAGAGATGGTCGTCTGTGGATTGTTTGAACGAGTGAATAGAGTTGCTTTGAGAAAGCGCATATGGTGTCAATTTGTTCGCGTTTTGTTCACTCTTTGTAGGCTCGTCTATACCTTTAACAAGTACACACACACACACACAGACAGACAGAGAGAGAGAGAGAGAGAGAGAGAGTTCGTAATAGTCTATTCTTTCGTCGACTGGACAACAACTTTCGTGTTGTAGAACCCAAAATAAATGCATAAGCTCCGTTCTTCAATATCTTTGAAAAGCACTTGTCCTCGTTATACTTTTCAAGATTGTGCAAATAGCCCTATAGTCAAACTGAACGGGACACTTGTCTTATATTTCCAAGTATCCAAAACTAGAACAATGTGACAACGACATGTCACCAAAGTTATTGTCTTACCAATAACTTTGGTGACCCGTCTCGACCTTACAGCTGTTTAGTGTGTAGGAGCAACTGAACATGAATTCTTGCTTCCTTTTATGCTATCGATGTATCAATCTTGAAGCGTTCAACAGATTTTTTTGCTGCAATATTCGTGCCCGAAATGCGGTATAATTCCAATATTCAATGCTGAAATTTCCAAACTATCCAGCAACTGTGTCGTTTATCTATTCATGTATACTTACATGCTAATCTGCACTAATGGTATTTCCAACTTTTTGAATGACTCCTACTGCAACTGTTTTTCCTTCGTCACGAAGGATGAATCGACCCAACTGCGGAAATTCTTTGAAGGGCAAAATACAGACTGGTTGAGCAACGGACATGCGAGCAATGGCTGCCATTCCTGGTTTTAAGAATTTTGGTCGTTTTTGTACCTAAACCCTGCATTCAGATATCAAAGTACTAAAATGAAAATATTAAGCTAACCACTTGGTTCGTTTTACGATCAACTTGTGCCAACAATTTTTCAATTGTGCATTCCTCGACCGCCGCATGTACATGCATAACACAACTATATCCTGCACAAATGATGTTCTTATAGTCTAAAAGCATAATCTGAGCATCAAACAAAGAGCTTCCCTATCACGAACAATTAAAATCTCGATTAAATTGGTTCAAACTCAAACTTTACTTGAACCAGCGCGTCAGCCTCACATAACACAAACCCCATTCGAATATCTTCTTCCTCAATTCCCTTTATTCTAATACGAACATTATCTCCAGGTTCTGCTCTTTCTACTTCAGTACTTTCGATGAATATTGCATCCACAACAACTTCAACCTGTAATTCTTCAAAACTCAGTTCCTCTCTGATGAATAGAAGTAAACAAAGAACTTGCCCGGTTAGGCATCATAAAGAGATGTTGATCTCTAGTTATCACTCCAGCTTCTAATTTTCCGCACACTACGGTTCCCATCTCTTTGTATTTGTCTGTAACTGGCATTCGCACCTAATCAATAAGTCTAAGTATGTAATAATTCTCTTATTGACGGAGCTTACTTTCGAATCATGTACCCTCTGCGGAGGTTTAAGTTCGTCCAATATCGTTAATAGAGGACCATTCGTGTACCAATTGCATATCGCTGGATCTACCTTCTCCAGCAGATTCTGACCAGTGTAACCAGAAATAGGAATCCAGTAGATGTCTTGAGGCTTCCAACCAATCTACCTCATATCCAGTAAACTACGACTATTACATTACAAAATTATCTACAACTTACCTGCTTTAGAAAAGGTAACAATTTCTCACAACATTCATCATATCGAGCTTTGTTCCAAGTACCATCGGGATTCAAAATACTCGGGTCGTCCATCTTATTCACGGCAACTATTAGTTGTCGGACTCCTGCTGTTTTTGCCAACATAGCATGTTCTCTTGTCTGACCTCCACGTTCAAAGCCTGTTTCAAATTCTCCTTTACGGGCGGAAATTACCTATTGGCAGAATAGATCATAAAACAAACAAATCTGACGTATCATAACTTACGAGAACTGCAATATCAGCTTGTGTTGCACCACCGATCATTTGCGGCACAAAGTTTTTGTGACCGGGAGCGTCTAAAATAGTGAAATGCTTATGTTCAGTCAGAAACTCTGCTCTTCCACACTCTTCTGTCTTTCCTTTTGCACGCTCCTAAGACAACAAATCTATTTGCACGCCCTTCTTTGGTCAAAACTATACAAACCTGTTCTGTTGTGTCCAACGCCCAAGCATACTTCCAAGTTTCACGATTCTTGGCTTTTGCCTCTCTCTCTTATACAGAAATAAGAATTTAAAAATAACAACCTTCTTTCACCTACCAAACTTTTCCATGGTTCTGTCGTCAACCATTCCAGTTAAATATAGAATGTGTCCGGAGACGGTAGATTTTCCGGCATCCACGTGACCAATAAAGACAATATTAACGTGTTTTCTTGAGGAAGAGTCAAAGTTTGCATTCCTGGTTCTCTGCTCATATTCTTCCTCTTCCCATGTTCCTTCTGAACTGTGCTCATCTATCTTCTTTGGTGGTTCCTGAACACTCATCGACTGTAACTGGCCACTCAGCTAAGCATCACATCCCGTTGATATTCATAAAAAAAAGGAGATAACTTCACTTACAGTATCCTGGTCGCTTTCATGTTTCTTTGTATTTCGTGATTGTTCCTCACTGCTCACCAAGTTGTCTTCCCAAGACTCTTGGAAACCAGTGACGAGAGGTTTCTACAATATTTACGACTGAGTTGCAAAACAATGACGACCCAAATAAGCACCACCTTTGGCAAAGTTTCCGTATCTACTTCGCCATTGGAAATAGGTTCATCTAAGTCCTTTGAAAGAAAGCTTTTAGGAACAAACTCTTTCGCTTGAGGATTCATATCCAAGTCGCCAAGCACTCCCAATTCCACCAACTCTCAGTAATGAGTGGAACAGGGAATGTTTTCACAACGTGGTTTTCTAGTTGGGCTTGTAATAGTAGAGACGATGTTTTCTCGTCGATTATGTATTGCATTCGTAAAGAGTCGTTCTAATCGTTCATTTTGCTCCGAGACATTATGTTGAAAAGTAGATTTAAACTTTACAGAGTAGGCTGGTCTGATCACAGTTCTCTATCTGGCGTTCTCTATACAGAACTAGCTTCGACATATAATAACTTCCCGAGGCGCTCAGATATTTTTGAGAAAGAAGAAATTTTCAACTATATTACCTAAGGACAGTATTCGACTGTACCTATTTTCGAATAGGAAATTCGTCATAAACTGTGTTGAACAAACAGAAGTATGGGAGTCAGTTCTTGCTAGGGCAGGCGTTTAGTTTTTCAAATGCGAGCAAGGTGTAAATTAGAGATATCGGACATCCTTTTGTGATAAGCAGAAAAATATCGACTACTTATCAGATAATTGTTGCTTCGGTAGGCCAAACATCGTAATATTTGTGAATTGTGACCTAGAGGGACCAATATCTCTAGCCTAATCAAGAACCCAATTGATTCCGATGCGAAAATTGACACATAGAAATGACCAAGCTTTCCATATTTGTGAGATATTTGTTGAAAAGCCGAGATGGGTGTCTAGGAAAGCATTATAATACAGATTGTAGTTGAAAGATGTCTAACTTGCCGTCCTTGCGTTATAAAAGACACAAATATTCAAAACCCTTTGTCAATAGAATGATTATGATCACCCCATCACATTACAACGAAATTTCCATAAAGTTTGCTGTAGAATGTTGCAAAATAATGAAAATAGTTTCAAACAAGGCATCTTTGTAGTATTCAAGTCATTTTGACAAAAGTGACATATGCAAAGAAATAAATGTAGTAGCACAAGTAACTTTGTTAGTCTCCAAATGGACAACGTGTCATGAGTATTCTCTCAAGTGTGGTAAATCATATCGTTTTGTTTTCTAAAATGTAAAACTGCCATTCAAATCATTTTATTATCCAACCAACCTTCAAAGAAAATAACTTATGAATGAGACCTTTAGAAAAATGGCCACGTCCTTCGGAGAATGATTTCTTTTCATAATCTGGTATTATGAATATGCCTTCAACAAAAATAGGTTAGGTTCATAAAAACAAATAGTAAATGAATCCTATTGTTCTTTCTCTTCAAGTTGCCCCTGATAAAAGATGTTCTTCTGAAACAAAGAAACCAATTTGTTTGAGTTCTTCGGTAAGCTTTTTACCATCCAATTCCAACTGACGGCGAATCTTCTCCAAATCCGATACATTTTCACTATTATTTCCTGAAGAAGAACGACCCAGATTCAACCTTTTCAAAGTATCCTCAGCTTTTCGAACGCTAGAAATAATCTCCGCAGTCATTGCAATATATCTTTCCACAACTTGTTGACAAACGGTATCAACGATTGGGCTCTTCAGATCCTCTTCTTTTGAAATGAGTTGTAGAACATCCCTCAACGGACGTAAAATATTGGAAACAAAAGGAGAATGATGTTTGGGAACAGGTTTTGTAGTCATTCGATAAGCAGCCAAAATTCCTCTCAATGACTGTAAATTTTCCGTGCACTTGGTGACAATCAGATTACACAAAATTTCCTCCACTTGAACATGTTTATCACTACACTTCATCACCGAAGTTCGAATCAACTGTAGAATATCTTGAACAACTTCTTGCACATTGCTGTTTGGCAAAATTGGAACGTCCAACTGAAATTCATGTTCTATCCAACTTGGAAGACACTTCAAATCCAACAAAACATTCAGCAAATCTTTTGGTTGTAAATTCGAAGAATCATCTTTGGCCTTATCAATATAGTTTTCAATATACTTCCTATACCTCGAAATACCCAATAATGACCATTCCAGAAGAAATCCAGTGATTGGCCATATCCAAATCTATTCCAATCATTCAGGCTTAAGAAAGATCTGCTTTAAAATCTATTACCTTTGCGGACCAAGATTCTTCCAAAAATACTTTCAGTCCTTCCGATGCCTCACAACGAAACTTGCATGAAGTTTTTTGAATTCCTCTTCCATGAGACAGACTTAATTCCAACTCATTCGCTAACTGCAACTCCACCGCTTCAAAATATGTACGAAATTGTTCAGGTTTCCAAAAGAAACGATATTCTGGAGTCTTGTAAATGGAATCTTGTGAATACATTACCTTTTCAAATTGCTGTAATTGAGCAAAAATTTCTTCTATCCCTCTATAAAGGCTACAGAAGAGTTTCCCAAAGTCAGTTTCTGGTAAAACTGAAAATCCATATACTTACATATAGAAGCGATGAGGATCCTGCATATTCTCCAAATGAACAATTCTACTTTTCAATAAGTCAACTACCACTGGCAAAATAGAGTGATTGATAAATGAAAAATTCCGATAGATAAAAGAATCCGTTCGTTTCATATTTTCCAAAAAAGGATATCTAAGCAGCTCCTGCACTGCGTCTTTCATTACTGGCAAACGATCCGAAATACTCTCAACAGACTCCAGCCTTTCCAAAATGAACGGTTCAACAAAAGCTTCCGCAAACCAACTTTCTACCTTCCCTATCAACTTTAGGGTCTTACAACACTCGAGACAACGCAGAAGACTTTCCTCCAACTGTTCTACGTCAGATAGCGCAGTAAGGAACCACCACTGCAACTTCTCTTCGGTTCTAGAAACTATGTTCTTCAAGTTTTCTTCTATTTGCTCTACAATTGCTTTATCTAATATTCTTCCATCATAGTCTATACTCTTTGCCTTGCCGATTTCCAACACCAGGTTCCTTAACAGGTTCTCTGTTTCTTCTTCTTCTGGCAGAGAGTTGCTTTGTTCTAATCTTTCCAAAAGACGCCAAGAATTTCTAAGAATCCTATTCTTTCTCTGCAATGCCTCTAAAGCTATCTTCAAATCTGTGTATCTTCCTTTTTCTTCCAAACTATTCGTGGTACTTTTCAAATCCTTAACAACTTCCTTTTCCACTACGTTTAGTTCACTCTCAACCTGAGCAACTTTTTTCTCTATCTTCACTCCATTCTCTTGTAATAGTTTGACTTGTTTGACTACTTGTTCCAGGTGTTGCCGATTTTCCCACAGATATTGCACCAACTCTGTTAATAGCTGTTGAAAGTTTTGAGTGACTTGACCTAACAATTGTTCCAACGAAGTGTTTGATATTTTTTCCAAAATATATTCCGATGCTGAAAAGTTTTCCTTTCTCAGCCATTCTTCTTCCATTCCTTTTGAGTTTTCCAACCAATGTAAAATGTCTATTTGCAGATAGAGATCGATTGATCTTTGGACTCTGTCGTTACTGACATTTTCTATTCCATGTTGTAGAAGCCGTTCTTGCCTATATGGAAATATACTGAGAATGACTATACAAGAGCTCGAAATATGTGGTGGAATTTTCACAACGTGGATATTCCTATTCGTTTGTTTTCTTTGCGCAACCGACACCTCGTTCCGAAGTTGCTTCTCAGCAATACCTTCAAAGTCTGATGAAGAGGAAAAAGAAATCCTGTAACAGTAAGTAATTCTTAAAACAGCACACACGTAGACTTATATGCTTACAAGGTATCTCTTCTACGGCTTTTCCTGTTTCAACAAAGTCAGAAGTGAAAAACCCGATTAATCAAAGACAGCGTTTATCCACAGAAATATTTCAATCTATGATAGATTATGCAAAGTATACATGAAAATTTCTCACATGGTGAATAATTATGGAAACGTTGGTCATTTTGAGGCGCAATGGTATCGCTCAAATCGTACTCCCAGTTTGGTTTCGACAAGCACTTGATACTACTACAAGATGGGAAAAGGTTAGTAGTTTGGGGATATTATTAGCTTTCCTCCAAATGTACTACATATGCTTCGTCGAATTAACGCTTTTCTATCGTTATGATCTTCTTGATCAGGATTGACGTCGTGAAACAACTGATATTTTTGATATCATTTCCATGTACAGATTAAGACTCTGGAGTCCTTGTTTCAGCACCTCGAAGTAATTGTGAAAATGTAGGATATGAATATGCTCATCTTTCTGGCAACAAGGAAAGAAAGTGGTTCAAACACAAAATAGAACGTGAATTTCCATCTTTTTCGGATGAACAAAAGAAACAAATACTAAAGGATTTGACAGCTGCTAAAAGTTTTGAAATTTTTTAGCTATCAAGTTGCCAACAGTCAAACCTTATGGTGGTGATACATCTCCTACAGGTTCACCCTAAACGGGTTCTAAATCATCTATATTATCATCCACCAAAAACTCTCGAAGACTATTATGACTGCTCCTAGTTTTCAGTACTCGGAGAACAAATAGAATAGTCCGCATCTGATTCATTGCCATCATAAGATGAACTTTCTTCATCCTGCATGACTTTCCTTAATGCTCGTTCAAATGAATGGTCATCAAGAGTCTCTATTAGAGATGCAGTTGCTGGAAATCGCGAAAGCAAAGCCTAAAACTCCCATCCATAAAATATTCCAATCAAACAAACCAACACACAAACCTTCTTCACAGCCTTCTTTCGGTCGTTTTCTGTATAACCATTTCGATATTGACTCAGTTCATCCAAATATCTCTCAAACGCCTCATAAAACCATTCCATTTCAAACTCTGCTGAAGGTCTACCACTATCCAATAAAACTCTAGAACTCTTGTTCTCCGATTCATTATAATACTTGGTCTTAAAATGTTCGATCAACTCCTTCACCAAGGGATCCTTTCCTGCAGAAGAATGCCCTGTTGAATTGGAGGCTATGATAGTAGCATTTGAATAGTTTCTCTCTAAATATCTTCTCTTGGGAGGATATTCAGGAGCCCTTTGGAGCATGTAATTGATTTCATTCAAATATGTTTTTGCCTCCCACTCCTTCTCTGTTTCGATACTACTACTATTATTATCCGATTTAATAGAACGACTGTCATTTTTATCGTTGCATGAATCAACCAATTCATCAAAATGAAGATCAATATACTCCAATGAATCGACATCAACTCCCAAAGCCAACTCCGGGTAGATTTCAATCTCATTACGGTTGAAACGACGAGATGATGGAGTTAGAAAACTCGCATGACAAAAAATAGTGAAGATGGGTATAGTGTGTTGAGCCATCTCTTCCCAGTGCTCAAACGATAAAGTGAAATCTCCATACATAGGAATACCTAAAATAAAATTGACATAGCTTTCACCAACTTGACTATCCTGCGGTGATGTGCTCATCTGACATATCGTTTTACTAAATAGACGTTCAATATGAGTCAAAGTTACCATAAGAATAACTTACTAGTCTTCCGAATATTCGTCCCGACCTGAATACAACCTTAAAATAGGATTCCAAGGACGCCTTCCCGGAAGATATACCGTTCCCACTATAAGTGTCTTCTTCAAGTTGATTAATATTTGCCTTGGTACGTCCATCGAGCTTTTCAACTGCGTGATACAGTTTAAAAGCCTTACAACATGACTGGTTTCAATTCTTGGCTGAACATCGGCAGCAGAAAAATTATGATAAACTTTTGCTTTTTTCATAAAGTGCTCGAGTGACTCTATTCCTGTGTTGTACTTGCTAACAAATAACCAATAGGCAGATACCATAAGGGAAACAGTTTTCATAGAGACAATGTCGCAAGTACCGAGCACCAATACCACCCTACATTCGCGTTCTTTCATACCGTTTGAAATCCAATTGTACATCATTGCGGAAACCTGCAATATCTTTAATAGAGGAGGAACGCTTAGATAAGTCCCAAGGGACATATATTGAGGTTCCACTCCGATAGCGTCAAATAGCGATATAGTCGCTTCATATAAACGTTTGCTTTCGTCCAGTGTTCTCGAAACATCTACAATAAGAATGTTCTTAGCTTTCCCACGAACATACTCTCTCAAGTCTTGAATGGCGTGTTCCCAGTCTTTTCTGAAACGGTTTGGAATATATTGACCAGCCATCAAACAATCATCTAAAACAAATAAAGTCTGTTTCTTGGAAGACTTGGAGCCTTTCAGAATCTTAAAACTTGAATTCAACATGGAAAGCAAAAGTCCCAGAAGCGAGAGAATGGGGGACAAATGAAATGGGAACAGATGAGGGAATCCAATCAATAAGAATTCTCTGTTCCTAGTAATATGTTTGTGTGTGTTTAAAACAAAAATAAGTTACAAGGTAAGTTCATACAACATAATAAGCACGTTTAAATGGTTGTCTTCTTGAGCAAACTAATATTCAGTTACTAAACAGGTGTATCCCAATCCAAACACTATCTTCTCCCATTATAAAAGTGAAAACTTAACTTTGTCCAGTAATGGACAATAAAAACTCGCCATAAAACAACAATCAACTTTCCAATACGCTATTCATAGTGCTCTCTGCTTTTCCCTTTCAAACGAATATTTCTTATCGGACTTTGTAGCAGTTTTCAAAACAAAAAATGTCTCGAAAACCTGAATTCGTGCTTCTCTTTGTTTATTTAGTGGTATACATTATTCGCATCCAAAATAATACGAATTTCTGACTCAGGAAACTGCGAATCTAATCTAACCTCAATGAGCTTCTTCAATTTGTGAAGCATCTCCATATTCTTCTGATAGTTGTATTCTGGACGTATTTCTTAAAATAAAAGTCAACATCCAAAAAGTCACCTCACCTGCTTCTGAAAATAACTTTGCAGAATCTGCTTTCTGTTGTTCACAAGTATTCATCAACGACTTTCTGTCAGTCAGCTCAATTAATGTCCACTTTGCATTGCAGTTCTATAGCTTACATTTTCTCAATGCGTTGCAATTTCTCTTGCAAAGAACGCTTCAGTCTCTCTTCATATCTTCGCGATATACGAAGTAACAATATACGAGAAATGACAGGTCCTCGAAATAGGTCTGATGTGTCATTCACTTGCTTCAGCATTTCTTTCAAGTTTTCGATTCTGGACTGAAACAAAGTCTTCATGATCAACTGATACAAAGGACAAGATTTACCTCAATATCAAGGAGAAAATCTTCAGGCCGTTCCATTTCTTGACTAAACAACATGAACTGTGGATTCCCAACTGCTTCATCGGAATCTTTAATTCTTTGTTCTAGAAAACTCTTCAGCTCCAAAAGATCGGCTTCAACTGATTTTCTAAACCCATCATTCATTAGGGAACACTTGAAGTTGCGTTCTTCAACAGACTCCAAAACGGTTGTTTCCTTATCACTTTCTTCTACATTCCAATCATTCAAAAGCTGCTCATGGTTTTGAACGGTTCCAAATTCTCCCCAGTCAATGAATGACTCCAGTTCGACAGGTTGACTTCCAGTTCCAATGTTTTCTTGTCCCTTTCCGAGCACTTGCACGGCATCTGAAGCCGATGAATCATCGGAATTTGCCTTTCAGACTTTTGAGTAAAACCAACAATTTGATAAACAGAAAAACTTACAAAATTTTCAGGATACAACTTCTCTATGTCAGATGATATACATATTCTCAAACTACTTAAATCTTCCATTTCTCTATTTGGCATTAAATTTGTCAGAAACGTATCGTGGTATTTAAGAATGCTAGTGAAACTTTTAGCTTGTAATACAGAAACAATTTCACGAAATATGCTAGGAAGCTTTCTGGTGAAAGAAATTTTGTTCAAATTTTGAGAAAGAAGCAAATCAATACCTCTTCAATTGAAAGAGTTGTAAATCGACATCTAAGGTAGGATCCATGTCGAATGCTTCAAAAAAATTCTTACAGTCCTTAGTAGCATCCTCCAACTTCTTTCGGAGGTCACCTTTTAACCAATTACGGAATATGTTTCATCCAAACAAGTAACTGAAAACTAAAATACCTTGGCGCTTTGTAAGAGTGGAATTTAAGGCTTCTTGTTTGCTCATATCTCTTCGGTTTTGAGGTATCTCAAAAGAAGTCAACTGAGTCATCCGTTGTGCTGTTTCGGCCAGAAGAAGATTATCTTTTTCGTAGTTTTCGGCAATTTCTTCCCTATAAAGTTTGTTAAACTAAATGAATCACGAAGTTTTGAAGAGAATAACGACTCACCAGGCTCGAAGTCGTTTGTCTTTTGGTCTTCCCAGCCAGTCCTTACCAGTCACTTCTTGTCGGCATCTAACAAAGTTTAAAATATCTTGCACCTCGAAGTAATAAATATTATCGGAGGAGGGATATTTTTCTCGTAGCTCTGGATAAGAAAATTCACCACGAAGAACACGACGTCCAACTCGCAATACCTTCGGGTAAGTAGTCCTTCAAAACGGACTTGATGCGTCCTCTTAAATTCTTAAGAGCAATATTCCACTTTCTAGGTATTCGGTTCCTGCTTTTCAACCAGTCTAGTAGCTGCTTATCCGGTATATCGACTATCAATCGCGATGTTTCCGCAGCCATGCAAATTTGAAGATAAATTTTTCAATATGTTATTCCAAGTGCGTAAAGAAAATTATGCCAACCATATCTGTATTGAATACGCACAATCCCGTATGAGGAACGTTATACAAAATTGCTGAATCTGAAAAGAGTAGCTCGAGAATGCTTCTAACAACGATGGCGTTTGAGATAAAGTAACAACTTTGCTAGTAAAAAGCACAAATGGTTTCATTAGAATGATAGAAAGCCAATTTTTTTTTTACTGTTTTGGCTATTATCTACTGTTGAAGGTTCCTAACCAATTCGGTGAAAAAATCAAATGTCAAATTTTCATTATTACAAAAACAAGTTTTGGAGTTTCTCAAAGCTTGAGAGAGGGAAAACTGTAATACTAATGTCTGACATTGACATGACACAGAAAGATACGAGAAATAAATTTATTTGAAAAGAGTACGGAAAGAAACAGAAACCCATAGTACCCAAACTCCTTTTTAAGACAAAGCAATTACTTGTTCAAGTTCAACTTTGAGACAATGTTTCTGAGAGTTTTTTCAACTTCGCTTCTTGTTTCAGGATAGGACACATAGCGCCAAGCAAAGAACGCAGTATACACTATGCCAACCTAACACAAAATCAGAAACCGGAAATGTACTGGTCAGTGTCGCATACCAGTTCCAATAGACTGGGTAGTATTGGAATATGATTCAATGATTCTTCGATAGACCCTATTATTTGCAGGCATATTATGCCAACGAGAGTAGCCAATGCAATTTGACCATAATAGGCAGGTCGAGAGGACACATCACTGAGAAGCTTTGAGGAGTATTCCTTTATCTTTGTAGAGTCTAGAGATATATTTTTTCGTGACGATTCACTGGAAACCGGCGACTTGTTCAATTGCCCATCAAAACTTACTGACTAGGAGAAACCATTCAGCGCTCGACCTCCTGAAACAAAATAGTCAAATACCTTTGAAGCTGTACTAGGAATACTGGTCACTGTAACAGGTTCAGAAGACTTGGTCTTCTCAGTCTCTTTGAAGAAGACGGCTTGAGTAGTGTATACGACTCGTAATAAATTTTGCTTAAATATTCTATTGAGTAATAGGTTCAAGGATTAAACAAAGTTAGTCAAACCTTAGGTTTCGATAACTCTTTGGAAGTTCTACTATAAGAAACTTGTGAAAACTTAAGGTTTGTATGAAATACAAAGCAAACTGGCATAATTATCGCAACTATCTTTTGAACTTTTTGGCGCGTTTTAAATCAAAAGACAAATCGCAAATGCTGTCTATCATTAAATTTTTGCCAATTTAAAGTTGGCCAGGCACGTTGTTTTCAGTGACACAGGAAGAGACTAAGATAGCTACATAAGATCCAACTCCCTAGAGGAAAATAGCTTGTCTATGGCTTGCATGCGGGAAATTATTTCTAAAATAAGAATATTGTAAGCAGAAATATGGATGAGCTACTAATATTTGGAATCTCAAGCTTCTTAGTTATCCAATAATATTTGTCCTTCTATGAGGTTTATTGCCAATGAAGTTTGTTGAAATACGGAAGAGAATCTTAATCGGACTCAGATCCTGTTCGACTTTAAACCTTTATTCTGTCGATAAATTCAACATTATTGCTTTTCGATAAAACGTGGAACGAACGAACTAGCAGAATTTTCAACAGCTGGAAGAAACGCTCCTTGTTGGAACAAAGATTCTATCGAAACTATCCAAGCGCAAGGTTTTACACACAAAAAAAGCTTCATGAGTTCGAAGGCCAGACCATAACTCTAACACAAAGAAAGTCAAGACGCCAAGAGAGCGTTGATTCCCATATTACAAGAATGTGGGAGGAACCCATCGGCAATTTTCTTTCACAATGAATTAACCAAGTTAATGCATTTTACGCACCGAACATATCTCAGAGAGAAGTTACTTGAAGAGAGAAATATCTTCTTTCGACAATTTTACCGTGGCGAAAAACTTTGTAACAAACGCTTCTATTCATTTCGAAGCTACACAATGACATATAGCTATGTCGGAGTATATTATTAACACAACCTCTGCATTATCTCCCATAAGGTATATATCTATATGTACAAATAGTCGGCAACCACCATCCAGTTAGTTTTATTCCGCAACATTTTCACTTTGCTGCTGCTCCACCTGCTTCTTCAGCAAACTAATTTCGTTCTTCAAGCTATCTCGTTCTTCGAGCAATTCCCGTATTATTTTTTCCTGTTCACTAGATTTGAATTCTAATCTCCGAATTTGTTCATTTCTTTTCATACGCGACATTTTTGCACTCCATCGATTCTTCAGAATTCTACTAAAACTTTAATAATTATTCGTAAAATTACAAGCAAACATCACCTTCTCAACTGCTTTTGCTCTTGAGTCAAACCCTCAGTGCTTCGAAGCGTAACTAGAGGGTGTGGCTCCTCATACATAGGTTGGCTTACACTCATACAAAGTGCATTTTCGCCGAATCTTCTCTGTTCGTCAGATATTGAAACCCCAAGGGATGGTTCCACACAGTCGTAATTTCTTGTCCGAGCATATTCACTCCATGGAAGCTGTCGAATCGAGTATAAATTTTCTTCTGAAGACGAAGTTTTGTAACTATTATTGTCATTACGCGGTTGACTGAAACCTGTAGGAGAATTGATCGGCTGTAAAATACCACCATCATGAAACGACACTCTGCTATTCCTATCCGCAATCTGTGGGGATGCAACTGCAGCTGTTTTTAATACTGTCTCTCCGCGTAAACAACCTCCCTGATAACCTGGAATATCTTCTTTTTGACCAATGGCACTAAAAATCTCAAACGATGGAAGTTTAGACTGAGAAGACGAAGTCTTATCCTCATGAAAAACATTTCTCTCTCCCTCTGCATTAGCTGCAGACAATTCACGCAAACGTGCACCATACACGTCAGGCTCCTGATTTGTCCGTAGCAAAACAGGTCGTTCCGTCAGAATTCCGGGAAAATCAGTTTTACGAGAGCTCTTATCCGAGTCGAATTCAAAAGAAATATTATTTCTCTGAACTTCGTTTTGCTTCGGTTGAAAGGTTGAGAGGAAATCCGTATCTTTGTCAAACCGTCCCCTTTCAAGTCTATAGTCTGTCAAATACCTCAATTTCTCTCGCCAGCTTTCAGTTTCTGAGAGAGAACCTTGCCAAGTGTTACCACAAGAAGACTTTCTTTCGTACTTGTCTAACTTGGGCAACTGTGGAAGTATTTCTTGCTTTCGTAAGACGTCCATAGAAATAACACGTTTTCTACGGGATCTCGAAGTTGTTCTGAAAGTAGTGGTTACGAACAAACTGGCGTAAAAGTTTCAAGATGACGAGCTGACAAAACAGCTTAAATAAAACAAAAAGTAACAGACGTTGAAACGACGTGAATATAATGCCGCTCAGATTAAAATCCTTTCTAGAGTTAATGAACGTGCGCTGTCTGCCTTCCACGTATCATTTCTTCGACATTCATGACCATCCATTGTCATCGATTCGGTACTCAATAGGATCGATTTGTTGGGAACACGTTGATCCTTGGATGGAAACAGTTAACACAAAGCAATCGACAAAAATTTCTGGTGCATGAAGATGACACGTAGAAAGCCAGAATCTCTTATAGCATGTATATTTGCTAGTCTAGAGCACTTTGACAGTTTTCCAGTACTTGTAGGCAACTTACAAGTTTTCTAAGTCATAGCATGTTTGAATTACATAAATTACTTGTAGTGTCTGTGAAGCAACAAACAGGCTATTTGAATAATTTCAAAAGAAAGCGAGTATTCAGTTTTTAAGTTTCCTTGTAACTCGGTTTTGGAGAAGAATAGACTTGTACCTATTTTAAACAGCCATATGAATTTGATTAAAAGAATGGGACTTTTTATGATATCTGGAGCATTTAACTGTGTCTTGTTATTGTCTACTCTATTTTCCTAAAGTGTTCTTAGAAATTCCCACTGTGGCTGTCCCTAGAAATACTAACAAACGTAGCATAAGAGAATATGTCATTTTCTTTTAGACAATGTCAACAAAGAAATGATACTCGTATTCTATTAAACAACTCCATAGTTTGTTGTATTGAATTAGGAAACTGTGAGATTACTTCGTATCATTGTATGAATACATCTGATATCCTGACTTTCATGAATTTTCTTATTATTTTTGTAGCCAATGAGTTGCGATACGACAAGGCCTTTTTTATTGCTGTGGCTTTATTTCGTGATGTCATGATGAAGTCTTTCAAAGGATCTACAGAGATAATAAGTATTTGGGATGATAGCTATGTAGATGCACGAGAAGAATGTCGATAACTGGGAACCGTTCTGTTGAGATCCATTACTCAAACAATAGGTGATATAACGATAATAAGTCTAAAAATCAATATGACAAGAAACGGATATACTATGAGACATTACTGCTGCATTCAATTTTACAATCGGACTGTACATGACTTGTTTTCAGCAATGAGCAAACTTCAGGGAACTGGAATGATTTCAGAAATCCTAGCGGTTCCTTGACACTAGTCAAGCTATCTTTTGAGTTGAAGATAACTTCGTTGTGTGCTTCATGGTATTTTATCGTCTATTATAGTAAATAAAACTTTATTACTTGATTTAGGAGATGAGCAACAATGTACAAAGTATAGTTCATGACATGCTAATCCTCAACCAACCACGAAATACTTCCTCTTTGAGAAATCATATTGACTTCTTACATGCAAAAATAATTTGGAAAATTTGAATAAGAAAATCTTCAGATAACAAGTCAAGAATGAGATTCTTCAGTAAAAATGGATGGTATATGGAGATAACTTACTGTACAATCGATATAGAATGGGAAGCGTCGTTTTTTTCGTCGGCAAATGTCAAACCACCGCGATTTTCAGAGGATGCGTCTTGCTTTAACACAAGCGAGAAGAGCACTTCAACTAGGTGAAGTTCCAATCGGCTGCATCATATTCTCTGAAAATGGAGAAGTTTTAGCAAGAAGCGGGAATCGTTGTAACGAGCTTATAAATAGTACCCGACATGCAGAACTTGAGGCACTTCAAGTGTCAAGGCTGTTGTTGGGTGATGCATTCCACAGTGAAATTCAAAAAGCAGAGTTGTTTGTAACTTGTGAACCCTGCATTATGTGTGCTGGTGCTCTACTGACTGTGGGAATAAAAAGAGTCGTTTTTGGTTGTAGAAACGATCGTTTTGGAGGGTGTGGTTCCGTCCTGGAGTTGAACGATGGAAGTTGTGGTCTTCCAGAAGGAGGAAAACCTTTCGATTGTATTGGAGGAATACTTGAAGAAGAGTCTGTAGCTTTACTGCGCCAATTCTATGAAGGTCCTAATCCAAACGCGCCTAGACCAAAGAAGAAAAATAGGAACAACAAACAAACTTCTCTCGAACCGTCTTTTGCTGCAGAAATTTCCTAGCAAATACTTGAAATTTTTGTTCTCTTTGTTATTGATAGGATCCTACTATTGTTCCCTTTTTGGTTGGTTTCTCCACGTCTCAAACTGGGAGCATGATATATTTTCTTCATTTACTATACCTCTCGAAATTTGTCGAATATATATATGAAATTTTATGCCATCCTGCTTGTTTGAAAGTTCTTCAGTTCATTTGATTAGTTGATATATTGCATTTTGCTGTTTTCTTTGAATCATTTCGAAGGAAGAATTTGTCTATGCATCGAGAAACCATCAGTATGAATGTAGCAGATACGGTGAATTTCCGAAGAAACGGGATAAAACTATTTGGAACATTTGCAACAAGTTCTGGAATTTTTGGCCAAGCTGTTTCGTTTATACATAAATCCTTTCTGGCTTAAGACATTACTAAACAGTATTGATCCTTGTGGCGAAGGCGAACCAGAAAGTTTGCTTTTCGGATACTTGACATACGAGCGAATGTATTCCGGAATGGAAGCGTTTTAGATTTTTTACTCATTCATTACTATAAGCCAAATAAGTAATTGTTAAAGTCGTCTTAGTCTGTAAAGGTTACTCAACTACCGAATCTTGCAACTACTGGGCTTTATCACAAAACAACGCTGTTAAATCTATAAAATAAGTTTCCTATTCTATTCTAGTACGTATATCTATTAGCTGTTCATGTTGTTCTATTGCACCTTGGCATACAACAACACGAAAGGTTATAGTTAAAACTATCTCCAGTAAAAGATTTACACAATCAACAAAGCTAAAAGCTCTCTAATATCGTATGTGACACTCCACCTTCCATGGCCACCGAGGCAATGACGCTGCAATGAGGAAAATGGCAAATAACAAACTACTTTCCAAGTAGAAAAATGAACGCCCATGACTCAAAGGTGCCGGTAAGTCTAAAGAAATCGCAAACGCAAATAGCGAACCACCTATAACTGGTCCTGCAGCAAAACCGGCACTTTGAAGTCCTTGTGCAAGACCCAGAGCCAATCCTACAGAAGAAGGATGGACTGAATTCTTGACAATCAAAGCGATGCCTGCCCAGCAACACTGTTCAAAGAACGCCAAGAATATATCAAACAATGTATAAATTATCCAAGACATCGTATCCTTTCTACTCCATCCGAAAGTAACGATCACTGCAGGCAACAAATAGTTGACACTTCCTACCAACAAACCCAATCTGATGGTGTTCACTACACCCAATCTCCGTGCAATATAAGGAAATATGTACAAGGCAACTAAAATTGTTGTGACCCCACTGAGAGTCTGTACACTGCCTATATCAGTGGAAGAAAATCCAAGACCTCCAAAACGAGGTTGTGTGGAGGCCCAAACAGGAATCACCTCGTCACCTGCAAGCAATGTAAAAGAGATCAACACAGCAACTATCAGAACGTGGCGGAAAGTCTTATTTTCGATAGTTGCATTGGTGGGTTCTGGAAGAACCGTACCTTCTTCATCAGGAGAAAAGAGAGAGGTCTCTTCTACAGCACTCTCTTGAATTGCACTTCTATCTTCCTCATCCAATCTTAAACGGTCGACTATTCGTGGTGCTTTGGGTCGAAGAGAGGGAGAAAGAATATTTGCAGTCGCTGCTCCGAAGCTGCCACTCAAACCGTAAGTCATAAAGCTGGAACTTTCACTTTCTTTCCTTTGAGAAGTCAAAGATGAATTACCACGACTTTTCACGAAGTCGTCTGAATAAAACCAATCTTCATCCTCGGTTGTGATCGGTACTTGACTGCTCTTTCCTTCCAAGGTGTTACCTTCACCTTCCTCAGCCTCATCTTCCTTTTCCAGGAGGCTTCTGTCTAATGATCGTGAAAAGCTCTGTTGTGAGGAAGACAAGACCTTACTTCCTCCGTCTAACTCTCCTTCATCTGGCTCCGGTATAGCTTCTGTCAAGTATGGGCCACGGTTCTCTGTATAACTCTCACGGGAACTCCACAAGGAACGCTCATCCCACTCACGATCACATCGTTGCCTTTCACGTCTACCACGAATAGACCTTGCTGTCGGAGAACCTCCCAGAAAACTTCGAGAACGCCCCGTATCTAGCAAGGGTGTTCGTAATGAGTTCTCAACAGAGTGTTCAGGTACGGTTGAAGGAATAGAGGAAAACAAACTTTGGGTCATTCGAGGAGTAACGCCTGCTTGTCTTTCAAATGTTTCCAGCAGATTTCTATCCACATAGCTTCGTTCTTGTTCTCTAACTGATGAATAATCTGATCGTGCTATCGACATAATATCATCCGTAAATGTTGCATCTAATGTTATTCCCTGTTCTTGACTAGGAAAACTTTCTCCTGCAATGCCATAACTGTATTCTGCAGGTTCTTCCCTATTGTTCAACCACGTCCTTTTCCTGCTCTCATCCAAGAAGAAAAAGGCAAAAAACAAATCAACAAATACATAAACTGAGACCAGCAAACAGGGTAATAAATACGGAAAGCGATCAAAAAAGGAGCCTGGAGGAAAGTAGTGTGGAAAATGCACTGAAGGCCGAGATAAGAAGCCACCAATAACTGGACCGATTACTACTCCAACTCCAAAAGTCAGTCCGATTAACCCGAAAGCTGCGGATTCATTGCTAGAGTCAGTAATGTCTGCCAAGTAAGTTTTTGCTACAGCAATATTCCTGTCATTAAAAAGAGAGAAAAATATCAAAATTTTGAATAATGCCATCGTATCTAGTACACGTACCCACTGGAAAGGCCGTGCAAGAAGCGGAAAATAAGAGCAGTGGTAATGTTTGAAGCCATTCCAAAAAGGTTGATGAAAAGAAAGTCTCCGACTAAACCAATAAGTATTACTGGCCTTCGACCGACTTGATCACTCAACGCTCCCCATAACGGGCTTCCAAACATAGAACCAAGCGTAAAACAGGAAGCAATCAAGCCCGAATAGTATCCAACTTCATTTTGCCGCCAATCTGGTATTTGCATAAGGTCTCGCACCAAAAACGGAGCGAAAGGGTACACAACTAAAAAGGTTGACATCAACCAACTCATATGGAACACATTCTTACTTGTGACAGAAAAGGCGTCGGCAAGAACAGCTAAACCAAGAATTACACTGAATCATTCGCAACAAATGTGAACTGTACAGAAAACAAGAGAAAAAGGAACAATACTCACAGTCTTAAAGTAGGAAGTGGAGTAGGCTTTGTAGGTTCTCGAGAATATGTCGCTTTCTTTGGTGAAGCATGAACAGGAGGTGGTGGGGAAAGTGATTGAGGTGCTTCTGTTGCAGGATATTTTGGAGGAAGAACTGAAGTCATTCTTGAATACACGAAAACTCTTCAGTTGTGGCTCTCAAAGCTTAGGCAACAGAAATTATTTCTTCCTTCATTTTGCGGTATCAAAGTCAAACCACTTGAAATCTCCACAATTTTATACTTTATTCCCGAACGATTCCTTCTTTATTACCCAACCAACTCATCCCAAATGAATCTATCTTATCACACTTCTCTATCTAACTGTACACTTTCAAAACATTCTTTCCATATTTTTCTTTCACCAGGAACCGAAAATATTTCAAAGGTTTTGTAACTAGAAGAAGAGAGATCCAAAGCTGCTACAAGAGTATCTGCAACATCCTTACGATTAATTCTACCAACTGCGGTATCTCCTTGTTGAAAGACAATTCTTCCAGAAGGATGCTCATCATTCAATCCAGTTGCACGAATAATGCAATATGGTATGCCACTTGAACGTACGGCATCTTCACCCATTCGCTTTTCATTCAAGATATTACCAGGATTCAACTGTACAATGGGAATATTAAACGACCCAGCATAAATCTGACGTTGCTTTTCGTTCCACTCCAGTCTTGTCACTGCAGCGCTTGATAAAACAACCAAGCGAGGTATTGTTAAAGAGAAGGCCGTAATTTTTTCCAATACAAGTTCAAAACGCCCAGTTCTAAAATTCGGGTCAACCAATCCTCCTAAATCCAACCGGGAAATACCGAAACCTATCATATGAATGGAGCTTTTATTCAAACGATACTTATAGAGATTGGCTCCTTCCCCGAACAATATCTTAGAATTCTTCACCGGAATAAAGTCTGAAAATAAGAGCCGTATGTTCTGCCATTCTCCAGACTTGGTGTCAAACTCACACTGAAAAGAATATTCTTCGGAAGTATCCACCTCATTGTCTTTTAGAAAAATGCGATAACGCCTTCCATCTCCTTTCACTTTTAAGCAAAATCCATCAAACTCAGAAAGATTTAAAGGAACTGTTGATTGAGCTCTTATCTGTGCAACATTTCCATCACCATATTTCATTAAATTACCAGTAAAAATTCCAAAGCCTGTTGAATACCGAAATGAACTAGAATTCGAAACTTCAATAGAACTTTGCTGCACAGGCTGGAAGATATGTTCCATATCGGGAAGAGAAAAGTCGTATACAGTTCGTTCACGTTGTTCCGATTTCCAACTTTCAGCAAACAATTGTACCATATTCTTAAGAGCCAAATGGTCAATCTCACGAGGGCCACCAGTGCCAAAACCAGGAGGTCCACGGGAGCCTGCCGTCCAAATCACTCCATCCACTTTTCCAACAAAACTCTCGAGGCTGTTGCTTTCTTGCAAATCCCTAAAGGTCAAGTTCACTTCTTTTGGCAATTCTGCTTCCTTCACACTTGTTGGGCTTCGGGACAATCCCCATATACGATAACCGTACTTGACCCTCGAACTCAGATTCTTACAAACTAACCTACCCACTCTTCCAGTTGCACCAACTACTAAAATATTCCGTTTTTGCTTCTTCATATCTTCTGTTTGTGCATCATGCCCTTGTTTCTGTAAACTTTTCCAAATAGATCGGACATTCAGACCAAACTGCTGTTGTAGGTCAGCTTTAAAAAGAGGAGTTAAGCTAGTTATTCTTCTCGACTTCCTATGATAACATATACAATTCCTTCTCAAAGCAAACTTGTACGCTTTCTGCTTTGGAAAGAACCGATCCTTTGAAAGAACAAATGTAGCCATAATCTTAGAACAATTCAACAAAATGTTTTGGTCGTTGACAACAACTCTAAGAGGCTACATACGGCAGCCTCTAAGTAACTATCGTTTTTTACGCAGCTCGAGTTATTTAGGCACAGCCAAAAAGGGAGCACCCTGGACACCAGAAGAAGATCAAAAGTTATTGGAATTACTTCGCTCCCTGAAAGGAGTGAGAAAGTGGACAACTCTTGAAGATTATTTCCCAGAGAGAACGCATCTTGCCATTCGCAGTCGGTAAGTTTGTTCTGAAAATATCAGAAAGTGTACTTATATCTGAATGGGAAGTGCTCGAACACTTGTTGGAAGCAGAAGCGTTAGTAGAGCACCTTTTTCGCAAGAAGAAGACGAAAGGTTATTAGAACTTGTAGAGACTCACGGAGAAGACTTTTTAACGGTTGGAAGTTTTATGGAAAAAAGATCTCCATATCAGTGTAGTAGGAGGTAAGATAGGTGGACTCACAAGGTTAAACTTTCCTTTAATTTCCTTTAGATGGTTTCTCCATCTGAAAAAGATGAACGAGAAAGCAAAGTCCATAAGTATAAGACCTGCGCGTCAGTGGAGGCAACTTTATGACAACTTTATTTCTTCTACAACGAATAAAAGTAATTCAAATTGAAGTTGTGATATCGACAGACTGACTGGGAGAAATGTTAGAATGGACTTTGCTTTGTGAACTTGTGAAAGACATTGTTGAGAAACAGCAGTTGCTAGATGAGCACTTATTAGCCTTGCATACTATTATTCCTAACACTGCACGTGAAGTTTTACCTTTGTTAGATCGTTTGTTGTCTTCAGGTTATACCGAAGAAGGTTTTTTTGCCAAGTTCGAATTGTGGCGTTGTTGTTTTGGCGAAATAGTAGTACTTTCTTCTAGTCCAGTGAAAGAGAATACTTATTTTATGATTCTTTCTATACCTTTTTGTTCTTGTCAACAATTTTGCCAGGGTCTGTTTCGCACAAGGAATGCAGGAGATTGCTTCTGCAAGCACATCGTTCTTGCTTTGTTTCTAGTTCAACAGCAAGTTTGTAAAATACGTCACATGTCTGTTGAAGAATGGACCTTTCAGGTTTCGAAGTTGGTACAAGATGGAGCTTGAACTGTATGGGGGTTCTTTCACATAATAGTCTTCAGTATCAAAGGAAAGGGTAACCGAGATAGGTAAACCTTGTGTTAGCAGAGTATTTTGAATATCAGAAAATGCCCTTTGAAACTAGGATTTGTTCTTTTGTATATTTATTTCTGCGCCATGTTTTCGACATCTTTATGAAAGGTTGTTAAGATAACGACGCTTCCGCTTTCATAATGTGTTGCATATGATATCAGAATTTTGTCTTTTTGTCTTTTCACTGTGTTGATCGAAGCTTGTTAAATGCCATACTTTGATTTCATGTACAGCAAGATCTTCTCAGTTTGAAACGAGTTGTTTTGGTTAATTGAATACGTATGAAGGCTGGAAATGTTTCAAGGTTCGTAGCATGCTGAAAGGACTCGAGGCAGTCGACACAAAAGCATAGACGGGATAATATGTAGTTCTCAGTAAGTGAACGAATAAAAGAGTGAGATGGGAACATTTGGCGAATACACAAACGAATCATCAACGAACGTTTGCTTTCTACTTATTTTTTTCCCTCTTTACATATTCTGTATCAACATAAAATAATATAAAAAATTTTTCCTGTCAAACATTCGCTTGGAATAAAAATGAGCAGGAAAACTACAAACTTCAAAAATATTCCGGCTTAATAATAACGTTAGGAACTAGTATCACCGCTTTTCGCTGGAACGACGGCATCTTGTTCGAAGCGCCTATTCTCAGCTTCGACTGGAGAGGCTTCTACGTGAGCGTCTTTCCCCTTATCAGCTTGATACCAACTAACTTCGAAACTACACCTTTGAAGAGCTTCAATAATCTTCTCTTGTAACTTGGACAAGTCTCCTACACAACTTTCCAAATCGTCCGGTCGAAGCAACAAAAAGTATTGGCTGTCATCTGTCTCTCCTGCAACACAAGGCAAGGCCGTGTTAACGACTGTGCGTAACTAAGTATATATTTGAACGAATTTTCCAGGAATAAAGTTTCCACTTCACCTTTGCATCCATTTCGTCTCTATGAATGTTGAAAAGGGGAACTCCAAGCCATCCAGTTGTTTGCAACGTGGTCCACTCAGGCTTCACCTTTTTGTCTCCGTGAGTGATGTCACACGCAGCACAATGTCCCCTTCCAAACCACTTTCGAAGTAGATAAAGAACTTCACCTGGAACTGTTCCGTCCGCATCGTAGACAATGTATAGAGCCTTTAAAGAGCCGATTCTTCGTTCCAAACAAGGACTGGTATCTTCAACCTTTTGTATTCTTTTCCTGGTGTTCATAATATCCAATTCTCAATAAATATCCGACACATCGAGAAAACTATCAGTAGTTACGAAGTTAATGTGTCAAAGGAAACCCAAATTTGCCCTTAAGGGGGAGAATGAAATGATCTCCCATTAAGCTCATTTTTCGAACCCTCATGCATTGAAAGGTTCTCCTTTAAACTCTTCGATTCTTGTCTGTAGAGAAGAACGATGAATTCACAGACATTTTAGTGATGCATTGCACTCTATAAGGACATATATGATATCACCTTTTTACGCAGTATGATCTATTATTTCAAAGGATAAAGCAGCATTCTTTCAAAATATTTATCAATTGACATTTACATGCCCTTCAAAAAATAATGATATTTCCTAGAAAATTCTTTGTAAAGGTTTCTTTATAGAAAACCCATATTTTTGAGGTTTTACGACGATAGAAAGAACAATAATGTTGAAAAAGACAAACAATAGATAACTTGACAAAATTTTTCTAAAAAATACGATTTCTTTGATTATTATCAAAATATGTATAGGAGTTTTGTCTCATGGGCTCAATTACTAGGAAACAATAAAATGATCGAAAAGCTATCTCAACGCTCACTTCAACAAGATTTTATGGTCGCCAAGTTTTTCCATTGATTGGTTCCACTTGTATTTCCACTTACAAAACTGCATAGTCACCTCAACGACTGTATCCATTCAGGATAAGAACCCAGTGTTCGGTACAAAGCAATAAGGTGCGTTCCAGCCCTGCTGAATGATTTTACTTCATAAACTTGACTGTAATCCCTTTCAAAACCAAAGACTCATCTAAAACTCTGAATGTTTTGCTAATCAGCTCTACGTTTTCTAGATAAACTACTTAAAAGCGCATCACTTCGTAATACATATCACGTTCAATTATTGGATTGCCGATTTCGCGTCGTCGTCCTTCATTTCGCATTGGCAAATAGGACAGACGCAAAGGAATCATGGTTTTTGTCAAAGTTGTCAAGAATAAAGCTTATTTCAAAAGGTTTCAAGTGAAACCTAGAAGAAGAAGGGAAGGAAAAACTGACTATAGGGCAAGATTGAAGTTAATCACACAAGACCTGCGAAAGTACTCTTCCCCGAAGTATCGTCTGGTCGTTCGTTTCACCAACAGGTACCTTTTGAATTGATATTCTTGATTTATATTCAGCTAAAGGTATTAAAGGGATATAGTTTGCCAGTTTGTTTACGCAAGACTTGAGGGAGATCACATCCTATCAGCGGCGTACGCACACGAACTACCTCGTTACGGCATCAAAGTAGGATTAACCAACTTTGCTGCTGCATATGCAACAGGTTTATTATTAGCTCGTAGAACGTTGAAAAAACTCAATCTTGATGAAGTTTATGTGGGTAAGGAGAGCGTCGATGGTGAGTTCTTCGAAGTAGAACCACAAGGAGAGCGAAGGCCTTTTAGAGCGTTTCTAGATGTTGGACTTATTCGTACAACAACTGGCAATAAAGTTTTTGCTGCGATGAAAGGTGCCGTTGATGGTGGTGTGGATATTCCTCATAACGAGAAACGATTTCCCAAGTACACCAAGGAAGAAGGATTCAAACCAGAAGAGCTGCGCTATAGAATATTTGGACAACATATTGCCGACTACATGAGACAGCTTGCGGAAGAAGATAAAACTCTTTATGAAGCTCGATTTTCACAATATATCAAAGCCGGAGTTGGACCTGATGACCTGGAAGAGATGTATAAACAAGCACACAGTCGTATTCGAGAAGATCCTTCCTTTGAAAAGAAACCCAAACGTGAAGTAACTAAGCATCGTACTTTTCGTCAGAGAAAACTTACAAAAGAAGAGAAAAAGGAGAATTTGAAGAGAAAAATAGAAAAATTAGCTATGGCAAGTATGACGACAGGTCATGAAGAAGAAGAATAAATGCCGTTTCTATTGTTGCTTATGTCGACTAGTTTTCTTTCCATTAATTTGAAAACTTGAAGTAAGGAGAGAAGACTTCACATTTTTTTCTGCTATTGAAATAGTTCTTCTGTAACTTGTACAGTGTCCTATTGCACGAATGTGATGGCATTTGCTACGTGGAATTGTCCTACTCTACTAAAGACGGGTTGTAAACATTGCAATCCTACTATAAGAAATAACAATACCAACAGACTTTTGAGAGTTATTTGGATATCCAGGTTCCAATCTGTCAACGGTTATCTCCAGAAAATGGTGGTAAAAAGTGAAAGGGCAACGGGTCAAAGTTTTCAAGAAGTAGTGATTGGAAACGGACGCATTGGAAGCTTGCTTGCACGTGCTCCAGGTATGAAAGAACCTGTTGTGGTAACAAGGGGAGAAAGTATACCAGCAGATGGTTATGGACCTATTTATGTTTGTACGAGGAACGATGACCTGGATAGCATAGTGGCAAGAACCCCATCAGATAGAAGACCAGACCTCGTCTTCATTCAGAATGGAATGATTCAAACTTTTTTGGAGGAGAGAAACATTCAAAATAATACTCAAGCTCTAATGTGAGTGTATTTTCAAACTCAGCTATTCATACGGAATTGAATGGGTCTTAGATATTTTGCCGTAGCCAGTAAGGGAGATTCTCCAGTGGATGGTGGTGGTACAGTCGTTTATGGAAAGTGGGCAGAAGCTTTTGCTCAACGAGTTTGTTCGTTGGGTTGTAAATGTTCAGTTGTTGAAGATAAAACTGAATTTATCAAAAAAATGGTCGAGAAGCTATTATGGATTTGTGTTATGGGACCCCTTTGTGCCACGTCTCATTTTACTTGTGGACAAGTAGTAGCTAACGAAACCTGCTTGCGTGACTTGGAAGATTTGGTCAACGAATTGAAGCCAATTGCGGAGGAGGTTTTACGTATAAAATTAGATGATGGAGTTGTTTCACGTATCGTGGAGTATAGCAACAAAGTGTCAGATTATCGAGCAGGAGTGAAAGAAATTGCTTGGAGAAATGGTTGGTTTTTGGAAAGAAAGAAAACTCCTTTGCATGTTTCTTATATGAAAAACTTTATCGGTTGAAACGACCAATAAAAGAAGTATAAACCTTACCATATCTATATATATCTCTCTCTCTCTCTCTCTATATATATATATATATATATATATACCAATGTGTATTACTGAATGCTAACCATCTTTGGAAAACAACTCGAAACATGTATAGAATAGAGAATGTTTCCAAAGCTTCGTACAACACAATTTGGACAAACCAAACGGAACCAAAATTGTGAAAAATGCAATTGTAGAGAGACGTTTCAGAGTCACGCTTTTACATATATCTGCTATCAAAAAGTTGATCCACTTTTCATCCAAACAGGAAATACCTTCCATAAACAACAAAATACAAGAATATGTCATGGATAACCGAAAAAGCAATGTTGCGTTCTCAGTCTTCATTATGAGCTCATGAGAATGATACATGATAATATACAACGTATCCACAGGAACAGCTTCCAAAATTTTCCTATCTTTCAACGCTTCTAAAAAAGAACTATACAATGGAAAGCTTATATCCGAATTCAGGTACTCTATTGCTGTATCAATCGTTACAGATGTCTCATTCAGTAATGCTGCATGTACTTGCACGAGTCGTTGTTTGATAAGCTCAAAACTATCGCAACTGAAACTTTGATATGCAACTCTTTGGACAACACTAGGCAAATGAATAACTTGGTCCAGATTCAACCAAAATTTCTTATTCTCGTGATATATTCGATGGAGAACATGTGAAAAGGTTGATGAGAACTCTGTTACACAAAAACCTAATAATAGCTCGTCCGCTACATTCAGTGATAGGGTATCATCAAAATTATCTTCACTCTTCAATTGATATAATAAATAGTACAACATGTCTTCCTCTCCTTCTTCAGCGTATGTAGATATGGCGTCCCAGGGTATCTTTTCAGAAGAATTGCGATGCTTTAAATGACTTGAATCTGCAGCTTCCAACACAATACTTTCGCTGACTGATGGTGAGAGCCAAAACATTCTTTCCGCAGCTATTGCAGAGAGAGTTGAACCACTATCCAACTTTCTTGTATTTGTAGCCAGGTGCTGTCTCTCGTAAGATTCTAGCAGCTGAACAAACGAGTAATAAATAGACCCTGTTGCTTGAGCACTCAATTGGGACTTGAAGGAAAAACAAAAAGAGGGAATAACTTCATCTGCAGGCTTGGGTGCCAACACAAAGGCTAAATTGTCCGTACATCTTTCAGGGTGATTCTCCAGAATTCGTACTAGACTGGAAACACAGAGTTCCAACCAAACTTTAAACTCCAAAGTAGACGACTTGTGGATAGATTGTAATGCTTTTTCTAGTGTTTGATGTAACTCTTCTGCCTTTCTTGTGCTCAGGTCTAAACACGCTTTGGTAAGCTGATCCAGAAAATAGCAGAAGGTCTGTGATGCAATGACACTCGAATTCCACGACATTTTCAGGAATTCAATGTTACTGAATGAATACAACTTCCCATTCCTATAAAGGACAGCTAGGTTGTCTGACAGATAATAACACAAAATTGAAGAAAACTTGCGAATCTGGTGAATGAATGTTCTGAATTCTGCGAAAAATGCTTATCAGTGCATTTGCGAAACTGCATATTTCTTCCATGTGACTACGTATAATAACAAAAGTGCTTTCGATTGAAGTGTCGAATGTTGTTTCCTGAAGGATTCGTATACCATGATAAATGCAAACGCACATTTTGTCTTACAATGACATTGTTTAACGAACTCAAGAACCACGGCTCACTCAAGTTCCTTTCATATATCCTACTACAAATCCGTGGTATTTTGAGCATATTCAAGCTGAAACAATGCGTTTTCCCAAGATCTAGACAAACCATCCAAGTCCTTTGGTTTGCAACTTCCTTTCACTGCCCAAGTAGGTTTCGGGTTTTCATGCACTGTTTGTTGTTCAACTTCACCACAGCATTTATGTCGAGCTATGGTATTCTTCCGAAACGTCTTTCTTTGCTTCACTCCAAGCTCAAACGAAAGACTGCACTCTCCACTACAAAATACACGTCCCTCCTGCTTTACATATTGCCAGTTGACCTTGGGCATTCTTCTTCTACAGTTATGACATATATAATATAGACCTATGGTGTCAGAATCCGAGAAGCTCATAGTTAACTAAGCAGAATGAACCTTGTTCCACATGCTCGTCCAATCTCACTCTTGATGGGAGAAAATCCAAAATCCGTTAAAATAATGCTTTTTCAAGGAAACCTTCGGCCGCTTTAATCTGTCTTGGAATGATTTGGTTGGGTCGAATGACTTCGCATATATAGGCGGAATCGAATCCACCCAACTATGGCATTGAACACAAACAAAACTCCAATCACAATCAACAACCAACGCTAGGATTACAAGTTGATCTAAAAGCTTCTAAAAACAAATGCAATACGTACATTTTTTTCTATAAAACTTTGTTCTCCTGTCACAGAAACTTCTTGTACTGTCTCCTTCCTACCAAGAGCTACCTTGGGAAACTGTGGTGTCTTCACTTGCCAATACCCTAAAAGCTTTCCAAACGCTTCTCTTCTTGAAAGCCCATCCCTGCTATAATTACAAACACCATGTAATGGGTAACCAGCACCTAAACCAATCCATTCCAAGTTTGCGTCAAGATATACAAGGAAAAGTTCCCGGAAACTCTGCTCCACTAGGCGACACTTTTGATTCCAACTAAGCAAACAATCTTCATAAAAATTAGACTCTAAAGTCCTTACCGCTCTGTAACTCGTAGTTAACCAAACGGGATGCTGCAGCTCACTAAAAGGGGTCTTGGTAGCACGAATAAAGTAAAGCTGATTCTCAAGAGCTAACTGCATCAAATTATCTATTTCTGTAGAAGTAAGATTTATTTCGACAGGCTTCACTGTCCCAAGAGTTTCTTGTTTCAAAGGCAAGTGTATTCGACCTCTTGGTAACCAAGTATGCCCCAAGTCAAAAGAGTGTTCTACACGGAAACTATACTGTTCATTGACACCGACTGCAAAGTCGCATATAAACCACCATAGAGTAAATAGAAAACAAAGTGCTCCAAGAATAGGCGATGGCTTCAAACAGCGCCTCACTACCATCTCCTTTTCTCTTCCAAAAGGCATAATGTACTTTTATGGGATAACATGAATGGAGACTGGATACGACTGCAAAACTTAGAGAAACTTTTCAGTGAGTTGCTAAAAGACAGGCCATCCTTAAGAAAAGATGAAGAAGACGTTCTTTCACTTATGGAAAAGCTCCCAAAAGAGGAGGTCCTTACTATGTTGACTAACTCAGACAGTTTGGTCGCCTTTCGCTGTTCCTGTTTGTTAAGTGATATATTGACCAAAGGACTTTATGCCATTTTAACTGAACAAAGAGAAGGCTTAATAGGAAGCGAAGAAATGTTTAAACTAAGGTTGGAAAGTTTGTTTTCGTCTTTTGCATTTCTAGACCTTTTCGTGACTGTAGAACCAGTGTTCCTGTATCGCCTATGCAGATTCTATGCAAGGGTCTTGGACAATATGGGAAGACTTCTTCAAGAATATTCAGTGACTGACTCCTCACCGGTTTCCGTTGTTGTATTGAGGTTAGAAAGATTGATTTGGAGGCAACGAGATATGCTGTTGTTTCCTCATGGAGAGACAACGACCAGTGTTCCGTATGCATTCACGGCTTATTTAGTGTTGTGTCGCAAGTGGATTTCTTTTTTAACTTTATTACACTCGCCTTATCATTCGACACATTCCTTACTGAATGTTCCCGACTTTGTCCGATACGCAAATACGCATCCAGTGTTTTATGTCCGTCAAAGAAGTTGGGAATTGTTATTGGAGTTACAAAAACGTCACGTGGAGTTTTCAAGAGTAATTTTAGAAGAAGCTTGCAGAGAAGAAAACCTACCATCATTAACGACACTTTTCAGTGAACAGGATAGTGGCACTCTTCAAATGAGTAGTTACTTTGGTTATCAAGCGGATTCTGTTCCTAGTATCCCAACAAAACAGATGTTTCTTCGCTATTATATTCTGGGCCTTGTATCATCTCTCAGTGATCTGTCATGGAATGAAGCTCTTCTTCATTCTACCCATTTGTATTTTGTAGAACGAGTGGATTTCATATTGAAACAAATCACATTTTTCTTGGCTTCCTGGTATGCGCCACCAAAGAGTCATAGTTTGGAATACTATTTAGTGATGTTATTCACTGAACAAGATGACTTGATGTGTATGCTTTTCACAAAAGTTTTAAAGCTATGCCGACAATCTTTGAATTCTGAAGAGCAGCAACATAAGAAAATACCGAAATTATCACTGAATATTCATCCGATGGTATTTTGTTGGTTATATCAAATAGACTTTGATGAATATGTTCTACTTGACTTGATCAATTCGTCTGAAACTGAATTTCTAACTTTCTTTGTGAAGTATTTAAACGCCATCTTATATACCGAACCTGAAGATTTTTTGGGCAATATTCTGGAAGGTGATTCAGGTCGCTTTACTTCTCTACTAGAGAAATTGAGCTCGGTACTAGAACGCCTGCAAGACAAAAACCTTATCCCATTTTGCTGTGAGCCACTTATTAGAAAAATGAGACAAGTATTGCGACATATTCTTCCAATTGCTTCGACACGCGATAAAAAGCAGCGGTCTGAATTTTCAGATAAAGTCTCTCCAAGTTAGCTAATATAGAAATATACCGTTAAATTGTATCTTTTCATAAGATGGAATGGTTTAACTTTTTTTCATTGCTTCTTTTTACGGTTTGCACAAAGGCGTGGTTTGTGTTGTTTTCTGTTTTTCTTTTATACATTATTTATGAGTGTCGCGTGTAGTTAAAGCTCTTAGTGTTCAAGCTATACCAGGCAGACTGCTTTCTATCCTATGTCGTGCTTTTCTGTTGAGAGTATGTTGTACAGATTAGGACCTCAATAACTTCCTTCTTGCTAGAATTTTCTCTTCTTCCTATGGTTTTACTGGTCAGGCAATTGAAGCAATTCAATTCTTTTCAAAATGACGTTATAGCTCTCGAAGAATTACGGAAGAATATTGATTCATAGTTTTTCTAGTTATTATTGAGGAATGGAAGCTAGTCAGTTGACTTACTGCTTCTTGCAAGTATCATTGAGTTCAAGCAGCCTGAAATTCATCCTTCTTAGAATATCTTACTTCACTATCTGTGCTATGAAAGTGCCAATTGGATAACTCTTTTGTCCTTCCATTCTGGATGAATAGCCCAACTCATGAATGGAATTTGTAGCATGTTCAGTACAACTATTAAAGCTTAAATAATTTGAACTGATAGTTCCTTGAGTTTTTTCTAATGGAAAGGAGAAGAGTAGTAGTAAGTGCACCTGGTAAAGTTATCTTGTTTGGTGAACACTCCGTTGTTCACGGAAAGCTTGCAGTTGCAGCAGCTATCGATAAACGTCTTTTTATTTCTTTAGAAGAGAGCAACGAAAACACAATTGCCATCAAGTTAGAAGGATTTGAAAGGGAAGACAAAACAGTAGTTTTGAGTACTGCTTTGTTGTTGTCTTTTTCGGAGAAACTATTCGAAAATCTAGTTGCGATCGAGTGGAGGATGAAAGACACTTCTAACGATCTTTCACAGCCTCCTTCTTTTCTCTCTTCTTCTTTTCAAGATTTTCTTGCACAGCAAGGGAATGTGGACTCTTGGATGAAAAATGTTGAGCAGTATTTGGAGAGTCATTCTTCCTATCTATCTGCGAGTAGCGCTATTCGTTCGGCTGTATTTCTTTTTGTCGTTTGTTATTTAATCATATTGGTTTACCCAAGGCAAACAGAGAGTACAAGGGGATTATTGGTGACTGTGCAATCACAGGTAAATGAATATCCCTCAATGATGTTTGTTATACTGATAGAATACCCAGATTCCTGTGGGTGCTGGTCTCGGATCTTCGGCATCCTTTTCTGTGGCTCTTATCACATCTCTTTTAGTATTAGCTGGTGATATTCAGTTACAACAATTATCGGAGGATATTTCTGGGACCCTAAAAGAGAGCATCAATCGTTGGGCTTTTCTTTGTGAAACATTTTTGCATGGAACTCCATCAGGTATGGATAATACAATTGCAACATTTGGAGGCTTCCTTAGTTATCGGAATGGGAAGAAAGAAACCTTTCAAGTACATTCCGATATTCTTCGTTTCATTGTTGTCGACTCTGGTGTGCCTCGAAGCACTCAAAAGATGGTATCCAAAGTATATCAGAGATATCAAGAATTTCCAGAAATTGTGTCTCCTATTTTGATTAGTATGGATGAAATTGCTATTCGGTTTATTCAATCTGCAGTATCTAATCTTGTTGGGGACAGTTTTTCTCAACAACTTGCCACACTAATGAAAATCAATCATTATCTTCTCAATGCTCTTGGTGTAGGTCATCCACTGTTGGAAGATATAATTTCCATTGCCCAAGAATTAGGATTTGAAGGTGCTAAACTAACTGGAGCTGGAGGCGGAGGTTGTGCTATTATCCTCGTTGACTCTGGAAAATCAATTGAACATGTCGATACATTGTTGAATACTTTACAATCCACTCCTCATGGCTATCGTTGTTTCGAAATAGTATTAGGAGGAAGTGGTGTGCAAATACATCATCAAACGAATTGATTAGTTGTGATAGGAAATGAATGTTTGTCAAATCTTACAAAGTAAATAATCTCGTTCAACGAAGGATCTCCTATAACATTTGTTTTATACTCCTGACTCGATGCTTATTGTTCTAGTAGTTCTGTTCTACTCCAAATGAACCTCCCTGGAAACTTTTCAAGGTTATTCTTGAGAGTTGCTTCGTAAATGTTCCAAAGACAGATGGAAAAGTTGTACGAATAGATTGTAAATAAGAATAGGGAATATCTCAAATGACTTGGTGGAATATTTGTCGGAATGCAAAGCAGTCAACTAAATATTCTCAACTACTTTCAATATTCAGTACTGAAGATTATATTGTTCAATATGTGCCAAAGCGTCGTTCTCATTTTATTTCTACTGAAGACGCTTTCGGAAGACAAGACTCTCAACAAGAGAAACCTAAACCTTCAGTCTATCGCACTAGACATCGAGGAATGGAAGTCATCCAAGATCCTTTTACGAATAGAGGTGCAGCTTTTAGTTGGGATGAGCGTGAAAGACTAGGGATACGGGGTTTAGTACCTCCCAAAGTCCAATCCTTTGATGTACAAGCCGAGAGAGTTCTTAGTCGAGTAGACGCACTTCACGACCCGCTCAACAAATACGACTTTTTGGTGTCCTTACTTGACCGCAATGAAACTCTTTTTTATCGAGTGCTGACTGATCACTTTCAGAAAATTGCGCCAATCATTTATACTCCTACGTAGGTATTCGTTCTATTACTATTTCTTTCTTGGGTTGAAATATGACAAGTGTTGGTTTGGCTTCTCAGAAATCGCAAGTTATTTTTAGAAGGCCGAGAGGGATGTACTTTTCTAAATATGATCGAGGTTGCATGAATACTATGGTTTACGTAAGACAACCATCCCATAACCACCTGAAATCATAACTGTATATGATGTACTTAGAACTGGCCTCAAGATCAAGTTGATGTCATCGTTGTTACAGATGGCAGCCGTATTCTGGGGTTAGGTGACCTTGGTGCAAATGGTATTCAGATTCCGATTGGCAAGTTGGCTTTATATGTTGCTGGTGGTGGTATCGATCCACGTCGAGTACTGCCAGTCGTTTTGGATGTAGGGTGAGTAGTCTTTGGATTGATAAAATGATATATGTGCACATGTATTGAATCATGACAGAACGAATAATGAAGCATTGAGGAAGGATCCTTGGTATCTAGGAATCGCTGAACCTCGTATCACTGGCGATGAGTATTTTCGTTTTGTGGATGAGTTTATGGAGGCTGTCTATTCAAGATGGCCACAAGTGATGGTTCAGTTTGAAGATTTTGCCAATCCAGTGGCTTATCCATTGTTAGAAATGTATCGCGATAAATATCTTTGCTTCAACGATGATATTCAAAGTACTGGAAGTATTGCTTTGGCATCCATTTTGGCATCTTTGCGAGTGAGAGGACTTGCTACAAAAGATATTGTTAAGGAACGAATTGTTTGTATGGGTGCAGGTAGTGCAGGTTTGGGTGTATGTGAAACGATTATTCAGTGCATGGAAACAGAAGGTTTACGTTCACATCAAGCATATCGTCAATTTTGGTTGTTGGATGATAAGGGTCTTCTTGGTAGAGGTAGAGTGGGTTTGACTCCGACTCAAGCTCGATTTGTAAGAGACGACTTACAAGATGGCAGTAGCTTAGAAGAAGTTGTCCGAATAGTGAAGCCTACCATTCTTTTGGGTTTAAGTGGTGCTGGAGGCGTATTTACGGAAACTGCAATTCGTGAAATGGCAAAACATGTGGAAAAACCTGTCATCTTTCCACTTTCCAATCCAGTCGACCATGCCGAATGTACCGCCTCACAAGCTATCGAATGGACAGATGGACGTGCTATTTTTGCTAGTGGAAGTCCATTTGATGACGTTGAATATCAGGGAAAAATATATCCCATCAATCAAGTAAGTTTATAGCTAACTTCATTCTTCATATCTTTCATGATAGACTAGTGTAACAATGTATACAACTTCCCGGGTATGGGTTTGGCAGTAACTGCCTGTCGTATTTCACATATTACAGATGATATGTTTCAAGCAGCAGCCAGACGCATCTCCAGTTTGAGTGGAGAGGATAAGGAACGATTGTTTCTACCTTTGTCAGACCTTCGAAAAGTTTCCTTACAAGTTGCTACAGCGGTTGCTGAAGTTGCTTATGAAGAAGGACTTGCAACTGCAGAACCTCCTAGGAAGATGACCCTGCATCAGTATCTGCTTTCTCATATGTGGCAACCACAGTATGCACCGTTAGTACCTCTCTGATCTCATATGTTTAGTAATAAAGGCAAATATTTTTTCATCTTTTATTCATAAAGACCAGAAAATCGAAATGGTAAATGATCCTTCTTACGTTGAGAGAAACCTTGCAAGGCCCGAGTCCAGATTCCACTGGGTTTCCAACGCTGTAGATAAGATAGACGATCCAAAACTTGTCTAGCTAAAGATTCCGATACAAATGTTTGTTTGTTTTCAAGATATTCCATCGCATACAACGCTTCCAAACTATATACACTCAAAACGGACTCGTATCTTCGCATTACATAATCATCTGTGTTCAAATAACCAGTGAGAGGTCGAAGCCACACGGGTCCTAATAAGCAAGTTTCTATATAAATACTCCAAGCAGCAAAAGACCCTGCACCAGGAATTAAAAATGGTTGCGAACTATTATTCATAGGAAATTCGATGTGGCTCATTCGAGAAACTTGCATTGCTTGACCAGCATCTGCAACAACAATAAGTGGGTCAGCAAGGCCTTTATATACACTCTTGGAATATTTCGATATAGAGTTGTCGGGAAGACTAACTGGATTCGCACCAAGAACAATGGGTTCCTCATCCAAGCAACTCGATGACAAACGTTCATCAATACTAGGTAACTTGTGTAGGCTGTACGAGAAAAACTGCAAAGGATGAGGATTCTCTTTGCTTTTACTAAGATGCCTCCAAAATGAATCCACATGTCCACTTTGTGCATTTTGCCACATACTATTCAAATTTTCCTGAACAGATTGACGCACACGTTGCAAGAAATGAGGATATAGTTCATTCCTGCCTTTGCCATTCCGACTTTTTGACAATGTTGTTGTAGCCTCGTTTCCCATCTCCTTCCATACTTGTGACCAAATATTTTCTATTCTACTGTTGTCCTCTTTCCAACCTTCTGCAGTTGCACATACAACAGCTTCTCTCGCTACATCTATTACACCCAGTCGCAACCACTCATAAATTGCAGCATATCGCAAAGCACTGGTAGGTCGAACATTTAAATGCAATGCAAACTTCACAATCCAATCAAATGCCCAAGAACTGCAACCTAAAGAAAGCGCTCCTTTTACTAGTTCATATAATGGCAATTGCAATTGACTCAAAGCAATGTTGGCTCTATTCTTTTCTAAAAGACGATAGATTCGTTCCAATGTAGAAAACTGCTGCTGATGATATCCAGTTCTGATCAACCTTGCCAATAGATAGCCATCTGGTTGCCAGTCTCCTCTTTCCAAGCCTCGAAAAAGAAATTCTAAAAAATCATATGGGACTGAGTCTTGACAATTTTCAATCGCTTTTAAAAGCATGACATATACTGAGCTATTTGGATAAAGTCCGTTCTCAATCATCTTCCTTAACAATTCATATCCTCGTTGCAAGTTACCTTCCACTCCGGCAGCTGCAATAAGACAAGCAAAAGTATGTTCATTTGGCTCATAACCGTAGAGTAAAATCTCTTCGAAGATCTGTTGGCATAGCGCAACGTCATTGACTCGCAAGCAACTCCGCATCCAAATATTCAGTGCTCTCAATGATGGTTTGCCGAGCTTCTCCTTCATTAACCGTATCGACTTACTCACACCATTAATATCATTTACTTTGGCATAAGCATTTACCAAAAATTCAAAACTGTCTTCGGTAGGGTTGATTCGAAGGACATTCGCAGCATAAAACAAGATTTCATTGGCAACATTTGGGTGACCACCACTTGCTGCAGCTCTTATCATTTCTCTAACAATCCATGCCGTAGGAAATACTCCGGCTCTAAACATCCAGTTATACATTTCTGGTAGGTCGGCAAGGATTTTAGCTGCCTCACTATTGTCTGAAGAAAGCAATGGATGACTTGGTTGCACGCGATTGATCATACGCTCACCTCTTGAATGTCTAGTGAGCGTACGCATCAACAACTCAAAAGTGTAGTAATTTGGAAGTTTTCCGTATTTGGAATAAAGCCAAAAGACGAGTTTTGCATACTTCCATTCTCCACTGTTTTTAGCAACTAGTAAAAGTTGGTCTAAAACTTTCGATGAGATAGGAACATTCCTTCTGGCAATGAATTTCACCGATGCAAGTGCTTCATCAATACCAGCACTGTTTGCAATCTCAAAAACAATAGATCTTATTGCGGCATCGCTTGGTCTGTGACCTAGTTGAAGCAAACTATCCAATACGCCTAAAATGGAGTTCAATTGTCCATCTCTAGAAACAGCTACTAACAGTTCAGACAGTGCAAAATCACCGTATTTGACATGAAACTCTCTCTGCATACTCTCAAATGTCCCACAAGCTTCCTGGTAATGATTACTATTCGTAAAAGCACGCATAATTGCAGCAACAGTATATTCATCAGGTCGCAGATCTCGATTCTTCATTTCTTGTAGAGCATCTAAACTAACATCATGTCGACCTACATGTGATAATCTGCGAAGATAATGATTAAAAAAATTCACTTGAAGCTCCTTGTCTAAGTGGTTGATAAAAAGCAAGGCCCATTTGCCATGATCCAAAGGGTTCTCACTAATCATTGCTTTGGCTAACTGAAGCCAAGTCACATCCGACGTTTGTTTTCCTGTTGGACATTTCAATAAAAGTTGCATTGCTTTGATAACATTTACCAAATGAGTATGAGTCTCATTTGTGTAAATATCAAACAAGACGGAAGCTGTCTCACTATCGAGATCATTCTCCGTAGAAAATAAAATATTCGAAATATAATCCACCTGAGGCTCGATTCCCATACCACTATAGCATAGAATAAGTTCGTACAGAACTTTTCTGACATCCTTACATTCTGACCATTCTCTGACTTGAACTAATTTTTCCCATCTTTCCCATAGCAACAAACAATCCCGATATCTTTGCTTCCTGCGCAAAGATTGACTAACCTGAAGCATGGTGTGTTGATCAACCAATTGAATAAGCTCATCAGAACTCAATTTGTCCACCATCCAGTTGAAACGGGACTCTTCATTCAAAGCTTCTAATATGATAGAATTGAATTGACTACGATCAAGAGACGGTGGATGCAAGGATTCCTCCGATATATTTTCAGGAGTAACTATGCAAACCAATGGGAGCATCTGTTTGTATTGAGGGTATCTTTCTTTGAGAATTTCACGTTGCTGAAACCAATCGTCTCTATACAATAGCTTTCTAATGCTTACAAATACTTTCCTTTCGAAATTTGCCTTTTTGGGATGCTGCTCTCTTTCTTGCTTTCCTTCATCGGTACTAGTCCACTTTGTATGACTTCCTGCTTCACTTTCACCAGGTTCGTTCAACGGGACGCTGAAAGTTGAGTCCAAGTTACCTGCATTTCCTAGAGCTCCAGCAAAAGCGAGTGGTTTACAGTGAAAAAATCGAGGTTTCAAGTTGTTTCTAATATCGGAGCACCATCCTTCTTCTTTACAGAGTCTTCGTCGAGACAAGTAACCAGGCAGTTTTCGAAAGTTACATCTACAACTAGCCATGAACAAAGAAAAGGAAAAAACAGTATATGCTACTATCTGCCTATTCCAACATATATTCCTCAACTTTCCAAATACTTCACACTCTGTAACGATTTACAGAGCGCCAAGAGCAGCTACTCAAAAAGAGTTTTGCATTGTAAGCCAACTGTAAATCAATTTCATGAGCGTTTGTTAGAACAGCAACTTTAGTCCAGCAAAAGTCTTGGTAAAGGATTGACAAGATATGAATACAGGAGAAGATTCTCTTTAGTATTGTACGGTACACTCAAAGAACTTGTCCTATTGAGAAAACCTAATATCCATTGAGCAAATTGAAGTGTGTTGAGCACTAGAAAGGGCAATAAAAATATCTCAATTTCAACTCAGTAGGTTCTTAGAGTGGTTTCCATAGGATTGTATATTCTCACTATGCAAATTAGGGAAAGGCACTCTGTCCTACGCATTGAGAATAGTCTAAAGGCATTTTAATAAAATGGTTCAACTAACAAACATATGCACTAACGATTGAGCATCATGAAAACATTGTGAAAAATAAGGAAATGTCTTGGTAAAAGTATTTGCCAATATGTCTTTTGAGGTATTGCTATCCACATCTCCTACTTCCCGCAACTTTTTAGAAAAGTCTTCCAATATATTGGCATTCAAACTAGTATTCTCAATCAGAGAAGGAAGCAATCTTTCTGGATTATCCTTGTTATTGAGAAAACTAGCAATCAGCAAAGCCTTGGCTTCGTTTTCTTCCAAAGTCACCTGACTATTGTTACAACGCCTCAAAAACTCCTCCACTTTCTTAATATCTGAAAGAAAGTCAGCAGCAGCATCCTTACTAAATGAAAATACAAACTTGTCAGAACAAAGGGAACTAAACATAGTAGCGATGAATAATGAAAATGAATGACTATCTCGTTCGATTTCATAGTGGCTAAAACTATCCCAGGCTATCTGAGCCAAATCAAATCTTCTAGTCTTTACGCATCCTAAAAGTATAGCATTCAAGCTATTGGTATCGAAATCTAAGGATTTCTCTCTTCGATGTCTCCAAGTTCGAAAACTTTGATATACATGTCCATGAAAACTGGCAAAAGTTGCCAAACAATTGGAAGATTCAAGATCCAATTTCCTACCACTTTTTACAACATCGCCATGAAAAGTTACAATTCTTTCCATTCGAAAAGGAGCAACTGCTAATTCTCCCATGACCAGAAAGAGTGTCGGACATAATGTGAATACTCCTCTTGATTCCCACTTTCCCAACTGTTCAAAGCCTTGCCGAAACTTGTCACGGAAAATTAACGCCGCTAGATAGAGACTATAAGAATACTCATTGGGAGTCAACTGAAAGCGATTCATCTTTCTCAAAAATTCCATCACATCTCTATATCGACGTGCTTGAAAAGAGGAAAACATAAATGCGTTGTACAATGAAGTATCCATAGAAACACCAGAGCGATCTGCCATATCCAACAAATTCTTTATGTGAGGCTCTCTACGTTTCTTTTCCAAAACACTTAGAACCAACTTGATATGTTCGGCCTCAGGAATGACACCACAGTTTACCAGTTTCTCGAGACATTCAAATAAAGAGGAAACCGAATCGGCAGCAGCACATACTTGTAACACTTTGAGACCCATTTCTGGTGTAGCACTAGACCCAGCAATATGGAGAATGCGGATGGCTTTCTGTGGGTCTTTAACCAGAAGATAAATGTTCAAAGCCCTTTCTATACTGGCGTCCTCCGATGTCTCTCGTTGAAACACATAATCATAAACAGTAGCAAGTTGTTGTAACTGAGTTTGGGATAGTCTTTCATAAGGAATGAGGTCGAGTTCATATGGTTGAAAAGTAGCTTTTCCTGGTACTGAACAAACGAGCCTTATAGCTTGCTCCAAATCGTCTTTTTCTAGCGCTTTTTTAAGAGCACTGGTAAGTGATCTTCGAGCAGAACTCAAAATCTCTGTCGTAGAAGCTCTATTTTCTGTTACTTTTAGGGCTTCCTCGTTACTAGTAGCCAACGTGCGATACTTGGGCCCACTTTGTGAACAAAGCCCAACTACATAACAAGGTTGAAAGCGATATAAACTACTGAAATGTTTTATATACTTCCTTATATTAGAGCTTTCTTTTACAAACAGCTTCCTACTTTGTAAGATATTCCACGAAAACTTCATATCGTTTCAATGCTATCGATGAAGAGAATTAATCTAATTATTGAAAGAAACTTATAGGAGAATAAAGACATATGATGTCTCAATGGTAGAGAACCCTAGAAGACTTGTTCTGTTGCTTGATAAATATTCATAACGGTTGTGTAATGATAAAACAATCACATATGTTCCCTTCTTATGAAACCTATTTTGCTTTATTATTTCTTATTCAGTGAAAATTTCACTTTCTCTCATTGAAAGTTGCAATCTCTTTCAAGTTTTTTAGAAACTTTTATTTGAATAGTTGTAAAGAACAAATGAATTTTGAAATAATACGGGAAAAGCGTTGGATGACTCTTCGTTGGAATGCAAGTCCATTCCAGCAGTATGTATTCGTTTCTAGTGAATGGAGTTTTCCAACATGTTTTGGTTCCGTATTCTTATCGATATAGCAGTTGTAGGAATAAGACAAATACTCAACGAGAATATGTCAACGTGACTTGTGCTTTGGGAAGACACTTGATCCGATTCCCGAATTGGAGAGACAATAAGTTGAATATTCTTTCGGGAGAATATTTTGGATCAAGTAAAAATATTTTGTTGCGTGGTGACAGCAACGCATTTGGTGGAAATAATGGCGGTGGTAACAACTCAGGTCATAACCAACGCAATCAGGGTCCAGAAGGTGGTAACAATCCCTTTGTGTCTCTTTACTTGAGTTACATCTCAGCTTTAGAAGAAAGACCTATCTTGACCAAGGCTATTACAACTTCCTTGATCAATGCATTTAGTGACTTGGTAGCACAGTGGCTAGAACAAAGAGGGCAATCGTTGTTCCACTGGAATATTCGAAGAACTTTTGCTTTAGGTTTTTGGGGTTTTATCTTTATGGGACCTTTTTTCCATAACTGGTATTTAATACTGGAGCGTCTCTTTCCAAGTGGTCGATGGGCTTTTTTGAAAAAGATTATCTTGGATCAAGTAAGTTTCTATTTCTCCATACTTGTCTATAAGTGAACTTGATTCAGACCTTTGCTGCTGCATTCTTTAATATAACCTTTTTCTTGGGTACTGGATTTTTGGAAGGTCATAACTGGCATCTGATTGTAGACAAGTTGAGACACAAATTCTGGCCAACTATGTATGCCAACTGGAGAGTTTGGCCTCTTGTTCAGTGCATAACTTTTACAGTGATTCCTTTAACATTTCGGGTTTTGTGGGTGAATGTGGTTACTGTCATGTGGGTCATTTATTTTTCAAGTTTGGCTCATTCTCATTAAGAATATATTCACACGTCTCTTGACAAGTTCAATGAGACCACGCAAAAGAACTTTGAGGTTTCTTTATCTTTGGAAGAAATATCTGCGGATTGAAATAAAGGATTTCGTTTGTTCCTATCTGGTGACGAACGCTAAAATTGTCATCCATGCACTGTTCTACACAAGTTTCAAGCATCTGAAAAACAAATACTTTTATTATACTAAAAACAAACATTGACACTCTCTCATTTTTGCAATACAAATAATACTCAAGCATCTGACACTGCAACTGGTTTGTCGAACCGACGATCGGACTTTAAGAATGCAGCAATATGAGAACGATTTTTCATCTGATTATGAATTCCCTTTAGCTTAGGATAAGAATCAAGTATCGTCTTCTATGAAACAATGTGAATTTCCAATTCAACTAGAACAGTACTGATCTCATCTCACCTCTTCTCTCAAAAGAATGTCCAACACCTCAAACATATAATAATCTGCAAGAGTAGGCTCATTACAAACAACAAACTTATTTCCTCTGCGATTCACAAACTTTTCTACCAATTCTAACTTTCCTTTTGCTTCTTGTACAAAGATATCCATTTTCTGTTTCCGTTGAGGATCATATATGTGCTTTAGGTATATGCTATGGATATCGACAGCCATATCAAACAGCATATCGTTTAAAGCCTTCTCTTCATCTGTTTTTCCATATTTGTCATGTTTTCTGGCCAAGTATCTTGCAATCGCTCCGCTCTGAGCCAGGTGTAGGTTGCCATCTTGAAAAATCGGAAACTGTCCAAAAGGAAGTTTCTCTGTACCACTATGTTTGGCTTTATAACTTTCCCAGTCTTCAAAATTGACTATCTTGCTTTCATATGGTATTTTAAGGTCTTCTAGAAATAGGCGAATATGTTCAGCTCTTCCTCGAATAGGAAAGTAAGTTAGTTGATACATTTCGGAGTAGAAAATGAAAATCGATGACTTTTGTCCATGGGATGTGGAGTATTCCTCTAAAGAAGAACTGTGTGAGACTCGTGATTGGAAAAAGGTGTCTCAAGAGAACGCATAGTTTGAATATCTTCATGGACAGCAAACAACAACATAAGGCTGCATTGGACGATGTCAATCAAAAGGGTCACTTTGTTCGAAGAGAGTCCCAGTTCCGCAACTGGATTTCAAGAGAAAAAATAGCAGACTTTGCAGCAGAGCCTTGTAGATATCACTTATATGTTTCTCTGGCTTGTCCTTGGGCCCATAGAACACTAATTGTACGTAAACTGAAAGGCTTGGAACCTGTCATAGGTTGTACTGTAGTACACTATCATATGGACAGCATGGGCTGGAGATTTATAGAACCAGGAGAGAAGGTTCCTTTCTGTACTCCTGATGAAATAAATGGCGCCAAAAGACTCCGGGACATTTATTTTCAAGTAGATCCTGGATATGACGGAAGGTTTACGGTACCTTTGTTGTGGGATAAGAAAAGGAAGACCATAGTGAACAACGGTGAGTCACCCTTTGTTGTCAGAAGAAGCTCAACGCGGATGGTTGTTATTAGAGTCTGCAGAAATTATTCGAATGTTAAATAGCGAATTTAACGAATTTGCTGAAAATCCAGCTTTGGATTTATATCCAGCGGAACTAACATCCAAAATTGACGCTATCAACGGTGTTATATACGAAGTAGGTTGTTTCTCTTTGGATGAGAAAAGTACTGAAGAGTTACAGAATGTAAACAATGGAGTTTACAAGGCAGGTTTTGCTCGCACACAGGAAGCTTATGAAGAGGCAGTTACCACTTTGTTTCATGAACTTGAACATTTGGAACAAATACTTTCTAAATCTCGTTATCTTTGTGGAAACCAAGTGACTGAAGCTGATATTCGATTATTTACAACTCTCATTCGATTTGATGCCGTTTACCAATATCATTTTAAATGTAATCTGAGGCCTTTATACTCGTTTCCCAATTTGCATGGGTTTGATACTTTTTTCATAAGTTACCATCAAGAATATTTTACTTGTACTTAGGTTCACTTTGGACATGTATCAGTTACCAGGTGTCAAAGAAACCGTTTCTTTCGAGCATATTAAGAAACATTATTACATGAGTCATCCGGTATGGTTGTTGTTTTAGATGTGTAGAGGTAGAAATATCTAACAATCCGGGTTTGTGGTTGAAATAGACGATTAATCCTTTTGGTATAGTTCCAATGGGTCCTAAACTGGACTTTTCTGTTTCTCACAATCGAGATACTCAATTTTCATAAATCAGACTTTGTTCAACTGAAATAGAGCCTTTATTCTTCTTCGGCTATAGTACTACACATTTGAATGGTCCATTCATTGATAGACAACCTCGATAAGAGACTGCTCAGTTCTTCTCGAGATAGACGTCTTCTTCTAGTAGGTGTTGCCAAAGCACAACTATCTAAACATCCCAGGCATTCATTCTCACTCTCCTGAACTTCTTTATCTGGAATTTTATAAGAGGAGTCCTTGGAAGTTGTATATTTGGACAGATGCCCTTTACCTTGCCTGCATTGGAATATTTGTTTGAGACTATGCTGCAAACTTTTTTTTGTTTTTCGTTTTGTTGTAACTGATGATTTGCCGTCTTTTCTATCCTTTTCACTCAAGTCTACACCAAAGCAGGACTGGGTCCTATCCTTATTGAAAACCAAGTGCATTATACACAGCATCAACACTCCAAGATAGGAACAACTCTCTGACAGTCCGATCAATTGAAAAGGAATACTGTTACAGATGACAGACATCCATCCCATTGGAAGAAAATTGACTTTTCATTAAGAAACGGTAGAGAATCTCCAGGGACCGGGTCAGTTGCGGGTCAAAGAATTTTTTGGATGTGGCATTTATCAAACCAATACTGAAATTCTGCCACGTTGTACGCGCCCCCATGTAAAGACTCTTTATAGCAACTTTTGTATGCTTATCAACTTTGTAATAGCGTTACAAGTTGTGAAATATGGGCTTGTATATCTCTTAACAACCTATTCAATGGATAACAACACAAAGGAATCATGGACTCGTATCTTCGTGGTTTATTCACCTTTTATTTTCCAAATGGGTGGTGATTCACATGGATAGAACAAGTTACACGACCAGCATCAAATTTCCTTCAACCTCTTAACGACGATATTGCCATGACTATCGCATACACTTACAGAAACCTCTGTCCGCGTATTTTGTAAATGCAGTCGCTGCTCTATCAACTGTTTATCCGGCATAAGCGTCCTGTTGTTCGGTGGAGGCTCCGATAAATGATATTCCTCGTGATCAGCCTGATCGCCGTTTACCAGAAATGCAATATGGCGTATACCAAATGGAGCAGTAATCATAACCGCTTGGGTTGCCGAATCCCGAGATAACTTTATTTGATCTTGGTCAACTAGTCGGTTCCACCAACTTGCAGGTGTAGGTGATGCATGATAGTAACCCATTGGATTTAGATATTTATGATAGAATAATCGAATAGCAGAACTGCGGTCAAAAAAAGGTTCGTCAGCCTGAGTGATGACTCTTCCATCTTCAAAACCAACAAACAGCCGATTGAAGTGGTCTATTGAAAACTCTAAGTATCTTGTCCTTTCATTTTCTTGAAAGACCTACCAAAACCACGAGCCATTATACCACCACCTTTCCATCCCAGTTTTCCAGTAGGATGTGGCAACGAAAGACAGTGTCCGAGTTCATGAAGTAATGCTCCAATGGTGGTTGCAGTGATTGACCACATCTTACCTCGTCCTCCACTATCATCAAATAAGGACTTGTCACAAGGACGTTCATCCAGAAAACGTTCAACGACTTGTTCTATCGTTTCAGGCCAACTGTAAAGACAACCACCACCAAAAAGTGCTAATCTATCACCACCAAGAGCAGTATGAGCTTTTGCGACTTTCGCGTTGGGATCGTATCTCGTAAAAGACATTACAACCAAATCAATAGTATCCTCTCGATCAGGTAAACCTTTCAGTTGCTCATGAATGGTAGACCACAGTGAACCATCTTGCAAACGAAATGCTTCCTCATCTGTAAACGAAAAACGAAAAGTTGTTACAGGAGGAATGGCAGAAACGTGTTGTTGGTCAAAAATAAAAGTTTTCCTTTTTAACCCTTGTCTATACAGAAACTCAGCAGCTGCAGTTTGAATAAGAAGGGCCGCCATTGCCAATCTTCTTTCACCCTGAACACTTGTTCCTCGGTTATCCTTAGAAGAGACTTGAAAACTGCCGTCACCATTTCTCGTCAAGCCATATACTAAGCGAATCCGGTAACGAGGTTTTTCACAAACGTATGTCATAACTGTTTCCACACTTTCCAACAAATCGTCTGACTCCGTATAAGTACATAGTTTCAACTAAAAGACCATTCTAAATAGGATAAAACAATAGAGAACAACCAACCAACTTTATTGGTTCCTTTATTCAACAAACATAAAGCCTTGAAACGTCCGTTGAAACAAGGAAACCTATTTTCCTCTTCTTTATAGTTCTTATGAATTCGGATATACCGTGAAACAGAAGAACAACTGTGCAATATCTTTACATGAGTTTGCTATTTCTTAAATAACGTCCAAACCTTCCTTCAAAGAGTACTAAAGGATAGAAGACACTCGCATCCGATGTCCAGTTTTCTATGACAATCGTCATTTTTCTCTCGAGCAAAGCGACTCAGTGGAAGATAATAACTAGATAAGTCTCTCTTTAGGTTCTTCAAAGCTATGCAAAGCCAACTTTAGAATCTACATAAACAGTGCACATCACATTTCTACTGATCTATGGATTGGAGACTTGTTCCTTGGAAAACTCGACTCCCAACACAGTGAGTGGGAGAAACTTGCTTTGTAGCGTGTTAGCGCTTGTTTGGAACTATTCATTCCAAGCGAATGAAACCCTTGGCATATTTAAACTAGCCAAGTAGGGCAGTTTCTTCTGTGTCAAAAGGGCGTGAAGGCGAAAAGCACAGTGTCCCAGCTATGGCAACTGTCGCGACTCAGTCACGCTAAAATAAGCTCTACCAGCGGACCTTACAATGCTTCTCGCGCGCTATTTTAAGTATTGTAGATCATGCAGAGCAACCTTGGAGCCGTTTTTATGTCAACTACACATAGAAATGAGGTTGCTGTTGGGGAACAAAAAGTTTCGTATAAAATAGCAAGTCGCACTCTCACAAGTTGTTCAAGACATTCCAGCCATTCTGTCAGCAATGTTATATGCAAGAAGCTTTTCTATGAGGTCTACATGGGTTAGAAGCATTCTCCTACAGCAATATCGCTTCAGTCCCAACTCGTCCAAGGCTTGGCACTCGGTATAGTCTTTGTCGTTAAGTAATTTCACATACTGTTCATATTTGTTTCCAATGACCTGAGTTGTTTCTGTTTATGGTCTTAGCTACTCAAAGGAACCAACATACCTTGCCACAAGTGAAACAACGCACCGGAATAATCATCGGAATAACTTCTAATCAAAGACAATTTTCTCAACGGGACAAGGTCCTACAACAACAATGCAATCATCAACCTTTATTACACAACACTTATTTCAAAGTTTGAACGATAACTGATCCTTTCAAGCCTAATTCACTGATTGTTTTGGAGTCTTCTGACAAAATTTGCCTTGGGAATTGTAAACTGAGTTCAAAGGCGGCGTTGGATGGTAGAGGTCGGGCACTGGATACAAACCTATCAAACACGACTATAAACACTTCACAAAATAAACAAGCATTTCCAATACCTTCTAATATCTCCCAAAGTTTGGTCTTCATTAAACCTTGCCACAACGCGAGTACCATCATGCAGCCTGATTTGGATCGATGTAGTTGGCTTGTTCGGATCCAGCTCCGATGGCTTATGCTCCATTTCTGAACCACCCGACTCCGTAGCAGAGGAGGTTGCCTCATAACTACTTCCCATTCCTTCCGAAAGTCGATATCCTCGCCCCGTAAAAGGCTGCACTTTCGGCTTTGGAGGAACAAACTCTTCATCCTACGGAAATTCAATCATGGCGAGCAGAAAGTTGTATTCATACAAAATACCTTCTTGTCTACAAGATTGATCGAAACATTTCCCATTCCAGGCTCCTCCATCTCACGTGGAACATATCCGCTTTCCACCTCTCTAAGGAACTGTTGATTGGCAGGGTCATCATATTCTCTCAAGGGGCCCTATGACTCTGTAAAAACCCAAAATATTCAAATGCACAAACTCTGGGAAACAAACCTCATCAACTTGAAAGCCATTCTTATAAAACGTTAATGTTTTGACCACATTCTTCTTCCCCATTACTACTGGCTGTGACAAGCTACCTGCCAGGCAAGGTTTTCAACAACAGTTGACTGAACAAAGCTCACTTACTTCCGTCCCTTCCGTCACCCAACCGATAGCCTGCTCCTGTGAAGCGCTGACGATTACTAAAGTCGACATCTTCCTCAGGTTGCTCATTATACTGCATAGCCTTTTCAAATATTTTTCTCGTCAGCTCGTTCTCGTTGTCATTCCTAGGGGGTCTTCTAGGGTCTTGTATCATTTGTCCACTTCTTTCTCCTCCAGCATAGTAATTCTTTCCACTTTCTTCTTCTGGGGAAGGTTCTTCTGGTAACAAATCGCGTAGTGAAGCAACACCTCCTCGCTTTGGCTGTCTCGAAGAACTGCTTTGTTTATCCGTCATAATGTGTTTTTCCTAAACAAATAAAGAACGCATAAATGGTTGAAAAATACAAAGAACTACACAATTACTCGGTAAACTGTTTCTCTTGGTGGCGATGACTCCTCAAATACTTCGCTAGCTCGCGTCTCTACTTCTTCACAACGAGACAACTGTTCTTCAGGCTGTGTTTCTAAATAAGTATTCAAAGCTGCTTCTGTGTCTCCTCCGCAACTATCCAGAAAAAATTTTGCTTGTTCTGTTGATAAACCAGTTAATGAAACTATTTGTGCAACTTTGGCATCTTCCGACATGAAACAATGGGACCAACCGACGTATCCACACTTGTGTTCAAATTGATGATGTGCGTACAAAGCTTGACTAACGACTGCAAACTGGAGACGAAATACAAAATTTCGAGTGAGAAAGCTAACAACTGAAAAATGACAGTGATGGCTTTTCAAATAAAGGAGAATAGAATGAGAAATTGGCATTTTCAAAGTTTGTGACGACTTTCACCATGATTCATTTCATACTAGCGCTGAATATCAGAGGACAAGTGAGACTCCATCGTTTCTATTGTTTCACCGACTCAGAACCGGATGAAGGAGTAACAGGGAAACAAGGAGAACTTGGGAGAATACCAAAGCCAGTATTTAGATTGGAAGGCAGTGCAAGCAAATCAACTGCTTCCTATCCTTTGGTCGTACGACTTGCGCCCAGTGTTAATGCCGAAATGACCAAGTCCAATTCATCAGATGACTTTAAGAAAAAGAAAGTAGTAGAACGGACAAAGTCTTGGAACCTATCACACGCAACCTCAGGTTCGGCTTTGATAGATTGGACTTCTGACTCTTCAGAAACGCTTAGCCACTCGGTGCCCACTTCCAAAGTCCTTGCAAAGAACGGAGAAAAGAAACAATTGTCGGAAGATAGTGTCGACTTGATTGGTTTGTGGGCATCGGACCAGGAACAAGGAAACAACACCCATCGTTCGCGTTCTTCTATCAACAACACAGATAGTAATCAATCAAAGAACAACCATAGAGAACTGGAACGTAGTACTAAGGAAAGTTTAAAGAAGCACTTTATTTCGTATCGACTTTCTGCAGACGTGGAAGACAAAAGCCCACTGACTCCTGCCAAGAAAGCCTTTATCGATCAAGTATATGCTCAAGTGGTTTCCAAAGATTATCAAAACTCACCCAATTTTATGAGCGTAAGACTGACATACTCCACTCAAGCGGATGCTAATCAGTTTTTTCGTTTAGTTTCAAAAGTATAAAGTCGTGTTTAGAAGATACGCAAACCTTTACTTTATTTTAGGAGTCGATAGGGACGATGATGAATTTGCCATGTTGGAGTGGATACATTTGTGGATGGAAGTAAGCAACGAGAGTTTTTACAATATAGTAGTTGGAGTGAAATCAATGTCGTTGTATATAGGTCTTGGATGAATACTTTGGGGATGCAACTGAGTTGGATCTAATGTACAACTTTTATAAATGTTATATTATACTTGATGAAATGATTTGTGGTGGAAACATAATAGAAACTTCGAAAGACGTAATACTTACTCGACTAGCTCAACTTGAGAAGTTGGAGAAGTAAGAGAATAGTTATCTTTATCAGTGGAGTTATTGGTTTCTCATATGGTTGAACACTCCAACAAGTATCATATCGTTACCAACAAGAGTTGCTTGTCTCCACTGAAATTTTGTTTGTTGCGTAGCGTTGTGTGGATAGTGAGTGCTTGGAAGTCCGTCTACCAGGAACAATGGACATACCGTAAGAACCAACAGATCAATCAGAGAGGGCTGAAGCACAAGAGAGCGAATGATTTGTGCTCCTCCTTCCACCAACACACTAGGACAAGATTTTTGATGATTATCGTCCCCCAAGTGATAGTGCCACTTTAGTTGTCGAAAGATATATTCTAGACAGAGTCCATGACTAGTGGTAGATAGTGGACAGGAGAATACTTGTATTCCATGTTTTTCAATTTCTTTTCTTTTTTCAGATTCATAGGCGGCTTCACTAGTAAACAAAAGAGGTCTACTAACAGTATGGTCTCGAAGTATCAAAGACGACTCCATAGGTATCTTTAAGGAAGAATCCAATATCACAGGTATAGGAGTGGTCGAAATTTCGGCCTCTTGTGGGCAGTGTTGCGACTTGTTGTTTACTCCATACCGCACAGTCAGTTGAGGATTATCCGTTATTACAGTGCCTATACCAACCAGTATGTATTCATGACAGGCTCTGAGTTGATGGGTAAATATAGTGCTTTGTAAACAACTAAGATGGGTTCGTCTTCCAGGCACCGCAATATTTCCGTCCACCGACTGTGCATATGAAAGAGTCACCCAAGGTCTTTCTACACAGTTCCTGCCAATGCTTTTCCACTGATTGATTTCCTGTATCAAACTTTCAACTTTTTCATCCTGTTGAGAGAAATCACCATGATGGCTATCAGTTCCTTGTTCCATGAGGCTGAGGGGGAGATTATCAAATTGCTCCAAGAGAATGTGATTGCTTCAGAAATGGGAGCGCAAGAAAGTTCTCCTTGGTTTCTGTTAAAGGATGCTATTGTAAAAAAAAGTTCATTTCCTTTCACTTTTGGTGTTACCAGCTTTTTCATTTTGATATCTCGTATTTACTAGGATAGCTTTTTGTCAATATCTTCTTTGGAAACAAGTAGCTTTATAGCGATCTATTTTGTGGCAAACTTCCGAAAACAGTTGTATCCAAAAAACTTGTTCATAAATAGCACGTTGAGCATATAAAGTAAGCTGTTCAAGCAATAAAATACACAATACTATTTCTTTGGAAATTGTTAAGAAACGGCCTGAACCTCTTTTACTCAAGGAAATTCGTCACAGAAATTAGGCATCTATATCTGTTGCGCACTTAGAAAAGGAGCCACTCATTATTACTGTAGAATAAAACCACAAATATTTATTTACCAACACGAGAAAAAGTTGTATGAATGCTCTGCCTCTAGAAAGTTTACAAACCAAAAACTCTTCCATTATATACAAAATTTTAAATTTTAAACTTTCCATAGAGGTAGAATTCAAAAACAATCCTATATACAACTCATGTACACAGCAAAAACATAATTTGAAACTTCGCTACGAAAAACCAAAAAGAGAGGGATTATAAGCTGGTCGGTTGTAAGACCCAGTTATCATCTTGTTCTTCCTGTAAGTTGTCTACGTTTGATTCACTTTCAGCTTGGCTCAAGGAGATTCCCAAAACAGAGGCTCTCAAACTCTTATAAGAATGAGGGGCACATACTGGGCAACTCACTACTCGAGCACCCTTGCAAAGCTTACATGGCTGCCCTCCAGCGAGTCTACCAAAAGTAAGCAACTAAAAGAATACAGGTAAAAAACTGCTTACCGTTCGTCAACAACTGCCCAGGGGTGAATGCCGTAACCATTGCAGTCAAAGCAACGAACTTTCCCAGTGCCTTGGCAAATAGGGCAGAATCCTATATTCCCGTCGAACCAAACTGGTGCTCCTTTACAACTTGCTCCCGACTTTTGGGTGAACTTAAATTTGAGTGAAGAGGACTCTGCTGTCTTCATGCTCAGTACAAAAACAAAGTTGTGAATACAACGCCTGTTAAACGAGCGACCAAAAAGCCTATCAGAACCCCTTTTGTATATATGTCTGAACCATGGAGTTTCTCGTTTCCTTGAAAGTAAAGAGTCACTTTGAATAACGTATAAAAAGATTCCAGAAGTGGACACTCCACCACCCATTCCACAGTAAACCGCCAAAATATCAATTTGTATATTCTTAACTGAATATGAGAGAAATTCGACATGCCCTTCGATGTCCACTGGACAACCCACTGAGCTCTGGACACTGAGAAAATCTATCAACGTCTATCAAATGGTTCCATTGCCAAACTTGAGATATTCAAGGTAGCTACTACTGAGATGAGTGTACAATTTTCCTTGTTGTTTACATCACACACTTCTATATTTCTTCAACATCATGTTCATTGCTAAAAGGAAACTCATATTTGCAGATATATAGAGTACTTGTGTATACATTCCTTGAGAATTATTAAACAGTAGTCATTTCAATCGTTGCTGCTCTTTTAGGGGATTGTTAAGTTGAGTTTTGAAGTCAAACGAATTTATCTTGCTTTAAGTGCAAAGTGGAATGTACTAAGAATACATATTATGCTTCAGGAATGCGTCAACAAGCAGTCGTTGCAATGAAGTGCTTTAATGCCAAAGGGGATATACAATTCAATGTCTACAGGGTTCTCTGATTCCTATTAGTTACATTTAACTTCTATTGATTGTTGCGATAGTCAGGTGAGCTGCCATTTTAGGTTTTACCATCACTCATTGACTCGCACTGCATTGGAGACATTGGTTTTTCGTGGTATGTTCAACTTTTTGTCATGACTCGTATACTTTTCATAACACATTGTGCACTTTGAGAAAGCCTTGTTTGTGATGTGACGGTATGATCTACTCACTCTCAAAAGAAATGTTGAGAAAATCCGATGAACAACATATGAAGGGATCATTGGAGAGTTGTTGGATCCTGTTGAGCTACTCGTTTCGTGTCTGGTATTCCTCACCGAGGCGACCTTTTCGACAATACCGAATAATGTGTACAACTGTCAATACTTTTCCAGAGAAGGAAAGAGAACAAGGTTTGGTAAAGCAAGCGCTTTGTGGTATCACAGAACAAGTACAGCGAATCTGTGTTCAGTGTGGTAGAGGAAACGATATTCCTAGATTAGTTGCAGTTTCAAAGACAAAACCCCCTTCCTTGATTATGGAAGCTTATGATGCCGGACACAGACATTTTGGAGAAAACTATGTTCAAGAGTTGGTCGAGAAAGCTGCAGCGTTACCAAAAGATATTCGATGGCACTTTATTGGACACTTGCAGTCAAATAAAGTAAAACGTTTGCTAGAAATTGACAACCTTTGGATTGTAGAAACAGTGGATAGGGCAGAAGTTGCCGATGCGCTGGAAAGACAGTGTGTGAAAGTAGGTCGTTCCTCCTTCAACATCTACTTACAAGTGAACACTAGCAATGAAGAGACCAAGTCCGGGTGTTCTGCTATTCAAGTAGTTGATTTGGCTAGACATATTCTCGAAACTTGTCCTCACTTGTCGCTCAAAGGCTTCATGACGATAGGGAGACCAGATGTTTCGCAAGTGGTTCAAGATTTTGAAACACTAAAATCTTGTCGTGATAAAGTGGAAAAGGAGTGTCAACAGAATAACTTGGAGCTTTCTATGGGAATGTCTAACGACTGGAAAGAAGCTGTCATTATGGGAAGCAATAATATCAGAATAGGCTCTGCATTGTTTGGCGAACGACAAAGAAAAAAGTAACTATGAAGAGTACCAACAACTACTTTCGGACTGCCAGTGCCAACCAACTAAAAAATACTTTGTCACTGTTTTCTTCTTCTTCTAAAGTGAGAGTTTTCTTACCCCAAAATAAAGCCTAAACCTCCAAAAGGTGTAACTGCACCCCATTTTCTATTTCCAGTTAACGTCTTTGGTGGAGTTAGTTTTGCAACTCTTCAAACCAATATAAAGAGGCATACCAATGTGTACAACGAACCCGAGAACAAAGCTATTCCGAGAGTAAACAAAGACGCTGCTACAAAAGCAGGCTTTCCATCGTTATTTGCACAATAGGCTGCTGCACAAATAGCCAAACTATGTATTTGGTGATAATTCGCAGCTCGGTTCCATATTTCTAACAAGTATGGATCAGTAACCCGCGCACGAAGCCCGTGAGCGCCAAAAGCTCCTAAACCTACAGCAGCTGCTCCACTCACACCTGCAACCTAACATCGTAGTGTATATGAATGTAAAACAGTTGATGGGTAATCTTCATATGCCTTTTTTCTCACCTTGAACCAAAAACTTGGACGTTGCCAAAATGAAAAGTCTTTATTCATTGGATTCTCTTTAACAGGAATGGACTTAATAACTTCTTCCCCATAATGTCCACGCCTTGGCTGAAGCGTGACATAAGAAACNAAGACTTTCTGCAGATAAAGGCGAGATATCCAGTCTATTCAATTCTTCTTCAAACGGCAAACACAATGTTTTCACAGCCCCAGTTAGGTTAGTCTGTTCTTCAACTGAATCATTTCCACGACTAGCTGCAAATTCCATACTCTGACGTTTGACTTCTTCTTCACATCGCGTGTCTGTACACCAAGGAGCAAGAACCATTTTTTTTGAATCTATCGCTGTCATAAAGTCATTCCAATTGTATGCAATACTGATACAATGGTCACGAATATTCCTTGCTCTTAACAACATTTCCTCTTGCATCGTGGAAAGCAGTTGTGTTATTCGTTCACATAAATCATTCTTTAAAACAACAGTCTATTATCAAAGTCAAAAAAATTGCAATATTCAATAAAACACTTTCAACCAACCCTTTCTCCAGTATCACGACGAACAATGACCACTTCATTTGAATGCATCTCTTTCACTCCAACTTCCACTCGCAAACATACTCCTCGAAGTTCCCAGTGATGAAATTTCCACCCTGGCGTCTTATCGTTTCGACTATCTAACTTGACTCGAATACCTCGAGTTTCAAGCTGTGATGCATAAGTTCCACATTCCTGTTCCAATAAGTAATTAATTTCATCCTGATTGACTCGAATTCGAATAGGAACGACGACAACTTGAATGGGAGCCACATTCGGTGGCAATACTAATCCTTTATCATCACTGTGCACCATAATCATTACACCTATAGATCGCGTAGTTAGGCCCCATGAGTTTTGGTATACTTTCTTGCGAGCTCTGTTTTCATCTTCAAAAGTTATATCAAACATATTGGCAAAATTCTGTCCCAGACAATGACTAGTCGCCGCCTGAATAGCTCTTCCATTATGAGGTATAAAAGCTTCCACAGTTGTGGTGTATAAACCTCCAGCAAACTTTTCCTTTTCTGACTTCAACCCTTTGATTACAGGAACGGCTAGCAAGTCTTCATATACGCTACGATAGAGTTCAAGAATCTGAAGAACTTCGCAATCTGCTTCTTCCTTTGTAGAAAAAGCGGTGTGTCCTTCTTGCCATAAAAACTCTCTAGAGCGAAGAAATGGTGTAGGATGTTTGAACTCCCAACGTACCACATTATTCCACTGATTGATTTTCAGAGGCAGATCACGATGCGAACGGATCCATTTCGCAAAAGAAGGATACATAACTGTTTCCGAAGTAGGTCGAACAGCTATAGGCTCTTCTAAAGGAGAGTCTCCACTCTTAGTTACCCAAGCAACTTCCGGAGCAAATCCTGCAACGTGATCCTTCTCTTGATTCAGTCGAGAAGCACTTACGAAAATGGGAAAGTATGCATTTTCAACTCCCAGCTTTTTGATTTCTTTATCAAAATAAGATTGTATGGATTCCCAAATTCTATAACTCGCAGGCCTCAAAATGTAGCAACCCTTGAAATAGTTATTCAAGCATTCTATACATAAAAGATGCAAAACATACACTTATATCATAAAACTCTATTAATTCTGCTTTCTGTACCAACTGGTTGTACCACATGGAAAAATCCTCCGACTTGCGAACTTCTAAACCTTCTCTGGATTCCTTCTTTTTTAGGTTGGAAGCGTTCTATAGAAGAGTGAGAGATATAAGCAACTATTTAAAAACGTAAACAAACCTTGGCTTTTGGTGACGGTACTGGTCCTTCACGTGTGGAACCATTTTTCTTCTTCTGGGGTAAATTACTAGCAGCCATGGGCTCACCAATTGAAAGTGGACTGGAAGCCGGTGGTGATGAAGAAATAGTACCTTGTGATATTCTCAATGTGGTTAATTCTATTTCAGAAGATTCGCCTGCTTCTCTATCCATTCCGTGTCTTATTTTACGACGTCGTGTGGAAATAGAGCAATCCAACCGCCCCCAAAAAAGGAGTTTCTTAATGTGATGATGTTGTGCTCGTTGAATATCATTTCTATCCAATCTCTTATAGGAACAAGTACAAAAGAATGATTTGATCCTTTACAATAATGTACGAATACAGAACTATGAAAATTTTCAAATTTTATTCGTCGATACCCAATAGGATACAAGTAGCCGGTAAATAATTGCTGAGTTCTCTGCAAAGTTTCGTTATCGACCACATTCTCCTACTTATGAACTCTTTCTTGATAACCTCTGTAAGAGATACAAAACCTCAACCTGTTTGGTTAATGGAATAATATGCTTTCGATACAACTCTGCAATAATTTGTGGTTCCACTTTATATGTGTCTAAAGCTCCAGAATCATCAATATCTCTCCCATATGCTGAAGCTTTGTTTATCACTCTTTTCGCCAATCGTTTTTCTACCTATATCCAACCATTCACTCCTTTCCAAACATATATTCTCATAAAGGCTTACTTGCGGATCTGTCAACAGCTCATTCAAGGCATTCGTATCTCCATTCCTGATATGCTTCGAATATTCTAAAGGATTCTCTCCAAACTTAGCTTCAGCAATAAATTTGCCATAGTGAATACGTTTTGATATCGCCTGTAGACAAGCAACGTCATACATTGCACTGGAACCATAATTCTGATCATCTCCAGCTTCACAAATAACTGGAACGATGTCTTGCACATAAACATCATATATCTTAAGATCTGGGAGGAGAATACTAAAATAAATATACATAGAGTATCAAACAAACCTTGGAATTGAGGTTGATTGTATTCGGAACGATTGTTTCCGGAAAAGACAACGGAGGAAGAATAGGTTCAGGTAAAATATCGGGAAAGAATGCTTGTTCATCGGGACTTGTGTATCTTCTAACCAAAGCATAACCCTAACAACAACAAACCATGAGATACTCTACAGATCACTTCTACTACAACTAACCTTTTCCAGTTCACATAAAAGAAACTCCGTGAATGAACCACTGAATCCGGGAATCTCGATCCCTCCAGGACGATATATCACCTTTTAGAAAGAGTAGAACTCAGAATGGCAAAACAAAGAAAAGTTACTCTCACGTCGTTGGTCATAAACTGTGCTCTTTCTACCAACGCGAATATAATACTTTCTTCTTGTCTTATTAAGCGCTCTCTCAAATCTTCTAACTTGAGTCTTTCTCCAGGAGGCGGATTAGGAATGCCATGATAGTCTGGAGAAGATGAGCGCCTTCTTGACAAACGAGTAGGAGTTGAAAAATCGTTCATATTCCTATTTTCACAACTTCGAACGACGAGTTTCTTGAAGACTTTAGTATGAAGGGAGGGACCGTTTCGTCGTCGACCAAGAGAGTTTGCCGGTTCCCAAGAAACTGGAAAGAGCAAACGAGTACTAATGACAAACATAATCCATGGCATGGGTTGCCTATCCTTCTTTACTGTTTACTGACTTTGTCTACCTTTTCCAACTCACCTTCGAGGCCCTACTTACAACGACAATCTCGATTCCTCAACTTGAGATTCTTATCCTTTCATCGATTTCACTACTTTTCATGTTCCCATTTCGAATGAGCATAACTTTTGTGACAGTAACAAATACATTTTGATAGTAAATTTGTCCCTCATGTATTCACAATAAAGATAGCTTTGAGTATTCTTCCCTTCCTCGAATAATTCTTTAAAGAGACAAGTATAAACTATTTACTTGGTACTCGAAGCTGTTAGAGTGGGATAACTTGTATATGTATAAGTTCAAAATATTTGCATTTCAAGTTAAAAAATGCTAGCTAGCTATCTTTAGTTTTACTTGCTTTCATAGTGCTAATAGGGTGACTGTAACTAATAAAGGAGGATTTGAATCTCGGAGAATACTTGAGAATAAAAAAAGCACTAACTAGTAATAGGTTGCTTTGACTTTATATTGTCTCGAAATTTCCACTTATATAGCTCATCAAGCTGTCCCCCAACCGATCATGGATCCCAATGGACGTCCTACAGACAAACCGAACAACGGAATCCGTCTTTGATTGGTGGTAGTGTGGCTGTGACTGCCTTTCTATGACAGATATTATTGATATTGCTGCCGAACCTTATTATCAAGCAAGGATGGAAAACTCTTTTAATACGCTACGACACAGAAGACAGACGGTTTCAGTTGACTTGAATAAGCAAAACTGGTCCTATATAAGGTTCAACGCAGTGGGAACTGCTTTAGGGTTCCTGGTGAATGGATACATGTACCAAGTTGGCAGTCTTCTTCTATCTTTGTACGTGGACGCTTACTATACTGTATATTCCGACTCCACTTTACAGTCAGCACTGGGAACGAGTATCCTTTATGGGGTATTCTTTGGACTTATTACCTTTGGACTGCTCGCTGATTTTATTGGACGAAAGAAAGGACTCATAATCTGCTCGTGTTTGGTCATTTTGGGTTCGATATTGTCGGTGTCAGCAAATGGAACAAGTGTCCGTGGCATGTTTTGGATGATCGTTATTTCAAGAGCAGTCGTCGGTTTGGGTATGGGAGGAGAGTATACTTGCAACGTGCCCAACGTGGTGGAAGACAGTGAGGATGTAAATAGCAAAACAAGAGGTCGAAGAGTTTCACTGTTGGTTATGTTTATGGAGGTCGTTGGGAATAATACTCCAACGCTGTTGCAGCTTATCCTGATCGCTGCTGCTTGTCGTCACGTCTATTTTGACTCTTCACAAAAGACGGGAGTCTCTCTACCGAATTGTAACCCTCAGGTTGTGTGGAGAATATCTTATGGTCTAGGTTTGGTTCCATGTCTCATTGTTCTTGTTTTGCGTGTGAGAATGAGTGACTCTCAGATGTATATTCATGACGCCAAACTTCGTAAGAGAGTTTATGATGCACTTGATGCTTACATCATTCTTCGTCATTTCTCTTCGAGAATGATTGGTACCATATTTATGTGGTTTTTTATTGATTGGATCAACTACAGCCAAGGCAACTTTGGTTCAGTAATATTATCTAAAGTTATTGGCTCCTCATTGTTCAAAACTGCATGGATAGCATTGGCGCAAGGGCTATGTTTACAATTTGGTCCACTTTTTGCAGCCTTGGTTGTGGATCGTCTGGGGAGGCGAAAAACTCAAGTATTTGGGTGGTTATGGTTGGCATCCACTCAGTTGATCACTGCAGGTGTATATTTGCAGTTGGCTGAGAAGCCGGTTGCTTATGTGGTGTGGATCACATTCGTTTTTATTTTCCAGTATTTCGTATTTATTCCTGTCTATTTGGTACCTGCTGAAGTATATCCCACTCGCATTCGAGCAACGATGTATGGTTGGTCATCGGCTTTGGGGAAAGTTGGCGGTATTATTGGAACGACCGTTTTTCCTTATATGTGGAGAGGATTTTCTTCCACTCATTCTGAAGCTGGTCACGAAGGACTCGTTGCATTGCGAAATATTCAGTGGTTTTATGCAGCTTTAGAGTTTCTTGGTTTTGTATTGGCAATATTATTTGTTCCAGAGTATTCCAATGTGAGACTTCGTGGTGAGGATAAGCGTTATATGGCCATGAGGTTGCGTTATGCCGCGAAACTTGCGAAGAAGGTCGGTGTATATCCATCATTATCGGAAGAAGAACAAGAAGAATACCGAATTGGAAAATATTCATTATGGAATGTGGCTTACGAAAAGTATTTTGGAACGGAAAGCTCCTATCTCACTGCGGTTAAGGACTACAGTCGAATGCTTCTCGCACGTTGCTTTATCACAACTGCTGGCCAAGTGAATTATTATTCGCATTTGCAAGTTTATTATGACGATCGCGTTTTTCTGACACGGATCATTCGTCGTTGGAGGTTGGGTAAAGAACAAGCTGAAGAGTATACGAGGCAAGCCGAGCGAATGGGTCAAGACGAGGAAGAAGAAGCGGCTGCAGCTAACTATGTTGGTGACAGCTCATCTTGTCCTTATTCTAGTGGACAACTTGCGGAAGAAGATAAACCACAAAGAGTGAACGAGTTGCAACAATGTTATCGGATACTGGATGAGTCTCCCAAAGGAGCTTTCAAGTAATATGCCTTTTACCTTTTGTATATAATATATTTATATATGCAAAGCCGCAGATACGGATAGTATATACGGAGGCTTGGTATTTTCTTTTGTGTTCTTTTGTTTGTTGATGAGACAAGTAATAAAATTCTATGCTGAAAAGAACATTTTTGGACCGTTCGTGAAAAAGGCGTTGGAGATTGTTGAATCATTTATGGCAGCCATGGGTAGAGTGGCGTGGAGCTTTTCTACTCCATCCTGTCTTTCATTAACAAGATATCGTATTTCTGGAACTTGGAGTGCGATATGTAAAGCGCAAGTTATCAAACCAAGGTACCATCCGCAGAACCCATTTTTGCGCTTCTCTGGTTTTTCAGGGCTATGTTGGAGTCGCCGCCCCAAAAGTGTTGTGAAGCCTTTATATAATGGAGACTGGTTACGTCGCTATATATCAGCAGTTATAACAGACAAGTCACAAAAGTCTACTGAAGAAGCTATTCGGGAAAACATTCCTAAACGAGTCGTTGGCGATGTATATCATTCGTTTCAGTTGGTCCAAGAAGAATACATACCCGATATCGATTCCATCATCAGAAAATATGTGCACACCCATACGGGAGCTCAACTTATGAGTGTCTTGAACAAGGAGGAAAATAAAACATTCGGTGTTGTATTTCGCACACCGGTAAGTATCAAAGGATTTCGTGGGAATGATTTTTGGGTTGATGTTGTTCTTGTAGCCAAGCAATTCTAGAGGAACGCCGCATATTCTTGAACACTCGGTTCTCTGTGGTTCTCGAAAATATCCTGTCAAGGAGCCTTTTGTAGAACTGATGAAATCATCTTTGAACACTTTTCTCAATGCGTTTACTTTTCCAGATAAAACTTGCTATCCTGTAGCATCCTGTAATCTTAAGGACTTTTATAATCTTGTGGATGTTTACCTGGACGCAGTATTCTATCCCAATCTCACTCCAGATGTATTAAAACAAGAAGGACACCATTTTGAACTCTTGGAGGAAAACGCACCGATAACTATTCAAGGTGTAGTTTACAATGAAATGAAAGGCGTGTTCTCCAACCCTGATAGTGTGATTGGATCGTGGTCGCAGCGCTGTCTCTTTCCAGAAAACACATATGGAGTGGAATCTGGTGGAGATCCCCAAGAGATTCCTGACCTTAGTTGGCGAGAGTTTCAAGACTTTTATCGACGACTTTATCATCCAAGTAACACCAGATTTTGGTTCTACGGAGATGATCCTGAAGATATGCGACTAGAGAAGCTTGAAGAATATCTCAAGGACTTTAAGAAACTCTCAGTTGATTCGAGAGTACAACTTCAGTCACGTTGGACACAACCCAAACATTTCACGTTTGGTTATGATGCTGGAAACGACAATTTGGAAAAGAAACATATGGCTACCGTGAACTGGATGTTAGCGGATGTAATAACCGATGATCCAACAAAGATATTAGCTCTATCGTTGTTGGACCATTTGCTCACAGGGACAAGTGCGTCTCCTTTGAGAAAAACTCTGACAGATTCAGGTCTCGGGGAAGAAGTAATAGGCTCCGGTATCGAAACTGACTTGAGACAAGTTACTTATAGCATTGGTCTTAAAGGAATGGCAAAGGAAGGTTGTCAGAGTTTGGAAAATTTGGTACTCGATACCTTGAAGAGATTATCCAAGGATGGCTTTTCACAAGGCGTAAGTTGGCTCTCATAGGTCGTTTTTTGTATTTCACAAAGATTGTAAGGAAATCGAATCGAGCTTGAATACTATCGAGTTTATGTTGAAGGAGCAGAATACAGGTTCCTTTCCTAAAGGTCTCGCACTTATGTTGCGTTCATTGACAACATGGTTACATGACTCGGATCCTCTTATTCCGTTAAAATTCGAAATACCACTACAGCAGTTGAAAGAAATCCTGCAGAAAGATAGAAGATATTTGAATCTTTTGATTGAAGAACATTTTATTCGCAATACACATCGTGCATATGTATCGCTAGTCCCTGATCCCGACTTTGCTACCAAAGAAGTTGAAAAGGAAATGAAGCGTATTGAAGACTTTCGAAAGGTATTTTGTCGTTGAATTTTATATCGGATGATAGGCTCAACCTTGAATCATAGACCTTGGATAAGAGTGATATTCAACAACTGATAGAGGAAACCAAAAGACTCAAAGAGAAACAAATAGCACCTGATGACCCAGCACAATTAGCCAAAATTCCAGCTTTGAAAAAGTCAGATATTGATCAGAAAGCTCCTATGATTCCCCGTCAAGTAACATCTTTAGAAGACACCACAGTGTTGCTTACTCCATTGTTTACTAATGGCATTGTTTATTTTGATATGGCCATCAACATTCGTCAACTTCCTGCACATCTTTTAAGTTATGTGCCTCTATTTGGGGAATGTTTATTGGAACTGGGAACGACGAAGGAGTAAGTGTTGATATTATTTTGAATGCTCTTTTTTTACATTTTGCTGCAGAGATTTTGTTTCGTTGCAGCAAAGGATTGGTCGAGAAACAGGTGGCATTCGTCATTCGATTTATTGCTCTCAAATGGATGTTCCTAATAGCCATGGTAAGTGGCAACCAAATGATTCTTAGTGAAGCTTTTACAGCATTATGTCTCAGTTGGAGGGTATGGTCCTGCAGTTGCACAATTTATCATTCGAGGCAAAGTCATGTCCAATAAGACACATCTACTATTTGATATTCTCCGAGATGTTTTGTTTGATATTGACCTCAATAACAAGGATCGTTTTCGTCAGATCTTGATAGAGGAAAAGTCTGGAGTAGAGTCTAGCATCAGTCCTTCTGGTCATCGAGTAGCTGCTTCCCGTTTGAATGCACAATATACGAACAGTGGTTGGGCAGATGAGCAAATGGGTGGAATAAGTTATCTACAGTTTCTTTCTCGCCTTGCCGATCGATTGGACTCGGAATGGGATTCCATTCGTTCGGATTTAGAAGCATTAAGGAGCTATTTGGTATCGAAAGCTCATATGACCCTACAAGTTACTACAGATGAGAGAACTTTTGAATCCTCAGTGGCGCCATCCTTACGCAAGTTGTTGCAACCCATTCCCAAAGATATGCACAAACAATCGTCTACGTCGTGGGAAGAAATATTGGAGAAACAAAAACGCAATGAAGGCATTATTGTTCCTTCTACAGTGAATTATGTAGGAAAAGGTGCCAATCTGTTTCAACTTGGATACCAACCCAACGGTGCTTCATTATTGGCAATGAAATATTTAGGCATATCCTATTTATGGGAACGCATTCGTGTACAAGGAGGTGCATATGGAGCATTTGGTAGAGTGGATTTACGTACAGGGCAATTGATATTTTTATCCTATCGAGATCCTCATGTGAAGAAAACGGTAAGTTGACAAAGTCTGTGATGATATGGATGATGATAGAAGAATTGAAATGGATGCTAGTTGGATACTTATGATAATGCAGCTGCTTTCCTATCTCAGGCGCAGTTATCGTCTGAAGAAATAGAGAGGTGTATTATAGGAGTGATCGGTGATATGGATAGTTATCAACTGCCAGATGCGAAAGGGTTTACCAACTTGATAAGATATCTAAGTGGTGTGACACAGGAAAGAATACAGGAAAGAAGAGAACAAGTATTGACTTGTACCAACCAAGATTTGGTACAGTTCGGGTCGGTGTTACAAAGTGTTGCTTCGAATGGAAGTATAGTTGCAGTGGGTAATGAACAAGCTTTACAACAAGCCAATGCACAAGGACTCGACTTGAGACTCTTCCGAGCTACAGAACAGTAAAAAGAGAACACATTTTTTATGGACAAAAGGTTTTTTGGGTTCATTTGGTCATAAAATGATAGATGAAAAGCTACTATTCGATATTTCCTATTCTCTATCAGACCCATTCATTCATTCATTCATTCATTCCTCCTCGGTTTGGATCGCCACTTCCATTGTTCGTGGAGTTTTTCGATCGTCGTTTATCCACAACAAATCAAGTTTATATGCTTCTCTCAAGTGGGGATCACTCTTCAACGTCATTATCCAGTTCGCAGCATGGATATCCTATGGTAACCATAAACCTTTTAGAAAATAGCTATGGAGACAACGGCCTCTGAAAGACCACAAAAAAAAGACATATAAAATATCACAACCATCGAGAACAGAAGAACATGAGCGATCAAACGAATCGGTCGTTGTATCTGGCAACATATGAGAAAATTCACTCATTCTCAATGAGCTTTCATAGCAAGCATATGACCAAAACAGCCTTTCGAAACGACAAGTTCTTGTTCTCTCACAACTTGCAAGATATTCCATTCGTCTATTTGGAAGCGTTGTGGAGTACTTTAGCTCCTAAACCAAGACGCGGAGGTCTTGCTTTGTTTTGCCAATTGTCTACTTGTCGATGTTCTTCTCCCTTCCAACCCATTTTGTTCAACATATACTATGCAAGAGATCAGAGAACAGCAGTTTTAGGAAAACAGATACCAACCTTTCCAAAAGATTCCACTGGAACTCTCTCGTAATCTTCCCTGCAAGCTTCAGGAGCAGCCCACTCTATTTCCTGTCTAAACAGTTCATCACTGTTCTCCGCTGCTTGTCTTCTACAAACCATGTTCATAATACTTCCTTTCAATATTCCAATACTCACTTTCTACGTCTCAGTACTTGAGACAAACTACAAGCCATCTCTTTTTGCATTCCGTTCACATGTTCCACTTGGGTACTTGCTTCGTTCACTTTTGAAACGGAGGGACCTCCATACTCTTCCACTTGTTCTATTACTGAAGTTTCTTCTTCTTCCTTTTCCGAATCTTCACCTTGGAAAGGAGTGGCGCTTACTGGTTTTTCTTTTTTCCTTTCCTTATTTCGTTCAACTGCTCTTTTTAACTGAAAACTCACTCCTGCACACATCTTATTATTCAACAACCCTTTTAATTGACAATAACAACTCGTTCCAAATGAATTGTATTGATGAAGACAACGATGGCTATTCGAATTGGTTCTTATCACAAGCTGATCAAGTACAACCACTGTCTTATGTTTTCGAAAGTCAGCATATAGTTCTATGGTCAGCGCCTCATCATATGCGTCAAACTTTGTATGGTGCTTATCTCAGAGTATGGCCTAGTTCTGGGGTATTGGCCAAGTTTTTGGTTGATCGACTTTCGTCACTATCTCCCATCATAAAAGACCCAACTCTATTAGAACTTGGAGCAGGAGTAGGATTTTGTAGTATTGCCACTAGTCTCATCACAGGTTACAATATAGTTGCCACCGAGGGAGACACCCGTGTATTCACCTATTTGGAACGCAATTGTCAACAGATTGAAAGGACACATCCAGAGAGACTGCAGTGGGGAGACGACCATGCCATTCAAGAGTTGCGTCAAAAGTATGCATTGAAAGGATTTCAATACGTTTTTGGTGCAGATGTCGTTTATCAAAAGGAAAGCATACCTTTGTTGGTTTACACTATTGCTCATTGTTTGGTTGCACGACATGGGCTCGTTTTTCTAGCTTTCTCTCTTCAGTTTGGACAACTTGAAGGTCAACTGTTGGATTGTATGGAAAAATATGATTTTCATCTAAAGGAACGACAGTTGCGTGATTCCGTAATCTTAATAACTTTAGAAAGGCGTGGATTTCAGAATATTCCGTTATCCTGTAGTTAAGGATAGTCCAAAGTGAAATATTCTCAGCATTATTATAACACTTCACTCGGCAATAACCAAAGAAATGTCGTTTAGATATTGGAAGAAGAAGGACAGTGTCCCACAAGCCTTACTTATTTTAGTTGTGCAATATCAAGATGGAGCATTAACGGACAATGGTCTGAAATATAAATATTTTCAAACATTTCGCACTCTAATATACAAGGGACGAGTCTTTCGCTTGTCACAAAATAATCCAAACGCCAACCGTGATTACGTTCCTTTGCTTTTGCTCGCTTAGACCAATACGTAAAACTTTCCTATTTTTAGTCGTTCGCTATATAAACAATCCTATGGATATCATACCTTTGTCGATGAGGATACAAATAACGAAAGGCATCTACAAAGCCGCATTGTAATAAATCGGTAAACTTTTGGCGTTCTTGGGGAGTAAAGCCTGCATGTTTTTCATGTCCTTTTGGTTGATATATATCGATCTCTTGGTGAGCAACATTCAAGTCTCCAGTGTAAATAACTGGCTTCTTCTGATTCAGGCCACATAGATATTGACACATATCCTTTTCCCATGAGTCGATACGATAGTTCAATCTACGTAAACCTTCTCCAGCATTAGGAACATAAGCATTGACCAAAAAATATTTTTCATATTCCAATGTTATTACTCGGCCTTCTTCATTATGTTTCTCTTCTTGTAAACCATACAGTACTGAAAGTGGTTCCTCTCGAGTAAATATAGCAGTTCCAGAATAACCTTGAAATAATCTCACTCGGCCCTTTCCCCCAAGATGGACAACTCTTACCTTTTCTTGCCGTGCAATGGTTCCATATATCATGGTATTGATCAGATAGGGATTGAGTAACTTCTTCCGACACTTGACCCTTGTCAGACAGTTTAGTTTCCTGTAAGCAGATTACATCTGGCCCCAATTTGGATAAAAAACCTAAGAAGAGCGGATTTTTTACGGTGCTTCTCATTCCAGCCACGTTCCAAGTGATAAATATTTTCGAGGTACTTCGTCGTTGGGGAATGGTTATTCCATCCAGATTCTCACTATCAAGTAAAGATTCTCCAGGATCCTGAAATCTTTTCTGTCGTTCTTGATCAGAACCAAGAAATTCCACAGACTCCTTCTTTGACTCTTTGCGGGTTTCCTTTTTAGGCTTTTCGCTCAACTCCATCGATTGTTCATTTTTGGACCTCTTTGTCATCAGTAGCAATGGATGTTGACGAGAATGAGACAAAAGAAGCCTAGTACCACTCAACTGTACTCTATTCCATCGACTGTAACCAACAGCCAACACAATCTTATTTGAAAACAATACAAATGCCATTATAGTATTTTGGATGATTGGGGGAGATAAGTGGGTTGGCTTGTGTGTTTGAAGCTATTGAGAATATTGTCCCAATCTCTCACATGTCATTGAAGAATATGCTTATGTATATCAACTTTATCAGTAGACTTCGATCCAACTGGAGACCCTCCAAATCCCATCTTTCTCGTGTTGATTTCTTGCACTTTTATTCAACTATGAGCTCGGAAACGAAACCAACAGTAGGCACCTTATCCTTTCATTCCTTCCTGTCACTTACGACATCTATTTGTTTCTTGTTGGACCTGAAACCAGTTTTATAAACGGCCTTGTTGGTTTTATAACTTATCTGGGTATTATTCTTATCAGGTAACGGAAAATTGGAATCCATTGCCCAATTTGATATCATTGTATTGCTAATTACTTGTTAGACCATCCGAAACTGGCAGTTGCAACTTAGACAGGAACGGTTGGTAGTCGTGTATGGTTTGTTGTGGATATATTCTCAAACCTGTATAAAGTATGGAGCCTAGTGGAGAAAACCTTCCAGATGTGTTGTTGATGTTAGAGCATCAACCAGTATACACTTTAGGGACAGCAGCAAATGAAGAGTAAGTAATCCCTCGTGATCCTAACTTTGATAGCTTCTATCTTACAAAAAGGTGTTGAAAGATTTATCAAATTCGATGTGAAACATCCTCCTTGTGAACTATATCGAATAGAAAGAGGTGGTGAAATCACTTTTCATGGACCTGGTCAACTGGTAAGTAGAATGATGAGACATATTCTCTATCTGTTTTCCATATAGAGAATGAATCTGTATATAAAGAATACTGATGTAGCTGTTGTCGAAATTTGTATAGATTTTTTATCCCATTTTAAATCTGCGGTTTCATAAAAAGGACTTGAGATGGTATTTACGTCGTTTGGAACAAGTTGTTATCGAAACCTTGAAAACGTATGGACTAGAGGCTTATCGAGTAGAGGTAACCACCAAAGCTTTGTAAAATATTGCCTATTGTCCACTTCTCAATGTGTGGTTTCTTACAAAGGGTCTCACCGGTGTTTGGTTGGATGAAAAGAAGATTGCAGCTATTGGTATTGCAGCAAGTAAATGGGTTACTATGCATGGCGTTGCACTCAATGTCACCAACGAGTAAGAACATTGTGAGTGTTTAGATACTCGTCTATAACTGCTGCATCCTCTCTAGTCTTGAACCATTTCGAAAGATAGTGCCTTGTGGAATTCATGATCGCGAAGTTGGTAGACTGGTGGATTATGTTCCTAACATAGATATGCAACATTTGAGGACTCTTTTGGCAGAGTGCTTTGCGGATATGTTCCAACTGTCACTTGTTCCCTATGAAGAATAGTGGAACTTGTAATTCATACAAATAGCTCCCTTAGATATTTTGAATATTTGAACTTCACTCATAGATAAGCATGGGAGACTTCAAACCGATTCCACCACAAGTTGATATTGCAAAGGTAGTGTTGCATAGTTTGCTAAAGGTAGAGCCGCAAGAAACTTTCAAGTCAATAATCTCACTGAGAAATAAACTTGCTTTGTTTATCGTTGTTCCAATAACAAAGGGTAACCACTGTCACCAGCAGCCGTAAAAGAGTTACAAAAAGGCACGGCCAACAAAAGCCGAAAGCACTGATTCACTCACCACGGCTACTTATTACAGCCTCACCAGACTCTGCTACATCACCATCCTTCACTCCGGTCTGTTCCATCAGCTCGTCAATGCTTTTCTCAAGTTCGTCTATACGGCTTCCCATCTCGTCAACTAGCTAACAGTGAAACAACAAATTTCACTCGAAAAACGAAAAACTTACTTCTGCCTAGTATGGAGTCAGCCATGGTTTGAAAACGACTCTGCATCTGAGACAACAAGTTTTGAACCTAGGAGAAGCTATTCAGCTCACTAGCTTGCGAAATTACAAGTTGGTGCGTACATAAGTAGCCAAGTCTTTGGCATCTTCAGGGATATTTTCTTCTTCTTCTTTATTTTCAATATCTTGGTCAGCTCTTTCTACTTGAGTACTCATTTTAAAAAGGTTTCAAAAACAAAAGACAACCAGGAAAAAAATGGCGCCAATAAAGTCTTCTAATTGAATCAACTTTGCAATGACGATTTGATGAGAACAGTGAAGACTTTGAAACACAGCAACATTGTAATGCTGACATATTTCCTAACTCTTCATAAATGACTTTGGTCATGTAACTTGCATGCTTGTGAGAAAGTTCCTCATCAGAGCATGCACAGCTATAGTAGAATGCTATACATGTATACACACAAAGGGATGAACATGTAATTATTGGTCTCTCTGGAATGATGTTTCTCTTGGAGCCCGCCTAACGTTGTTTGATGAGAACTCGCCTATGTTTTCTTATTCCTTCGGTTCACAAAATATTTTATGTTCAGCGTGCTAGTTTAACTATGAAAAGGAAAGCTTCAAACATTTCACCAAGGAAACAACCGTCAACAATACCCAAGTCCTCTATCGGCTCTTACCTTTCAATCTTGCAAAAAGAGGAGCCGTCGTCGTTAGACACTGAAAGACAAGCAAAGGAGAATGTGGACCAGAATACCAACGATATGCGACTTGAAAGCCAGCAAGGTTCCGAGACGAGTTCCAGTACTTCGGAACATTCTTCTTCTCTTGTAGAAAATGCCAAGGTTGTATGTGAAGAGAAACTCGATGAATGTACCTTCTCCAGTGTCAGTTGGCAACCTCCTTCTAGAACGCCTTTTCGTTTTTTAGCAGAGGCCTTTGAAGTGATGGAAATGACAACTTCACGATTGGCACTCATCAAAATACTTACGCAGGTCTTTCGCAAGATTGTCAATACTACTCCAGACGATCTTTTACCTTGTGTCTATCTTTGTACCAATATGTTGGGACCAGCTCACGAGGGTTTGGAATTGAAGGCGGGAGAAGCTACAGTACTTAATGCTCTTTCCTCTGCCACTGGGAACTCCGTGAAAGTTTTAAAGGAACGATTGATAAAACTTGGTGATATCGGTGACTTAGCAGCAGAATGTAGAACAACTCAGCAAACCATGTTCAAGCCACCTAGCTTAACTATACAAGGTGTTTACCAGGAGTTTCGCACGATGGCCAATCTTGCAGGTAAAATGTCTACCAAGGAAAGAGAGAAACATTTGCAAAAGTTATTAGTAAGTGCTACTAGTCAAGAAGCCAAGTATATAGCTAGGATTGTTTTGGGAAAGCTGCGCATTCATATTGCGTACAAGACAGTCATTGCGTCGCTAGCTACAGTCTTTGCTCCTTGTTCTAAAACAGTTGGAAAAACAGCGGATGAAATGGATAGTATAGTAAAGGAGGCTACTGCAACTCTGAACGCTGTCTATTCTCAGTTGCCAATGTGGGATCGTATCATACCAGTCTTAATACAAAATAAAAGCACTCAAGGATTAGAAGATCATTGCAGGTTGACTCCAGGAGTTCCGGTTGGTCCAATGCTTGCAAAGCCTGCAAAGGAAGCATCTGATGTGCTTGAGAGATTTCAAGAGTGTTCTTTTGTTTGTGAGTACAAATATGATGGAATGCGAGCTCAGATACATTATCTGCCGGATGGAAATGTGAAAATCTTTTCAAGAAATGCAGAAGATGATACTCCGAAATATCCTGACATTGTGGAAAACATCAAGTTTGCTCTGTCCAAAAATAAGGCAGTAAGATCATTTATAATAGACTCGGAAGTCGTTGCATACGATCCTGAAACAAATGTCATGAAAAGCTTTCAGGAGTTACAAGGTCGCGCGAGAAAGGAAGTGAAACTTGAAGATATTAAGGTATCTGTTTGTGTGTTTGCATTTGATATCTTATTTTTCAATGGAGAGTCTTTATTAAAGTGGAGTCTGAAGGAACGTCGGGAAAAACTCATTGAAACTTTCTCTCCTGTTCAAGGAAAATTTCAGTTTACAACATCGAAAGTGTTCACTGATTGGGAAGGTGTTGACGAAATGATGGATGAAGCTATTCAAGCAGGTTGTGAAGGCCTGATGATCAAAGCATTAACAGGAGAATATTCGTCTTATGAGCCTTCTAATCGATCTCAAAACTGGCTGAAAATGAAGAAAGACTATATGAACTCTATTGGGGATAGCCTAGACTTAGTACCGATTGGAGCCTATTATGGGAGAGGAAAGCGGTCAGGCGTGTTTGGTGCATTTTTACTTGCATGTTACAACTCAGAAACAGAAGAGTTTCAAACCGTTTGCAAGTTGGGTACAGGGTTTAGCGACGAATTTTTGAGTTCTATTACAAAGTTTTATAAAGATGGTCACATTTTGGCGGAGCCTAAGCCTTATTATGGAGTTTCGGATAGTCCTACTATTATACCTGATGTATGGTTTGACCCATGTCAGGTTTGGGAAACAAGGTGTGCAGATTTAACCCTATCTCCCTCCCATACGGCAGCAAAAGGTATGTTGTCCGAAGAAGATAAAGGAATAGCACTCCGATTCCCACGTTTCATTCGAATCAGAGAAGATAAGTCAGTTGACGATGCGACAACAGCAGAGCAAATAGTTGAACTGTATTCTAACCAAAAAAGTAAAATGTGAGACCAACTGAAACGTATCTTTTTTCTCTGTTTTTTTCATAAGAAATCCCCAAGCTCATTTAAATAGAAAGACTTGCTATAGAACTGGATTGCATACAGCATCTATAGCAGCATGATTCCGATTCTTTCTTGCTCCTATTCTCTTATAGACTAACTAAATTTTTTTACATATATACAACGAATATATCAAGGGAGAGAGAATCTTTTATTGGAAACTGAGAGACAAAGTGCAATAAATTGCATAGAAATATATAATGACTTAAATTGTCAATTTCTTTAATCAACAATAAAAACAAACACTAAAAATATTCGCGCTGTCAGGAAAATCGATATAAATAAAAGTATTTACTACTTTTTCGAAGATATATGTAGAGCGAGAATAAAAGAAAAGTTAGTCGGCAATGTAAAAAAATTAAAAAAATTTGCTGACATTTTTTTAAAAGCGCAGTGTATCGTAGTAATGGCGAGACATCTGACTGAACATAATATTTCAATAAGCTTTGACTGCGAAGTATACGACTCCTCTATTAGCATGAAACGTTCTTAAGTGAATAATCACCAAATAGCTTCTAAAGCATAAAGACATTGAAAATTTACTTCAATTCTCGGAGTTAATTTTATTAAATACGTTCTGACAACCTTGTTCAATTATTCATTATAAGAAAAAATAAAAAATCAGCCTAAAAAATTTAAAAATTTTATTTAGTTCTTGAAAAAAACGAATAATTTTTTATTCTTTGTTATTATTTTGTTATTCCAGTAATAAATCTTTGAAGCCCCGTATATCATCTGGTTTTTATCGATCCGTGTTTCTAACAGTGTTTTGTTGCATGAAAGCCGATTTTTTTTCACAAAAGGAAAAATCTTTATTCAAAAATTTAAAATATAATTTCTTTCTTTGAACAACTTACAGCTGTATGATTTATTTTTTTTAAAATAGCTCTTTTTGACATCGTGTAACTCGCTTGTTTTTATCTCTTCATTTCTTGATCTTTGCTCTTTGTTATTGCTTTCAATCAGTGAGCTATCTCTGTAGTTTTATGTAGGAGAGTTATATTACTTGGTTTTTTAATTTTTTAATTTTTTGATATTGTCCACTCATTGTTTACGAGTTCGTAAAGAGTATTATTGTTTGAGGTACAAAGCTATTTAACATGGAAGCTGCTCTATTGGCACTACTCAAAGATACGGAAAGATGTTCACAAATAACTTAAAGATTCTTGCAGATCACAGGCAACCAGCGATCTTGTCGATAGCAACACATCTATCAGAGGCAAGGGTGGATAGCATACTACATATTGGAAACGTTATTGCTTGAAATCACGGAATGTATTTAACGTGGAGTGAGATCTTTCATTAGGTCTGTACATCATGTCATACTATGTCGAATTCAAAATTTTATTGCTCTTTCAACCTTTGTTTGACCAAATTGACTGAGTTTCAAGTTACCCATTTCAATAGCAGTCTTTGCCCATGCTATTCCATGATTGTCATCTCCACTGGAACGTGCAACTGCTTGTTCTTCCGTCAAACAAGTAAGAACACCGTAAACCACTGGAATATTGGAAGTAATGCCGATCTTATGAAAAGGTTGAAATTCAGTTCAATCAAACCTTATCAACTTGTTATACAAAAAATACCTCCATCAATCCGTTAGTAACGGCCTGTGCAATCATCTCATAGTGAGATGTCTCTCCCTTTATCAAGCAGCCAATACATATGATACAGTCCACTCGTTGCGAGAAAGTCATATATCTTGCCGCAGTGGGCAGTTCAAAAGAACCAGGAACCTAATATATATTTCGTTAAATATTCAGTTGCCTTTTCAACCAAGCCTACTTCAAATTCGACAACGTTGCTGGGGTCTACCTTGTGAGCGAACAAGGTATCTTTGCAAGCTTTCAACAAACTTCGCACAATTTTGTCGTTCCAACGGGAGTAGACAATTCCTACGCGTAAAGTACTGCCGTCCAAAACCCCAAACTCAACCCCCTTTGATGATTCTTTCTTACACAAGATCTCTCTTACGCCGACAGATGAGTGTCGAACCTTTCTGACAAACGTGGGACAAAGAGTGTTGGTACTACGTTTGTTGTCACAACAGGAATTATGTTTGTTGGATAGAGGTTTAGTTCGACCAGCATTTTTTCCTTGCCACGGTGAGACAACGAACAACGCTAGCGGATTCCTCTGTGTCACAAAAAACAGCGAGAAAGAGTTGCCTTGTGTCATGTATGGATGCATTTAATAATCCAATAAAGCGTCATAATGATTGACGCCATTGTACAATAAACGAATAGGTAACACTCCTCCTCCCTCCTTTTTGTTCCAAAACGATTTTCCATATTCTACTATTTTCTTATACTCTCCATTCTCCGTTTGTAAATACACTTGAATGGGAACTTGAAATACTTCACTCAACACCCATATTTCAGGTTCCCCACCATAAAAACTAGGCTTCAACAACTCTTGACAATATCGACGGAGATTTCCTTCAATGATCATGCTTTTCTCGAATTTCTCTCGCTGTTCTATACAGATGATCTGCACAAGGTTAACTTTAGCTGAAAGAGAAAGAAAGAACGCCTACTTTATGTGCCTCTTTTCTCAAAGCGTCGGCATCAGCCACTTCCAGACGTTCAGGTAATGCACGACCTTCATTATGAGCTAGACATTTTGCAATAGCACGAAATAAACAACGCCCATCACCTTTTACAGAAACTTTACGAAGTCTGCGACGATTCCTTTCACTTGCACTGGCGAACCAAAACTTGGAAGGAGAGTGGCCAAAAGGAAAAGGAGGTAAAGTCCAACAAGGAGAATGTTGAGGTAAGAAAAGAGTAAGGTTGCATTGTTTTCCAACAACTTTGTTCCACATTACCCTATTTTCCTTCTTTATCCAAATAAGAACCCTTGAAACCACAAAAAACAAATCAACAACCCAAAAAGTATCCCATCGAAAGCTTTGAGAATCTAAAAACAACTTGGAATACCATCCAATCTAACAAACCTTGTATATACAAACCCAATTGGGACACACAAACTTCTCCATACAACAAACAAAACCAACAGCAAGTAAGAAAAGAAAGAAAGAGAATGTGTGTGAAAATATTCAAAAAGATATATTCCACTTTTTGAATAGTTTTAGTTTCGGCTCAAGGTTGAAAATTTTTCCTCCACTGGGGAACTTTCTTTGCCTAGAGCCCCTCCACTGATAGACTCAAATAGGAGCATATTATCTTCATTCGCAGTAACTCGAATCAAGTCTCCATCTTGAAACTTTCCTTCTAGAATTTGTCTAGCAATGGGTGTTTCTAAATGCCGTTGAATAGCTCTTCTCAATGGTCTTGCACCATACACTGGATCATAACCAAGAGATGCCAATACATCAGCGGCTCTATCGGAAACTTGTAGACCCAGCTTCTTCTCACGTAAACGAGTATCCAAATCTTGCAACTGAATACGTACAATTTGACGCAAGTCTGAACGTGTTAAAGAGTGGAATATAATAACTTCATCCAAACGATTCATAAACTCAGGTCGAAATGTCATTCTCATCATTTCCAAGACTCGCTCCCGCATCTCATCATATCTCTCTTCATCTCCCGCAATATCTAAAATGGCTTGAGAACCAATATTGGAAGTCATGATGATAATACAATTGCAGAAATCTACTGTTCGCCCTTGTCCATCCGTAATACGACCATCATCCAACACTTGAAGCAATACATTGAAAACATCGGAATGTGCTTTTTCAATCTCGTCAAAGAGAATAACAGAATAAGGTCGACGTCTCACAGCTTCAGATAATTGACCACCTTCTTCATAACCAACATATCCTGGAGGAGCTCCAATCAACCTAGAAACTGTATGCTTCTCCATATATTCGGTCATATCGATACGTATCATAGCATCTTCTGAATCAAACAATACTTGAGCCAATGCTTTTGCCAATTCCGTTTTGCCAACTCCAGTAGGACCTAAAAATGCAAAGCTTGCTACTGGTCTTTTAGGATTGGCCAATCCTGCCCTATTTCGTTGAACGGCTTCGGCTACTGCTTGAACAGCTTGCCTTTGACCAACTACTCTCCTCGTCAATTCTTCTTCTAAATGTAACAACTTGGTTCGCTCCGAAGTGGCCAACTTTTCTACAGGAATTCTTGTCCAGGATGATACTACAGATGCAATATCTTGTTCCGTTACTTGATCTCTCAACAATGCAATTTCACCATTCTTCTCTCCTTGTGCCAACAGTTTCTCCTTTTCAGCCAGTTGCTTCTCAATTTCTCTAAATTTGGTAAACTTCAACTCTGCAGCTCGGTTCAAGTCATACACTTGTTCAGCTCTTTCTATTTCCAAACGAACTTTGTCCCTCTCTTCCTTCAACCGTTGTATTTCTCCTAGAGTTTCTGATTCCTTTTTCCATCTACTTTCTAAACTCTCACGCTGCTTCATCAAAGCTTGCAATTCATTGGAAAGTGATTCTTGACGTTTGGCTACTCCTGGTCCAGTTTCATTCTTCAAACTTAATCTTTCCATCTCCAATTGAATTATTTTTCTTTCGATTCTGTCCAATGCAGCAGGTTTCGAAGTGGCCTCCATCTTTAATCTAGCTGCTGCCTCATCTACCAAATCTATTGCTTTATCAGGAAGAAATCTGTCTGCAATATATCGGTCACTTAAAGTTGCTGCAGCAACAAGAGCTGCATCCGTAATACGAACTCCATGATGGACTTCATAACGTTCTTTGAGACCTCGCAAAATACTCACTGTATCAGAAACAGATGGCTGTTCAACAAATACGGGTTGGAAACGTCTTTCCAATGCAGCATCTAACTCAATATATTTTCGATATTCTTCCAAAGTTGTTGCACCAATACAACGCAATTCACCTCTTGCAAGCATCGGTTTGAGAATATTTCCAGCGTCCATCGCACCATCCGTTCTTCCAGCACCCACAACCGTGTGAATTTCGTCAATAAACAAAATAATTCCACCTTCAGCTTCAGTTACTTCCTTTAAAACTGCTTTTAGACGTTCTTCGAATTCTCCTCGATACTTTGCTCCGGCAATGATGGCACTCAAATCTAATGCTATTAATCGACGATTCTTCAAGGAACTTGGAACATCTCCTGAGACAATTCGTTGTGCTAGTCCTTCTGCTATGGCTGTTTTACCAACTCCTGGCTCACCTAGTAGGATTGGATTATTCTTCGTTCTCCTGGAAAGAATCTGGATGGTTCTTCTGATTTCTTCATCTCTTCCAATCACTGGGTCGAGTTTTTTTGCTCTAGCCAGTTTGGTCAAGTCCCTTCCATACTTTTCTAGTGCCTCATATGTGGATTCTGGTGTCTGCGAAGTGACTTTTTGATTTCCTCTCACGCTCTTGATGGCTTTCACGAGTTCATTCTCAGTCACTCCGAGCGTGCGGAATTTAGGGTCACGCATACAAGCTTGTAACAAGTGTTCAACACTGATGTAAGAGTCCTCATACTGTTTTCTGATGCGATTGGCTTCTTCTAGAGTATTTCTTAGACTGGTTCCCATCACTTGGGTGGCTGTAGTACCGTACACTTTGGGTAGTCTGTCCAACAGTTCCTCAAGTTTCTTCTCCATCAGTTTGATATCCATTGTTGTTGCTTTACCCAATATTCTTTGTACCAAGTCATCCTTGAACAGAGAATACAACAGCATTTCATTTTCTATCGTCTGTTGTGCATATTGTCTAGCCAGTGTCGACAGTCTAGTTAACACTTCCCAAGCTTTCTCAGTATACAAATTAGCGTCTAAAATGTTGGCAACGTCTTCATTATCTGCTGACATGGAAACATGGCTATGAAAACAACCTTTCTTCCTCAGCCCTCGTTGAAAAGTTCCTACAAAGGGAGTCACCCGAAGTGCTGTCGTCCATCTATTGAATGACGCAAGACTAGACCTTACAGTATGATATTTCCTAGAAATCGGTGTTTTTGTGTAGTTGGCATACCAAAGATAAGATACAAAGGAGGTGGCCATCCAAGAATCCTTGTCTTCTAGAATATTCCCAAAAAGCAAAATGCTATTTATTTCCTTCACTTCTCATTGGGTTTTTGTTTTCTCTAAAAGAGGTTGCAAATGTTGACTTAGGATTGGACGTATTCGTTGTGGACAACAATCGACAAGTTTCTGTAATCGAAGTTGGAGTTGATGTTGAATAGGTAACCAATACTAAAATATAACAGTCATATCAACGATGTCTCACAATCTCAAGTAATACTACTCACTTCATGAGCAACAGTTACTGTTAAAGAACAGATATGATCCACTGGTTCCTGAAAAGTATGGTACAATATGGGTACGGTAAAAAAATACAGGAAACAAAGATAGACTAACGAAACGAAGCTCATCACATGCCCAAGCTGAGCCAAAATATAAGCTACCAAACATAGCTTTAGCGTACGTCTATTGTCTGTGCAAAAGATGATCTTTTTCCACTCATCGATAGCTTTGTTCAATAAAGGAATGAGTTGGTCTAGTTGCTGGGATATGTATTCTTCTGTTATATAAGGCTTTCCTAAAGAAGGGGGTGAATAAAAGTCCGATCCAAGGAAGCCAACGAATAGATTGGAACATTTGACAAATACAAAAGAAAGAGCCAATTCCAACATAGCGACATAGGAAACGAGCGAGAGAAGCGAAAATTTGTCCAATAGCAACAACAGAAAAAGAAGATTGCCTGCTAGAAATAGGGCAGTAGAAAGATAAACGTTGTTCCACGCTAACAAGTCGTGTACTAACGAATAATAACGATGGAAAAAAGAACAACGTCAACTCAAAATCTCCAAGTCGTCTGTAAAACTCACCTTTTCTTGGAAACCAAGTGGGTATCCAAGTTAGATATTCGACTTTTTTAAGAGGACTGTTCGAGTTGGCAACAACTAGAGAAACAGTTAGCACTATACAAGTAACACTAGTTTCAACTTACCACCAGTTGAAATAGTTGACCCAACTCCTTGAACCATCGTTTCAAAAGAAGCTCCAATTCTTAAAGCTTTGTTGTAACAAGAATAAAACCAACGCTTTGGGAAATGAGAAGGAGGGCCACATGAAGAATGACAGCTGTCCTTGGAGCCTCTTGGAGTTGCTTCTGTTTCGACCCCAAGTTGAAAATAGCTTTAGTATTTAAACTCATACATACACACAATACACCCCTTATTTCTACAACAAAGATATTGCAATGAATATGTTTCTTGTGAAATCAAAGACTCCAGTGAAGCAAGACAACTTTCTGTTCCGTCTTATGTTAAAATAAGGAATGGAAGAAATGATGGCTAGTCCAATCAATCATTGAGCATTATTTGTCTCTTTGGTTGGAAGTGAAGCATTGGATGGCGTCGTCTTTTATATGTGTTGTGAGTGAGTGGAAACAAAGGGTGAGTGCATTTAAGTCTTCACAGAACTATTCTCATGGCGCTAGCTCTAGTCGGCTTCATCTAGAGGTTTGATTTTCCAAGTGAGGGGAGGTTCTCTAAGAACATCAACTGTGTCACCATTCAGTTTGGGAGGAAAGTGGAGGGCAAAGAATGGCAGGTGTTCATCTTCGTTGGGATGGTACACTTGGGTATGTTCAATGTCAAAAGAAAGGTCTTCAGTGGAGGTAAATACTACACGAGATTGGCAAGTGACTGTGGACCATGACAGCCCTTCCCAACAAACCATAATAAGTTGGAATGGAAAGGATCGCTTTCAATTGGTTCCAGAGTTGGTGCTTTTATGTGATGAAAGAAGCTTGAATATCGAACACTTGGTGGTTCGTTCGGAGAATGAACGGGTATCGTGCAACTTGGAGCTTTCTAAAAATGGAACGAAACTTTCATCAGAAGAAACTCAACGAGTAAGTAGGAATATCTCGCTATATTATGCTGAGCCTTAATATTTTGTAGCTCCAAAGAGACCTTCAAGAACTTAATAAAGAACAGTCGGAGGATAGGCAACGTAGTGCTATGCAGTCCAAGTCAACCAACAACCCTGAACTTCCATATATAGATTATAGAGATAGATTTGTGGACTATGAGAAAGGAGTGGCATTTTACACAGATAACCATGCGACTCCCACTCATACTACTTTGACAGCCATCGTTCCCAATACTCCTTCTTTTCTTTCTTATTTTATGAAGCAGTTGTCTCAGATGCCAGTTCATATTATTTTCGCTTCCTTGTCGACGTATAATAGAGAAGGAAAAACGAGACATGATGTATATCATATTATTAACGAAAATGGCGAACAATTGGATGCAGCTCAATGTGATGCTCTAGTGGATGTGGTGTCTGCTTTGTTTCAAGGGGAAAATAATTCACAAGATGGTTTGTAAGGCTTCACTTTGATCACAGGACAAATATTGTATAGTCCGTGATCCATCCCAATCATGGTTCCATGCTTGGACAATGAGTAGGATGACAATATGGACTTACAAATTAAGCGAGTAAAGTTTTATATTGTAATAAAATCTTTCTATATAAACCAAATACAATATGAAAATTAACGATGATGACGACTTTTCTTGGAATAATGTCGACGATGTTGACGATAGGAAGAATCGGAAAGTGGAGACCTTTTCCTTGGCTTCTCGCGTTTGTCACTTTTAGAAGAATGATGTCTTGAACGGCTACTTTTTCGCTCACTTTTCGTTCTTTCATATCGATGCTTCGGAGAATGACGACCATCACTGTCTTCTGAAGCAACAGAGTCTCTCTCATCATCCTCATCCTCTTCACCAGAAGAAGAGGAATCTGAAAACCTTCGACTCCTTCTTCTTGGACGTGGTGAACTTGAGGAGGAAGAGATATTTGAATGATGGGACTCTTCATCCATAGATATCATCGAATCACTCTTATCTTGTTCCTCCGTAGCAACAACATCTTGCAATGCTACATGATTCTGAGTCTCATTCTTGGGCAAATTCTTTAAGTGCTCTCTCATTTCCTCAGTTAAAATACCTAAACCAATACTTGTGAAATAATTGATTGCAAAGCGTGTATTACGAGGATTGTCCAAAGGAAATAGTCCTTGAAAATGAGTTTGTAGATAGGGGTCTTTCAATCTCTCTCGAAGACGCTCCACGGTCATATTTTCTGCCAGTTCTTGGAATAGAATCTTCACAAATATTCTACTTGAGGAAGTAGTCTCTTCTTCTACCAGACGAATATATTCCATAGCACTCCATGAAATGGAATCCGTCTGAAGAAAACCAAATTGAGACAACAAACATGCAAACGATAACATAAATACATACCTCAAACAAAGCAGCAAAAAATTTAGCAACATTTCTTAGTTTACTCGTCTCCAAGCGATGAATTGTTGCATAATATTCACCAAATAGTTCATCAAACTTATCCGAATAAACCTGAGATAAGGAACAGAAACGCCGAGCAAGAAGTCCATAGAAACGAAGGTAAGTCCTTTCTTGACTACAACACTCTATGATCATCGAACATAGTTCATACTGTCTTTGTTGATTGTTTCCTTCGTTCATCAACTTTACTAATTTATGTGCCCCTTCTTCAAAGGAGAGTGAAGACATAATGGTCAGATAGACACTTCGACGAAACTGAATAAGCTCCATATCTGTTCCTTGATGAATGACAGTGGTTGCTTCATCTGCTTTTGTATCATTCTCTTCCGTATTCACAATTGCATCATCATTATCTTCTTCTTCTTCTTCTTCTTCTTCGTTGTCTTCCTCTTCTTTGCCTAAAATCTCTTCCCGTATCTCGGCATAACGCATCTCATTTTCATCATATTCTGGATCAAAATGAAATACATCATCACTCGTATCCAATTCCAACTCATCATCTAAACAAATCTCATGAGTAATTCGGTCTTCTTCTTCAATCAAATCTAGCTCTGGTGGATAAGGAGGATACTTTGAAAACCCCTAACCATAAGAGTCAAATGGAATCCATAAAGTAATCATATGTCATACTCACATCCCTACGAATAGCGAAAAGAGCTTCTATCATATATTGGACCCTCTTGTCTATGTCACCTTCGTGGAGGATTCCTCTCAATCTTTCGAATACTGCATAAAGTCCTTGGGGTGAAAGTTCGGATAATATATTACCGCATTCCTTTACAAAAGCCACAGCTACTTCAACGGAGTCATCGGTAGGTTGTTCTAACAACAGGGTCAAAAGTTGCAGTGCTAATAGTTCATGGCAAACAAGTTGATTCACAAGATGGGCGATAAACTTGGTCGTAGAGATACAAAGTCTCTTGTCGTTTCTTTTGAATGCCTTTCTAAACTGTAAAATAACTCTACTGAGAATCATTTCTCCAATCTCTGGTATCTTGGTATTTAAAACGGCAATAAGTGCCGCATAGACGTTGGTAAATTCTGGCGACGTCAATTGCGCCTTCAATATTGCTCGAGAAAGAAGACCTCGACCTCTTATCAAGTTCAACCTAAAAAACTCGGGAATAACTTGACTTATATTGGTCGTGTTTATCTTGTTAACACAACCGTTTATCTTCTTTTTCAACAGTTCCCAAGCAATTCGTTGTCCTTCATAATCACCAGATAGCTTACCACCTGCTGCCGCCCATCTTTCTTCTTTCATTCGCTCCAACTTAAACGGTGGAATATATACTCCACCAGTCTTCCCTTCAGCCCATTCGAACTTGTCCTTTACATTTTTGGGTTCACTTTCTAAACCGTTTGCTGTGGAGGAGTCGTTCTTGTCATTAGATAAATGACTCTCTTCTCTTTCCATAGCAAGTTTACTATTTTCAAAATAAACCGGCCCATTTTCTTTAGCACTATCGTCTACTTTGCTGTCGGAAGTGGTTGTCGTTATTGCCGCGTCCTGTTCCATACTTTATCAACCCAACGAATGAGCAATCTATATCTATTTATGATGTCATGTTGCTTTAGGCATCTCCCATTCTAAAACAAATAGCTTTTAAACTCTTCAACATTCACAATAGAGAATGTTCCATATCTCATAGGCAAAATACAAGCCAGTATAGAAAAATATCAAACACGTCCATCTTTTTTTCTTCGTTTATTTAAAGCCGTCCAACGTTCTACACGCATTTCTGATATTTCTAAAGATAGACAACTTTCCCAACGAGAGAATAAAATTTCATCTGCTAAACCTTTTGGCTTCTGCACATGAACTAATAATAACTGTTTGGCAACCTTTGGCAGGTTGAATGTACAGCAATAACTTTTATAATTGTTCTACATACCTGCTTTACTAGCCGAAGTCTATTCTGCAAACTGATCCAACTTTTCTCCAACAAACAGTCACCAGGTGAATCATCTTTGTGGATATCGACTAAAACACAAAAAGGAGAATGAACGTGACTTTCAACCGAACCATAATACAATACAAAATCCACACCGTATTTCAGTCCGGAATGAGGAGACCATCCTCTTTCCTTATAATAGCAATATATTGCTAAATAATAGGGAAAATGAGGAATGAGCCTACAAAAATACGCATATGTACGATCAGGATCGGTCAACTTGGTTATTGGATCGGTCTTATCAAAAATATTCAATTGCTTAGAAATGAAACTAGCATAGAAAGCTTCCCACAAACAAAGTTGAAGGTGTTCTTCGAAAATATTATCCTTTGTTGGAGAAGAAAGCAGCGGACCTATGTCTACAGCAAGAATATCTCCTTCAGAGGAACTAACCAAAGCTCGATGACTATTCTCAGAGTCCAACCGAGCAACTTGTATTTCCAAGCTTTCTCTTTGTCTTGTCAATTTGGTGCGTTGTCTTGCTACTTTTCCTTTCAAAGCTTCCGGTGCTTCTGTTCCAAATACAGGAACACTTCGGGATAACGAACCCTTACCAAAACCTGACAAGGTTGAGCCTAACTCCATCATATGCCTTTTCTTACAAGTTAAGTATCCAATAAAAAGTTGATTACACGCAGACTTACTCCCTTTGTGTAATCCAAACACTATTATGTATTAATATTCCCTTACAAGGTCTCTCTTTACTCGCTCCTCGTACTATCGAGTTTCCAGTACTTGCATGAAAGGTTTCTTCCAGAGATTGGTCTTGATCCTAATTTACTTTATCGCTGAATCCAAAACAAAAAGGAACAAACACCTATCCTTACCTGCGTCGAGGCGGCAACAAGTCGTTGAACCAAATCCTTCTTCGTTCCCTATTTGAACAGCTTAGAATATCCTTAGGTGATGATACCTTTAGAAATACTTTATAATCCAATCCTAGTTGACACAAACGATACCGTAATATTGGTACGCTTTCCTTGTAAAAATCTACGTCAATCATATGAACATCTCAAGATCCATAGTATAGAGCAAGACTATTGACATTCTTCATCAACGGCAAGCCAACTCAACGCACCCTCCCGTTTCATGGATCCTCCAATCATTGAGGCCGTAGGAGAATCCGGCCATGCTGTACAAATTTGGATTGTCGATCATTTAAATAGGAACGTTCCTCTGTTCACAGGCTTATTTCGTTTTTGGGTTTCGTTTGTTGACTGCTTGTTGTGGTTGCACTCTTGTTGTTTGTGCTCAACTACCTGTGCAATTTTTCTTTTCATTTCAAAAGTTTTGTTGCGTGTTTTCAACTATTAAGCGTATCCAGTTTGGAAACCTCTTTTTGTGAAGGCATGTACTGTAGTTTCGATGGACCCACTGTCTGTTTTTAAGTTATTTATTGGTTTGCGAAGTATTTACGCAAGCTATTCTTTTTGGAAATTACCAAAACCGTTTGCCTTCGACAATTAGTGAGACCTTTGGGTTTCAGCTGTACAGAAAGTTTTGTTTCTTGACGATAGAAAAATTTTGTTTTTAGTCTACAATGAAGATAGTCACGTCTGACTGTGACCATAATTTGATACAATTTCCTAACACGTGGTTGGAGGAGGTATCAGACTTTTCTGAGGGATCATCTGTTTTGAGTGGAGCTGAGCAAGTGGTTCCTTGTAGCTTTGACGCCAGTCAGATCGTCAAACAAGACAATTTTGAACCTTGTACTTCTGCAGTTACCGTTGTTCCAGTCATTCCAATAAGTCCTATAGTGTCAAGGAGTCCTTCTCCTGCATCTCGAAAGTCTGAAAGCAACTTTGACTTCAACTATAATAATGAACAAAATGGCAAAGCAGTGAGTGGTGTAGAGTTGCTCAAAACGAGTGATATCGTGGACAACCTTACAAATTCGTTGTATCATTGTGCGAAACCAGTCTTTAACGCCGCGGCTGGGACTCCTATCGAGTCTGTACTGAGTGAATTTATTCAAAGGGGCGAAGAAAGTGCATTCTACCTGGTGGATCTAGGATCTATTATCATGAAATATTTCGAGTTTGTTCGACAACTTCCTAGGATAAAGCCACATTATGCTGTCAAGTGCAACCCGGATGAGAGAGTCATTCTTATTTTGGCCAAGCTTGGTTGCAATTTTGATTGTGCGTCTAAAGCAGAAATTAGCCTAGTCAATTCTTGTGGTGTCTCAAGTGACCGTATTATATATGCCAATCCATGTAAACCGGAAAAGCATCTAAGATATGCAATAGAGCATGGAGTAGACTGGGTGACATTTGACAATAAGGATGAATTGGAAAAGATTAGTAGGGTTTCACCCAAGATAAGGGCAGTTTTGCGTATTGCTACGGAAGATCATGATTCTCTCTGTCCACTGAGTACAAAATTTGGTGCTCTACCTGATGAAGTAACGGAACTTTTATTGTTAGCTAAGTATCTTGGTGTTCATGTAGAAGGTGTCGCTTTCCATGTAGGTTCCGGTTGTCGATCGGTGCAGACCTATATCCGAGCACTTTATCAGGCCCGCGAAATTTTCAATCTTGCTGAAAGTCTTGGTATGGAACCTTTCCGCTTATTGGATATTGGTGGTGGTTTTCCAGGTTATGATGGAGAGTCCCCGATAACATTTTACAATATCTGCTGCGGAATCAGAGATACTATAGATTCTCTTTTTCCTATTGATCAGGTGAAAGTTATAGCGGAACCTGGACGATATTTTGTTTCATCAGCCTTCACTCTTGTCACCAGAATCATTGCTCGTCGATTTCGAACTCAAATACAGGAAGGAGGCAATAGTTTTCTGAAAGCAGGTTTTTGTCTACAAGAGGATATTTCTCACTCAGACCTTGTCGCTGATTATTATATCGATGATGGTGTTTATGGCTCATTTCGGGATGTAGTGTCACTTGGTGTTGCATTTTATCCAAAGACATTTACATGTTCGAATGCTGCCATTGACTATTCACGGTTTATACGGAGTTGTGTGTTTGGACCTACTTGTGACTCGATTGACTGTATTATTCGCAACTATCCCTTACCTATTTTGGAAGTGGGTGATTGGTTATATTTTACCAACATGGGTGCCTATACAGTTAGTCTTGCCAGTTCTTTCAATGGCTTTTCTTGTCCAAGTATCAAATATGTTTGTGCTTTGTAGTGCATAGAAATTTGTGTCGTAGTTGGATATCAAATGCAGATAAAGTAGTTGGTTTTATTTTTTATGTAGAGGTCTCATAGCAGAATATGGAAAACCTACAAAATTTGGTTAGTCTTTATAGAACAGCTCTCTTATGAAGTAGCCAACACATCATCAGCTCTATTTCTACCATTCCACACCAACTTTCAGTCTTAGCATGGTATGTATACATATATATATATATATGTATTTATGTGTGTGTTTTGCATCCTCTGTATGTGCTACTACTTACTACTAAACACTCTCAATCCCAATCACTTCATACCTATTTCTTCTTTCTACGATATTGTATCAAACACCACAATAACCAACCCATCGAAAAGGACGCAACCCACAACGGTGCTTGACCACCCGGTTTCAACGGCACAGTATGGTAAATAAATATTTCACTCGAGAAATGGACCCATGCTACGACATAAGTGGCCATCGTCACTACTGCTAGTGACACGTGAAACTCGGAAACCACAAACGTGCACCGGATGATGGTAGATAACAACAACCAAGTGGCATACAAGCGAGACAGAGGTGCTGCCACTAGAAAAAAGTTGTGAACCCAAAAAAGAAACACACAAGGGGGTGAAAAAAAAACATACTTTCCGGTGATATGTTTCTATAAATAGTGTCTATTGGTGAAGATGGGTTCCACCAAGCACCGATAGCGGCACCTAACCCTGCTAACCCTGTCAAACCCACCCACGTACGTAACCAAAACAAGTTCATTGCAATCTTGTGAAAAAAAAATACACGCGAGTCGAGTTTATTACAACATATATAGTCGGCTATTCACTTCAGTGCACCTGATGACGCGTCATCCAACGCTAAACGTTCTATTTGCTTGTTTTTTTCCTAAGACACAACTTTGAGTTTTCTTACGTATGTATACAAGCAAAAGGGATTACCTCCCTCCAGTAATTTTCAAAAGTGATATACGAAGATACTCTGTCATACAAGGCAAAACCTACTATTGCTATCGCAGTATAGACATAAGCTCGCGCCATCTCCACAAAAGGCACAACTCGTAATAACCACACAAATCCTCACAACACTCACCACTTTGAAAGCAAAAATTCTTTATTTCACACATGCCTAGGCAAAAGGATCTTCTTTTTCAACAACCACATTTTCCTCATCTTCTAAACTAGCAAAACTTAAAAAGTGCATAGGACGATGTGACTCATGATAAAACTCCTTGGGAGGTTCTAACTTCAGTCCATAACGCATTCCAATACTATGTCGAACTCCTATAAAGTTATAGTTCCATGAACCGACGTCCGGAACCAACGTGAAACCCATAAAACGATCGCTCAACAACATTTGTACCTTTTCATAGTGTTGCGGACCATAACCCGCTGGATTGACCAAACCTTCAGGAGTTTCGCGACTAGCTTTGCCCCATTCATAACCACTTGGAGTCAACTTGTAGGCAGTTACAGAACAACTTCCAGGGGTAAAAGAGACTGTGACAATCAAAGCATGATCCACGTCTGGCAACTTCTCTTCTGCTAATAGAGAGGCTGTATAAACCAAATCACTAGGTGCAAGCTGTGGAAACTCATTAGGCTGAGTATGGACCCAACCAATTGGCTCTAGGTCTTCAAGGAATTCATGTTCAGGTTGCTGGGCAGGAAAAGTTACCTTTTGATGATTGCCCACTTGGGGAGGAAACACAAGGCAACGGATTTCTTTCACGCGGTCGTTGTCAGGTGGCGACAATCCATACATAAAAGCTCCTATCTGCGTACGAAGATCTGCAACGGAGATGAACTTCCGAAGCAAATTTTTAGGAATCACATAAGTAAACTGCGCTTCAGAAAGATCTACATCTGCATTTACATAAATATGTTTGGTACGCAAATGCAAATTGGTGGCTGAAATAGCCCTACTACGCCAATCTGTTCGACTTGCAAATGTGGCCTGTTCGTAGTTGCTTGTAGTTGTTACTATCATTTCTTGTCCGAGCTTATCAACTGACTTGGTTGTTACTGCTGTCATTTGACTTTGTTCTCTGGCTTGTTTTTCTATTTCTGCCATTTCCTGTCGCTGCAAACTTGGAGGAGTTATTTCTGCACCAAGAATGATATCTCGAATTTCTGTCTGTGTTAGACTTGCCACGTTGACATTATTTTTCTTTCCATAATCAACCAGTATTAGATCCTTAAGTGCAACTTCCCCCTTTACCCATTGTTCATCTGATAACGAAGGCCATATATGATGCGATTCTGTAGTGACACTAACATCGGGTCGCAATATCATTCTTGTTCTTTCATGGTTGACATGAAGGGCTCTTAAAATCAAAATAAGTCGAGAAAATGCCGTATATGAGGATACCGATTGTAACCAGTCATCATAAATATTGAACAAAAGCATCTGTGGTTCCGATGCTTTAAGAATAAGATCAGCAAATTTCTCGATTTTCAACAATGCCTGGAATGGCAACTGCAAGTCGCTGCCTTTAATGACAATATTTGGAAAATCGAGCAAATGTACTTCCAACGGATCCAACATTCCTTTCCTAGTAACAATAATTTGCTTTGGTTGTTCTTCAACAGGAAGTGAACGTATAAGAGCTGCAACTTCTTCAGCTGTTTTCCATTTTGCCAATTGACTTAAACGCTTCTGTCCACTCCAAACTGATGTGTGAATGACTTTCAAAAATAGTTGTCCGGTTCTTGGGTTGAATATGAAAATAGCACCGTTGATGGGTTTCGTAACAAGATTGCCTTCAAAGGTCTTATGGATGGTCACTCGATAAACATTGGTATCATCCACAAACCATATTATTTGGTTACCAAACAACTCACCATAGTTTTGAGAGTTGAGGTAAGGTTCCGTTGGTTCCGATGAGTATAACTGTAGACCTTTTCTAATTCGCTCCCTTAACACATACAAGGCAGGATTTGCTTTCATTATTTTTGCCATTGCTTGTTGCATCAAAGGCTTCATTCCAGGTATCCAGTTGCCATAAGCACTGTAAAGATTGTAAGCCAAGTCTACTCCAACTAGAACACCAGTTGGACTTGGATATACACTCATATTGTCGGTAGTGTAATCCAAAAATTTGGCTCGAGAATACCTTTCAACATCGTGAGAATCATAGTCACCCCATCTAAGTTGTACATCAACCCAATATTTGGTCGTTGTTGTCCCATCATCAAAGGAATCTTTCAAATCAGCTAAAAGACTCGGTCTGGAGACTGGCCATTTATATGACGCAAACAATAAAATATCTGCACAGGAGGAATTCATTTTGTAAGACTTGCGAGGATGAATCGTTTCCTTCTGAACTGTTTCAATTTCTAGCGAGTCCAGCTCTTGATCGAATACTTGACAAAGATCCATTACTAATGACTCGTGAATCTTTTGCCATAAATGTGCTCGGAAGATCTGGATAAGTGATATTTTCAAAGTAGGGATCTTCCCGTGCATAAAAATACCCGTCAAATCCAACTGCACTTGAAAGCCTACATATACATTAGCTCTATTAATTGTCGGACTCCACCATAACGTAAACCTCCGATTCGGTATTTGATTAAGACCGCTTCTTTGTGCATTGGTCAACTTTTTGAATTTCATAGATTCCTCAAAACCTGTTGCCTTTTCCCAGAAAAGACCTTCCCATGTAGGGAAATATGTTCCTTTGAAGAGGGTGTGTTCCAATATACCTTCGACTCCACCTAAAGCTTGAATCATATCGGTCCGATAATTGTTCAGATTCCATAGTTTTCCGTCATGTCTTTGATGAGTCCACCAAAATGGATCATTCCGTGCTTGTGTGTAACGCTTGAATTCCAATCTTACCCTCCAACCTTTGTCATATGCCAACGTATGTCTATCCTTCTGGAACAAAGTATTGATACGTGGCACACCTCGATCCCAACTGTCTTCCAAATCTTCCAGAGTAAGTCTTCTGTTTTGAGCCGCTGCTTCAGCTCGTTTCAACGCATATTCGGCCCAAACTCGTTGTGAGTCAAGAAATTCACTTTCCCAAGGTTGAATATAACGATACAAGTTGGGTATAATCTGTTCTTCTTCATGACTCAAACCAGCACGAAAGTGAGTGATGCCTCCAGCTTCTGTTTGTTTGGAATATCTCAAATCACTTTGTGGGATCAATACATGGCCCATGGATAACATTCCAAGACCGCCCAACTCCTTAGGAGCATAGAAAACGACTGGCGGGAAACGACTAGGCATCTTGGAGTTTAGACCAATCTTAATGCGTGTTTGGACCCTATTTTCACACTTCACAAGTAGATCCAAAAGTTCCTGAGTATTCACTACTGCTTCTCTAAAGTAGGTCATTAGGCCAATTAATGCAGTATTCCATTTGTTAGCAATTTTTGTAAACGTGGTTGAGCCTGAAGACATCAAAATCTGACGAACGCGATTTTCGAAATTGGACATGGCTTCTTGAGAAACTCTTAAAAAGGCCACAGCTGTTCTTTCTTTAGTAGATTCATTCTGTAAAGACCAAATGCCGTCACGTTGTTGTGGAAGATTCTCTTCTATTCCTAGAGCCGTATCTTTAACTCTTATCCGTGGTAGGATGCGAACTTCATATCCCGCCATATCAAAAAGTAAATTGGGATTATCTTTGGAATACACGGAGACAAAAGTCACTTCATCGTCCCACTGCAACTGCGTTATGGAACGAGGAATACGATTTTTAATATCCCAAAAGACAGCTCTTCCCAAGTTCACGTCGTGACGCATAAGTCGCATTCTTGCATCTCTAGGCCAGCATTTCTTGTTATTGTATCCAACAGCATTCTCATTATTAGGATCTGGATGCTCTATCAGGAATCTCTGAATCAACTCTTTTGATTCAGTTGCATCAAAACGCAAAAGCATATAAATGCGATCTATGTAACGTATATAGCACCGAATAGGATGTGCTTCTTCGGTTTCCGTGTCTTGAAACATGGTAAATTCATTGGGCATTTGAGGTGGACCAGCAATTTCTGAAGCTCGTTGAAGACCCAACACGAGGAGGTCCAATAAAAGGCCATAATACTGCTGCACAAATGATGCGAATTGCAGTCCTCGTAAAAGACCATACGAATTGGTATGCATCATGTCCTTGTAAGAGATGACTACATTGTTCTTGGCAGTTATATAATCCGCGAGGTTGTGGTCCATGATAAGCCTTAGCAGACGGTTCAAAAAGGTAAGGTCAATTTTTTCTGTCATCTTATGAAACCTTGACTGCAAAAGAACAACGCACTCTCCATGTGAAGTATCCCAAATATCTTTAAGATTGTTAATACCGACAGAAAATTTGTAGACCAGGAGAGGTGCAGGTTCAGCATCTGATGGCTTCACCCAGTTTGGAAATAGTCTTCGTTTCTCTGCTTCATACCAAAGATACTGGTCCAGATATGCATCTGTGATCTTCTCCAGAGGTTCTATGTCATACACTGGAATGAGATAAGAATAATTGTCCATGAATTCTAGACCAACTTCTTTGAAAGTTCTTTGAGTAAGAAGATGTCTTTTGATTCGAGACAACGCTTCATGAGGATTATCATAAGCCTGTTCCACCAAACCCAATTCTTCGCGCTGATTCTGATTCAGTCGAGTTTTCACGGTGTACTGTTCTTTCAGCCTTTCCAAACACAATATCAACAACTTGGTATCGTGTTTGTAGGAAAGAGGTGGAAATGGAATGGGTGAAAATCTTCGGCTTTCCAACCAATGCACCATTGTTGTATACATAGCAACTGCTTCTTCTGCACTAACATATGGACCGTCCTTTAGATAATTATGCTGTCTTTCTTGTTCAGCCTTTAGCCACAATCTCGTAAGGCGTCCCAAATTCTTCTTAACTACAGTCTTATCAACGGTTGCACCTCTTCTAATTCTTTCTCTGTTGTAATGGGCCACATTAGTCCACCAATCTGCTTTGGCTTTGACATAGCGAAGAATCATGTTTTCCACTGGCTTTGGTAAACCAGGTACTTTCCAGGGAATGTTCGCTTTCCAACAACGCCAAGCTTCTGAAAGATGCTGCAAGATAACCTTTGCCTTGGAGGCCTTAACACCTTCCGGCATCATTTCTAAGATATCGTGCATCACCTGTGCTCTAAGTTCCAAATCAAAATGGGACTCCACACGTTGTTTAGTGACAGTTTTCGCGATGCCTTTTGAGTTCCTTCCCTCAAATTGTCTTGCCAACAAGTTTCCTAGCCATCTTTCTAACAATGGTACCACACCTCTCAAAAAGAAAATCCAAACCCTCCACATGGGAAGCCAAAAGCCGCATCCAGGCCCTTTCCCCACTGGAGGTGCATTGAAACGATGATAAATGAGATGTTTGAGATCCTTACACATACGAATTTGTTTCATTAGCTTGTATTTGTATCGATACATTCCTGTAAGTTGACCCACGTGCGAAAATATATATTGTAAGCCATCTGCCAATTGAAAAGCATCTACATTCCCCAAGCGATACTGAACATGTGCATCGACTACAATCTTTGTTAACCTCAGTATTTCACGCAGCAGATGAAACGCATTTCCAAATCGCGATTTCTTTCGTTCTTTTGTGGTTAAAGTTTTGATAGGCTTCAGGTTGAAGTTATAGTCCAAGTGTAGATAATTTACACTCTTACGATCGATCAGAAGATTCAGCATATTATGACCTTGGCGACAAACCTGCAAGCCTGCTTCTACCCAATCAATTTCGGTGCTCTGGAAAAATTTCGTCATCTTCAAAGCTTTAAATAATGACTTGCGAGCCCTTGATTTCGGTGGATGCTTGTGAAGTTCATTGTAGATATAATTTTTGAGCAGTTTCTGATAACTGACTCTTATTTTAACTGGTGCCGAAGTCACACACCGCTCCAAATACCAAGACTTCACCAGCGGAACATCAATAGCTCTTCTGCACCTGCCAGATCTCTTGTTAAACGGCTCGGGGGCATGATACAACGCAATTCCTCCTGCTGTCATCTCATTATAAAGCGGCTCTCTTTCCATAAAGGGAGCAAATCCCTCTGGCATTTGAATATCCTGAAATTCATCATCAAGTGCATCTTTATCTTCTTTCAGGTTAGTAAGCCCTGAGCGGCGATGAGCTGGAATTGGATTGACGATAGGGTCAAAATAATAAGCTGGAAGGTCCGGGTCATCGCTCTTAATATATTGCAATTGAGGATGGTGATATTCAATTAGAGCAACACTTCTTGGTCTGCTATTGTACAAATGAGGAAATGCTACACGATATTCTGTACGAATAGGTCGACGAACAATCAATTTGTTGATATCGTTGAATTCGTTCCAGTCTTCGTCCCCTTCTTCCATGTCTCGATAGAGTGGTTCAAACTTGGGACCTCCTGGAACTGCCATATTTAACGCTTTTGTGGTGAAAAACGACCTTTTGTCAAACAAATAAAAGAAATTGGGATCATAAGCGTCTAGTAAAAGTTGCGATGCCAATCGATGCAAAGTCGTCATTACTGGGACTTCTAAAAACCACCTTTTCATAGAGGGACCGTTCACAGCGGTTGTCCCCACAAGCTTGTCGTTGTCATAAAACCACTCATAGACGGGTGCATCCTCCTCTTCATCCAACTCCATTCGAATGGGCTCTAAAGGCTCTACATCCAAGACATTATCACCGTAATCTAAAGGAGGTTCTTCATCATCAAAAGGGGGAAACCTCATCCGTCTAAAATGCCTCCTATCTCTTTTTTCTCTGCGCATCAGTATCCACATGGTACCCCATTGTGCCACGAATACAGGCTCAATAACTCTTGGAACTTGGTTAACAAAAGTAATTGCGCCAGTTATATGGTACAGAACCTTCACATCCCTTATTTGCTCCCACGGCATCGGCATAGCCTCAAGCAGCTTGAGTACAGCGTGGGGTGCGTACTTCATAGCACCCAAATATACTCTTTTTTCTCTTGCAAACTTTTTATGCGTCATATCTCCGTGGTCTCTTATAATTTTTCTCAAATGTTCTGGTGGCATGTCTTCCTTGAGTACGTCAACAAACCCAAACTTTCTCTTCTCCGCATAACGTGACTTTGCTAGTTTTGCCCATTTCTTGGCTTTCTCCTCGAGTAAAGAATACTCCAAGTCCTCTTCTTCTTCCTTATTGGAAACACTGTTATACTCTTTTCCATTTTCTGTCTTTCTAGACAACTTTCTTGAGGGTGGTTTGCCTGTCGCCATCATATCGTAGTTAGCGCCCACAAACACAACAATCCACCACAATTCAAAGAATCCCAAAGAAAATAATACATTTATTATTATTGAATTTCCACAATTACCGGCAGGTGGTCACTTACACTACATGTTATGCAATCCAAACAAGGAGATTGTCTAAAGTTTGTATGTAGTGGTTGACAAGTATCTTCTCTACAAATTGTACAGTCGGAGAAACCCACAATATGGGCAGATTTTGCCTTCAATGTGCTATCCAGCCAAATCATGTCGATGCGTTTGTCCATTTCTAAATTGGTTGAAAGCAACGACATCTCATTTTCATTGAATATATCAAAAAAGGAGTCATGGAACCCTATACGTCTCATAGAGACCAACCCGGTGTCATTTGTCATCATGTTAAAGTCTCCCATTATGATTCGCAGTTGTTGACTTGTCAATTGTTCGCGCACCTTGAATAGTAAGAAATGAGAATACTTGAAGATTCAACACTTACCTGATTAGTGATTTGTTCCAGTTGATGTGCAATTTCTTCATGTGTACAGCAAGTATGCAGCACATACAACTTCACGCTTTTCCCATTCGATAACAATATTTCACCCTGAATAAACACATCATATGGACCACCCCCATCTAACTAATAACAACAAGGTAAGAGACCTTGAAAAGATGAAAGAGATGCATACAAAATTCGTTTGTAATCCAACCAATGGATATTTCGATAACAACGCCAATCCTGCAACTGAGGAAAATATTGCCTTCGCACCAGCATAATAGTAACTGAGATTGGTTCTAGAAGAAAGCCAATCCACAATATCTGCATTTCCTTTTGTCAAATCATAAGTGGCAGTTTCTTGCAGTCCCAAAATATCTGGATCTTCTGTCCGAATGATATCCAGTAGTCCTTCCCAATTCATTTCCCCTCTTCGATCTATCAAGCAAGTGTCATCAAATATGTAAACCAGAAATAGTTCACTATTACCAAATCCCATTTGTATATTATACGTCATGACACGTAACGGTGGATTCAACCCACTTGCCTCTAAGGAAACAATTTCAGGGTCTTGTGACTCCCTTAAATTAGAATCTACATTTCCCATATGCAATAGGAAAATAACATTCAATAATAAAAGGACAAATAACAAAACACTGGTTAGCAAAAGCTCCTTCGATTCGGATCGCAAAGTGCGAAGACGAGAACAAATCCATTTAGGATAAAAGAGGCACTGGATACTTCGCACAAGCAAAGGACTTAGAGATAATGACAACAAAAATAGATAATATCTCCAAAGAGAGCTTTTCTCAAACTAATGAGAATATATTTCAGTTTTCCGATATCGAAAGAGACTGGAAGATCATTACCAAGCTCGTTACAATAAAAACACCACTATTAGAAAGAAATACAAGAGTAACTGAATTTGCGATCGTGAATCCCAGTGCAAGACTACGAATGGATGGCTGCAGATAATAAAGTAGATATTCGGAGAGACTAATACTTGCAAAAAACACGGGAGCCAATACAAACATGAAAACAGCAAAGAAAAGTTGCATAATATGAAACTCTCGTTGTACGGAGTTGTCAGCATAATAACTTAGTGAAGGGAAGAGAATAAAGAACCAGCTGCAGAGAAACAATGAAGCAACAACTAAACAACCAGAAAAGAAGACACGGGGATGTTTCAACACGAAGACAAGTCGAAATACGTAAGACAAGATGGCAAAGATACTAAACATAATAAACATCATACAAGTCACAAATGCATAAAAACGAGGGTCATTGTGGACATCAAGGAAACGTGTTATAATGGCTGGTGAATCAAAAACTTGAACGGCAAAGAGAAGTGAACAGGATATTGCAATTCCATACCAACTAGATAACGTCCAGCGGCTTAGTGTCTTCCTAACTCTTTTCCAACTCCACAGTTTGCGCGCTGTGGCCTCTTCGCTAGATTGGTTAGTTCCGAGACTTATTTGTTGTTCTCCCATTCCCTCGTGTTCTGGTGGTTCCAAGTCCCATCTCTGTTCTACACCAAAATTAGCCACTTCCAGTGGATGTTGTGGAGAAGAAGGTGACAAGTTCTGTCCAAGGGTCGGCTGTTGTGCATCACTCGAAAACTCTTCCAAAACACGTGAATTTGTCTCTAATCTTCCTTGCTTCCTTTTTCGACTACGATCACCAAACAGGTAATCCAGAAACAACAAGATGACTCCAGCTCCTGCCAACACAGCTGCAAAAATCCTTTCCAAGTTACTATTGTGGGAAGAAGGAGGTACTATGCTGCCATCGAGAGTGCCTCCTATGGTACGAAAAGTTATAATTACGACCAACGCAATACTCAAAGCTCGCGAACAACAGAGTCTTGGATGTCTTTTCATCTTGAAAGTGGTCCAAGGCATCGTCGAAGCTGCCATTCGACAAGGTAAATAAAGCCAAAAAGACAATATTCCTAGTGTATCAAATAAGAACCTTCCACTCTCTTCATTTAAAAAGGACGCTGCTGCTCGAAAGCTACACAATGCCAAACCAGCAAAACTGTCAAGAAACTTGTAAGTTTTTTCCTTTTCCCAGCAAGGTATACTTACAGAGCTATGGCTGGTGCTCTAAGATGAAGTAACTTTGTACGAAAGGGAGCCACAACAATAAGAAAGGGACTGAGGTAAGTCAGGAAGGCAAAACCTTTCCTATGAGAATATCCCAAAGTTACAAGGTTGGTTCCATATATCTGCACTGACAAATCGGAAACTAGCTGTAAAAAGAATAGAACTAGTAAAGTAAAAGAATAGTTTACAGTCTTTTGAGGCTTAACCAGAAGAGTCGAAAGTATCTTCTTCTTTCTCATACTATGTTGTGACGATGGATGATACATTCTGAGTCAGGCTGCCCTGCAAAAGAGACAGATGAAATTTTTATTTTCTTCCGATCGAATGTTAACTCCAACAAATTGATCATTGTCGTCTCTACAAAGAACTTGTAAACTGAGACTCATATATCTTCTTTGGAATAAGACTGGAAGAAATTGGAAATTGGTTCGTTGGAAGTTTCTGCAACTTGAAATAAAAGGTGCATAGAGACATTTTTTATGGACTAAAATAGTATTCCTTAAGATATTCATATAGATAGAATAAAAACAATATAAACACAAACACGAGACCGATGAGGAACCCTGTTTCACTCGACCAAACGTTTAAAACACGTTTTGTATTTTTCTCTTCTATGTTACCACCACGTACTCCACCGCTTCGAGTTGCTCGGAACCGAAATACGTCGGATCCATCTTTCTCATCTTTTTCACTCGAAGAGTCGTTTTGATCTCCACTCTGTCCCTTGAGTAGAAAGAACAACGCACCCTGAGTTGCTTGTCGTCTATTTCGAACCCAACTGTAATTTTCTCTCAAGGAAACTCTTTTCAACTTTACTAGACAAATTTTACTACGTTGCAGTAAATGAGGACAAACGAAACCTGTTGCAACTCTACAATAAGACGACTCACTTGAAAGGTCAATCATCCTTATCATTTCTCACCATCCATCCGGAGGTTACGTTGGATCACAAGAAATTTCATCTATTTCCATTTTATCATACCAAAAGTCAACAATAGAATGAGTAATATTGAAAATATCTGCCATTTTTAAAACAACATCAATTCATTCTACAGTCTTTGTTTATCAATTGCAACATATCCTACTTGAAAGATAATCAAATGGAGTAGTCATCAATTCTTTTCAACTCAACTTGGAACTTTTTGGGAAAAGAATATTGAATATTGCATATCACTTAATTCAAAGTATTCATTCTCATGCATTTATTTTGAAATTCATTTTCTTCTAAAACATTTGCAACGTTCTTACCCTCGAAGGGATATTGCAAAACCAGCTAAACTAGACTTGCTATCCATATCGATTATCGACTGAAACTTTGAATGATAGATGGTTTTGCATGTATTATCAACTCTCGCAAGTTGACAAAATTCTTTAGCCTCATTCGATAGTATTGAACATTGAGCCTTTAAAGAAATTATCTGAGATAGTCTAAGTACATCAAGATCAACTAGAATACCCCAATATATGTGAAACAAAGCAGCAAGATTCATTGTAACTATTACGCACAAAACATTATTCCTGAGAAAACAAAAGTTACTCAGACCCATAAACATCACCCTATTCTCTGATAGTAAAGGAGGTTGAAGCTACAAATTTGTATCTTATTGCCATCGTAGAACAGCAGAATTTGAAAGCAATCTAACGGTACTATGGGAAATACGATTCAAAAATTTGTCTGTCTACAAATCTGCAAGTCTCCTAAAATATATATAGATGGATAGGTCAACCTTTGATCAAAGCTCAACTGATTTAGGTTGGAGACAACAAATGATCAGCGAGTAGCAAGAAATTAAGGGTGGAATAGTTTAGCCCCTCTCCCGTTCCCACTAACTTTATAGACTAGATTAAGCTAAAAAACTCGCTTGTTGACAAAGGCAAATAACAGATTCTCACAAAATTCACAGGAAAGTGGAATCCCGAACCGTTTAGAAAGATTAAGACTGTTTCACCCGAAAATGACTTGGCACTTTCACATGTACAAACTCTAGTTGTATTGATCACGTGTTCAACATAATGGTTCTCTATGTTCTTCTATGTCGACAAATTCAAGTTATTGTAATTTGCTTTGCAAGAGACCAATGAAGCTTCAAGAGGACAAGCTTTCCATGGACTTTGGCAACTCTCAAATGTCGACTAGTGTAAAACGAAACTTCTTCTTGAAATTGTAAAAAGAATATGGCAAGCCTTCTATTGAACAATGGAGTTTAAAACAAGATTCACCTCCAAAGAACTATAAGATTGTAACATTGAATATAATACAGCTCCCGATAATTCTAATCCTTTCAGAGGGAAATCAATATTAGTTTTCTGTTACAACAAATATCCAAATGATTCCGTTAAAGACCATGTCCCATAGATGTCCCGCTCGTCCAGTGGTTTCAGCCATTGAAGAATTTCGTTCCGTTTGTTCATATATAAAGTTAGGAATCGCTCGATCTTATGGAGACTTCCACAACTTCACAAGAAACAGATATTCCGGATTCTAATAGGATAGCTCCCTTATCAGAAGAGGATAAGGATGCAATACGCTTCAATGCTTTTGGAACTTCAGCTGGTTTCTTCGTGAATGGATATATGTACAATATCAATAGTGTACTGCTCACTATGTTCACAGATATATTTCCTAGTGTGGGACAAGATGTCGTTGTTCAAACTGCAGTAGGTGTCTCTATGTTGTATGGAGTGATGTTCGGTTTACTAGTATTCGGTGTCATTGCTGATCATTTTGGAAGGAAAAAAGGTCTGATTATGTGCTCTTGTTTAGTGCTCCTCGGAAACCTACTTGGAGTCGCAATGAATGGCACAAGTCATGTCGGTACTATTTGGATGATGTGTATTGCTCAAGGAGTTGCTGGCCTTGGAATGGGTGGCGAATACACTTGCAATATTCCCAATACAATGGAAGATAGTGAACAGGTGAATCCAGTTACCCGAGGAAGAAGAGTTGCGATGCTTTCTCTTTGCTTAGAACGTACTGGAAATTTTGCTCCTCTTCTAGTTCAACTTTTACTGGTTGGTGTTGCTTGTCGCAATGCATATCTTGGAACTGCATCCAATTGTAATTGGAATGTTGTTGCTCGACTTTCGTTTGGCATTGTTACTATTCCTGTCATTATAGTTCTTATATTTAGGACCAGAATGAAGGACTCCGTGATGTTTAAGAAAGATCAACTGCGAAGAGGAAGAAGATACGATGGGCTCGATCTCTTTGTTATTCTTCGACATTTCATGCCTAAAACGATTGGAGTAGTTACTTTATATTTCTTAGTTGATTGGATAAACTACAGTCAGGGGACATTTGGTAATCTTATATTGCAACATGTGATCGGAGTTTCCCTTTTTAAAAGCATTTGGCTTGTTCTTGTGGAAGGTGTTGCATGGATCATATGGACTGCATTTATTGCAGCTTTTATTGTAGACAAGCTGGGAAGACGTAAAACGGGCATGTTTGGATGGCTTTGGCTTGGTAGTACTCAACTAATAAATACTGGCTTTTTCTATCAGTTTAAAGCAAAGCCCATTGCATGGATCATATGGAGCACATTTGTTGCTGGGTAAGTAGAACATTTCCATCTTCTAGTTGCTCACATGATGGCTGGCTCAGATTTCAGAATTTTGTATACATTTGTGCCTATCTAGTGCCAGCAGAGGCTTTTCCTACTCGTATTCGAGCTACCATGTATGGAATATCGGTTTCTCTTGGAGTGATGGGTGCTATAGTTGGAACAACTACTTTTCCTTCTATTTGGTTGCGTTGGTCAGGAGGCATAGAACAGACCAATTCGGGTCTCAGAAAGACAATGTGGTTTTATGCTGGAATGGAATTTCTAGGATTGTTTTTATGTATGCTATTTGTACCCGAATATTCACATCGATCATTAGCAGGAGAGGATACTCGCTTTGTTGAATTGAGAAGAAGACATTGTGCACGTTTTGCTACAAAATGGGGTGTGACTCAACAGGATTTGGAGTGCGAAGACTTGAGAAACTACACCCTAAAGGGTTTGGTTCAGAAGCTTCTTTTTAACGCAAATTTTTTGGACTATCGTCGTCTCTACATGGCTTCTCTTTGTCGCTCGGAAAAGATTCTTCTTAAAACACAAATGGAATATATTGCAAATTTGCCCATTGATTACAAGGACTTGACGTTATTTTCATCACTGTGGTCAAAATACAAGATGGGTAAGATTGGATATCAACAATTTGTAAAGAATTCAGAAGAAATGGGATATTACGATATTGTTAAAGAAATGGAGATGTTTTACAGTGAGAAGAAGAAAGATGATAATGGTTTGATCCTTGATGAACACGTCTTGTTGCCTGACCATTTGGATGATTCTGAAAACAACAAGTAAAGTTTGTGTACAACTATAATAGATAGTTGTGTCGTGATGAATAAAAGAGAGTTAAGATGGTCAACGTTATTGCGACATTGCGGAGATATCATCACTCTGTACAGCAGCCTGATCTGAAAAAAGCTGAACCATGTCAAACACACAAATATTCTCAATAGACTTAGTGTATTATACATAGCCTTGTGAAACTTAAATTCCAATCCCTACAAAAAGATGCTGTATATCTTGTATTGACTTGGCCATAACTATGTCACAAGTGAACTTCTCTATGAGTCAATGATAAAACAATAGAATAGTTAGTTTTTTCTCATTGACCTTACAAACTCTTCAGTAAGATTTGTGTTCCACTTTATTATTCATTGTTCACATCCCATCATAGAAATAATGATTACAGTCTCATTCATTTGATGAATATCAACAGAGTCAACGAGCCATATCCTACGAAAAAGAGTAGATACAAAGTTATACAGTAAAAGGAAACACAAACTCTACCACTATTAGAACACCAATAAAAATTTTTTGGGAGAAACCAACTTAGAAGAATCCATATAAGCCCAGTTGAAAAAGCATTATCCTACTTTAATTTGTTCTTTTTTGTAACAAATTGCAAGTTTCGGCGGCTGTTGAGCATTCTTTTGTTGGAACCTAACATATCTCTTTTTATTTTGCTTTGAAAGGTATATATCACTTATTATTTTCTTGACAAAGAAGTATGAAGTGAAACAGATATTTAAGTTGATAGGGTGGAAGATGTTGTCATTCAACCTGGGAGTGACCAGCTTGCGCTCTCGCTTGAAAAAGTTTGACAGTTCAAGCGCACAAATCCAATACATGTATTCTTTAGGTTGGACTCGAGTTGTGAAAGAATTCAGACTTGCTAGTGGATTCAAAACAAGTGCGTCTCTTCGCAGTGAATCTGAAGAAACAGTTCCGCTTTCTCGCTTTGAAACAAACAGACCCTTGAATCCGATCTATGAATCCTTAGAAAAGAAAGTTAAAATAGCGCGCGAAGCACAAGGGAGGCCTTTGACTTTGGCAGAGAAGATCCTTTACGGTCACTTGGTAGATCCCGCGCAAAAGGTAGTTCCAGGGGAGTCTTACCTCAAGGTTTCGCCAGATAGAGTTGCCATGCAGGATGCAACAGCACAAATGGCTACACTTCAATTCATATCGGCAGGTCTTCCACGTACTGCTGTTCCAACCACTATTCACTGTGATCATTTGATAACTGCAGAGAATGGAGCCTCCAAAGATCTCGAACAAGCAAACATAACTAACAAGGAAGTGTTTGACTTTTTATCTAGTGCAGCCAAAAAGTTTGGCATGGGATTTTGGAAACCCGGTAGTGGAATTATTCACCAAATTGTTCTCGAAAATTATGCTTTTCCTGGTGGTTTAATGATAGGAACAGACTCACATACACCAAATGCTGGAGGACTCGGTATGGTTGCTGTTGGAGTTGGAGGTGCAGATGCTGTAGATGTTATGGCCGGTCTTGCTTGGGAAATCAAAGCTCCAAGAATATATGGTGTCCATCTAACTGGAAAATTCCACGATTGGGGTTCCCCGAAAGATGTGATTTGTAAAGTCGCAGAGATATTGACTGTCAAGGGTGGTACAGGAGCTATTATAGAATACTTTGGACCGGGAGTTGAGTCGTTGTCTTGTACTGGTATGGCAACTATTTGCAATATGGGTGCAGAAATTGGTGCAACCACTTCATTGTTTCGTTACAATGAGCGCATGAATCGTTACTTGAAAGCAACTGGTCGTGAAGGTATAGCTAATCTGGCAAAGAAATATAGTGCTTTGTTGCAACCGGATGAAGGCTGTAACTATCACAAAGTAATCGAAATCGACTTGGACAAATTAGAGCCGATGATAAACGGTCCTTTCTCACCTGATCTTGGTCACACAGTGTCAAGAATCCGCGATGACGCCAAGGTGAGTAGAGTTGATATCTTTTATCATTTCCAAACTGAAACATGTTTAGAATGCTGGATATCCAATGAAGCTTTCTGCTGGTTTGGTGGGTTCCTGCACCAACTCTTCCTATGAAGATTTAACCCGTGTCGCTTCCATTTGCAAACAAGCTTTAGATAAGGGTGTTAAAATGAAGACTATTTTTACTATTAATCCGGGTTCGGAACAAATTCGTGCCACTATTGAACGTCATTTGGATGATATTCGACAAGTTTTCTGTCAACCTAAACTATTATTGTAGGGACGGTTTGTTAGAAATTTTCGAAGCAGTTGGGGCAGTAGTGCTAGCTAATGCTTGTGGACCTTGTATTGGACAATGGAATCGTAAAGATGTGAAGAAAGGAGAACCTAATTCCATCTTTACCTCCTTTAACCGTAATTTTGCAATGCGAAACGATGGGAATCCAAAGACACATGCATTTGTAACTTCACCAGAACTAGTCACTGCCTTTGCCTTGGCCGGAACTTTAGATTTCGATCCTCAGAAGGATAAGATAAAAGGACCTAATGGAGTAGAGTTTCAATTAGAACCACCAAATGGTCAAGAACTACCTGAAAAAGGTTTCTTGACTGGTAAAGATACATTTCAACCTCCACAAGATAATCCAGAAGCAGTGGAGCTAAAGGTGTCCCCCACATCAGAAAGACTTCAGTTACTTGACCCATTTTCAGCATGGGATGGAAAAGACTTTACAGATATGCCCATCTTGATTAAAGTGAAAGGAAAATGTACTACAGATCATATCTCTATGGCAGGACCTTGGCTCAAATACAGGGGACATTTGGATAATATTTCCAACAATATGTTTATCGGTGCCATCAATGCTGAAAATGGCAAGGTGAGTTTACATTATTGTATTCGAAAGGACAATTTTTGTTGAATGGTTGAAAGGCCAATAATGTGAAAAATCAGTTGACGGGTCAATATGGCCCAGTTCCTGATACTGCTCGTGCCTATAAAGCTGCTGGTATGCCATGGATTGTTATTGGAGACGAAAATTATGGCGAAGGTACTTTAGTTGGATTGTTTGAGGGTGCTATTTTGTTGAGTTATTATTTTTAGGTTCGAGTCGAGAACATGCAGCATTGGAACCTCGTCATTTAGGAGGAGTTGCTATTTTGGTTCGCTCTTTTGCAAGTATCCACGAAACGAATCTAAAGAAGCAGGGTCTTCTTCCTTTAACTTTTGCTAATCCTGGTGACTATGATCGCATAAGTCCGGACGATCGCATTTCTATTTTGGGCTTGAAAGATTTGAAACCAGGAAGTCCACTTACAGTTCGAGTGAAGAAACAAAATGGTGAGACATTTGACATTCAAGTGAATCATTCATTTAGTGAAGAACAATTTGAATGGTTCAAGCATGGTTCAGCTTTGAACAAGATTAAAGAGGACTTGAAAGCGGGTCGAAAACAAATGTAAAGAATGAAGTATTCTTGTGGAAGGAATTATTGTTTTTTGTTTCGTGTTTCAAGCGTAAAAATGAAGAATATTTTCTGGATACAAAAGGAACTTGCTCTTGTGATCATCATGTATGTTTTTTTTAAATCACGTCAAATAGAAAAGGGAACACAAAGAAGATGACAGAGTCGAAAGAATCCCTCCACTTCTTCTTAGCGGGAAGATCGGCCTTCCTCTCCTCCCTCGTTCCCTCTTTCTGGGCATTTACGCACCCTCATCTAAAGAAAATCCTGGACTTGGAAACATTCCAATCTCCATCTTCGATTGCTTCTTGTTTCCTCGGCCCCCTGTCAAAGACATTTCCTTGATTGGTTTCCTTTCGTTTGACACTTGTATGGTATTCAAGAATAGTGCTATGCACAGGTTATTTTGAAATTGCTGTTTTATTAGTGTGTCTATTCTATTAGGGCTATAAAAACACTTACCGGTATTCTGAAGACGAGCTTCGAGACAAAGAGTGTTAAGCTTGTGTGTCGACAAAATATAGTGAAAGAGCTTCTTCTTCGCAAATATACAATTCGTGTCTTTATCGTGTAATGGATACAAAACAACTCGACTCTTCACTAGGTAGAACACAAGTAGATGAAACTACAGAAGAGAAGCATACTGGAACAGACTTGACGCCACATGTAACAAAAACTTTGGTGAAAAACGAAGACACGGCCTCTTCTACACAAAGAGAAGAAATAAAAGGAATGGTTTCAATCCAGCAGTCGATTTCATCGGAGACAGGTCAAACCTCCAATACCCAATGTGAAAAGCGACGAAGACTAAGCAACCATACCAATTGTGCAGCAGCACAAATAGAGTCATTGCATGAGCAATTACTTAAGCTACAAAGTCACGCACTTCACTTGGAGAGTGAGCTTTCCAAAGCAAGGACAGAAATGGATAGACTCCGAGCAGGAGCAGCAGCAGCAGCAGCAGCTCATGCAAAGGGACGTTGTTCTTGTCAGAGACTGGGTGGATTGAATGGTGAGTTGATGTATTGTTCACATTGTAATGAAATGTTGGATGGATGCCCGAAATGTGTGTTTGGACCTACGGTTACTGGTCAACAACATTCATTTGACACTCCAGATGCAAATAATGATGATAGCATGTTTCATTCGGATTGGGAAGAAAATAAGGAAAAAAGGAAAAAATCCAAAACTACAACGGACAAGGGAGGACAATCAAGATATTGGTCACCGGAAGAACATAAACTGTTTCTAGAAGCTCTTTCGGAATTTGGTCACAGAGATTTGCGAGCTATCTCTACTTATGTTGGGACGAGATCGATGGTGCAATGTAGAACTCATTTACAGAAATACTTTATGAAGTTGGCGAGGGAAGCAAAAAGAAGTACTTCGCAACAACATTTGCAGTCTGGTGTTAGCTCATTGTCTGCCTATTCTATTTCTCCCCTAACTCAGGAGAGCACTGCCAGCAGTCCTTTGGCTTATCCATCTGAAGAGAACAGAAAGAGAAATGAGAAAACCGTTCCTGATCTATGTGGTGTGCATTTATTATCTGTTGTGGCAAATGAAACGCACGCTTCACTGGAAGATAAGTTAGGAAATGAAAAGTGACAATAACTAGTCTTGTTTAATAAATTGCTTGACATACTTTCCCAGAATGTCCACCTCTAGATTCACTTGGTCACCTACTTGTTTTTGCGGAAGAATGACCTAGAAACACTCATGAGAGAACCTTTAAAACAGACAGAGTCCACTTTACATGTTGTTGTGTATAGGCTACGAGCATAAATTGAAAAGAACAGTCTTGGGTGGCACAAACCGTAAGACTGGTACCATCTACTGCGATGTAGCCTTTCTCTACCACAAATGCAGCAATTTCTCTCGTAGTATCGACCCAAAACCACAAAGAGTCTCCTTCTGGGTACATCGAACGAATAGTACCAACACCATCCACGTGTCCTTGCACAATATGACCACCGAATCGTCCCTGTGCTGACAGTGCTCTTTCCAAGTTCACTGGACTCGCTTCTTTCAATTGTTCTAAATTGGTTCGTCTCAAAGTCTCTGGAGAAATTCCAACCACAAAACTCTGATCGTCAAAGCTGCACACAGTTAAACAAACCCCATTGACAGCAATACTGTCTCCGATATGCAAATCTTGTAAAACTTGTTTAGCAAAAATGGAAAGCAATAAATGAGTTTCTTCTTTATCAAGTGAACCCACTTTTCCTATTTCTTCAACGATTCCAGTAAAAACCATCAAGTTGCGCTATGCACAAATCATCATCCTTTTTGCTTTTCGAAACGAGATCATGATTTAGGTGTGGATAGGTTCTCATGAATGGTTTTATAGGACAAGTTGTGAACAATACGCCTCGAACTATTTGGAACAAGAAATTGCCTTTCTCTAGTTGGTTTGGACGGCACTTGTTTTCTCCAAAAGGTAGTCATTCGTTCTCTACATGTATTGGAGCACTTCCAGTTTGTTTTCGCTCCGTTGCCCTTGTTTCAGCTATCGTGGATGGGAGTGTTGGAAAGTGTCGATGGACCAGTTCTTTTATAATTTCTCACCGTTATCATTATTTCAACGGTTGGAAGTTGGCCAAATACTTTTATATTGTTGCTTTTGCCTCTGCTATGTTGGTTGTAATCGTTCTATGGTGGAGAAGAAGATTTCTAGTGAAGAAGTTGATCGTTCGGAAGAGACCTTCAGTTATAGATATAGGGCCTGCCATCGCTAACTTTTATGACGCAAGATCCTATTTGTGGGAGACTTTATGGGGAGAGCATATGCATCACGGGTATTATGGAGAAACAGGGAAAGAGAAAAAGGATCGCATCCGTGCACAAGAAGATATGATAGAAGAGCTTTGGAAGTTTGCAGAATTGGATGACGTGTTATCAACAGGTCCAGTTGTTCGCATATTGGATGTTGGTTGTGGAATTGGAGGTGCTGCACGTTATTTGGCGAAGAAGGATCCAAGCATTCACGTCACAGGTATTACACTCAGTAGGGCACAAGTTGAACGTGGGAATGTGTTAACCAAAGCACAAAAGTTGGAAGAACAAGTGGAACTTGTAGTCGCCGATGCACATCATATTCCTTTTCCTGATAATTCATTCGATATCGTATGGAGTTTGGAATCAGGCGAACATATGGCTGATAAATACTTGTTTTTGTCAGAATTGTATCGCGTCTTAAAGCCGAATGGTAAGTTTGCTATGCTGGTTTGGTGTCATCGCAAATGTCCTCCTCCACTCTCAGATGAAGAACGTGTGATATTGTATTCCATTTATGAAGCCTATCGATTGCCTTATATTTGTTCATTGGAAGAACTTTCAAATGTAACTTGGAAAGTAGGTATGACAAGACTTAAAGAGGCAGATTGGTCGGCTTCTGCATTTCCTTTTTGGATTCAAGTTCTACAAACTGCATTTTCTATGGAGGCAGTTGCAGAGTTGAGAAAAGCAGATTGGGATACAATACGTTCAGTATTTGCTATTCGACATATGCTTCAAGCATTACACAGAAAGTTGCTGGTATTGGGTGCTTTAAGTGGAATGAAAAGGTTATCCGTTTGAGAGTTGAAAACAAATAAAAATGGTTTATACAACCCGATCATCATATTCCTTTCGTCATAACAAAATCATTACAGTCATCGTCGACAACTTTTGAGAAAACCAACAAAAACACACAAATATAACCATTTTGGCTCAAACTATCACGATGATGACTATGATGACCACTTTACTCACTGTCCAGTTCCAAGCTTGCAATTTCATTCCTCAAACGTACAAACAAATCTGAAAGCTCCCCAGAAGTCATAACATTCAACAATCTTGGTACTAAATGCTCTTCCTCCTTTTCCATATGAAACAGAAACTGAGAAGAAAATCCTGTGATACGAAGAAACAGATCTCCTGCATATTGCGGATCAAAAGTATTTACCATATCGACGATTGCCTTCACCTCTCCACTTTCCATATTATGATCCAACTATAAATTTGTATTAACGCAATAAACAAAAGGTAAATGCAAATTCACTTACGTGATAAGCCTCTACTAGCCCAGGCAAACGTTTTCCAATTTCATAAAATAAAGTATGATCTTCAATAAAAGAGTGAATTCTAAGAGAACGACGAAAACGTTCGCAAACTGCTTTCAACTGTTGAAAAGATTCCAAGCTAGGTTTCATTACCAGTTGAGAGGCATAATGCTTCATCTTCTCTAAGCTCTTCTTCAAGTCCTTGTGCAATTGTTGAAACCAACAAATAAAGTCTCTCGAAATATGCTCGTGATATGAACACTCATTTGTCTCTACATTACAAGGCTCGCGATAAATATCTAAAAATGAATTGGCAAAGTCATCTTGTCCACACAAGTTTCTCTCAGATACAGCCGATTCCGAACTTGGACTCTTTTCATGGGAATTATTCTCAACGTCCGATAAGGATTCCTCCAATTCTTGATTCATTGGCTTTAAAGAGACACCGGTGATGTTTTCGTTGTTTTCTGGGAACATTTTCACCTGACATACATTGGATAAACGACTTTCTAATATAAACATTTTTTCGTAGACTCTTTTCAGTTGCTGTACATTCTCCAAAGTTTTAAATCTCGGAGGAAGTAGCGACAAATCATTTGCGAAACCAACATGGCCTAGACTGGAAGTTCCCACATTTTCAGTGACAAACTTTCGTATTTCCATAGACATATTTTGAGGTTCGCGAATGGATAGAAACCAAATAGGAGTTCCTGAAGGAGAAGTATGAATAGATAAAGGTATTCCCAAAGCTGCCACAGGATGATAAAGATCGAGAGCTTGAAACAATGACCAATAAGAATCTTCATTTTCTGTCTCAACAATAGTTGAGTCCCTGGAAATAGCTAAAACGTTGGAAAATCGAATTGCGAGAAATAGAGGATTCCTGCATTTATGGCGAATGTTTGTTGCTTGAAAATAACGAACAAGTCCGATAGTTGAGTTGTCAATAACTTCATCTACTGCTTCTTGACCTTGTGCCCGAAACTAGAAGCGTCACAAGCTGTTATTCGAAAGCCTATTTCAATATGCAACAAACTTACCTTTTTAATGAACTCCTTTTCGAACAAATCAGGTGAAAATAGGCGACTGTAAAAGGATTTGTTGGAGTTTTCCGGACTTGTTTTTGAGTGGGTCCTTTTTTTCGTTTTATCAGGCTGACTTCTCGAATATACAGCAAAACCACTTGAAATTAACGCAGCTTCACATTTGGCTGTCGATGAAAATATTGCAACGACAATGTGAAATTTGCGCCCTCCAAGGCTGCTACTAGTTGTTGTTAAGCGTAGACGTGAAAAACGACATTCTCCACCAACCGCCTGGGCACTACAGTCTCCAAGCAACTTTACTTGTTCAAAAAAGGGCCAAGTGTTACTTGCACAAACAAGCATGACCTTAATCGTACTTTCTTTCCAAGGCTCGATGGTCCTTCTTAAATGTACTCTGATTTCTGGCAGTCTCCAAGCTTTTAGCCAGCTAAACTCATTTCGTTCAGAATCAAACAGTAAAGGTTGTTTAAGTTCGACATGTAGGCTAACAATTGCGCCATCCCAAGCAAAAGGTGCCTCAAACTCTGAAGTTTCTTCTGCTGCTGTGCCGTATTCTGGGTCAGAGGAAGAAGAGACTTGAAGAGAGGAAAGTTGTTTTATAACTTTTCCCGAGAACCTTTCCCACTTCCATCCGTTTTGAATGTCTGAAGAACAAGATTCATCGTTCAATGAACCAATATATGGACTCTGTTCATAAAAGTGCACTCCAGCACCAAACATCAATTGATAGACCAAATCCCAACAGTTCCTTCTCCAGAGAGAGGGAAAAATCATCGCTTTGAAATTCTACACTTATTTATTCGTTGATATGGTAACTAACGACGATGTCGAATTCTTCTTTGTCTAGAATGACTTTGTGACGTCTAAGAAATATAATAAGCCATGAATGAACAATGAACATTCAATATCGATCTCTTACTTACTTGTCCACTTTGAAATGCAATGCTTGCTAAGCCTGGAGCTGAATCAAAAGCCTTATCAACCGACACAGGCGGCATAGACAACATGTTCAAACTATTATTTATATTTTGTCGAATATCAGAAGCCTTATTGCCTTCCCTGTGATCAACAACAGAAAAATTGGGTTGATGAAGTTGTTCTTTCGATATGTCTCGAACCACATGGTGAGTGGCAGAATCCTTTGGTCCCTCCTTTTGACCTAATGTTTGTATAGAAGATTCTGTCTGGTTATCATTTTTCTGGTACAGAGTTGATATTCTTTGTTCGTAGATATGGTGAGATACAACATTTGGTTCAAGTATGAATGACAAGCCTCTCTGGTCACTAATAATTAGACGTCTCCTTTTGTTGAGCGAAGGAGGAGTAACTCTAACTTTCTTATTTTCAACTGTATTTTTCTCTCCAGACATCTCTCCTTTATCTTCTTCCACTTTTGGACTAGAAACTTTGACAGCTTGTAACGAGTGCGGACTCTCTGACGAGATCGTTTCTTCCTTTCTTTCATCCTCTTCTATTCCTTCCAAAACTTTTCGAAGCCTTTTAGAAAGTGATAGGCTCTCATTCTTCTTCTTCCACTCGTTCGACCCAACTTTATGCTTCCTTCTTTGTGTCCGAGGTTTTCTAATTTTACTAGCATCCCTTAAAGAAGTTGCCTTTTGTACCTTTAACTCTGTATTGTATAGTCTTGCTTTTTCTTTCATATGAGCAGTCTTTGTAGAGTGTGATGTATATTCTTCTTGTTCCTTTGGCAAATTTGAAGATCGAGCCCGCCAAGTGATTTTGTCTTCGAAAGTCAACACCGGTAGTTTCAAGTCATCGTGAACAGTATTCCTGTTTCCAGAGTTTACCTCGATGGATTGTCTTTGAACTTGGACGCCAAGACTATATAGTTTGCACCAAAATGTACAAAACAATATCAAGGAAACCAATGCGTTGAACATGCACACAAGTGTGTTAACCAAAATGAAAAAGTTGCCCAAGCGTGTTGGTTGAGTGTATAGGAATAGTAATATTAATTGCTTCTATTCTATCATATAGTCTTTTTCATCTTCATATGATATTTTGTTGAAACAACTAATGAAAGTGATGAAGATGCTTATGACTGGATCATTCGCTGTCTTGAGTGTGGTTGTCATTTCAAATGAAGTCTGAAGAGATGTGTTGGAGAGAGATTTGCTTCGTTCCTTGCTTGAGCCAAGGAAACGAAAAGTTACTTGTTCAAAGGGAAACTCGTTTCCTTTCAAGCTTTCCATATGGCTACTCTCTACACCCACGGAAATGCACTGAGTTTAACAAACGCAAGAGCCCACTTGTTACCACAAGGAAACGACCAACCACTTTGACAACTTTCATGTCCTCTTCAACCATTCAAGAAAGTGCAAAACAAACGGAAGACAAGACGTGGTTACAGTCCATTCTTGACTGTAGGGAAAGCACCGCAAATCATGAAGACACAGCAGTCTTGAATAGTTTGCATAGGGAAGCGGAGGAGGAACTGAAGACTCGACTAAGGATTCCTGGAAGAAAGGATGAACTATGGCGTTTTACGAATCTCCGAAATTTATTTTTGACAAGATTCCAGACTTCTTCTCATCGTGTAGACAACCAACTGCTCGAGTCCTTGTTCGAAAAGGACGTACAGTCTCAGCGAGTTGTTTTAGTGGACGGTGTTTTTGACCCTTTTCTTTCCAACATTTCAAATATACCTGACCGAATTTTCATTGGTTCAGTAACAGAGTTGGATGTAGAACGTCAACGATGGATATATGAGTTGACGAAAAAGGGAGAGACCGGAATTCAGGAAACCAATATATTTGGAGCCATTAATTTGGCAAGTTTTCGTGACATAACAATTGTTTGGATACCACAAGATGTTTCGTTGCAAGATTATATCCATTTATGTTGCTATTCATCGAATTGTTTGAATTCTTCATTTTATGGGATTTCACATCCAAGAATAGTTGTAGTTGTTGAAGGAGGTTCTCATGTAAAAATATTACAACATCACTTTGGTGCATCTGGAGGTTATTTGGATAACTTCGCTACTTCCATTAGTATAGGAGATAGTGCAACTTTAGAGTATTATATTGTCAATGAATGCCCCAAAGATGCTCTCTGGCTAGGATCTTTGAACGCTCAACTTGAACAATATTGTACATTTCAGTTTCGCTTCCTTTCTTCAGGCAGTAAAGTTGGTCGTCTAACGATGACCACTGATTTAGTAGGAAGAGAGTCGAATACTTCATTACATGGTTTGGCAATTGCAAATGAAGAAAGAACGTTGGATTTTCATTCATTTGTTGATCATCGCGTACCAAGTTGTCACTCGGAACAGTTGCAGAGGAATTTGGTTGCTGATCGTTCCCAATGTGTGTTTAGAGGTCTTGTTAAGATTAGAAGGGAAGCTCCGCATACTTGTGCGCATCAGTTGTGTCGTTCTATGTTGTTATCAAATCGTGCTCAAGTAAGATGGAAACCTTCTTTTGTTAGGTCATCATAGATAGATATATACTGATATCATTTGAAATAGACAAAAACTATGCCAATGTTGGAAATTGCAAACGACGAAGTAGAATGTTCTCATGGCGCTACTGTTTCTGAAATAGAGGAGGATGAATTGTTTTATTTGTTGTCACGAGGCATACCAGAATGGGATGCTCGTGTCTTGTTAGTAAGAAGCTTTTCTTTGGAATTGTTAAAGGTATAGTTGGGTTTCCATTGCTTGTACTTTTCATTTATGACTCACATGTAATTGAGGAGTTTCCATTTCCTTCGATTGTTGCTCGTATGGAAAGTCTCATTGCACAAGTAGTGAATAATTCCAAGGAAGAAAAAGTGATTGAAGCGGATACTGTTGAGGAAGGACAATGGGATTGGACCACTTGAGTATTTTAGATTAGCAGCAAATAGAAACGAAGTAACTTGGGTGGTTGTTCTATATTCTTATGGAGATAAAGTATAAGGGAGTCTTGGTTTAATATGTACAATGTGTTCAAATAGTATGGGCTTTCTTTTCTCCTTCTGACACACATATTATTTCTATCTATCTCAAGTTGAATATCATTCCATTATTATGTTGTTCATTTTCTCCTGTTGCATCTACTAGGCAGACTCTCGTTGGTTTTCATGAAGTGCCACTGCCATAAGACCAACAGAGCGAATCATATCCGATAGCGATGGCAATGGCTCCAGTTGAGGAGTCTTTTCGCGATAGAGTGGTTTGTTCTTGTGTCCATCCTTCTCCATCATCATTGGTATATTACCTGATATATTCAAAAATGACTTTTCTTCACTAGTCATCGACTGTGGTAAAGAAACAGGTATAGGTGGAGTTAGCCATCGAATAACTGGTTCATAAAACAGTCCTTGTACAACGGTACTAAAACAAACCAACAAATAACACAATTGAAAAATCAAATTGCGTGAGTGGATATCTTCGGAAAGAGATAAAGCCAATGCGACCGATATCGTCCCTTTCATTCCACTCCAAGTTAGTACTCCTATAAAACGAAATGGAACGGCATTCCTCAATGCTGGATGAAGGCGTTGACCACGAAGCAAATAAAGAAATTTAAGGCATTGAAGTGGAATAAATATGGATAAGAAACGAGCAAACAAGGATAAAGGAATCATGGCTAGAAATATACCGTAATAAATGTTGGTACCATAAGAGCCTTTGCTCTCTGGAAGTGTGACTAGAGCAATTGAGATAAATCCCATCAAAAGATATAAAATACTATTCAAGTTATCACTAATCAACTGCCACAACTAAAAATCATCGTTCAATCGAAGCATCTACACTATGATGGGATGCTTACCCAATGAAAAGACTTACTGGAACTCATAGCAAAAGTTGTTCCATAGTTGCCAATAATCAATCCTGCTACAACACTGGCCAAAGGAATGGAGGCTCCCAGATATTTTGCAGTCATGTTGATCATCAAAACCAAAACAATGGTTACGTTAGCTTCTAATATCTTGTCTTTGATATTCTGCAACAAATAGTAGGCAAGATAACCGAGAACCAAACCAATCACGATTCCAAACAACACTTCTCGAACCACCATGTCGAGAAAATATCCCACTCCTACTTTCTGTGGACTGCGGATCCATCTCCGAAGACCTTCAAAACAAACTAAGTCCTTCTGTTCTTTTCATTGATCATTTCAAGTACCTGTAAATAATACCACCGCAACAGCATCGTTGAATAAGGCTTCTCCATTGATAATAAACCGTTGCAGCTTCGGCAAAAGTGACTTGTTACTTTTCAATATTCCATTCACAGCAATAGGATCGGTAGGTGAAATAATGGCACCTTTGGATATCAGACAAAGTCCATACAACTTGAATTCCAATATTCTTACCGAATAACAGACAATGTGCAAACGGTAGTGGATTGGCAATTGCTGTTAGGAGAAGAAAGAGAAATGCAGCATTCAAAATGGAAGCCAACTATTTTGCTCATCAAAAGATAATATAAAAATATTAACAACATACCAAAGTAGTAAATACTGCCAGAGAGAATATAATTTCGACGGTTCTGCGAAGTGAAATAATATCCAACTCTGCTGCATCGGCGAAGAGAAGAAAACCCAAAGCAGAATCGAGAACAAAGCTCTTTTAAAGTCTTTTTGTTGAATCTAGACGAAAATAAAAACTAGCTATTCTTACTGGGAAAGATACGGTAAAGTGTTGAAATCTGTCCAGGTTCAATCCAGGTATGAAAATGTGCGGAAATAGTCGATTCGCAAGGATTGCCAATATGGAAGAAGTCACTGCAGAGAGCGAAAGTGCGATAGAATCAGGAATATTGAAAGTTCTTTTGTTTAGCCAACGAAGGAGAAGTATCAACAGTAAAAGCATCGTGAGTGCGTCTACAAAGTCGTTAGGTTGAGGGCCCACAAAGTCGGTATCCGTCTTCATATCTTTTGATTGTCGTTAATAGTTTGAGAATAGTTATTCGCCGATGAGCAAAACTTGCTAAACAAGTTAATCTTTCATTTCAAGCGATAACCAAATAACGTGAAGTCTCTATCTGAGGAAATAGATCGAACCGATTTTTCAGTTTAGCATTCTGAAGACACAAAATGTAACCAAAGAATCGTAAAGTATCTCTGTTTGGTAAAATATTATATTCTTAGAGACTTTGATATGTTAATTGCTTCGTAAATATTCAACTAAAATGGTTCATAAAAGGTTTATTTCTTGATGGGACAACGACGAAAGCTTCAATACATCGTTGTTTGAAAAGACCCGAAGAAGGAAGCCTCGAAAGAGCAGATCAACCTTGGACCAGAAGCTTCAGTAGGTTGAAGTTATTGAGGTTCGAAAAATGTGACTCGCGTCGGTCGAGCTCTGATTCTTTCACGAACCGGAGATGACTCTAGTTTATGTGTTGCGTTTCTGAACAAGTATGAAATAAACTTGCAAGATCTTTCTTCATAACAAAATTGGATTTTTTTATATCTATCAAGTACGTATCATCGATATTGAAAACATTCTTAGAAACTCTATTCCAATTAGCTTTATAAAGCTACTCCAACATCACGACGTCCCGTTACTGTTTCTTCATCAGCCGTTGCATAATAAACGAACTAGAATCAAGAAATCTCTCTGCACAGTTTGCAATACATTCACTTTCCGCACGGTCTAATTTACTTCCAGGTTTTCCAACACACTTATCCCAACAGGTCTCGGTCAGTTTGGAAATGGCTGCCTATAGGAATTGTTACTTCCTTCAATAACCGTTGCAGCAACTTACTTGAATGGCAGCTTTTTGGTTTTCTTGTTCAATAAAAGTTTGAAACTCACTGTTGCTGTTTGCCTCTGACATTGTCAATATTTTTCTTAACAAGACTATACCGAAAACCCAACCTCTACCAAATGCTCAATCAATCAATTGTTGCTAAAGTGACAAAGCGATGGACTCAAGTGGTTGTACTCTCTGAGTAGTTTGTCTCAGGATGGTTCAAAATAATTATCGACATGAACGAAAGAATATGTTGTATAACAATTTTGAAGAAAGAAAGAATACTGGGAAACTTTCTCTGAGAAAAGCCTGCAAAACAGCGATAAGGTTGTTGCGGTTGAAAACCATCAGAAGATTACAACGTTTGAAAGAAACGTCATCTACTGTAAGAAAGGAATTTGTAGATAAATTAGAAGTATTGAGGAGACTCAAAGTAGATACAATTTTGAGAGCTATCGAAGGTATGGTTGATTATTCCTTGAGTACTTTTCATAATTTTTCGTAAACTTTAGATAGGCACTTCGATTCTAAGGGTTTTCTCGGCAACATCCAAGCTGAAAATGTCTGTTGGGAGATTGTACAAGATAAGAGAGTACAGGAAGTTTTAAGGAAAGTTCCCAAGGAAGAGCAGAAGGAAGGAAGGATAAGCAGGAGTTCATACAAGGCTTCGAAGACACAAAGAGATTGGAAGAAAGTAGTTGAAAAGCCTTTGATAAATTCGATGTTTCTTGACTCTCTAAACGGAGAAACAACATTTGCTTCAGGGTTGGTATCGAAGTTTATAGGAAACGTTGTCAACTAACTGTATTTGCTGCCCAGGAAGAAGAAACATACGTCAACGAAAGGTTTTCCAAAAGACACTTCTTTTTTTGAAAGTAATGATTTGCACCCTTCCTGGAGAGCAAAACGATGGAGAAGAAAATGGGAGTCAAGTATATGCTTCCAAGGCTGCCACAAGTATTTTTGACCAGTAGCTATCTGTCCATTCCTTTTCATTTATTCTAATACAAGTCTTACACTTTCCTATTCCATCCTACTAGGAATGGACAGCTGTCTTTGCATTTTGATCCAACAGTTTCGTCATTTCAGGAACGGCTTCAAAAAGATCTGCAACAAGGCCGTAATCCGCAACTTGAAATATGGGCGCATCTGGATCTTTGTTGATAGCAACAATGACTTTGCTATCTTTCATGCCCGCCAAGTGCTGAATAGCTCCACTAATACCAACCGCAATGTATAGTTCTGGAGCAACCGCTTTACCCGTCTGACCAACTTGCATTTCGTTTGGACAAAACCCAGCATCGACTGCAGCCCGACTTGCTCCTATTGCAGCTCCTAGTTTATCAGCCAACGCTTCCAAGATCTTAAAGTTTTCTGCATTTTTTAATCCACGTCCACCAGAAATTACCACTCGTGCACTCGTCAAGTCGGGTCTTTCTGATTGACTGACTTCTTCAGAAAGCCAACTTACGCATTTGGACGCATTCGTGTCTGGAGTAAAAGATAACTCTTCCACCGGTAACTGTTGAGCTTCCTTCAAAACAGCCTTTTCAAAAGCCGTACTTCTCACTGTCAGTACTTTGACAGGATCAGTACACTTTACCTTGGATAGGGCATTACCGGCATATATGGGTCTAATAAACACATCAGAAGCTTCTACTCCGGTAACATCTGAAACTTGTGAAACTTGGAGCCCAGCTGCAACACGAGGCATAACATTTTTTCCAAAAGTAGAAGCTCCCGCAACTATATGTGAAAACTTATACTTTTCATGCAATTGCTGGATACAAGGAGCCAACCACTCTGCTACTCCGTATTTGAATAACTTTTCAGAAGTTTCGTTGGGAGGCACCACATATATCTTTGATACTTGTGGAATTTCTTTGGCCTTGTTCACTGCTTCCGAATCAGAAGAATAGCCAGCTATAAGAAGATGAATATCATTTTCTTGTGAACCTATCTTTGAGGTAATTTGTGAGGTGGCCGTTATGGCTGCCAACGAAGAGCCCTGAAGTTGAGAACTGCTGGGGTCTATTTCGGCAATCACCAAAGAAGCCATAGCAGACACGGAAGCGTGCAGCTGACGACATGTTTCGTTATGTGTTTTGTAGGTGCCAACAAAAGGTTTTGTTGTCCTACTGAGCAGAGAAATGGATGTCCTTGTCAGGTTCGTGAACAACATGTCTTTGCTAATTGGGCGAATTGAGAAGTTTTGAATTTCTGTCGAAAGATCAATTTTATTTCGTTGAACGAGACAATATACATGAATCATGATACGAGTAGTTGAAAGTTTCTAGCGCAACTATAGTTTTTTAATATAAAATTTACAATTCAAAGACTCTCTTGGGTACCATTCAATAGATTGAATGTTGTTTGTTTTGTTGAGTATATTAACAGCTAATTTTTGGTTTCATGCCTTGTTTCAAAGTTCTTCATAGATAGCGAATACAAAACCTCGAACTGGGTTGTTTACCACCCATCACTATTTGTTTCCAGTTCATAAGGGGTTGGTTAGTTCTGCAAGGAAAGCAATCAACTTGAACCTACAATCATAAAAATTCTAAAACTATCTATTTTCCATACTCCGTCCACAGCTTCACATTTTAGACTCGGACTTATTTCGAAGAGAGAGGAAGAAAAGTTCGAAGGCTTCCTCTCCCATTGAACCTTGAGGGTGCGGCCACAATTTAAGTTTGTGAGGGTGCGTTCTTCAGTACGTTACAGTTTTTCAATTTCATAACCGTTTTCCATACAAATTGCTCTTAAGGCCATCATTTCTTCTGGGAGGTGGTGACTTGTGTTTTCTCAAAGACTACTTTCCTGTTTGTTGTTATTGTCTAATAATTGCTTTTGATTAGAAAGTAGATATCGTTCATCTATAGATATGCAGCGAGGAAGGAAAGTGCCAGTACAAGTTGTTTTCCAAGATGAAAACTGCTCTTCGAGTTGCCCAAGTGACACCAATATACCGTGCAACAATAGAAGCAGTGCTTTTGTTACAGCTCCAAAGAGAGCTTTAGGTGATATTACAAACGTTGCTAAAAGTGAAAAATCAAATGTAGGCAAAAAGGTATCTCAAGTATCATGAAACATTAGAATGAAGAATTATAACCTATTTAAAAGGTTTCCTTTAAAGTAGGTCAACAAGAAAAGGGCGACTATACAGCTGTTGAAAAACAAGCTGCTGAGTCTTCGAAGAGCTCTGGTAGCAGTCAAAACAAAAATACGACTCAAACATGTTCTCAATTCTCGCAATTTGTTTCGAAGTTGGATCAAGACTTTTTGAAAAAGTCCAGTCGAGTGGCAAAGAAAATTCTAGAGCAATCCAAAGATAACTTGAAGGTTACAATTGATTCATTTGCAGATCTTGCACTACATGATATTGATTCTTCTGATAGACATGATCCTCAACAAGTGGTAGCCTACGTGAATCGAATCATTGCCAATCACAGAAGAATTGAAAGAAAATTTATGCCTGATCCACAATACATGATGGAACAGCCGGATATTAACGAAAGAATGCGAGCCATATTGATTGATTGGCTTGTTGATGTCCATCTGAAATTTAAACTGCTGCCTGAAACGCTCTACCTTACTGTGAATCTTATTGATCGTTTTTTAAGCTTGCAACATATCACAAGGCAGAAGCTGCAGTTGGTTGGTGTCACTGCTATGCTCATCGCCAGCAAATATGAAGAAATATATCCTCCAGAAGTACGAGACTTTGAATATATTACTGACAAAGCTTATAATAAGGAAGAAATATTAAGTATGGAAGCCATTATGCTAAATATTCTCAAATTTGATCTTACAATTGCTTCTTCTCTCAACTTCCTCACTCGTTTTTTGAAAGCTGCTGATGCCGATAAGCAAAGTATGTTGTTTGCTAATTACTTGTTGGAACTTTGCCTCTCTCATTACAAAATGATTCGATACGAACCCAGCAGAATGGCAGCATCTGCTGTCTACCTGACTGGCAAGCTTGTGGGTAGATTTGAGTGGTCTGATAAGACTCGAACACATTCCAACTACGCTGCTACTGATCTCAAAACTTGTAGTGAGGAAATGCTTTCAATTTTGCATTCTCAGAATGATCCCAATCTCCATCTCACTGCTGTCAAGAGAAAGTACTCTCTTCAAAAATTTGGAGAGGTTAGTAAGATTTCCGTAGACTGTTTGGAAACTTTGTAGAACGCAATAAACAACTTTTTCCATTTGAGTTTTTGCACATAGCTATTAGATTGAAGAATATTGTTCCATATATTGTTTTATTTGTAGTACCGTCGAGTGCTTGTCTTTTTCTCTCAACATTGAGTCACTTTTGTTGGGTGCTTGTAGTTTATTTCTTTTGGTCACATCAAGTATCCCTTTAAGCATCCCAATATATTTGCACCTGATTTTCCATTATCTTTTCCCCTTGTTTTCCTTGAATCAAGTAACATTATTTCCATGGAAAAACAAGTATAACTGTTTTTTTGCAGAAGAAAAGAAAGAGATTGTCAACAAGTTTTCCTAGGAAATGGACGTTAACGTAGCTTTGGACAACAAAGAACACTTGGCCCCTAAATCTTGGAGACATTCCTGCGCCACGTGTCTGGAGACCTCAAACTTGGCGACCAAACGGACTTTATCTCTCTCATCGATTCTCGCCTTGGGTGGCGAAAAACAACGACGCGTAGTTGGGCGGATGTTTATTCCTTATGTTTCTACGCATTCGACCACTGACTGACAGGCCCCTTACTAAACTGGTTGAAACGCTTTATCCGTAATATAGAAGGGAACAACACTTAGCTTGTTTCTCAGTAGGATAACACTGTAATAACTTGGTGGTTGGAACCGAGTGACCGTGTAGAGTGGTTCATATTCTTCTATGCCGTTATTTCCATCACTCACTGAAGAGTCCGGTGTTCTCTCTTGTCTTGTCCACTATAGGAGAGATGTAGCAGGTCCCCTAATAGAACTACATGAAAGAATATTACGCGGTCCTTCGGTCCTAACCTCTCTTCAAAGAGAACTCATTGGTGCTTTTGTATCTGCCGTGAATCGTTGTGATTATAGTACTGCTATTCGGATAAGTGTAGCAAGAGGTTTAGGGGCTAACGATCAACTTTGTGAACAGCTATTATCTCCCCTTGCAGACAACGTGGATGAATTGAATATCGAACCAGAAATGAAGCCCTTACTATGGTATGTTCGGAAACTAACCCTTAGACCAGAAACATTACAAAGAGCTGATGTTGAAGCCGTATTATCGGCTGGTTGGGATGAGCAAGTACTAATGGATGCAATGCTAGTTTGTTGCCTCTACAATTTTATGGACCGTTTGTCCTCGGGCATTGGATTATCGAAACCAGAAACTATCAATCCTGCTAATCTTGATATATTGGTGAGAAGGGGCTATCGATCTATTTTAGATGATTTGTAAAAGTCGAAAGTTTTGAAAGTTCTTACGATTCGGAAACATAGTATTAGCGCCAAATAATGTATCTATTTTATTTTCGGTATAAAGGACATTACACTTTCATGTTATTCTCTTGTGTTGAGTATGAATAGAATAATGACATAGACAAGCAACCAGTTTAACAAACTTAACATTGTTTTGTATGATGACTGTTGAGTGTTGAGAAGAGCCTAGCCTCTTGGAAACCAAAATACAATTTTACTTGTGAAATTTTACAAATTTTATGGGAATGGAAACCTTGGAAGCGTTCGCCGAGAGTGAACTAGAAAAGTTAGGGTTTGAAGGTGACCTGTCTGCTCTCGCCAAATATGTAAGTGCCTTACTTTCAGGAACTGAAACACCAGTTGAAGAGCAGATGGATAAGTATGTGCAAGATTTGGAAGAATTTCTCGGCTCCAATTCTGCTCCTTTTGTTGTCAAAGTTGTAGACAAGTACAAAGAGATATTTCACAAACCAGAAGACGTTAACAAACAAGTTGAAGATAGTCAAGAAGTTGAACAACCTCAGAAAAGGTCGGAGAGTCGTAACCTTGGAAGGTTCGAACGACGGACAGGTGGTAAAATGGGAAATCGAATAGGAACAGGGTCTACTAACAGTTCACAAAGAGATAACTCTGTAAGAGATTCCTTTCGTTTCAAGGAAAAGAAGACTTCGTTACATATCCGTTGCATTCCGGAAGAGAAAATGAACGACCAAACCATACGAGACTATTTTAAGCGTTTTGGGACTGTAACCGAAGTCCTTTTATTGCCTCGTAATACACCTTGTCGAGCTATTGTGACTTTCGCTTCCGAGAAAGAAGCTTCTGAAGCTATACTTTGTAGAGACGCTGTTTTGGGTGATAGGTTTGTGAAGTTATACTGGGCGCATAAAGAGGACTTTGAGGACAAACCTGAACACTGGTTTGAGCGAATTCGCACGAATGGAGATTTTCAACACCAGTGGAAGAAATCTGGACAGTTTGAGCAACGACCTCGACCTTTTCAGTATAGAAGACCTGCTTTTCCTACACATGGGGGAAGAAGTCTTCACTGGAGTTCAGATGCCTCTGAACAACAGCAAACTTTTCCTGCAGCAGCAAAACGGGAAAGGGAAAATGACAATACAGCAACTACTATAGGTTTACCAGAAAAGCGTAGCAAAGTCGAGCAAGAAAGAATTTTGAACAAGTATTTGGAGAACAAGCGATATATATTACAACGTTTCGAGTCACTTAAAGATAGTTTGAAGCCTGAACAAAAGAAAACAATCTTAGAAGAACTGAAAAGTTTGGATAGAAACATCGAGAGTTGTCTTGCAAATATATCCAAGATGACATCGCCGCAAGAGAGTAATGATGTGGATTTGTCGACTACGGAGAAATCAAACAATGAATAGGGAAATAGGAATTTGTCTACACCAGAAAATTCATTAGAGAACGAATTCTATATATGCATAGCAGCAGATATGGATGGTGGGTGTTTTCTATTTTACGCGATTGACTTTAATAGTCAATAATGTTATATTTTGTTATTTTGGGAGTACCAAACCCATCTAATAAAAAATGGTTCTTACCCTGTGGAAAGGAGTTTTTTCCAATTCTAACGAACTCTTCATATTCATTGCTTCACTCCACAGAAGATAATCAATCAACTGACTAGAAACTAATATTTGAGGATTCCTTTCCTGAATTTCCTTACGAATCAATTCTACTGAGGCAATTGAACAAGCTCTAATTTCGATCTCTTCAGTATTTTCAATCTCCATGCCTTGTTGCAATTGAGCTGTCAAGATATCCGAATACTTCAATATTCCTCTTTTGTGTAATACTTGCGGCACTCGATAGTCTGCAAACATGGTCAAGCAGTAAGGGTCTCTAAACAAGAGGGCTTCCTCACCCAGGCAAGCAAAGATATCAGCTGCAAATATTTGAGCTCTCTTGTAAAAGAATATTCGATGGCCTTTATACATGGCTTCATCCCTAAAGGATGGAAAAAAATGAACAACCTTGTCAACAAGAGTTTCCAAGCTTCCATGAGAATCTTGAATCAGATGATATACACTTCCTTGAAAGTATTCGTCCAAAACACAACCCGCCTCACGAAGACAATGAATACGTTCCGATAATAAGGGAATAACTCCTTGAGACTGGGTCTCTGGCATCAATATCTCCTTCAGTTGTAATACGGTAAGTTGCTTTAAAAACTCCGCAGACAAAATATATTTCCCTTGATTTTCTAAGTACAAGTTTAACGCAGCACATAGTGCAAAGTATCCTGTGTATTGGTTATTCTTGTAACTAATTGTCCATTTCACTTCTTCTTCCTTTTGCCAGAATGAAAAACTACGCATAGTGTCAGCAGGAAGTTCTTGCATACAATACTACTAGCACACTTTATGCAATCTATCCAGAATATCCACCAACATATATCTTCTAAGCTGCCTATTCCTGCTCTGTTTTCACCCCAAACAGGGTTCAAAGGACAATCATTCCAAATCTTGTGAACCGATAGCTCTCTCGTTTCTAGGATACCCCTCAGCCTCAAAGCTGTAGTTTGAATAGCCTCGGGACTAATAGATACATGCTTTGCTCTACTCTTCACAAACTCTGCACTTGTTCTGACACTTTCAAGTACCGCAGACATATAGGTTCGAAGAAAGACAGCGCTGCTCTGCCTGAGAGATATTTCAATTTGCAAAAGGCGGACAATTCATTCCTCCTTTTTCTTCACCGCCGATTTGCGTTTGTCGTTGAGCTGTTATCTTACGAGTTTATTAATTGTAGTGATAAAATGGTTCAGATATTCCCTGACCTAGGAAAGACAGCCAAAAGTAAGGATCATGAAGATTTCATAAACTAGTATTCTAAGTTCTTTTTTAGAGCTTTTGGAAGATGACTACTGTTTCGACAACAAAGTGACTTTGAAGTCAGCCACAAGCAATGGTGTCATATATACTTCGGAAGGCGTTCAAGACGCCGTCAGTGGTTCAGTTTCTGGTGAACTACAAGGAGAATATAAACAAAAGGGCTACAACGTCACAACTAAGCTGAATACTTCGGGTACCTTCTTTTCCGAAGTTGCCTTGGAAGAAGTCGGAGTGAAAGGTCTTCGAGTTGTATTGAACACGACAGTCGGAAAAAGTCCCGCCGGAAGCATAGGATTGGAGTATTTGCACTCTGCACTAGCGGCAACTTCTTATCTCAACTATGCTAGCAATCCTGTCATCAACGGCAGTTTGGTTATTGGACACGGAGGTTTTAGCATTGGTTCTGAAGCTGTATTCGATACAGTAAACAACTCACTTTCAAAAGTCAGTGGTGCATTTAATTATTCTGATGGCAAGGGCAGTGAAATAACACTAAGTATATTGGAAAAGGGTCAAATGGGAAAGGTAAGTGCTTGGCTATTCTCGTTTTGACTCAAGATGAATATTATATAGTGTACGTACTCCCATCAAGTTTCATCCAATTTCGCCGTTGCTGCAGATCTTCGTTTAAGTCGTTCTGGTGACTATCGTTTGTTCTCGATGGGTACAAAATACGTGTTGGATGACTCTACAACCCTCAAAGCAAAAGTAGATTCGACTGGTTCACTAGCTGCAGTATACATGCACATGATCCGTCCAAAGACTTGGGTTTCCGTTTCTTCTCAAGTGAACCTCAACTCACTTGAGAAAGGTGGACATAAAGTAGGGTTTGCTTTAGCAGTTGAACCCTAAAATACTTCTTTTTGACCAGAATTCTGTTATTCAAGCGTCGCATGTTCTTTTTTCTGTTATTTTCGCTATTAAATCTCAAATTTTTTTTCTCATTCGGAAGAGACATGTTTGTTTTCTCTTGTTGGTCATCCAGTGAAACTTTTTCTGGTAGCTCGTTGGAGAGGTTACCAAGTTCTTTTATAGCTAGAAAAAGAGCTCCTCTGCTTGTACGACCGAAGCAACAAGTAAGAGTTTTATCTTTACAAGCTTCAAACCAGTTGGAGAAACTACAGAAGCTCACAGTTGGTGACCCTGAATATCCTAAAAGAACTCTTCTGAAACTGTTGTCAATAGGTTATTGTGGCAGATACTGGAGACTTTGAGCAAATAATAAAGTTCAAGCCTACCGATGCCACGACCAATCCCTCACTTATCTATCAAGCTTCCCAGTTACCGCAGTATCAACACTTGGTAGACGACGCCATAAAATATGGAAAATCAAAAGCCAACAGTGCAGAAAAAAGAGTAGATCATATTCGGGACAAGCTATTTGTAAACTTTGGAGCAGAAATTAGCAAGATTGTTCCGGGTTACGTTTCCACCGAAGTGGATGCAAGATTGAGCTTTGACGTAGAAGGATCTGTGCGACAAGCGGAAAAACTGATCCAACTTTACGAAGAAATTGGAGTGCCCAAGAATCGCATTCTTATCAAGCTAGCTTCGGTAGGTCTTATATTTGTAGTTTTCCGCTGTTGAATTATTGGCTAGACTTGGGAAGGAATACAAGCAGCCAGTATTCTTGAAAGGAAAGGAATTCACTGCAATATGACACTCTTATTCAATATTTGTCAAGCAGCAGCTGCAGCAGAGGCCGGAGCTACTCTGATTTCGCCATTTGTAGGTCGTATTCTGGATTGGTACAAAAAGAACAAAGGCCAGGAATATATTGCCGACAATGATCCTGGAGTTGTTTCTGTGAAAGAAATATTTTATTACTATAAGAAATTTGGATATTCCACCATAGTGATGGGTGCCAGCTTTAGAAACAAGGACGAAATTTTAGCTTTGGCTGGCTGTGATCGCTTAACTATAGCACCCAAGTTATTAAAAGAACTTATGGAGGCAGACGGAGAAGTAGTTCGCAAGTTGGATGCGGATGAGGCAAAGAAGAAGAATATAGAGAGAATTCCTACAGACGAGAAGAGTTTTCGTTGGTTACTGAACCAAGACCCTATGGCAACTGAGAAACTTGCTGAGGGCATTCGTAGTTTCGCTCAAGATATCGTTTCACTCAACAAACTGCTGGATAAAGTTTTAGTATGAACGAATCTCATGACATGAATAAAGTTGCCTGGATTTGACGACGGACTTGATTTCAGGCATCTCGAAAGAAGCAGCACATGAACAACTTTTTCCACACAAATGTCCAATAGATTTTCAATTTCTTCTAAACGTACAAAACTCGTTATTCGATTTCTTCCTTCTCCATATTGTTGATTTTCGGTTGTGACATGAATGGCCTAGTCTCTCAAGTCTCTGCTCTAAATGGAACAAGTAATAAGAGAATAGCATTAGTTACTGGAGGAAACAAAGGAATAGGTTTTGAAATTTGTAGATTGTTGGGCAATCCTCAGAACAACATACTTGTTATTCTAGGAGCGAGAGACAAACAGAGAGGAAATGAGGCTTGTAAAAAACTCGAGCAACAAGGAATTGAAGTTGTGTTTAGAGAGTTGGAGGTGTCCGATATTACAAGTGTGAAGAATTGTGCTGCTTGGGTGCAAGACACTTTCGGACACTTGGATATTCTGGTGAACAATGCAGGTATATTCTACAAGACTGGCCCACTGTCAAAGGAGGTTGCTCGACACACTATGGACGTCAATTTTTATGGAACTCTTTATTGTTGTCAGTATTTCATACCTTTATTGCGTGAAGGTGGTAGAGTAGTAAACATGTCGAGTAGAATGGCACTCTTTGCTAGATTGTCACCAGCACTCTTTAAAAAATTTACAAAGCAGGATTTGAATATTTCAGAGTTATGTGAGCTTATGGAATCTTTTATTCGCTCAGTAGAGAAAGGCCGTGTAAAGGAAGATGGCTGGTTTAGACATTCCTGTAAGTCAACTTTCGAGCGGTATTTATTGTCTTCATACTCATAAATGACTGTTTAGACGGAGTAAGCAAAGTGGGTGTTGTATGTCTTACTCGAATTCTTGCTCGAGATGAAAGGAGACCGGATATTCTGATCAACTGTTGTTGTCCAGGTGGGTTTTACAAGGCACTCGTTATATGAAAGCCGTATTAAGATATTTAGGTTTTGTAAGGACGGATATGACAGCACCTAACGCGGAAAAGACTCCGGAAGAAGGTGCAGATACGCCTGTGTGGCTTGCTCTGTTACCTAAAGGAGGTCCCACCGGCAAATTCTTTGGAGAACGCAAAGAATTAGATATCCGAGTAAACTTCCCGGCACCGCGTTTGCAACTGTCGAAAATGTAAAATTGCTCTTCAATAAAAGATATTGTTTGAGGGAGATGTTAGTATAAGTCAACTCAGATGGATATCTTTTCTCTTTGACAAGTCAAGGTCATTATGAAGTGGTTTAAAGATAACCTGGAAACATTCTTGCACAATATTCTATCCAACCGGAAATTTATATTGGCAAGATCGATCCATTCAAACAGAAATATTTCAGTGAGAAATTCTTCCTTCCATTCCAATTCTAGTTTGTATTTTGAACGATATAGTATTATCTCCCTCAAAATCATTCTAACATTATTAGTCTGTGAAAAGCTTTTCAATTCAGAAAGGAAAATCTGTCTACATAGAAACAATTACACTCAAACCATCAGACCATCTGAACAATATTGTGCGCATATACTAACTTTTATATGGAATATTTCCTCCATCTATTTTCATTCTTAGGCAATTGGGCTTGAAACAGTTCGCGAGGAACAGTCACAATCCGGTGAATTGTGCATAACGTCATTGGAGACTGTGCGAATAAAGACACATTCTAATGTACCACTTGAGATAGCCAAATCTCTTATAGAAAATTCACTTTTTAAATTTTCCAGCTTCCAAAACAACTCTTACAGCCTCACTACACATCACACGGGATATTATATGTGAAATGGCCGTTGATTTTTTTGCTCAGTTTCACTTTGTTGCGGAATAAACGATTCGATCCCATTAATATAATTTGAGAAATTGTCTTGTTCTTGATCACATCCATTACCATCTATTGTCATTTCTAGAAGATATCCAATTCCAAAGTGGTTCTCCAGAGATTCAGGTTATCTACACACTGAACCGAACCTTGAGATAACAGGACAACCTGTCATCGAAAAAATGCAATAAATACTATTCTCCTTCGATTCAGAGCTTACTTTGTCACAGAGTCGCTCAGCTTCATCCATTGCGTGAGTTGTAAGCAAGATAGCTCTTCCTTTTTTGTTGTTCTATATATCTATCTCCACAGTGCTTGCTTAGAGAGTGAGTCCAAGCCTGAGGTATACATTTATATTAGATAAAATAATATCAAAATTTCAAACCTGTTCTAGGTTCATCTAAGAAGACTATGTCTGGATCTCCAGCGAATGTGCCACCATTAAAATTTCTAACTAAAGTTTTTCCAGAGGCGATTAAATCTGTACTCTCCAATAAACAATCTACTTGATGCTTCAGTTCGCTTCTTTTGATGCTCTTAAGCAATGCATAAAATTGAAGATGCTCTTCTGCAGACATATCGTCACATTGAGTGAATTTGTTGATTTTCTATACGGAATAACCTCCTACGAACGCTTGTCCACCAATAAGTGGAAAGAGTCCTTGCAATTCTTCGTGACACAAGATTAGTCCAACTACAAAAAGCATATCAAATACCTGAAAAGATAGTAATAGTGATAGTTTTTCCAGCACCATTTTTTCCAAGTATACCTAAACAACTATCGAGGGGAACTCCCACTGTAAGGCCGTCAAGAGCGAGATGTTTCCTTTGAATGGAAAAAAGATCTCTCCTGTGATATTATTTCCTCAGCTGTTTCAAATAGATACCAGGCTCCCTATTTAAAACCCGAGATAATATAGTCGCTCCTCGTCCAAAATATCTAAAGGGAAAAGAGGTCTCTATTGTTCTGCTACTAGTGGCATTCCACTCTGCTGCTCCTATTCTAAAACTGTTTCACTGATCGATTTCAATGGAAGAGAATAACTAGACTCTTCTAGTTGTATAAGTCCTAGATCTGAAAGCGAGCATGAAAGTACCTGTAGTTCCATATCTAAAGTGTATAAACTGAAGTCCATGCCGGTCTCCATTCTAATATCGCATGATCGAGAAAAGCACAAATGTTTTAAAATCTCCAACTTGCACCAAAAGTATCTTTTGATCGTTCTCATATACATAGGGCAGTCTAGGAAGATCAATGCATACTTCTGGTAACCTTGAGAAGTAACTGCAACGTCAATGTATATACCAAGCAGTAAAAAGATGGCCCATTCTACTGCCAAAAATATCATGACTCTACAACAAGGCATAGGAGCTTTACAAATGCCAGTGGCACCAGATAAGGAAACCGCAAGACCTACAAAAATATCACACCACTATTAACTATACGAAGAAAGCCCTATTTACCGGCATCATCAGCTTTTCCAATATAGTAAAGAGCCGAAGAAAAAGTTAAAGTTGGTAGTATACTGGTCCAACTCATGAAATTCTCACTTGCATGATATTCTACAACCTTGGCAATATAGAAAAAGCCCATAAAGTTTGCAACTGTCACATAAATCCAACCTAACTTTCCAAATTGAATAAGCGAAAAATATTAGTATGCTTACTCACCATGAAAGCATCTATAGGATTTCTGAGTAGGCCCGAAAGGAATATGGAAAAGGAGATGCATTCATTTCCCCAAGCAAAGAACAAAACTATATTGGTAAAAACACTGTTTTCAGAAAAAAACGAAATACCAAAGGCAATGCCCAGAACAATAAGAATGGCACAAAATAAAACAAATATAACAAGCATGAAAGATACGTAACGAATCGATAGACCTGTCTTTAGTGTTTGGCAAGAAGCTTTGAACACTCGTTTATGGATACTTACTGCTGTCTGTAGTAGCCCCATCATCTTCATTAGAATTCTTAAACCTGACGCCTTTTCGTACACATGTTTCTCACATATGAAGGAACTAGAAAATGAAGCAGGAATGAAATGGCGATCAGTCTATAAATAGCTAATGGACTATGAATGGCAGATACAGCATTCTCTATGGGTTTCAAAAGGTTTACGACATGATAAGGTTGTCGATTGGTAAATAGATATCTTTCAGCTTGAGACAAATAGGAATCTGAAAGAAGAGAATGAAGCTGTAAATTACTAAAATTGATGTAAGGTATGAAGAAGAAAGATCAGAGAGCGATAAATTATCAAGAAACGAAATTTTTGGCAGATGGAAAGTGCTCACGAAGTTTTCGCGATAAAAGAAAAGATAACCAGGCATCAGTAAACGTCTTCCTTAGTCGTTTATGAAAAATGTGAAAACCCCGAGGATGTATTCTTTCCGAAAGTGTACGATAAAAAGCGTCGGAAAGTCTCATGATACTTGCAATAAGCTGACAATTCCCTCTAGTCCAATTATTGTACCGAAGTATTCACTAGTTTCTGCAATTATTGCATAGTAGAACACATCAACGACGAAGCCCACTGGAGAACTCTGTACTCTCTCACTATGTCGGCTGGCGGGTTGCGAAATTGTCGAATTTTTTAGCTCTGTGTTCACATAATTGAAAGAGAATGCCTCGTAGCAACTTGTTTGGAGTTCGAAACTTTCAAGGCCACCGGAATTGAGCAGTTGTACAAGACTTTGATGTCCCAAGTTACCACCTCGAGTAGATCCGTTTTCTTCCTTGTCGCTCGTGTTGACAGAAAAAATATTGTCTATAAGATTATATCCAAAGAACTCTGCGACTTCAAAATAGCACAGATACTTGAATACTTCCGTACAATTGTCTCGAGACTCAGAAAACTTGCTTATAAGATTGATTAATATTTTTGCCTATGAATGGTTGTTGGGCTTGCATCGTTCAATATTGCAACAATAATGCATTGCAATGGATCACAGAAGATATCGCAGGACGGATAACTTATTTATCCAGCCGACTCGCCAGTACTTGGTTGAGATATCAGAATTGACTTTTTCATGCTGTTGGAACGACTTAGTACCTTGTAAGTTGACAGAGAGTTTGAATTAAAGCTACCTTATCATATACGGATTGCGAAACTGTGGAATAAAGTACCAACATTTTTAGCTTCATATTTCCTCTCTGAGTGAAGTAATATCTCATGTGCAAGTCCATTGATGCCACACAAAACTGCTACGATGATGAAAGGCGACAGAATATACAGAGAATCTCAACCTTTTGATGTCTTTGGAAATGGAAGTTCTTCAATACTAAGGCTTGTGTCTGTTTGGAGAATAGACAAAATCTATTTACCTTTGTTCTATGTCTAACAGTATAGCTATCGAACTTTATCAAGTCTTCTGGAGCTCCAAATTCTTCAAAATTAATTTGCTGGTTTTCCTAGTTCACAGCTCTTTTATGACTTGGCCTGAACTTTCCTTCAGTACTCTTTCTTAAGATTGTTTCAGATATCATTGCCAATGTCTGAGTATAGTTGGTTCTTCCAGCTAACCATTCGTCTTACAAATTTAGGGTAACTATTGATGTATGCGCAACACTCAGCTGTCCCTGTACCGCTAAATTATCCACTTTTCTGCACTTCTTTCGACATGAAAGGCTGGTTTCTCATTTCCACATAATTCAAAAGCATATTCACTGCAAGAGTCAACAAACCAGGAATCCCACCTGTATATTCCAACAATGAATCTGCCAATTCATTTACTGAAAAGGAAGAACTACATAAGACATCATACACTGGAACTTAAGTAGGTGTTTTTAGAAGACTCTTTTCAAGGAATTCAACGATACTGGAAGCGTCCAAAGGTGATAAAGAAATAAAATGAAGTGTAACTTTTGATAGCCCAAAAGCTACATAATTCTTAATACTTAAACCCTTGCTTTTCCCAACAAGTATAAAAAACAAGTCGGGTTCTTCGCACAACTCACGAATGATACCGAAAAAGTCGAACCACACCTTTTTCATTCTTCTCCAGTTGAAAAAAAGTTCCCTTTGTATCAAGCACACCAACTTCATCAAATGCCACCAAAGATATTGATCGGAAGGAATGCCCAAAGTCTTCCGTAGCTCCGGAATCAGAACATTTTGGATAGGGAGGAATGTGTCTGTAGGCTTCATTAGGCTTCATAAACGGTAGACCCATCTGATCATAAGCCAATCGGTACAATAAAAAGCACAAGGCCCACTTCAGGTTTCGTTTTTCCTCGATAAGTCGAATGGGCTTCAACTTCCTTAGATCAACATAAAGCAACGAAGCCTTTTTCAGCTTCTCCAAAAAACATCTTCGATTGGCCTTCTCAGACTCACCAACGAATAGAGATCTATACGTGCACTTTCACCCGTGTTATCCAACAGTTTCAAGTAACTTCGTACGAAACTTTTCTTTCTTCCGAAGAGGTGAGGGCCAAAAGGTATGACTGGTTTGAAAGGGCGACCATGTTTACGAAGTTGTATAGCCTAAATAACTGCTTTGTTACTACACGAACATCTTGTTCTCAGTCTACTACAACCATGTCATACACGCTTTCTGCGTCAAGCTCACTAGACATATTGTAAAATGTAAACTAAACTAAGCGACAGTAAAATACAACAATGATCGATCAACCTTAAGTAGTTCAACGCTCAAAACTTCTAACGGTTCATAGTTGAAAAAAGAGTGCTCCTTGCGCCTTTTATTTGTATGACAAGTTAACAGAGTTGCTTCCCGTCGAAATTGAAAAGTGGCCATCTCGCACTTTCAAGTTGACCTTACAAAGCATCTGACTTGGACTGATCACCGCACAAAACATGAGAACAAATCAAAACTAATTGCAATCGAACTGAGATTTTCTTTGCAAAGCTAATTTCGGTCAAACTCAACTTTGTTGAAAGGCTTAAGCGTCGCTAGGGAGTTGACGGAAGTTCCTTACGACGCTATCTTTCTCCTGTCGCAATATTACTATGGTATGAAGATAAATTCTATCTATACCAGTTATTATACCAATAGCTTTTTATATCTCTTTCAGTGGAATATTTTCTTCAATAAAACTCACTAAACATAAAAAGACTCCATATCTCCTGTGAAAGCATTTGCTCAAAATCGAGTAAAGCAGGTTAACATCTTCAATGTTCGATAATAGAATAAAAGAAAATTTTGTATTTATGAGTTGCAAATACAACGAATGAAACATATTGAAAAAATGACAAAACTCTCAAATACATTCATCGTTCGTTAGCGAGATATGACCTTATAGAAGATCTTATCTTCAACCTCAACGCAGGTTTATCTATACCCAAGTCCCTTAAAATTTCTTTGGTCACCGCTGGAAGCTCGTCCATATCAATATCTTCCACTTTCGGAAGACAATAAGCAACATCTTCTTCAGAAAGACCACAATATTCTCTTAGGAAAGTATTCCAATCAAATGACGAAGACAAAGAACTCGATGCTGCGACACTTCGTTCCACTTTCATAGCAGTTTGAAGCTCTTCGATTTGCATCCTATTCTCCTCATTTGTTCTCGGTCTTATATTTCGAGCTACTCTTAAAGTAACATTTGATTGCTCCAAAGGCGAAACATATTCATTGGACATCGACTCAAAGACAGTTTCACACCATACTGAAAAGTCTTTAGAAAACTCTTCTCGGCTTGCCTCTCCAATTTTCCTCAATGTTTCGACATTATCTCTTCCCAAATACATTTCAAGGTTCCTTTGAGAAACAATTACCAATTGCAGACATGATCGACTACTTTCATTCAAAGTTGATCCCGAAGAATGTTCAGTTACCAAATAACTTGCATCCTCAACAATATTCTGTTCTTCACTAGAGAAAACAACAGATCGACCATAACTAGTACAAACTACCACCACAAACTGAAAACGAAGTTGAACAGATGAAAAAGATTCGTCATTCAAAACGGAAACAACTCCCTTAAAAAATTTTTTGGCTTCTTCCTCAATATTTCTTTTCGAAAATTCACTTTTGTGATAAAATTTGAATGAAAATCCAACAACGTAACGTGTTTGTCCATTATGGAATACAACATATGCATCAGGACCACTCGAATTGCCCTCCTTTGGAACAAAAATACCACAACGTTGTAAATAATCTCTATAATGAACAGAAAATGAACGAGAGACATTTCTCAAGATGGGTATATCATAAGATTTTGTTGATTCCATAGAATAAGAAACATTGTCCTGTTCAATAAAAGAACCCTGGAAAATTCCTGGAATAGCAGAATGTACAATAGCCGAGGAATTAGAATGAAGAAAAGTTAATAAGCGAAAGCGAAAGATCTTCATAAATACAAATTCAAAGAAGATTCCTTTTGCTGTTGAAGTGTCGGGAATATAACTAAACGGAGATAAAGGAAAGAGTTCAGTAGCCTCAAGGAAAAAGTTATAGTTGCTATGAGCTCTCAATATAAATTCACAACAACCAATCTTGAATTCGGTCCCCATATCAATCCCGTCAGTTCCACAACTTTCAGAATAAAACCCAAAAGTTGCAACCAAGTCCATCAAATAAGTTTTCGTTCCACATATAGTAACTATAAAGTTAATTGGAAAAACTGTTCCGAGCAGATAATTCAAAAGGACAAATTGATATCGAAGAAGGGTTGCGGAATCAGGTATCTCCGGAATAATAATCGTCACCGACTCTAGTAGTACCAAGTGAAAGATTCTATCTAATAAGGGTTCCATATTGTCATTGTTGATAACAGGTTGAGATAAGTTTGCAACTTTCTCTACTAGGGCTAATAAAGTATTCCTTACAATCAACGGAATACCTCCTGTCTTCCTTTTCAACAATTCTACGAATCGATGTCGTACATCAACTGAGGGCAATAACCAGTCCTTCAAGGACTTTCCATCATAAGTTGCCAGCTCAATATATTCGTTAATATCACGGAGGTTAAAGGGATTCAACCGCAACATATGGAGGGTGACACTACTGGAGCGAGTATCAGACAGGGGGGCTGAGATTTCAGCAGTTCGCCCAGCAAGATATAAGATAACTTTTCCTGTATCAAGCAACTCATATACAGTTCGAAAAAATTTGCGATACGGGATATAACCTGGATCGGACTCGACGAACTGTTCCTCGCCGAGTTCACTATAGTATGTGGTGAGGTCACTCAGGTGGCTAAGTTCGTCTATCATCAAAAATAAATATTGTTTCTGAAATTGTTCGAGAAGATACTGAACAAATAAAGAAACACGAGGTTGCTTCATTGCTGCGTCCGTGAATTCTACAATTTCTCGGGCAGTCATACCGTTACACTGGGCTGTAGCCATAGCTATGTTATACATCAAAGCCTTTCGAAAACTTGGAAAAGGAGCATCAGAAAAGCTCTCTTCTAATTGAAAGCAAACTGACAAAGTGTTTTCCGCAAAGTGTTTCCAAGAAAAAATCTTCAAATCAACTTTTCCCGAAGAGCTCTTGTTGAAAACCTCCGTCTTCGTCTGCTCTTCTTCTTCGTCGGCGAATTTTTTTAAAAACTCTAAAAAATTTTCACCAACAAAACTCTTCCCAGCCCCAAAAACATGAGGGGAAAAACAAGCTGCAGGACGTACAGTATTCAAGTCTCCCCCAAATCAAGAAAACTGGTAGAAATAAGTTCGAAGAATAGAATAAACATCTTCTTTTCTATCTATCAACGGTTCACTCAAACTCATTTTACACCGCCGCCAATCCGAAATTCACAAATGACCGAAAAACTTTCAAAGGAGATGGAAGAGAGTGTATGTTTTATTGTTCGAGCGATTGCTTTATTTGGTGATTGGTAGAAATGATCTCCTTGACACTTCTAGACTCACAATGACAACAGAGAGAAAGCAGGAATATTCTCTTGCTCGTCGTAATTAGAAACTTTCTTCTACTATAGACAAGAAATAGGTTTCTATGAGTTTTTGTGGGGAATTAGATTGATGGGTACTCTTTCTATGGCTTGTATACTGTAAGAGAGTTTTTCTACTATCTTCCACACCATCCTATAACTCCTATATACATGTCTCATAAGATACAAGCTTTTTGTAAGTTACAGACGAAATACAGTGGGAAACAGAGAATTGCATTGAATGGGAAGTCTGTTCGTGTGGAACTGGTCGTAGCACAGTTTATAAATACAAAAGTATCTAAAGGAGTTTGGAGAAGAGTATTATGTAGATTGTCATACTGGCTTATCATTAAATACAAGCCATTATTGATGTAATAGCTACACAAGTTGTCTATTCTTTGTTCGACTTTTACCAAGTTGTGAATATGTCTTATATAAGGACATCAATTAAGGCTTCAAATATAGTCACTATAAACCTTCATTTTCCACATATCGATGCTGAAAAAAGAGTAAAAGATTGAGCCAAAAAATTATTTTGCTAAAGAAGAAGCCTTGTGTACTTGAGTCAAGGTCGAGTAGTGTACTAAATTGAAAGCTTCAGCAATTCTCCAACTGAAAGCCACTCCATATTGAAGAACTTTTACCCAACGTGACTCTTATGTTGACTGAAAGACGTTGTAGTTCCTAAGTTACCGGTCAAGTGATTGTTGTGGAATGACAATACTTCAAGATTGGATATGGTTTCCTTTGACTAATTAGAAACAATTCTGTTCCACTCTCAAAGTTGTCCTTTGCAATGCAATATAAATAGAACTCCTATGTAAATAGTAACTTTCTGAAATAGAAACTTTTTATCTCAGTGTGCCAAATGGATAGAGTCACTTAAGATGTCTCTTGTACTATTAATAGTCAAACGAAATTTTTTATATCGAATATCATCTTTGCAACCGGGTTACTTTCCCTATCTAAGAGTCGGTGAGTTTTCAGTCTAATTCACTAAAACAGAGTTTGAATATATAGTCTCGTGAATACTTTTGAGATAGAGTTTGAATTGCAAACTAAAATACTTTTTTTAGTATTTGTTCTTATCTTTGCTATATTTTCTCTTGGATCCAACAAGTTTCATATTTGTGGGAGCCATTTATATGAATTCCAAGGCTAGAAATGCAGTTTGAAAAAAACACATAAAAACGAAAGGAATCTAAACTTTTATCGAATTTCAACAAGCTAAAACTCTTTTTGAGACCGCAGTGCAGGTCCTCAAGTTGGAGGAAGCCTCCAGTTTTTGCTGCCATTCCCTTCGTTTGTTTTCTAAAACCGAGGAAAACTCTCTTCTATTCAGTTAACAAAAGATAGGAAGGACAGTCCAAGTGAAACCTACAAACAACTTTTTCTGTCTCAGTCTTTGAGAATTATAGTAAAAGGAGTTACTAGTCTTTTTTCAACAGACTAGAAAGACAACATAGCAGACACTTGAAGAATGTTTTGAGATATTCTTTCGGTAACCATTTTACTAAGTATTTGGACAAGAAAGGATATTTTTCATTCTAGTTGTATTCAACATGTATGTATGTATAGTCTATTCATTTTGAATCATTGTTACAACTCTGCAATATTGCAAATTGACACTAAAAATAGCCTTCAAATGAAAAGCTTTTAGTTTTGAAACATGTTTAAAGGTATCTCCGAAATATTTGAAAGATTGCACTAGTGTATTAATCGAATCATTCTCCTGCACACAAGTGCATATTCAATATCCAATTTCTGTAAGAGTCAACAACTCCTGTTTCTCCTCTGAAAATACTTGCAGACAATAGTGACATTTGATATTGTGGATTCTGCTAAGAGAAAACTTATTTTCAAAAAAGTTCAATTCAGTCCAACTGAGTCTATTCTATCGATTCTCTTCTCGTTTTTCATCATAGCATTTAAATCATAGTTGAATTGTCTCTTCCAAGTAGTCGACTATATAGTTGAGATGTTTTTGAAGGTAAACATGACTGTTTAGGTTTAAAGGTTTTCACTGCCTTCTCTTGTACCATCAACTTTGAACTTTGTAAAAACCACAAATTGTGAACATATATAAGAAAGCAAACTATATAAAACACAAAGCTGCTTTAGGGCATGGATAACTCCAAGCGAACTCTTATTTCTTCCAGTACGAAGAAAACAAAACTTTTAAAAGCTCTGCAAATTCAAGGAAAGATTTGTTTAGCTCCACTCGTCTCCTACTCTTTTTCCACTCTCTCATCCATCAGCTCGTTGCATGAGTCATAATACAAAAGTTATTCGTGTTAGACACTAGGCAGAAAACTCTCGCGAAATATAACCTGATGGGTACAATGGTGGAGGCTTCTTTTTAGATATTTGTAACAAGAATCAAAGACAACTCAAAGTTTTGCATAAACAAACTGTCTATATATACAAAAAACGTTCATTTCCATAAGGGACAAGTCAAACATAAAGAAGAAAAGATATAGTTTTATCCAAATTGCTCTAAAAGGAAGGAAAATGTCTCTTTCAACTTTGCATTATTCAGCAGAATAAAATTGTGCAGAGTCAAATTGATATTGTGATTATCCAAACTGGTAAAGGTCTTGTTCTTTTAAATATATTAGATAAATTTCGTCTACTAGTGAAAAGAAAAGAATATAAACGTAGAAATAATGGAAAAATAAGAATCTTTCATCTCCTCTTGGCAAAGTAATAAAGAAAGGTGAATCTTGAAATATATGTGCAAGGAGAAGTAAAAGCGTCACCACTTTTACTGTTGTTATACTAGTCAAAACTCTCAAAAAGTTCTTTAGGTGGAGAGCGAACCAATAGCCTTGAATCGTTTGAGGTTCGATCCTCCTTATCGTAGGTAGTTTATGTACGAATTTGTGTATAGACAAAAGTATTCCCAACCTTTGGTCAGTTTTTTATTATTGTCCTGTCCTCTGTATACTTTCCAATTCTAGAGTCCAATATACGATTTATTCTTCTTTATAACTCGTAATCGAACAAGATTGCTCCTAGAGCGAATTTGCATAGAAGGAAAGGTTCTAGTTCTCACATTGCAAGCCAAACAGAGTTAACGTCATTGAAATTAGAAAATGACCATTTTACACCTTTAAACAGTTTTCCTAAATTTTGAGTGACCAACAAAGAAAGGTTCTCAGATCGAAAACGAGTCAAAAGCTGGTTGTAGCAAAACCGTTCTTGATTTGTTATCAAAATAGGGTCACAAGTAGTTTAAAATTTACCTTGCAGAGACAAGATTGATCAAACTCAACTCTGTTAAAGGGCTACATTGTCGCTNGGGAGTTGCGAGGAACTTTGTTACGACACTGTTCTTCTCGTTTCNCAACATTACTGAAAGTGAGATTGATTGTATCTAGCACACTTATTGTTCCAGAAACTTTTTACATATCTCCAAGTGGAATATATTCTTTCATAAAACTCACTAGTCACTTAAAATAATATATCCCCAGAGAAAGGAGAGAATACAAAGCGATCCTTTTCATAACAATCCAATTAGAAATGAACACAATGGGTTGATTGTTGGATGGAAAGGAAGGCTCAGTGAGTATTGTCAAGGCTGTGGACCTGATTCAACTTTGCTAGTGAAACTTTTCCGACTTTAATTTCTAAAGCAAATTCTTCGTTTGTTTTAGTTGGACAAGTCAATTTCTATTATCTACGTTTCTTTTAAGCCCTTCAAATGTTTCTT